GGAGAAGCTTGCGCAGTTCGAGCCAGGATCGTTGCTCGGCTGTCAGGAAGGCGACGCCAGTTTGTTCCGTGTAGTTTCGCATAAACACAGACACGAACAGCGTCAAGACGAACACGGCTCCGAGCAAGTTGAATACGACGAAGAAGAGGCCATTCGCGGGTGAAGCGTTGTTCTGGGGCTGTACACCCTGTCCAGTAATACTCATGGCACTCCCCTGCACATCGATCCAGCCCTCTTGGGACACAATCTGGAAAAGGATGAAGAGCGCATCACCGAAATTGTCAAAGTCATAATAGGGGTTGGTGGCGACTCTGGGAGCCCACACATCCCAGTTATAAGGAGAGCTAGCCCACTCATTGACGCAAGCAGTCAAGTTGCCCGCAAAGTTGATGTCGTTGCATTGGACCATTTGGCCATTGTACAGATTCACGGCATAGATGGCGAATGGGATCAGGAAACTCATTGAGACGGCGATGGCAGCGACAACCTTCCATCCTCCAAGAATGATGACAGAGTGGAAGGTATCCTTGGCGCTATCGCTGACATTCAGCAGCCGCAATGCTCTCAGGGCTTTGAAGGCACCAATAGCCCGGGAAACGTTCCAATCCTGTTTCAACGAACTGCCAACATTGATCCAGAGTGTCACCAAGACTATGCCGTCAATAAATCCCCAGGAGCTTCGGAAGTACGCATTCGGAGTCCAAAAGAACCCGTCGGCAACGACTTTGATGATAGCTTCGACGGTGAACACGACAGCGAAGCCGAAATCAGTGTACACAAACCAATTGCGATTGGTCCGGAAATACTGCCGTTGATACAGTGGCGTCGTAATGCACGCGAGGATAACCATTGCCACAATGGCTGCATATATCAAGGCAGAGAAGGTGTACCATAATGGTTTGTATGGGTCCACGCCTTGAGCGCGCTGATGACCACGCCCAGGGCCAACGATCCGCTGGCAGAATCGGCGGATCGAGGAATCAGGTGAAAAGATAAAGAGCGACTTGTTGTAGTTCGGATGCTTGATGAGATACTCTCGCTGAGCTCGCTTTCTTTGCTCTGCCGCAGACACCACTTCCCTGGCCATCGTTGTGGGATCCAACTCTTCATAGGCACGAGAGAACTTCAACTTCGAGTAGAACGGATTCGGTTCTCTGCGCATGATAAAACTGGTGGTCTTATTCCAAAGGCGCGAGAGAAAATTATGTTGGCCAGTTCCCTTGCTGGACCCAAAGGGCTGCGTGCTCACTCGCCGCCGGTTCGGGGTTTGTTCCTGTTCTGCTTCTTCTTCATCAAGGAACTCACGCACGACGGCATCTTTCAGGAGCATTTCCAACACTGCAGGACCATGGTCCAGTGGATCTTTGTATCGGTCTTCGCGCCCTAGTCGAAAGATTTTCGACAAAGATAGATTTCCTTGGGCCTGCATGTTGTGGACCCGCTTCTGCTCTAGAAACGCTCTGACTTGGTGCACTCGCTTCTCATCCTCTGAGACGTCAAAACTCTCTTGAATGACAGCAATGAACATGTTCAGGATGATAAAGTTGGCCAAAATAAACCAAAGAATGAGAAACGCGGCTGAAATCCACGCGGTATTGAAACTATCCGTGTATGCCGTTGCATTGTACAAAATAGTCGTCCAGTTCTCACTTGAGAAGATTTGGTACATTCCGAGGAACGAGTTGTAAATATCTGCAAAAGTAATGCCGATCGAGTTGCCGGACGGGTCATTTTCGGGGATCTGGCTTCGAAAAAGCTGGGTTGCAAAGATAGCAACGAGGAAGGTCATCAAGAACACGAAGATGATGAGGTTGATCAGACCGACCGCATTCCGAAAGACCACCTGGATGAGGTTTCTGGTCACTGAAAAAGCCAGCACAACTCGATACACCCGAAGAATCTGGAAGACAGTGAGGACCGTGTACGGCCGGCCGCTGTGTCTGATGGGTGGTATCTGAATGACACAAGTGACGACCACTAGAAACAAATCAAACCAATTGCGGCGCTTCTTGTGAAATGAACGCCAATCCGACGCGAATCGTAGAATGATTTCGACCAGCAAAACAAGAGTAATGACGATTTCCGTGTCACTGATGAAGCGGACTCGATCCGATCCCATCGTAGAGCTTCTCAGCGCCTGCACAACAAGATCGAAGAAGATGACACAAACCCATAACCATTCGGTCTTATCATAGAGCTGTTTGAACGAGGATATCTTCCGCGAAGAAGTCTCTTCCTCCTCCGCAGCATCGATCGTATTGATGGCGAACGCACTGCGCTTGCTCTCCTCTCGAATAACTTGGAAAGAATGTGTGATCACGGCAACCAGCAAGTTGACAAGCCACAAACTCAAAATGACGAGTCCACAAGCAAAGAACAGTGCGGCTGCGAGATAGTCGCTGTCGGTAGTGTAGTACAATAAATCGGTGAAGGTGTTGGAGCTCATGATCACAAAGACCAATTCCAGTGATTGCACAATGTTATCGAAGCTGACAGTCCCGTTGTACGGGTTGTGACCTTCGATGCATACAGAGCCGCGCGGGCAAATGTATCCTTTGGGTTTATAGTTTTGCAATAAGCCTTGAGCATCCATCCAAGGCTTTGCTTCGCCAGTGGTGTTGTCGAGGAATCCACCACAGAATTGCAAGACGTTATATGGGTCATTCAAAGTAAAATTGTTCTGGCCCTCGGGGTCGATCCATTTGCAAGTCCTTCGTAAGCTAGACTTGAAGCTTTGGATGCCAACAACGGCAAAAAGAAGCCAGAAGAAGCCAATGAGGAATGCAACGTGGACAAGTAGAGGGGCTGCTCTCTTGAGACTGCGAAGAATTACCGAGGTACCGTTGGTAAGAAGCAGAAGTCGAAGGATTCGGAGACAACTCAGCATGCGAAAGATGTACAACTGGTGTGTCTTTTCCACACCATCCACGGTGAGCAAGAAAGAGACCCAGTAAGCGACAACTGCCACAAAGTCCAGGCGATTGAAGGAGTGACGAAGAAACGCACGATGAGCGAGCCGAACACGGCGTTTTTGAAGAGGATCATACACCTCCGCCTCGGGGCCATTTATCCCGGTGAAGGTGCGTAAAATCGAGGCCTGCGGTTCCGCTTGAAGTACCGACGCTTTCTTGCCCGTTGTGGACTGTCGATGTGGAGTGATCAGGTTCCGGCCCTTCTCCGCCATTGCGCTGCGTAAGCCGAGAGATCGATTGAGGGTACTGTACTCGACCGGGTTCCAGACAAGTCCCGACACCAGGATCTTGGCGATCATCTCCAGCGTATAGATGACGAAGATGCCGAAGAAAACGTAGTCCAGAAAGTTGCCTCCCCAGTTGTTCTCCTTCTTCTGATTCCACACTGACTGCGAGGATTCAATGGCCAGCAGCACAGTTTGGATTAGTATGAGGCCCAGAATAATGGGTTCCGTGAACGGGTGAACCAGGATATCACATAACCACAAGCGAAGAGGATTCTGCGGTCCCAGAATGCCTAGGGACCTGCCCCTGAACGGATTGTTTCGGTCTCTCCACAACTTCGCCGAGATCCGCCTCCTCTTGCGCGACTGGGGTCCTGTATAGGGTTCATCTTCGAATTCCACTATTTCAGGCAATTCCGGAGGGCCTTCCAGCCGTGCATGTTTGTATGACTCTTCTCGCTCAATCGACTGCTGAATCACTTCCGGCTCATTACTCAGGTTGACAACTCGTGATGATATGGACTTCACCATACTACTTGCTCGTAGCAAAGCGCCGCCGGGAGCGGAGGGGGACAAGGAACGAGACCGGTCCCGGCTTCGATGGTGGCGCCCCGTCCCAGCCTCCAGGTGAGGGAGGTCATCGCCCAGGCGCGTTTCATCGGCGAAATGAACGGATTGCCCACGAGTGACGTTCCGTTGGTGTTGGGTTTCAGAGGCGCCGGAGATGGGCTGCACAAATTGAGGATCCGTCAACCGCGTCCGGGCTTGTTGAGTCTCGGTGGGCGTGATATAGGGTTCGGGTTCGTGAAAATCGTCAGAGTCTAAGGGAACGAAATCAAGATTGGATTCGGAGTCGTCTAGAGGGCGCGATGCTGCTGGAGGGGCTGATAGAGACGGAAATCTTGGTTGGGGGCCATCGAAGCTGAGCCCCACGGACGACATGGCCGTCGCAAAGCCTCCGAGGTCGTCGATGGGGGATGCAACCTCCCCCTCAGGTGAATAGGGAGGCGCTCCCCAGTGGTGTCTGCTGGCGGCAGCCGAGTCGACCGGCGACTCCTCGGCGACGCTCTCATAATTCCTGCGCGATCCACGGCGAAGCATCGAGCGGCGCGAGAAGAGCCTGCTCCCCACGCTCCCTGCGCGGCCCCTGCCCCGGTCATCGGCGGCGACGACCTCTGCTGGTCTGGAAAGATCTTGGAGGGGAATCTGGCTGGCGGGAGGGCGGTTGTCATGGCCGTTCTGGCGATTGGACGCCATCGTCAGGCAGGTTTCAGGGATTTATCGTGTCGACATGGCCTTTGCAAAAGGGAGTGGAGCAGAAAGGCGTCACGTCGTCAGGAACATCGTCAGGCAGTAGCGAATGAACTAACGAATGAACAGGGGGGGGCCAGGATGCTCAGCTGAAGGAGGGTGAACAATCATCATTAACTAATCTCCCCGATGCCCACTAACCAAAGCCGCGTTCCAGTGGGCCTTGGCGCCTCGTATTATTATGTATGCTGGCATGTTACTAGTGGCATGGACAGTCGTATTTTTGAGTTCTACGTCGTCGTATTTTTGATTCCTACTCGAAGCGAGTATTACATTCTACTCACTCGAATATTCACGACGCTTGATTAACACAATAAACACCTGGAAGAGGAGAGTGCCTGGCAGCACCACCTCAGTTAACCGCCGCGTTGCGTTTGGTCGCGGCTGACGAAGCAAGGAGTAGACGATCCACTTTCCAAAAATAGCAGCACATACAGTAGTACATCGTGAGTGAATTGGGGCTTAGTGAATTAGCTACTGCTGTAGGCTACCATCAATCGGTCTCCATCTGACCGGGATCAGAGTCCTTTTGCTTAACATGCTGTCGAACGCCATCCAGAAACGCCTCCACAGCCTCCCCGCCGCCCAAGGGCACTCCGCCTCGGCGCATGAACCCGCCATTAGCCACAGGAATCTCAAGAGCCTCGCTGATACTAGGCAGCCCCCGTCGCGCAGCGCCACCGTCAAGCTCGCCAGACTCTGTATGAACTGCGGCGAACGAAGCACGCGGCGCAGGATGTCTTTCTTTTGGGGGAGGTCGAGGGACAGGAGAGCCGCTTGGGCCAATTCGGGGTCAGTGTCAGCTTCCAAGGCCTCGGCATTGCCCTGGGCCAACAGCAGCAGCGCAGGCGGTAAGAAATTCAAGAGATGATCAGCGGTGGTGGCGTTGGCCGACTCGATGAACGGCAGAGTGGTCGACGGAGGAAGCAGGTCCTGGAGTGTTGTAGATGGTTGTTCGGGGTCCTGGGCCGGCGCACGGCCACCCAAGGACTTCAAAAAGTCATTGACTACCGACGACGGATCGGAGCCCGTAGTCGCGCTGCAGTTCAACACACACGCATCAGCTTCTCTGGGGTCTGAGTAGAGGCCAGTCCGAGAGATGTACCTACGCTCGACCACCGTCGGCACCGCCCTCTCTTGATCCTTGGCCTTCTTCCCGAACGTCACCCCCCGTCGCGTCCGGGCCAGCGCCGCCGCCACCACTGCTCCCGCCACGGTTGTGGGTTGTGTCATGGTCCACGCCCTCCACGTCCTCCATGGTCTCATCGTCATCGCCGCCCGATGGCCGACGGGGCAGGTTTGCAATCTCGTGCTCGACGTCCACCTCTTCACCCTGCAGAAGCACATCGACAATCTCACCGAGCTTCAGATCCCGCGGGCTAAACCAGCTTGGGTCGCCTTGTTCATGCTGCGACCGCGATTGCATCCAGAAGAGATATCGCTGAGAGCTGGAGGAAAATTTGAGAACAAAAATCCGGCCGTTTGTAGCATCCTTGCCGCCGGGTTTGTAGGGCGTGAAGCTCCCATCCGAGGGCACCATCACCAGGTCGAGGTCGGGCTCGTCCAGGGGGGCGCTACGAGGGCGCCAGCAGAAATGTACCAGCTCATCTTCCGAGTAGAGGTAAATATATCCCGGGGTCGGCTTCGGCACCACCGCGGCTGGGGTGGCAGAGGCCTGATGGATAGATGTTAGTAGTGGAACCGACAGCTTCGTCGTCAATGAGAGCAATGGGACCTACATCCAGATCGCAGATACCTGCTTTGAAGGTGATGATGGGGTCTATCGACATGATGGAAAGGGGGTGGAGAAGAACGAATTGTGTTTATTAAGATGTTGAGCAAGGTAAGGTACGTCAGGTGTGTTTGGTTGGGTGAGCAGGTGACTTCCTGCACTAGTGGTGTAACTGAGCCCCCGTATTTATCTGCTGCCTGAGGCCGCAAATGAGTCACCCAAACAGGCTAGCGCGGTTCGGCTACTCTTAGGGCTCATTCCCACAAACCCTGAATTCGCTGATTCTGGGCAGATTCAACTTGCTGCCGCTAGACTTGCTCCCCCCGAGTCCACACACTTCTCCCCAACAACCACCCACCCAACCTACCGACACTCCCACCCCCTTCGTCCCAGCAGCCATCATGTCGGACGCCGTTGGCCAGACGAAGCAGTTTGGAAAGGGCAAGCGGACTGTGCCGCACCCGGCTCAGAAGGCTCAGAAGTGGTACCCCGTGGACGATGAGTCGCAGCCCAAGAAAGTCAGTACTGCCCTGCAGAAAATGGCATGGGCGTGGTTTGATCGTCTGGATGAATGCGATCTATGGCGCTGCTGTCGCTGAGTTGGAGTGTCCCTCCATCTTTGTGTGCGTGTGTGGCGAACGTTGAAATTCAAAATTGAATCCAGTGAGCCTTGGGCCAGTCGCATCATCTACGACGAGAAAGACCATGCCAGATCAGTCTGCAAAGTTATATTTCAATGCCTTGAGTTTCTAACATGTGTGTGCGTTACAGGTTCGCAAGACGCTGCGTCCCACCAAGGTCCGCGAGAGCCTCCAGCCCGGCACCATCCTGATCCTCCTTGCCGGCCGTTTCCGTGGCCGCCGGGTCATCCTCCTCAAGCACCTCGACCAGGGTGTCCTCCTGGTCACCGGCCCCTTCAAGATCAACGGCGTCCCTCTCCGACGTGTGAACGCCCGCTACGTGATCGCCACCTCCAAGCGCGTGGACGTCAGCGGTGTTGACTCCAAGGCCATCGAGAAGATCTCCGCCCCCGAGTACTTCACCAAGGAGAAGAGCAAGGAGAAGAAGACCGAGGAGGCTTTCTTCAAGCAGGGAGAGAAGCCCGAGGTATGTCGATCCATATGCAGTCGCCAACCAAACCCAATGCTAATCTATCTCCGTCCTACAGAAGAAGAAGGTCGCCAGCGCCCGTGCCTCGGACCAGAAGGCCGTCGATCAGGGCATCCTGGCCACCATCAAGAAGGAGGAGTTCCTCAGCAGCTACCTCGCCACCTCGTTCAGCCTCCGGAACGGCGACAAGCCCCACGAGATGAAGTGGTAAGCGTTGTTGCGATGAGGGCGGCCGCGGGCTCGGTAGTAGATTCTTTCCAAACGATGAGCGGCTCGATTTGACAACAAAAATCGGAGGAATGGGCATTACTCGCCGCACAACTAAAAGGAGAGGGAGCGGTTTCATTGAACTATGTGTGTAACTCCATACGGGATCCGTTATTATTCTTGTGCTTGTTCTCTAGGACTTGCGGTTTGATCCGGATAACCGCGCTTCGTTTCCTGGTTGTCATGATTACTCTTTTTCCTTGACGTGTGCGTGTGGCTGGTTTGCCCATCCCCAGCCGTGATGTGAAGAAAGACTTGAAGCACAAAAAAAAAGATTTAAAAATACCTCTTTCCAGCAGGCGGGCTGGAGTTTCTTTGTTATGTTCAGTACGACCTCTCCGATTTTCCAGGTTCAGGTGGCAATCCAAAATATTGGGATCTATAGATCTGTATTCTCTCTATCTGTAAACGCGGTAAACCTGTACAAGTACATGTGTTTAAATACGTACAATTGCGGGGTCTAGAATGTGGAATGTGAAATGTGGATTGCCTTATTGATTGTGCGACACGCCATCCTCGGCTCAGAGATATATTCCGGGGTAGACGTTGAACTATATATATCTGAGAGCACCGCCGCCTATTCTCTCTCTCTCTCTCTCTGCAAACCAAAAACTACATTTAGAACAAGAGAACCCAAGATAAATTCCTTACTCGATTAAATCTTCTCTATTATTCCCGCCTCCGCCGCCGTGAAGGCTGCCCATTCGCCCTCGACGAAATATTGCCCGCCGCACTGTCCTTGACCTTCCGCTTCGAAGCCGCGATCATTTTCCTGATCTTGTCCTCAATCTCATGCTCCTCCATCTCATCCATGAAATCATCCTCAACGGTAGAGTCACCAACCGCAGTCCCGCACACCCAATCCACCACGCCCCACGGCCCGAAGTTACCCTGTGCGTCCTCGAGCAGATGCATATCCGTGCGGCGCGCAATGCCGCCGAGGAAGAAACTCGTCGGCATCACCGTGTATCCAGAGAAAGCAAATGTCTCTTCGAGAGAGATTATCGAGAGGTACATCAGGTAGGTGAGCATGTGGAACCGAAATAGCATGGCGGGAGCGTAGGTGGGGATGAATCTTCCTACGAAATAGGCGAGTGGGTGGTCGTAGTGTGCTGTTAGAGGGAATGGAGCTGGAAGCGCGTGGTACCAGGTCTGGTGGTATCGGGCGAGGATGTTGTTGCGCGAGTGGAGGATGTAGCGGTGGAGGACATAGGTCAAGATCTGGTGAGAAGGTCATTAGTAAGGAAGAAGAGGACCCCTGCAACCAATTCTTACCTCTCGACCCAAAAGTCCTATAGCCAAGTCCTTAACCATCTGCCAGGGCAAAGGTAACTTCATGGACGCCTTCAGCGCACTGCGCAGGCCCAATACCTTGACAAGAAGCGTCTCGATTGCCGCCTGGGCCACAATACTCAAGGTAACATTCAGCAGCGCCCACCCGGCGACCTTGAGTTCCTTCGTCCGGATTTTGCCTCGTTTCTTTCCGCCGGGAAGTCCGGTCTCACCTTGCGCCTTGATAATCACCGCCGCGGAAGGGGTCAGAATGTCAAATAGGAAGAAGGCGAGCGACGGCAGCACGTAGAATAAGAAGCGCACTCCGGCGGTGCCAAACAGTTCCACGCGAAGCGGGGGATTCGAGAGTACCAGCGTCGACCATGTCATGTAGAAGAAGAGGATGTTGAGGCTGGTGGTGTATGACGATAGCGCGGGGACGAGGAAGAGCGAGAGCAGTGGGATGGAGAAGAGGGCGTCCAGCATGATGATGGTATGTTCTGAGCGTGGTGTTGGTACTTGGGTAGTTGTTGCGACTGCAAATCTGGTGTTTTTAGCAGATAATGAGGGCCAGTCGAGTTCTGCGCATGGTTCTTGTAGCTAGGCACGGAAGCTGATTTTCTGGTCGGCCAAGTTAGTTTCAGATCAGCACTACGTCACCAAGTTACCGCCTGCCGCATCCGGGACTATATATGTGGAACGAGGAATGCAATTATTATGTATTGATTTTCGTTCGTAGTGATATCGGAGTAGGAGTACACGAAGGACAGGACCGAGGATGAAAGGCGGCTCCTAGGTAGGGGTATAATAGGGACGCTCGCCAAACAGAACCAGACAGCCAACACGCCCTCATTGCTCAACCAACCCGTCTAGTTGCCATTAGAGAGCCCATTGGTCTTCCCCCATTTGAAAGCTTTGCCTCGAAGATCCGGGATAACCTGCAGGAACACCAGACTGCTCAGCCAGCTCAACAGTGTGTCGCCGACCAGGCTGTTTCGGGGGCTGGGACCAAGGGCAGTGCCCTTCAAGACATGACCAATGAGCATGGTGGTGATGAGATACTCGCCGCGTTCTAGAGCATCGATGGCAATCGTAGCGACCTCGCGGGGGGTCTGCGGTTTGTCCGCCTCCTCGAGCTTTTTCGTCAATTCCGGCTTCAGTTTCTGTTCATTGTCGAATCCAGGGCTAAGGATGCCCATGGGGAAAACGGTGTGAATCTTGACGTCTGCAGCAGGAGCTGCGTTGCGATGTCTCTGGGCGCGGGCTCCATTGTACATCTCGATCTCCTGACTCAGGGTATCGGAAAGAGAGCGTATTGCGGCCTTGGCCGGAGAGTAAGGTCCGTAACCGGCGATGGGAACGAATGCCAGGGTGGAGCAGGTAAAAATGAGATGCCGTTTGGGAAGGCTCATCTGCGCACTTGGGTGGATGGGAGCAAGCCACTTCTTGAGCGTGGCATGGGCTGTATTAGCCGCAGTCCAGTATACGGTGTCCATCTGTTGCCGTTGAGTTTGGATGGGCACGTCGACGAAGAAGCCCGGGGTGCAAAATCCGGCGCAGCACCAGACAACATCGGGGGGCATGCCGTCGTTCCACGCTGTGACCTCTTCAAGGACTCGCTCGCATTCTGCGGCGTCAGTGAGATCGGCGCTGATGAAGTGGAAGCGTTGCTTCGGGTTCGTTGCCGCAGACTGAAAACATGCGTGAGCAACGGGAATTATGCCAGTTAGGGGCAACCGCTTACAGTGATTCCTTCGAGTGCAGCCTGAAGCTTCGAGACGGTACGAGCCACAATGACGACGTTGGCGCCTTTCTCGGCCAGCTGCATTGCGACAGCTCGACCCATGCCATCTGAGCCGCCCGTGATAACCACAGTCTGCAAGAAGCTGTCAGCTCCGCGGATCGCGCAAACTGGAAAGGAATGGCACCTACCCGGTTCTCGACAACGAACTCGTTCTTCGCTTTGTAGCCGAACATCCTGGCGAGTGTATAGACAGTCATGATACAAACGAGTGCTGAAACTCCGAGTTGTGGAGCGGATAGCGACGAGAGTGACGAGATGAAGGGGAGTTGAGACATAAAGAAGGAGAGACAGAAGGAGAAGGGAACCTAAAACACCCTCGATCGCGACTGCCGTGTGTGTGTCTTGGGTGCTGATGCTCCTGTGCTATTTTGGACAGGAACAGCTCAAACCGATTAGGACACGATACCGGTATTTTCGGAACCATTAAAGCGGTATTTACGGTAATCTGATTTCAAACAGTGCAAACTGGACAAACGCCCCCACTAGCGCGCTGTGAAGGCGGTGAAGCCAAAAATTTATTCTATCGGGGCTCAGTTATCACCAAAGGTGAGTAGTACAACCACCAGCAACAATGGGCAAGAAGAGAAAGGCCGGCGGTCGCCCTGCGGCACCGAAGGCTCCAGCCTTGGAGCAGTCCAAGTTCCACATTGAAGAGCGATTCGACGACTCCGAGGATGACTTCCAAGCCGGCCGGGATCACATCCTGCTGGAAGAAGGCCCCGAGGCAAAAAGACGGCGGAGAGTCGCAGAGGAAGGTATGTGACTCAATAAGTGGCACTGATGATTGACTCTAACCAATCATGACAGAGGAGTTGCTCCAGCCCTCGGACGAGGAAATCTTAGGCTACGACGAGGACGAGGACGAAGACGATCTTGAGAACGCCGAGGAATATGAGGATGACGAAGATGAGATGGGCAAGCCCCGACGGGATGCCGAATCAGATGAGGAGGAGGACGGGATTGCGGCTTGGGGCTCGTCGAAAAAGGACCTTTACAACGCAGATCAGATCGAGACCGAGATCGATGCGCTGGAGGAAGAGCAGGAGGCCAAGCGGTTACAGCAGAAACACTTGGAGGCCATGACCGAAGCCGACTTTGGCTTCGATGAATCCGAATGGATGGATACTGGCAAAGGGCCTGACGAGGAGGCCGAGGAGGCCGAAGCAGTCACTGAGGTGCTGCCTCAGCTGCAAATCACAGATGACATGGGGAAGAAGGAGAAGTTGAAAATCCTGAACTCGCGGTACCCCGAATTGGAGCCCTTGGCGAAGGATTTTACCCAACTTCAATCTGTCTACCGGTCTCTGCAAAAGGCTGCTTCCAAGGCCGCAGCAGCGGAACCCGAGTCTACTGAGGAGCCCCAGCCAGCGCCGGTGGCTGTGGTGAAACTGCGTGCTTTGTCTGCATACCTGGGCACGATTAGCATGTACTTTATGCTCCTTGCATCTCCAGTCCCAGACACGACCAGCGAGCATGTTCCGATGTCGCCCGCTGAGCTACGGGAGCATCCCGTGATGCGCTCTCTTGTTCAATTCCGGAAGCTCTGGGAGTCTGTCAAGGATTTCGAAATCCCCGAGGTTTCCAAGACGCAAATCACGAAGAAGCTCTCGAAGGAGGTCCAACCAGCCGTCAAACTTGAACAGAAGAAGACCAAGGAAACGAAGGAGTCCAAGCAGCAGAAGAAGCTGAGCAAGGCACAGCGGGCTGCCGAGGCAGCACAGGTGGAGGCCGAAGCGCGCCGCGCCGAGCGTCTGCGTGAAACCGAAGCCGGCCTGGCCGATCTCTCGAATCTGGTTACCGAGCCTACACGGAAACGCAAGACCCAGAAGACGAAGACAACAGCTAAGGGCGAGGACGATTCTGACTTTGGCGACGAAGATGCCCTGACGACCCGGGAGGCAGAGGAGAAGGCGAAGCAGAAGCGCTCGCTCCGCTTCTACACCTCCCAGCTAGCCCAGAAGGCCAACAAGCGGCATGCCGCCGGCCTGGATGCAGGCGGTGACGCAGATATTCCGCACCGCGAGCGCCTGAAGGACCGACAGGCACGCCTGATCGCCGACGCCGTGAAACGCGGCCGCCAACGGCCTGACGTCGGCGAAGAGCTCGGCGGCGATAGCGACGAGGAAGACCACCGCATGGCCAAGGAACTCCGCCATGGTGACAACCAGTCCGGCGCCCACGATGACGAATACTACGATATGGTTTCCGCGCGGACAAATCAGCGCAAGGACGACAAGAAGGCCCGCGCAGACGCCTATGCTGCTGCTGCCCGCGAGGGCGGACATGTCGAGGTGCAAGAGTCGGTTGGGCCGGATGGCAAACGCGCTATTACGTACCAAATCGAGAAGAACAAGGGTCTCGCGCCGCGGCGGAAGAAGGACGTGCGCAACCCTCGTGTCAAGAAGCGGAAGAAGTACGATGAGAAGAAGAAGAAGTTGGGCAGCATTCGCCAGATCTATAAGGGTGGTGAGGGCCGTGGTGGCTATGGTGGTGAACTGACGGGTATCAAGAAGAACTTGGTCAAGAGTGTCAAGCTGTGAGAGTCACTGGGCATGTGTTTCTTCTGGCGTCTATTTGGTTCCCCTTGCAGATTCAGGCGTTTCTGTCTGTATATAAAATCAATTCTACGTTCTAGAGCATAACCAGATGGGCTCTCTACTGTATTCTGTATCACAACCCCGCGAATCATTCAAGGCACGGTATGGATAATTCATTCTAGGAACATGTATACATGGTATCACAAAACGCAAACCCAATGAACAACAACCGGAAAATGCAGCATTTTCAGTTTATTCTGGGTATCTCTTAGCGCTCGATCTACTCGCAAGGGCAAAAAAACAAACCTTTCTGAACTATCTCTCGAACCGGGAAGATAGGCAACCCCTCCGCAAACTGCGGGCCAGGCATTTTCACCATCTGGATCTTAGTCTTGGGTTTCGAACCCGTGCTGCAATCGTCCTCAGTCAGAACACAACTAAATAGATGATCCATCTATATATGGTAGGCAATTCACCTCGACAAAGACGTAGGAATCGAAACCTCCGAAACCTTTCTCCCGTGCCTATTCCAGCGTGGAACAAAATTCATATTCTGCGATGCTCTCCGGAATTTATCCCATCGATCCCCGCCTCCGCTGTTCCTGCTGCTTGCGATGCTGGGCAGACCGTTTGGATTGGTCGTGGTGGTGACATTGGATTCCAAGTCCGATATGGGGATGGGTGCTGCATCAGATCTGCGGCGTGAAAAAGAGGGAGATGTCTCCGAGACACTAGCAACATCCGATGAAGATAATTGCGAGGATAATCTTGTGCCGGGCGAACGAAGAGATGGCATATTTTCTCCCAGAGAGACGTCGGATGCAGACAATTGGCGGAAGTATCGGGGCAATGTCGTCGGACGCTCGCCGTCTTCGGATTGAGCGGGTGAGCGGCGAAAGTACCGAGTCAATTTAACCGGACGCTCGCTGTCTTCGGATGGAGCGATTGACTCGGTTTCTGTGGTGGAGGAGGGGTGGCGCTCGACGAAGGATCTACTGGCTCCTAATGGCGGCGGATTTCCGAGGTTCAGGTCGTTGATCACGTACTTAGGTGTGTCGTCGCCGGCGAATAGTTCTTCTGCCTTTTCTGTTGCCAGATTCGACACTCTCAGAGGAGGTACTTCATCATCCGGGATTGGTTTCTGGGCACCTTCATTGGTTGAAGTGATGGGTTCCCGTGAGCTCAGCAGCCTTGGGATGAGCTTGGGGGATTTTGTAAAACTCCACTGGCTGCCTGTTGGAGATGGTGGTGGTGGCTCTTGCTGTGCAGCTTCTACCCAGACATGGGTTAAGGAGTCTGCGGCGGTTGGGCGATTAGAGGGCTTTGCCGTCATTACAGACTCCAAGAATAATGTGGCATCCGGGCTGGAACCGACTAGAATCAATGAATTCAAAGGAAGGTTTGCTTCTCCATTGTAGTAGTCGAGAAGTTGATTGCTCAGAGAGAATGGTAGCCTCGCTGTCAGCATATAATAGGCAATCACACCCAAGGCCCAGATATCGACTTCTGGAGTCGGATCCAAGACCGGCGCATCATTTCCTTGCTGCTGCTTCCACGCTTGCTCATAGACCTCCGGAGCAGAGAAGGCTGGAGTGCCGTTGAAAGTTTGCAGTCCAGTAAATCCCTCCATCACGCGCTTGCTGAGACCGAAGTCACCGATTTTGACCCACCAATCCGGACCCTGGGACAGGACGAAGATATTCTGATTGCAGAAGTCAGTCAGAACCATACTGGCATGCAAGTAGGCATAAATAACTCACTTGAGGCTTGAGGTCATGGTGTGCAAACCCACTGCTGTGCATGAAATCCAGACCCTCCAGAAGCTGGAAAGTAATCTGCTGAGCTTCTTTCTCCGGCAAAGGCTGGGTTATGTACTTCTGCAGATCACCATTCGGAAGATACTCCATGGTAATACACACAGCATCTGGGCTTTCAAACCACCCGGAGGATTTCACGAAGCATCCATCAAACTGGTCCGAATATCAGCAACCAACCCAAATTCCAGTAGATCCTCTTGAATATTCATACTTTCTGCTGAGAGAACTTGGCAATAGCCTCCAGCTCGCGACTATAATCCATCACCTTTGCGCCAGGCCCCATCTTCCGCACCTCCTTCACAGCGCGGAGCTTGTTCTCCTGGATTTCTGACATGCATTCCTCCAGCCATACTGTGCCGAAGATGCCGATCCCTAGATATCTCTTCTTCTTCCATACTTCTTTGCGCTCTCTGCGCCTCGCTCTCCGACCAGCCACCGAAGCTGACTCTAAAAATGTGTGTGTTGTGTGCTCAGCATCGATTTTGGTGGACAGCTTCGTGTCCCTGACGAGCTCTGGGATTTGGGACATGTGGGGCTTTGTGAAGCCCCGAAGCTTTCAAAGAAATTTGGGGGTGTGGGACCGGGAGTACGCGTGGGCAACGATGTAAACAACCATTGACTGCTATGTATGGAGAGGAAGATATAAGTGAAGAAAGATACTTATCCACGCAGACGCATAGAGAACTCATTCCGGGAGCCGCATGGCATGGTACAGGCGCGTGGGCTGCATGTGCGCTTTTGGCCCCAATGTGGAATTTCCAGGACAGATTTAGTAGGGCAATGGCGACTCAGCGCTACTATTAGCGGCCTATAAGGCTATCCGAGGAGAGTAACAGGAAGTGATGATCATGAAAATATTCGGAAAACACGTAGCCCCATGCATGGATAGCGCAACTGAAAAAGTAACCACTGCCTACAATGAACCCCTCATTGCCCAAGCTCCGAGAATAGTCCCTGCAAGGCCTCCCTCGTGCCGCCGTCTAAGCCATCATCGTAGCCTGAGAGATTCATCCCCAGGAAACTTCTGGTTAGTGCATCCTGCCAAGAAGTCTAAAGTCAGCCGTGGCTTGCCTTAAACGCATCCATCAAAACCTACAGCTTCCTTGAGAGCCTGCGTCTCTTCGGGAGATAGAACTGCACACGCGGCAACAAGGTTCTCTCCACGAGATGACAGGGATGCGATCTCCGTGGCGCGGGAGATGATCGCAGGATCGATTCCGTTGATGGCCGCGCAACTGAAGTACAGCCCAATGTTAGCCACAAACGGCCTTCAGGCCAAGGGAGGAAGTAGGTTATACATGGTTCCGAAACTCTTGTTGCTACGGCCAGGTCGGAAACTGGGCTTTCTTTAATAATTTCTTCACTCGAGAATTGAGTTCAGACATACTTATAAAGATAGGTGATTTGGTCTTCCACTTCCTTCGAGTCTTCGCAGACCCGAACCTCCATGTGCCCGAGTTGCAATCGGGGGTGCGATGACAAGAAGTTGTTTTCAAAGATCTCATGAAAATGCGTCGCGGCGATCACCTTTGGAGGATCATCCAGATTCAAGAGGTGTTGGAGGATCCCGCATGCCAGACCGATGCCATCTATCATTGCGATCAACTTGATTCAAGAAGATCAGGGGAAATCACGAACCACACTCATTTGTGCCCTTGCCGAATTCATCGATGATCACCAAACTTTGGCTTGTAACCTGCTTCAGACTGAGTGAGATCTGCTGCAAGTCGTTCATGAACGTGCTCTGGATCTGGGAGGGGATCAGCTTAGGCAGCCCGTCGTAGTGATGAATTTGTCGTACATTGGAGACGCTGTCTTGGGTGTTGATCTTGGTCAAGATTTTATCGGTGATGCCCAGCTCTGCGCTGTCCGCAGGAACGAAGCTGTTGCTCATTAGTTCTCTTTTCACGGATTACAGATTAATACGGAATCGACCGACCTGCCAATCTGCGCGAGGTAGACAATCAAGGCAACCTAACCGAACTTAGCCTATAATTGTGTGTTGTATGGGAGAAAAATCCTGACCTGTTTCATATAGACGCTCTTCCCCGAGTAATTTGGCCCAGTCAACAACAGCATGCTTTGAGTCTGGTCAGTGAACAAAGAGGCTGCAGGTTCTGCATTACTTATACTTCCACCCATCAGATACGTATTGTTTGGAACATAAGAAGAAACGGTCAGTTCTTGGAGAACATGACTGGAGAACATTAGACGCTGCCAAAAATGGCCCGAATACAAGCTTACCGGCCACCCTTGATTTTGATGATGTTGTGTTGGACCATTCGGGGCCGCACCAGCTTGTAGAAGCTGGCCGCGTGTGTGAGAGCAAGAAGGCTGCAAGGGAAAGATGAGTATAATGATCTTTCTGAAGTTCAGTCTGGAAAAAGTTACCAGTCAATCTCTCCGCAGATATCTGACGCATCCACGAGTACATTTTCATACTGCAGGACCCCTTGAGCTAGGTCGTACACGATCTCAATCTCCTTTTCTAGAACAGGAATCAGATACTGCCGGCAAAAATAAGTAGATCATTCTTACCACATATGAGACCGTAAATATCACCCAGCTTCTCATCCAGCTCTTTCATGCGGAAATCTTTGAAATATGCCCTATTCTCCGTGATGAACATGAGCTCCCAGTCCTCACCGGAGCCATTGTATGTCGCTTCACCCCGTTTATTCAGCGGGATTGAGATATTGAAACCCAGCTGGGGAAAGTAGATCACATTGATGTCGATTTCCAGATTCTCGGGGATCGTGTTGGCAACGTCTATAGCGACATGCTTCAACAGACTGCTCAGACCGTCGTATCTGTCCTTCATCCTATCGAGGTTTCTGTCAAGGCCCTGCTTGACCACTGTTCTGCTTTGCTCTTCTGAGCTGTCGATATCCACCTACGCTTGTCAGCAGTGTCTCCTGATATGATAAACGACTCACAATCTCCTGGATCATGCGTCCCACTCTATATAGCTGAGCTGCTTCAAAGACCCGAAGAGCCTGGAGCATATGAGAACCTGAACCATGTAGGGTTAATAGCAAGCGCTCACCTTCGTCCGCAGAGGCAACATCTCAGCCCCGGAGGTCTCCCGCAAAGCATCGTGGATGTCAATAGAAAAGAAAGCAAACTGAGTCGCCACATCAGCATATATCCCACCTCGTCTCCACCCAAACTTTACGAACCGCTAGTAAACTCGCCCAGACCGTAGTCTTGAACCCGGTAATCTTTCCACTTCCCGTACTGACCCCTTTGCGAAGGTTGATCAGCACGGGCCTAAGATTCTTGATATGCTTCAAAGCCTTGGTCATCTTCTCCAGTGGAGCCAGGTTATCCGGTCGTGAAAGAACTGCAATGAAATCATGCCGCTCGTAAATTGTAGTCAGATTCACGCTTGGGCAGAAGAACATCCGTCTCAGCCTAGCTCTACCCTGAGGCGTTCCTGCAAAGCGGTGAAATAGCCCATAGATAGAGAGACCTTCCTTTCCCGAGGATGACTTCTTTCCCGGGCCTTGGCTGAACATGTTTGGATTTGACTCGGATTGTACGATCTGGAGTGACAGGAATGTGTTCCCACTGATCCACCTATTTATCGTCTTATTATTAGCAGGAGCTTTTGACACGGATTGTTACTGCTCACATAGAGTCGTGGAGGCTAAACATCTCCAAAGAGTGCACCCGGAAGCCAGAGCTACCTTTGTCCCCTAGATCCCGCAGAGTTGGCTGCGTAGCCCTCCGTCGTTGCAAATACGTGAGAATTGCACCGGCACAGCCAATGGTCACCTGGTTCTCCATGTCAACAGAGCTGGAGATATGCAGCAACCTTCCCTCTTGAAGGGTAAATCCCATGTCTTCAGCATTCACTTCGTCGGGTGCTGCAATACCGTCATGAGGCACAAAGAAGCGAAAGCGTTCCTCATGGGTCGAGGACAGGTCGAGTGATACCAGTTTGCTCTGCGCATTGGCATGGTTAAACTCAGAGGTTGGGCGAACATCTACCTGGTAAGGAAGGTAGGAAGACGATTCTAAGAGGTAGAAGAGTCAGGTTGGAGCATCTAAACAGGAGGTATGTATACCATTCTCCTGCGCAAGATTTTGTCTCTGGTCCTGTGCATCCAGAAGATCGACTCGAGGCGGCGTCAAGATGATCGTTGGCCGAACCTGGAGAAGCACTGGTGGGTGATATTAGCCATTGCGGTGAATCCATGTATATATAGAGGAACAGACAAGCCTCAATGGTTTCCATCCCACCCAACCGGGTGTCGCCCAGCAGGTATATTGTCTCTTCTTCGGTGGAGTAGTACGAGCATCCAACAGTGCCGTAGTCCTTCATATCAATTGCAGCGACGACATGATCCACTCCATCCTCAGAGGGTCTCCCCGATGCATCAAGTTCGGATACCATCTCAGTGGGAAACGGGGTTCGCAATTGAGCCGTAGTAGGGAGGGAGTTGTGTGTGTTCTTGAGTCCACGGCTGGATGAGAAGCTTTCAATGGCATGGCGTGGATTGAGAGTACGAGGTGTGATGGGAGCATGAACAGCAGCAGGTCTATTCCTTTTGAGAGACGAAGCCATGGTGTCTGCAATTGAGGAGTGGGAGTGTTTGCGTGGGTGGATGAGGGAGAAAGTTATACAGTGGCGGACGGCCTGCTGGTACGTGCTTGCTCTCCTGCCTGCCCGATATGTTCGAGTCCACCTTGTTTACTCTTCTTCTTCCTCTTTCCTTCTCTCTTTCCTCTCTTTTGTCTTCCCCCACAACAAAGCGTTCACGCTCTATCTTTGACTCATACGTCCACATCCCACCCTCGAAGCTACTCTATTCTACCCTTCTCGTGTCGACACCTGACAACTTCATCACCATGACTGCCACAGTCGACAAAGCCAAGAAACTTCTTGTCTCCAACGGCGCTCAGTCGTTGAAGAAGACCTCCTCCTCCACCAAGGACAAGCGTAAGCACACCATTCCACACATTCTCCCAGCCCTACATGTTATCTGACCATATCTCAAACCTACTATAGAGGTGGATGACCTCAGACGCAAGGCCGCCAAGAAGGAACAGCAACGGACCAAGAAAGCGAAGAAGGAGGCCCGTGCCAAAGTCACCGCGGACTTGAAGGACTGCATCAAGGAACTGAAGTCGGCTTGCGACGAGCTGAACTTCCGCAAGGATCTGCTGATTGAGTCTGTTTCCAAGACCCTTGACATGGCCCTGGCTACCATGCGCGAGATCGAAAAGTTTGAGGAGAAGTATGGCGAGAAGTAAACAGATTATTTTGTTATCATGTGTCGTTAACTCGGGTGACCCTGGTTTTTCATTGTGCCAATGGATTTAGTTCGGATATGCGGTAGGGAAGGACCTTGTGTTATGGCCATATTACAATATCAAAGTTGAATGTGATCTCATTATTTTACCAAGATGGAAGAGCAGTAATATACAAGTTCGTAGATGAGTGAAGATCCAAATATCGTACAAAAGAAGGAAACACCGTCGTATATGCCACCAAAAAACGCCATTCTTCAAAAAACCCATATTACTCCTCGGAGGAGACGACCAGGCCAGACTTGTCGTCATTCAGAGACACCCGGACAGTTTGACCAGACGTGACTTCGCCACGAATGATCTTGTCTGCCAGGCGATTGCCAATCTCCTTGGCAATCAGACGGTTCAGCGGACGAGCGCCGAACTTGGGATCATAACCCCTCTCGCACAGCCAGTCTTTGATCTCGTCGTCCACTTGCAAGATCATACGGCGATCATCCAGTCTCGACTGCAGCTCCTTGATTCTGATGTCGACGATATCTCGGAGAGCTTCACGCGATAGTCGCTTGAAGATGATGAATTCGTCGATGCGGTTCAGGAATTCAGGCGGGTATGAGTTCTGCACAACATCCATGACGGCCTTCTTGATGTTCGGCGAGAGTTCCGAGTCGCCGTAATCCTTATACGAGTGCAGGGGATCAGCCCCAACCAGAATGTCGGCACCAAGGTTGGAGGTCAGCACGATCAGCGTGTTTCTGAAATCAACTTTGTGGCCCTGGGAATCTGTGAGGAAACCCTCGTCGAGGACCTGTAGCAGCAAGGCCGAGATGTCACGGTGGGCTTTCTCGAACTCGTCAAACAGCAGAACTGCGTATGGCTTCCGTCGGACAGCCTCGGTCAGTTGGCCCGCGTCGTCGTACCCGACATACCCGGCTGGAGAGCCAATCAGACGGCTGATGGTGTGTTTCTCTTGGAACTCGCTCATGTCGAACCGCACCACGGCGGTTTCAGTGGAGAAGAGGAACTCGGCCATCTTCTTGCAAAGTTCCGTCTTGCCGACACCGGTTGGTCCAAGGAACATGAATGAGGCGAGTGGACGATTTTCACCACTGAGGCCTGCGCGTTGCATCCGTACTGCATTGGCAACGGCGGAGAGAGCTTCGTCTTGCCCACGCACCGATTTACGGAGGGTATCTTCCATCCGGATCAATTTCTCAACCTCTCCAGCCATGAGCTTGGTGACCGGGATGCCGGTTGTTCGCGACACGACTTGGCCAATGTCCTCAGCAGTGACGCTGTCGTGAATCAAAGTCTGCTTTCCTGATTCGTTCTCGGCGCCGTCTTTCGGTAATTTGCCCTCGAGCTCAGGGATTTTCGAGTATCTCAGCTCTCCAGCTTTGGCAAAGTTCCCTTCGCGCTGGGCTTGGTCAAGCTCAAATCGGGCCCGTTCCAGCTCCTCTTTGGTTTGCTTGATGGAGTCGATCTCCGCCTTTTCCTTTTCCCAAATTTCATTCAACTTTCCGGTCTCGTCCTGTTTGGCTTTCAAGTCTTCTTGGAGTTTCTCGCGGCGCTCGCGGCTGCTGACATCCGTTTCCTTGCGAAGCGATTCCAGCTCGATTTGGATGGTGGTGATGTCGCGCTCGAGTTCCCGAATGGCATCAGGTTTCGATTCTTGCTGCAAGCGGAGTGCCGATGCGGCCTCGTCGACGAGATCAATGGCTTTGTCGGGAAGGAATCGGTCGGTGATGTAGCGGTTGCTGTAGGTGGCTGCGGCCACCAGTGCGCCATCCGTAATCCGGACACCATGATGCACTTCGTACTTGTTCTTGATACCACGCAAGATGGAGATTGTCGAGGCGACTGACGGCTCGGCCACCTGGATAGGCTGGAAACGTCGGGCGAGGGCGGCATCTTTTTCGATCAAGCGGTATTCGGTGAGGGTGGTGGCACCGCAGCACTGAAGTTCTCCTCGGGACAGCGCAGGCTTGAGCAAGTTGCTTGCATCGATGCTGCCCTCGGCTTTTCCCAATCCAAGCAAGGTGTGCAGCTCATCAACGAAGAGGATCACGCCACCTTGGGCGTCCTCCACTTCCTTGAGCACTTTCTTCAAGCGCTCTTCAAAATCACCTCGGAACTTGGCCCCTGCAATCAGAGATCCCAAGTCCAGAGAGATAACGCGCTTGTTCTTGATGCTCTCCGGTACGTCCCCTTGGACAATCCGTTGGGCCAAACCATCCATCACGGCCGTCTTACCCGTACCGGCCGCACCGATAAGGACAGGGTTGTTCTTTGTTCGTCGCGATAGCACCTGGATCGTGCGATGGATTTCAGCGTCTCGTCCGATCACCGGGTCCAACTTTCCCGCTCTCGCCTTCTCCGTCAAGTCTACGCCATACTGTTCTAGCGCGGGCTTCTCGGGCTCTCCGCTCATGTCCATCCGATGGGTACCGCCTGGGGGATGGGGGCGCCCACTCGCATAATGGCGCACTGAGGGAACGGAGTTGAGCCTGGGTGCTGGTAGGATAAGTGACGGAGGGGGGTGACGAGAGAAGAGCGCGGAGCTGGGGCAAGTCGGCTGGACAGAGCTAGGTTGCGGGTTCGCAAGAGCCGGCTGCGAGTGGGGAGAGACAGTCTGGCCGCCATGATGACCACTGGTGCTGGTCAATCCGAGACTGCCATCACTTTATATATTCGGGAAGTAGTAGATTCATGACGCTTCTCGAAAGCTCCACCGCAGCTCCACGCCGCCCAAGCTCTCTCCCCGGCAGCCGCATTAACTATTGTTCCGGGACTCCATCGTGGGGCACTGGCCACACGGGAAAAATCTCTTTTCTCTGTTTTCCTTTTCTCTTCCCCTCCATCCCCTTCAATCCCACCAACTCGTATTCCACCCCCCCGTCACAATGGGTTTCACTGATTTCGTTTCCGATGCCGGCCTGGCTCGTATGTTTTCCCTCCGTGCTTGGGTTCGAGAATAGCTGACTGACTCTGTCCCGTAGTGGCCAACAACTACCTGTCCACTCGGAGCTACGTCGTTGGGTAAGAAGACCCTTTACGCCCAACCCCCCCTCTCCCCTTTGATGATGAGAACAAATTGGTCCGTGTTTAAGAGGCGGATTAAGACCCCGCTGCATGACTACATCCAATTGCGAGAAATCGCGTCTCTGACTGGTGCTTTCTGTCGATTTATTTCACATGACCGCAAACGTGAAAGACCACGACTGACTGGTCTCTAGTCACGCTCCGTCGCAGGCCGATGTTGTGACCTTCAAGGCCTTCAGCTCCGCCCCCGACGCGGCCAAGTACCCCCACGTTGCCCGCTGGCACAAGCACATCGCCTCGTACGAGAGCGAATTCGCCACCCTCCCCGGTGACCCATCCCAGGCCTTCACTGCCTACGGCCCCGAGTCGACCGAGTTGCCCGTCAACCCCAAGGACAAGCCCTCGGCCGATGACTCTGACGAGGAGGACCTCTTCGGCAGCGACTCCGAGGAGGAGGACGACGCTCACAAGGCCGAGCGTGAGAAGAACCTGGCTGAGTACCGCAAGAAGAAGGAGGGCAAGACCAAGCCCGCCGCCAAGTCGATCGTCACTCTCGAGGTGAAGCCCTGGGGTATGTTTTCCTGGAAAATTCGATGAAACGTAATACTAACAGATGGCAGATGACGAGACCAACATGCAGGAGCTGGAGGCCAACGTCCGTGCCATCGAGATGGATGGTCTCGTTTGGGGTGCCTCCAAGTTGGTTGCCGTCGGCTTCGGTATCAAGAAGCTGCAGATCAACCTGGTTATTGAGGACGAGAAGGTGTCTCTGGACGAACTGCAGCAGCAGATTGAGGAGGATGAGGACCACGTCCAGTCCACCGACGTTGCTGCCATGCAGAAGCTGTGATTGGAGACGTGGAATGAAGGAGATGGTATTTATGTTGATGTGTTAAGGAAACCCACAGTTACGAACTAGTTAGAAACGGACCGATCCACGGCCGCTTTGATGAAAAATCAATCACGAACAAACCCAACACTATATTCCGTCGTTGTAGTAGTAATCATATCTGGAGACGGACTCGGTAAACAATGGTCTGCTAGCAGTCTACACGGGTAGCCTTGCCTTTACTATATATCACGTGACCTAGAAAAGGTCGTTTAGTCAGCTTATACATCCTCAGAGAGTCACGGGATCTGTGGTGCCTAAGTCAGCGTCCATGCTATCACCAACTTTCCTCATTTGACCTCATTTAACACACGATCAACCCTAGCCAATTTTCTGAAGTCCAACGGTTCTTTATCTTCTTTCTCCTTCTTTCCGAAGCTTGCCACATCATCAATTGCGTCCTTCTCAAACCAACCAACCCGTCCCACTCACCACGGACCACGCCTCCGTGTCCAACCCCCCCAAACACTGCGAACATGAGCTTCCTCTCCCGACTAGTCTCATTCTTCGGCCTAGTGCTGCTCGCTCACGCGTATGTAACCCATTATCCACAGAGAATGGCCACAATTGTTCTACAACTCCTCCCAAAAATATTCCCTACTGACACCTCAATCAGCGGCTACTCCGCCCACGAACACACCGTCCTCTCCAGCAACATCCGCGCCTCCGCTTCCGTCTCCACCCTGCCACAGGATATCATCGTCGAAACGCTACTCGCGGTGCTTGTCGTCTCCGCGGGACTTGTTCTGGGCGCGGAGAAGTTGAAGCCAATTAGTTGGCGCGACTGGGCGGGGGAGATTGAGCGGGAGGGCGGTGCGCGGAACCCGTATATGGGACTGGAGGAGCGGTATGGATTTTGGGATATTCGGGTGAGTCTCCCTTTCCCCTTTTGCAACAAAAGGCTACGGTTGTGCTGACGATATCGGGGTGGCAGGCTAAGCGCAAGGAATTTGCGGATTGGATGCGGGGACAGGACGTCTTGACCAAGCAATAATTTCTTTCCATGATGTAGTATTGTGTACTTCACTTTATTATGTTTAGGAGAACTGACCCACCTTTGTATTATTTACGTCTAAACAAAATGGCAAGATTTAAGACAATAAAGGACTTTGGAAGGCCCAGGCTTGGCGGATAACGGGCTGGATAACTTGATTATGCTACGTATAAAGGTAAGCTATATGCTACAGGAAGAAACCAAAAATAACAGGATGGCAATGTCGCTAGAGGGATCCATAACAAACACACATTCCCTTTCAAAGTCGAAGCCTTCGTTGATCATGGTAGAGTAATCTCTGGTATGGGATTCTTTGGAGAATGTCATATTGGCAATGCCTCTACAGAAATTCAAGAGAGTGTCAGCAATGGAGAAGTCGATATAGACATCACACAGCCTCATGAAGCTTACCTAGCCAGTGTAATTGCCCTAGTACAGAACCGATCCAACGGAGCCCGCGAAATCATCGATATCCGTGTATTGGGTGCACTTCCACGTCGGTTTCAACTCTACCCGTTCTGGGCCAGTGCAGTTGACCCGCATATAAGCCCACATTATCCCTTGTGTATAGGTCCCCGATGTGAAGAGGATGGGCACGGATAAATCTCCGAGGAAGTTTTGGCAGATTGTGAGACCATCATTGTCATCTCCTCAGTCGTTATCATCATAGTCTGCGCTGCAGCCTGTTTGAGTGTATCCACTGATCACCTAACTAGCAGATGCAGCGGTGGCAAGGACCAGAAACATAGGTAGCTGGAAGCGCATGATGATGGTGGGCAGGGGCAGCAAGTGAAGTATACGACTAACTTGAACAAAGCAGAGAGTGGCGAAAGATACGAGCCGATGAGCCTTTCTTGTGTACTATTGCTTTCAGAATCAGTCAGGATCGCAGTCTCAAACACGCCATGCTTGGTATAGACGTACAATAATAGCATATATGGCCGTCTTATTTCTCTTGGCATAGAGCGTTAATAGGCGCCAGGAACAGTCATGAAAAGGGCCCAAAACTTGGTTTTAGTTGTGAGTTAATCCTCCTGGGGCCAAAAGTCTAATTGGGAAACTACAAGAAGAATTTATTCGAGCGGGATTCTGGGGGAAACAACACTTATGTGTCCATATTCGGGTGTGGTGATGAGTCGTGTTTATTAAGAGCTCAGCATGTCAGGCAGAGTAACAATTGGATCTCAAAACCTAATTTTTAGCAGGTCATACAATTTTGTAAATATTCATTAGAATTTGAGAGGTCTGTGTACATAATCTTGGCAGGAATAGCAACATAATAGTATGAGGACTCAAAAATCATCCTGATCTGCTCTCCAAGTACGTTTCTAACCCTACTTTTGCTTTCTTTGGTCCATATCCTTCTTGAACCCCATAGGCGCCAGGATCCTTGTCGTAGCCGTTCCTCTTTTCATGCTCTAGTATGGCCTCTTTCCCCTTCAGATAGACACTATCCATGCTTTCGGCATCAAGTCCCTTGGCCTCCGCATCTTTGATCATTCGCTGAAGCTCTTCTGTGATTCGAGCGCGCTTAAAGTACGCAGTACGGGGATAATGTGTAAGCCGTGGACGAGCTGGCCGATACTCTGGAATCGAGGTCCGGTTGAGCGCACGAAGTATGACTTGCTCGCACAATGTCTTGTTTTGTGTTAGAAGCGTTAATTTTTGTTCGGATAAAAATTGGGATAGCTCTGTCAAGTTTTCAACCTACATAGTCTCCATCTTCACGGTTCAGGTTGAAGGGCTCGATGAGATTAACGTGAGGGTTGGTAATAACTCGAGCGTAGTGGAGGTGGTTTTGCCCGTTTGTATGTGGCAACAAGCCATGGGTGATGAAGACATCGCCTGCCTTTGCGACAATCGATGAGAACTTCTTGCAATACGGAACATGATTGTAGAGATTGTTCTCAAACGGTTCGTCAAGGCCTTCTGGATGGTCGTAAAGGTACTGGCAGATGCCTGAATGAAACCAAGCAAACTGTCAGCCAGTCCAATATATAATAAGAATGCTTTTCTTCGTACCTTTGATCCCGTCTTCGGCCATAAGTGTTCCGCCACCCCTCTCCGGAATATCAGTGAAACAGTGTATGATAGTCAAAGCATTACCACTGCTGTCGAGGAATTGTCGGTACCAATCATTGTCATGGTGCCATCCTGTCGCTTCATTCGGCGGGATCTCGTGTGTCTTCCAGTATTCATTTCCAAAATTGATAATAAACTGATCGCCGTAGTACCGCTCACGTATCGGGTCGATCTTTTCCTCGCCGCCCACGATTTCAATCATCTTGTTCCAGGCTTCGGGACAAAACTCGGAAGTGGGAACTTCGCGATGGCGAGGTAGCTTGATATACTCTTTCTCCCAGGTTGACTTGTCCTCAGGGTTGTAGCCTAGACGTACCCAAATATTCGCCATCCACTGCTCAATATACTTGGGTTTGATGGCATTGGATACCTTCAGCCACCCGTGCTCGACAAAGTGAGCTCGCTCCTCTGGAGTTAGGAATTTGTATTCACGCGGCATGTTGCTACCCCGGTGATGTCAAAACTAGCTTCTTGACGAAAGCTTGGGTGGCGTCGGTAATGCGGTTAGACGCATTCGGTATCGGTATGACAGTGGTTTGGTGTTAAGAGGTCTTGTAAAGACTCTAGCCGAGGTACCGCTTTTACCAGGCACAAGGGTTGATGTTTTGTAGATGAGGGCTCACTCCGTAATATACAGAAAACAGCTTGAGTAGCTACAATTGATTGGCACCAGTGACTCTTTCGTTTGGTGCGGGATACCCCCCGCTGCTATCCCGTTATTGCTTTGCTCCCGTGACTCTATCGTTTGGCGCGGGATGCCCCTATCCCGCTCTTGCTTTGCTCCAGTGCTAACGTCGGCGCCGTGTGCCCTCGTGCGGATCATTAAAAGTCTGGGGCGGTAGGCGGTACCCTGGCTTTTAGATGGGTCGCATGAGGGCCAATTGTTCAAGATAAGACGGTAATTGGCATGAGTTCAATTAATTCCATTCGCGTCAAAAATTGTTACCACTGCTCAGGCGTTGTACCGGCATGTTGTTGCTTATGCCTCGAGAGCAGCTAGACGCTGAAGACATTATCCACCCAACCCAGTAGGGGGATAGACGATGCAATTCGTGCCGCTGGACATGCTCTCCGGCTGGTCTCGACTACCGATGATCCAGCCATATTCCCTGTGCCACGTACATCATACCATTGCCCTGGCCCGGAAAGCGGGATAAAGCTGCCTATCCCGTTCTCCATAGTTGCGGGGACCCCGGCACGAACGAGGGCGGCTATTGGGCACCTTAGCTTTATCCCGCGTTGAATAGTTGCGGAGAGGCCGCCAAGAACGAACGAGCCCGGTTAATACTGTACGTACCATGGATATATCTCCAGACTTGAGATGCGGACCAAAGCACTCCGTAGTAATGAGCACGAGTCGAGTTCACTCGCGCTCGCGGTGGATGCTGCGGGGTAACGGACTTGGAAGCTTAGAAGCGTCGTAAATGGCAAGGTAAGCTAGGTGAGTGACGTAGCCACTTGAGGAGGACTCCTAGTTTACAAGTGCATCTACTTTGTGAGGAAAGGCAGGGACTTCTCAGAATCATATGCAACCTGTCCGATTCATATGCAAGCTGTATCTGTCAGACGTACGATCCTGTGAGCATTGTGCAAGGGTCGGATTCAAACAGGTATATTCGGCAGTGACTTCTGCAGCTAAGAGTGCAGACACAGGGGACTATTTCCGTACCCCTCCCTCTATCCACGTGAGGGATTTTCTCTATTATTGTGGGGAGCCGGAGATTGCTACTCTAATCGGTCTATCTACTTTGATCCGAATTCAGTTTCTCTAACTAACGCTCCTTCTGACAGTGTCAGTAGCCCTGTAGTTTCTCAAGACACGAAACAGGGCAACGTTGGCCTTGAACCCCACAGTCGGAACTCACGAGAATTCTTGTGCTTTGTCTCGGTCGACTTACACGCATTCGTTGCGTCCAGCAGAAATTGGGGGCTACCGTGTCACATCGCCTAACATTTCTGTCGGCTTGGTCGCCGACGAAGCTGAGGCCATGTTTATGTGTGACTATTCAGGATGCTCTCGGTCGTACTTGCGCAAAGAGCACCTCAAACGTCATACACTAAGCCGTAGGTGACTTATATATCAATGGCCGGCCTTTGTCTTGTCTCTTATAAATCACTGACATCCCGAAAAGATCAAAAGGGCCGCTTTGTATGCCACTTGTGTCAACGAATCTTCACTCGCAAGTTCGATCCCCAAGGCCAATATTATCTCTGGATTGAAGGGCTGACCCCCTCTAGTGATTTGCTTCATGCTCATTTGCAGCGTCATCAAGGAACATACCCTCCACGACGCAACTCAAATGTCCAACATAAGAAGTCAGCCAGACCAAAGGCTAGTCGTAAACACGATGACTCGGAGAGGGAAACTTGGGCGGCAGAAACGGGTGGCTCTCCGAACGGTCATTCGCACTCCACTCTGAGCGACATGGAATGGACAGTACCCCAAGCAGATTGTATCTCAAATGATCTATTGACATCGGGTTTGTGTGAGAACTCAGAATTCACCACGGAGCCATGGTTGTTCGGGGGAATGGGGCTGTTCTCATACCAGCCTGAGGACTCTATGCTTTTCGGTGGAACAAGCGATGTGAATTTAGATATGGAGGTATGAGCACTACCCGCACTTTTGCCAACATTGAATCACACGCTGAAACGAACCAAGGACCTTCGTCCCGAGCTATATCCGATACGAGCTTGGACAGGCAATGTGGCCTCCACACAGCTTTCCTTCTCACACAGTGATGCCAAACGAATATGGAACCTGAACATAGTAAGTAGTTCTCGCTGCTTTCAGATGAATGAAATGGGGCAATTTGTGACAATATACGAGAAAGACTCCGGATCGCGGTCCCCTCGACGACATCGCCTCTATGAGCACCGCTTTCAGATCCTTCCTAGATTACTGCGACTTATTTATGCCCATATTCCATCGTCCAAGCTTTGTTGTTAGTGAAACGCCGGCTCTCTTACTGCTTGCAATGTGCAACGCAGGCATTCAACTAAGAGCAACCCCTCAGCATATGCTTTGGAGTCAAGCTGTACACAAGGAGCTATCGCAAATGGCAATGAAGGTATGGCCTCTCGTGCATATTGCTTCATGGACGATACTCAACTTTCGGTCGAGCTGATTGGTAATCTATGGCTGTTAACATGAGCAGGGTGCGTTGTCGAGCCCCAAAGTCGAGTTCTGGCTACTTCAGACACTGTGAGCAAACTTCTCTTGCCTTCGGAAAAGTTTTTGGTGCCGATTTACTGACAGTATCAATCAGCGTTGTAATACAGCACGTGGGGATGTACTGTTTGTCTGGCCTTGAGCATGAGATGGCAATCATAATGCACAATTTAGTCGTTACAGTATGCCTGCTTGTTCTGTTACGGTGCGACAATGGAGATGACTGAATTTACTCCCAGATGGCGCGCCAAAACAACCATATGGGAGAATCCCACTCTTTACCAGGCGGCAGAAACGCTGGGGCACAGTCACACGTTAGGTGGCAGGAATGGGTGCATCGAGAAGCTACTGTCCGGTAATTGCCTCATGCGTTCTCACTTTGAATGGGCGACCTAAGGGCAATTTCTGATTCCTGATTCTTCTGTTTTCCAGACTTGCTCACGCTATTTTCATCTCAGATGTTCAATACCTGGTCCATTTTAGTCATCATATGAACCTATCGGTGACGATGATGAAGCGAACTTTGCCATGTTCAGCATCGCTTTGGCAAGCTCCGACAGCCGAAGACTGGGAAGTTCAGATGAGCACAGACAAGCACTTGCGACAACATCATAGACATGGTCTTCATTCTCTTATGGAGCATCTGCTTACTGCACAGGACAGTGAGTTCAAGCGAGGTAATTGGTATCGCTTTGAGGCAGCCAACGCGCTGTCTTCCTACATCTTAATCCATGGGCTCATTGCTGCTATCGCCGAGGACAAGTACCGTGTAGTCGAGTCTACAGCATCAAGTGCAACGAGAACTTTGAAGAAGCTCGATTTCTCAAATGGCTTACGGCTATGGCGTCACAGCTTTGAGTGCATCCCAGCTTCACAGCGCAACTCACCACTGGTCCGCAACGCAAAGCTCATGTATCACTTCGCCGCAGTCTTGATTGCGAATACCATTTCTGATCCCCAGATGGCTGCCGGCACTGCATTGTCGTTTGGACGCGTGGTGACAGCACAGCGCAGTCAAGAAGCGTACAACCGACTCATCTCGACGGATAGACTGGATCAGGAGTCCTACCTTCACGGTTTGGCAATCGTGCAACTGGGCTTGCAGTCTCACGAAGAGCCCTTTGATGGTGATGCAAACAATATGGAAGCCGAGGATGGTGACTCGACAACAACAATTTCAGTTCCCGTTTGGCAAGCTTACAGTGCATTCCTTGGCGTTCTTATAGTGTGGGCTAGGGTCGTAGGTTTAGAGTCAATCTCACCTGGCGGCGTCAATGAAGAGATCGGGAGCCTTCGTTGCGACATGCTATTTGGCAGCACAGATCCATCTCGGGAGGATCCCAGAACCAAATGGCGAGGAATGGGCCACTTTCCGAGTAGCCAAATGCCCATAGCTATACTGCAACGCGAGTTGTCCGGAGTTGATAACGACCTGGCTCTTGATACTGCAAAAAGCAACTTCCACATACTCTTGGGGCTGGTCCAGAATTGCTTAAAGGGAAATAGTTGGTATGTGGGTAAGTTGGACCTGTATTGCAATCCTAATTGGAGCAACGTTGCTGACATAGTAAATGGTAGCCTCCGAGGCGACACGCATACTCCAAGCGCTCTCGCGAACCCGTCGATACATAGTTGACTAGGCCTAGAAGCATGAGACTGGGACTTGATATTTTGGTAGACTTCTAAGTTGAACTACTGTTTTGGGCGACGGAAAATGTATAAACGTATATTCATTACCCTCTGAAGCACAAATCCAACATTGTGAACACATGGTCCTTTGCCAACTTACCCTTCTGGAACTACTATGATGATCATCCACTAGGAATTCTCCAAGACCTTTGACCCAATCTCTAAACGTCATCTTTGATCACAACCTCCATCACGTCGCCATTATCGATCACTTCCACTTCTCTCGCTACCAATGACGCCTTGACTGGATTTGGAGCTGTGCAATTTTCGTTAGATACCGGCGACCGAGGGCTTGAAAAGAAAGTGCTTGCTTACCGCGGAAGATCTCCGTCAGCTCTTCGAGGGTGCGGCCGTGCGTCTCGACGCACATGAAGTAAATCCAGAGCGGAACGACGGCATCCCAGGCGACATATAGCAGGTAGAACTTCCATCCTGTTTTCAACAGCGTTAGGGGATTTTACTTGTGGAGCAACGAAGTGATCATGTGTCGTAACTCACCAACAGCGCCCAACCCCACTGGAGTGGCATATGTGTTGAATACACTGGCCGCTCCATCCATAATCGTGAAAAGCCCTTCTCCTTTAGCACGAGTTTCGTATGCAAAGCACTCCACGGGGTAGACTGGATGAATCGGAGTTATTGTGAAGGAATATGTCAAGCGGAATATGATGATCATGGCAACCGTTGCACGAGATCCAGCTGCGAAACTGGAGCTACCATCTGCGTTCTCAGGGCTAAATGTGGCAGCGAGGGCAGTAATTATAATATACTCAACACAGAAGACGCACAAAGCTGATATCATGAGCTTGCGTCTGCCCATTTGGCCTGCAATAAACAGGGCACTGAAGGCGCCACAGGGGTATGCGATGGTGTTTACAATGGCATTATACAGCAGCTGGGTTCGTGGGGAATGAACGCCAGCCTGATCCAGCATAGCTGATCAAAGCAAGCCAAAGTCAGTTAGGCGAACAGCCTGAAACTTATTCGATACTTGTGGTTTGGGGCTTACCTGGCAAGAAGTATGTGATGGCCCCATTGCCGGCCCATTGGCCGATGAATGCCATGCTGACGGCGCACAAGGATCTCCAACGAGCCTCATGGGTAGTAAATAGCGGGCGGTAGTCCCACCATACCTTATCGTGACCTTCCAGGCTAATCGCCCGGTCCAATTCTTCCAACTCGAGTTGTACAATAGGAGAGTGCGCGTCACCATCACCGTGATACTTGGTTAACATTGCGACAGCGGCGTCGCGTTTCCCGTGAGCAATGAGCCATCGTGGAGATTCTGGTAAGAAGGGCGCCGTGAACAAGACTATGCCGCAAGCAACACACTGGAAATAGATGGGAAGCCTCCAAGAGTACTCTCCAGTGATATTCAAGGTTGCGTATGTCACCCACGAGACAACAAAGGCGCCGACAAAGTAGAAGGTGTTAAACATCGCTTTCATCATGTATCAGTTAGAACAGGTCAACTTTCTCTCACGAACATTGCTTACAAGTAAAGGCACTCCGCCAAGCTGGGTGAGCAATCTCGGCGACGTATGTAACGGCACTAGATTGACTGAGGCAAATACCAATACCACAGAAGAACCTTCCACCCAGGAATGCGTGACCTAAGGATGGGCTTTAGTATCGGAACTTCATCCTATCCTTTAGATAGTAGCGCTTACTGTTTGTCGCAGAGCCTTGGACACAGGCTCCCATGCAGATGACGCCGCAGCCGACTGCCATTCCCCAGCGTCTGCCAAGTGTATCACTCAGAGGGCCCGTAATTGGAGCACCTATCAGGCTGCCAATGAAGTATATGGCAAATGTGATCGCGGTTTTGCTGCCCGTAAGCTCTGCCCCGAAGTATTTCTAGCCAAAAGAATTTAGCCCCGTTTCAAGTCCCAGAGAATCTACGGATCCCATCATACTTGATACTGTGGCATCGCGGAGATTCCAGACATCAAGCCGCCGTCGTATCCATTAGCCCAGGCACTGTATTTCATCAAGAGCTTAGTTAACCGTACGGCAAAAAAAAGACTTTGAGTGAAGGGCTGCTTCATTCGAGGAAGGCTAACATCATCATGGCAACTAGCATGCAAGAGTAAAGCCGCATCATGCCCCAGGAAAACAGCTTTGGCTGCGCTTCTTCGATTGCTTTCTGCAAAGGTACGCTGAGAACAGACTTGGAATTGGCAGGCCTGGCACGCCGGGCCGTGGCGTTTCCATCATGATCTCTAGCAGACGACATAGTTGATTGTTTGCCCATGGGCTTCAAATGAGACGGAATAGATGATTGTTTCGGCCGTGGATTTGAAAACTTGGTAAAGTCGAACAAATTGACATGTTAGCTTGATCTGATGCGTTGTGCGAGTCCGTCCCATAAGTGCATCCGCAGCTGCACTGCCAGTGCTCCACCATCTAGGGCGCCTCCCGTTCACGCCCTTGCCAGCTAGAGTTCTAGACTATCCCGCGCAGACTTCCCGCATTTTCCCCGCAGTCTCTCTGAGTCCCCCACAACTCATCCCGTGCATGTGCAGCATCTCTGCTCTCACGTCCGTATTGAGTATGCCCGACCTTAGGAAAAGCAAATGTCTTTCCCTTTTCCAAGATAATAAATCGCCTGTCGCCACGAGTCTTAAAACCTCTTAAGCCTATCTCGGCGTTGCCGAACTAGTGCCTACCTATATTCCCACTTCGTGGTCCAAAGGTTAACTTAGTTATTATATTTCTCAAAAAGCATAACATACCTTTTCTTATTTCTACTATCTCTAGTAGCGCTAAGGTACTTTTCTTGATATAGGTTAGTAGTTTAAGAGGCAAACTAGGCTCACAAAAATTCGCTATAGATTTGAAAACATTTAATATATTTTGTTTGAGCTCCCTCGTTGAGTACTACTAAGATAGTATCCATAGAGAAGTAATACGCTTAATAGTGCGCTACAACAAATTGCATTTTGTGCTGAGGCGGCCAAAAATGGCCTCCCTGGCACAGCTGGGGCTGCCGCGCACCGGTCCACTGCGGCCACGCGCGTACTCTCGTCCCTGAAACGTAATGTTCTAGAATCCTGGGGCCCCCACGCGGGCTTGGCCCGATCAGTTGCGCAGTCGTGATCCATTTCCATCGCATTCTACTCACCTTCCGCTCATCCTTCGGTCGGTCAATTGGGTTTCACCCAGGCCTTGCGGTGACTCAAAATGGCACAGCCAAGCAAGCGTTGGCCAAAGATGCCCCTGGTGTTGCTGGCTATAAAACCCTACGACCACCCCGATGACCGCTAAACAGGCTCATCCTCCTCTACAAACCTTCTAATAGATCTTCATTTCACCGTTCTTCTTGTCTAAGTCTGCTTTTTCTTTCTGCGTCAATCTCTCCTATTTCCAAAGAAGGCATGCATTCGTCGTCGCTAGCGAGTAGCATGGTCTCGTGCAACTCGCCCTCCCGCTCCAATCAACCGCTGGAGATCGATAGCAATACTTCTGACATGTCGCTGTGAAAGTTCAACCGTGTTGCAACTTCCCTATCTCAAAACAATGCACATTATATGGTATAGCATAGTATGGAATAGCATTTTGTCATCCTTGGTGGATCGTAGTCTGTTAATGATACCCCGAACACTTCGTTTCTAGTCGTCGCGGTCGTACCTCCACAGTCTCCGAGGATTGTCCACAAAGATCATCTTGATCTTCTTTTCATCGTAGTCACACCACTCTTTGCATTTAGCTATGAAAGCAGGAATATCAATGATCTGATAATCCTGTGGGATCAAGCGCTCCTCGGGGGTCGTGAACTTATCCGGGCCAGTAGGGTGCGGGCGGTCTGAACCCCAGACCACCTGTGTTGGCGCATCCCGCAGAACTGTGCGGCAGTAATCATCTAACCCGGGCATATTGTCGCCAGAAAAGCGGTAGACGCCGCTGAGTTTCACATAAACCTGGCGAGCGCGGAGCAGGGCCATCAGTTCTGCATATCCAGGCTGTTCCTGCACAGCAACGGTAGGGTCAGTTGGGGCACCGAGATGATCGAGAACCACGTCGACACCGAGTTTTGGGATCTCATCGGCTATCAATGAAATCTGGTGCATCTGCACGAACAATTGGATTACCCAGTCGTGCCTCCGGATCTTGTCGGCGTACTTGTGGAGGGCAGTCTTGAAGGTCTCACGGTCGATCTCTTCGCGCAAGGTGTGTAGGTTAAACCGTAAACCACGTACACCCACGGCGTGCATTGAATCTAACTCGGCGTCACTAACTGACTCAATGTTGACAACTGCAACGCCACGCCCGCGGCCCTGAAGTTGCTCCAACGCTTCTACCATGTGCCGATTGTCATCGCCATACGTCGAAACAGAAACAACACAGACATGTGCGACGCCTATTTTGGTCTCAAACGCCATAAGATCGGAGAGTGGTGCGTGCTTAGGTGTGAACGACCGATTCGGGTGCATTGGAAACCGATCCTTGGTAAAGTGAGCGTCAGCAAATTCCAAAGCGGCTAGATGTAAACACAGGCCTCCCAGCAGAAAGCATGGTCCACCAGAAATGTACAAACACGAGAAAGTAGCGGTTTGTCATATTAGGACGTACATCGACAACGTGAACATGGCTGTCCCACGAGCCCGGAGGCAGGCTGCAAATATTAGACTCAGCCATGGTAATATGGCTATCTGAATTGAATGTGCGAAGTAGATAACTGCGGAGTAATAACAGAACCTTTTAACGGAAAGACCCTGTATGCAGTACTACGGAGCTTCTTATCCCGAAAGACCCCGTATGCAGTCAAAGCAAGTGTTGAGGTGACCTTTTTCACACTAGTAATTTACCAGGAGTTCACTTGATTGAGATAACGACATCGATGATATTCTGCCTATCTAGTATCTCTCTTATGAGGGATTATTCGATCGGTGATTGGCCGACCTATTCGGCAGACTAATACAGCCGTATAACCAGTCCGACAGCAAGAGTCGACGGATTTCGGATTTTAATCCGAATAAATAGTTGACGTTGATTCGCCATTTACTTGTCTGATTCTAGCCGATCCCACAGCGGATGTAGGTAACCGAAGGAGGTTCGCTTTAGAATCCGAGGTTCTAGCTTGCCGGGGCAAGAAGCTCCGTAGTACTCTTTTCCTTTGCACTTTTCCGCTATTTCGGCACATTATTATACTCTCGTCGGAACAGATCGGCTCATTTCCGATCATCTATATTATTTGCATAGAATCTACTATTACTCCTTGGATGTCATACATACGTGTTTCACTTCTGCTCCAGCCTCGTTACTCTCTATATTGCTAGTAACCTGTTGCGCTGTGCTTGGAGAGTTATAACTAGAGTGAAGATGGGTATCAAACAAAATATCCGGCTGTGGGAGAATCATGTCGAGTACATCGACGAACATGGTGTCGAGGTCGAGGCTATTGCCCCACGAGTATGGCCAGAGAACCCAATTAAAATCGTGCGGATGCTGTCTTGGAAGGGCTGGGTTTTCTTCCTCGTTGGCCTGTGAGTTACTAACCCGAATTGTGAAGCTCGTTGATTCGGTTGACCAAGGATATTATTGAGCTAGGTTCTCCTGGGCTTGTGACGGATACGACTATAATGCGGTCAATCTGGTTGCCACCAACTTGTCAACAGTCTACAACGTAGATCTGACAGATATCACGCTGTCGGTTACCCTGACGCTCCTCGTTCGACCTATTGGCGCTATTATTTTCGGCATACTAGCAGACATGTTCGGCCGAAAGTGGATAATGTCAATCAACCTGTGGATTCTGGCTGTGTTGCAGGTGGGCACGGCGTACGCAGGTTCGTTTGGCGCTTTTGTCGGAGTCCGGACGATTTTCGGGTGTTGCATGGGTGGAATCTGGGGCATGGCGGCCGCTCTGTCCCTAGAAAACATGCCCGTCGAGGCCCGAGGCCTTTTCTCTGGAATCCTACAAAACGGTTATGCGATGGGATATGTCCTAGCAGCGATGGTCAACATTGTCGGGGTGCCCAAGACGAGTTACAAAGTAATCTTCTTCGCGGGCGCGGGTTTCACAGCCGTCATGGCCATCATCGTCATGTGCATACCCGAGTCCTCCATCTTTGCCAAGGAAACCATCGATACCGACGGATTCATCGCGGAAGAGGGTACGTCCATAGGCATCAACCCTAAGAAGCGTATCTCACTATTCCTCCGTGATGCCCGCCTGGCTGCGCGCCAGTATTGGAAAATGTTCCTATTTAGCATCCTCTTCGCGTCGGTGTACAATTGGGAGACACACGCGTGCCAGGATATTTTCCCCTCCTATCTCAAGGTCCAGAAGGGCTTTACTTCGCGACAGGCTAGTCTAGCTGCCATCCTTGGTCAGTGCGGTGCCATCATTGGTGGGCCAATGGCTGGTTACTATTCGCAGTTCTTTGGCCGCCGTCAGACTTCCATTGCATGTATCGTGCTTGCTTGGGTTTTCATACCTCTATTCACCTTGCCAAATGGTTACAGCGCCATCATGGCCGGGACATTCTGCCTGCTTTTCTTTGTTAACGCCTCGTGGGGGATAATGCCCATTCTTCTCAATGAGTACAGCCCACCTCAGTTTCGCGCGGTGTTCCCCGGAACGGTATACCAATTGGGTAACCTCATCAGCGCCCCAGCCGCTCAGTCGCAGACTGCAGCGGCCAGCGGGTGGATCCGCGATGGCAAGCCAAATTATAATCAGGTCATGACTATTTTTATGTGTGTCATCTTTTTGCTGGCCATTTTAGTCTGTGCCATGGGTCCAGAGCGCCGCGGAAGCCACTTCGAGGTCATCAAGCGCGCTGGTGCAATGGAGAATATCATGCGGGAAGAGAAAGAACTAGGTCTTCGAGCCGCAGCTGCCGAAACTGTCCAAACTCTCCAAGATAAATAAGGAGACCAAAACCTGCCAGCAGGTGCACGATGTGATAACTGATAACTGAAAATATAGCGCCACTTCAACTTGGTCTGAATTTGTTTCACATCAGAAACGTAATCATAGCGGTCGATGATCTCGAAAGGTGTAGTGTAGGAGTGATGGTAAACCAAAGATGACAGAACGGTGAAGATGGTGAGAGTGGTGAGAGTGGTGAGAGTGGTGAGAGTGGTGAGAGTGGTGAGAGTGGTGAGAGTGGTGAGAGTGGTGAGAGTGGTGAGAGTGGTGAGAGTGGTGAGAGTGGTGAGAGTGGTGAGAGTGGTGAGAGTGGTGAGAGTGGTGAGAGTGGTATCAAGAGTGATAGAAATCTAGAAATTATTGTGATACGCAAGTCATCAATACTTCTCGCGGAGGCCCTAAAGACAATGAGCCTGGAGATATTCCACGAAATAGAAATGATCGATCCAACTCCACTGTCACCGTGACGGACTGAGGGCTTTTCGAAGATAGAGATTGAACCAGATAGGGAGGTTGCCATGGAACGTGCGGAGACTGCGCGTTCTAACTCAGAGATTATCGTATACACCGATGGATCAAGACGCCAAGGCCACCTGGGCACTGCAACCGCGGTGCTCGACGACTCGCTGGTAACAATGCGTTTCCGGCAAAGATTACGGCACGGAACTATGGTTAAAAAGAATCTCCTAGCATTGAGCAAATAATCTATAGATCATTATATTACAGTCCCAAAGAAAAACGAATGCCGACACAAAGCCTTTGTACGAGCGACTTGTATGAACCTCTCGTATACATAAACAGAGTCTGTAGAGAAATTAAACTGTGAGGGCACAAGAATCTCGACCCGATATACTTGGAAGACTTGACGGTGTATGTTCATCCTCATCGACATTTCGATCAGGAGTAAGACTAGCACAGAGCTCCTTTTGCTCTTGTTTCCCTCTGTTTCTCTGCTTCCATCTCTCATTGTATTGACTGAAGAGTTTGCCGATTGATGGAATGCAAGTGCAGATAAGCCCCAATCCGCCTTCTCCGTTGCTGTATCCAAGTATTAGAAATGATCATTCGAGACTGAAAAGAAACTTACTCGGATAGTAAAACTCTCATGAAGACTTCAATCTCATCTGAGTCATGTCTTTCGATGATGACTAGCACTAATCGGTAGATACTGAAAGCGATGGCAATGCTTCCCGCTCCCAGGATGGCAATGACATGCAACTTCTTGGAAAGAGGTACGTGCAAAGTCGATGTCAAGACGATGGGAAAAATTATAATGGCCAAGTCGGTCATGGCACTAATGGACGAGTCGGTGATTATGATGGCGGCTCGGTTCAAACACGACGCGCCGGGAATATTAACGTCCCAGAATGAACGAATAGGGTTGCAATTGAAGATCTTGACGAATAAGATCACCGTGTAGTATGTTGTGATGAAACCGAGGAAGGTGTACAATGATATGATCTTCCCACGGTATGGTTTCCACAGTCGAATCATGATGTAGATGAGTGAGGTTTTGACGAAAAGTACCATAGGAACATAGAACATCGTAGCGATATAAAATATCTTATTTGTCAGTACGAATTGCGTAAAAAGGTTTTGCCAGTGAGCATACTCTGTATTTGACTTCACGATCCCATGTTGTGGGGGAGGTGTGAGAAATGGGTCCTCCAGAGTAAGTGACTGATTTGAAAGATCGGTTAGCAATAGGATTGGAAAAGCTAGATCGAGGTAGGCATCTCACAAAATAATGTGCAAATAGAATGGCCTACAAACAGGATCTGATAAGAGTGTTAGGGTTATATGCGAGAATAGGTGTATATCACGCTGGTGCTTTCATACCAACGCCGCATAGCAAGATGCTGCCTCAATTAGTTGAGATAGGAACGGCTTGGATTGGGCACGTACCATCCTCAAGTCCGAACGGGAGACGTAATTTGAACTTGGCAAAGAATCTTAGCGCCACCAAAGGTATTACGATACTAAAGCAGAGAATCTGTGTGGCTAGGCTGATCGAAGCCAAGTTCTCGCGTTTCCGGAGCGAGTGATTCATAGTGGGGACGCTCAACGCGCGTGATGGGCATCTTCCCAAAGAAATGCGTCAGGGTGCAGCGTTGTTATTAGTTGTAATCTCACCAATTCTTCTCAGATTGAAACTGCAGTGTTAGGTACATTCAAAGTCGATGTTGTCGTCCAAGCGTTTCCCGAACCGTGGAGAGTGATGATGTCACCATTGGAACAGAAGCGGACCAAGGTTGAGGGTCAAGTAATGCGGGACGAGAGGTATTCTGATCACATGACAGGCTCTCTTCGATCATTCAAGGAGCGCGCTCTTTGGCCAACGCACTCGTCTCAATGTAGGTCGCGCAGCGACCATCCATTCACAAAGAACTAGATGCCTCAGATATCGTTCGTCATAAAAAGGGAACTTAGTCGCTCCGAAACTTCTACTATATGAATCCAGCCATGGGAAGACATTCATGATGAACCTTGTAAGTATTACTTTGCTCACCGACGGATAATGATTATAGATTCGAAATAAAAGTGAATAAAGGAACGGCTGTTGGAGTTTGTGAGATGATAGGTCTATTGAAAGGCCTTCCCTTTAAGACCACTAAGTCTAACATCGGTCACAGATGACGCCAGTCCTTTATTGATGAGAAAATGGAACAGATGTAAAAAGGGAGAAAGTTTGAGCGTGGATGAAGCTAGCGTGTGGTCGCTCGCTCACCCCATACTCAGGTGGCGTCCAGTGGCGGTACTCAGTTGCGCAGATCGTTATGATGGTGTAGTAAATGCTCAGTGGTCACTCAGGGTCATGCTCAATTTTGCCAGGGAGCAAAATGCGGCCAGGGCCCTGAAACAGCCAGGTGCCAGACATTACCCGGTCTACCTTAATGAGATTGCTTCGATCCTTCTTTGAATTCAGATAATGGCAGCGAATGACGCGAGCAATGACCGAGATAAATGTCTCAGCCTGTATTGTCCTAGTTGCACTTTTAGTTGATGACACCACCCAGCTAGTCTGCTTGTCCCCGCATCATTGAGTGGTACGCGGCAGGCGTTGTACAATCCGGATGGCAAGATACTCTCGATGACCCTGCAGGGACTGCCGCCAACCAGTTGGATGTTCCACACGTAGGGAGTCTCACATGAAGGTGGCAATGGCACCCAGGTACCAAAGTCAGCATCTGCTCAGATGATTTAACCGTGGTCTGGGAGGCGACGGGGGTCCACTACTGGGTATTCTACACGGACGCCCCAGCGAAACTCCCCCCTTAAAAAAAATAATTAAAAAAAATTTAAAAAGATTAAGTACCGAGATTAATGTGCTGGGTATACTCATTTATAATAATTAATGTAGGTACCCTCATAATCAGCAGACTCGTACCATGTAGGGACTCGCATCCTTGCATCGATCAATGAGGAAAAGTGATGTCTCACTTGGGCGGCGGGAGGCGCTGGCTCGCGTCTTGGCGGTCTCATCCTGCGACCAGGCAAAAGATTTTGTGTTATTAGTAAATGCATCATGATCACCGACAGCAGACGCCGTGAGTGGATGAATAGTGAGAGAGGATTCGTAGACATACACGCGGTCTGCCAAGAGATGACCAGGTCAGGCAAGCTCTGGAGTGACGATCACTGCCTGCAGGGCTTGAATGATTGGTAGAATATTATGATTATTACTATCGCTACTAGACAACTATTCTTTGAGGGGAAGAATATATCGTACAAAGGAATGTAGAAGAAATCACTGGGGACACTCGTAGTAACTGACAGAATCAAGGAAATATACGTCTCATAGCGGCTTACGCGCCAGTGCGACCAAGCAAAAATAGAACAAACCTTGCAGCGCTGGGCCCGCTAGCGCCTTTTCCCACAGCCTGCCCGGGGTATAAGACACATCTCTGTCCTTTCAAAAAAAATTCCCTCCTCTTCCACTCTTCCACTACAAACATCTCCTCCCCACACTTTCTTCCTCTTGATCGTCGGATCTACATTCCTCAGTCCCACCCAGCACAACTCCACCATGCGTACCTCCATCCTCTTCGCTACTCTCTCGGCTTTCGCGCTGGCCCAGGCCGCCACCACCACCACCGACAATGTAAGTCTTTGAGGCGCTGTGGGATCCAGACAGGAACCTAACCACCCACCTGGTAGGGCAACCCAGCTACCCAATATCTCACCGAGACCAACTCCAACGGTGTTGTGACTGGCCAGCCTGAGGTCGTCACCTCGCAACCCGCTGTCGTGACCAGCGAGCCCGCTGTTGTGACTTCGCAGCAGCCCGCTGCCTCGATTCCCGCTGGCCTGTCCACTCCCGCGGCTGGCGAGCCTGGCACCACCTCGACGACCATGACTTCGGTCAAGTCCAACACGCAGACAATTTCCATGGTCACGGTCAGCAGTGCTACCCAGACTGGCACTCAAGCCAGTTCCAACTCCAACTCCAACTCCCAGTCGGCTTCTGCCTCGGCGAGTGCAACCCACACCACCAACGCCGCGCCGCTCGCCACCGCCGGCTCTCTGGGCCTGGTTGGTCTGGCCGCCCTGGCTGCTTTCCTGTAAAGTGTGAAATGGCAAAATCTGGAACGAGGGCTATGAAACAGTTTTTCTTCTTTCTTTCTTTCTTGCACTTAATCATAAACAATAATGGGACATGGACATGTATTCAATCGATCAATCAACTTAATTCCCAATCGGGACAAATTGAAACGCGAACGCGAAACCACATCACCTGACCCGACGCGTGGCTGATTCGGACTAGCGTAGCCCGACCAAAACAAAGCCCAGTAACCAACGCAACGCCGGATCTTCACCCAACAAAAACATTCCCAACTCTCATCTTATCCTTAGAATGGTGAGTTCTACCCAGCACCTCTTGGATAATATATGCTAAGCCTATCTCTCATCAGCCATCTAACCTTCGCCGGCTGGCCGCGGACCATGCCGCCCTGCACAGCACCGGTCTTCCGCCCTACTATCTCCTTCCGCCCAGCAACGAATCCACCGACGACCTCTCGCAGCTGACGGTCTTGCTCACCGGCCCACCGGGGACACCTTATTCACAGGGTCTGTGGCGCCTCCACTTGCGCATGCCAGAGGACTACCCACACAGCCCGCCCAAGGCCACTTTCAAGACGCGCATATGGCACCCCAACATGGAGGAGCTCACGGGCGCAGTGTGTGTAGACACCCTGAAGAGGGACTGGCAACCCAAGTTGACATTGAAGGATGTGTTGGTGGTCAGTATTTGCGCCAATCAATCCAAGATTCGAAGCTAACAATGACTCGTGTTCCTGATGCAGACCATTTCATGTCTTCTCATCCATCCCAACCCCGACTCGGCTCTCAATTCCACAGCGGGTGCGATGCTGCAAGAAGACTACAATGCCTTTGCTCATCAGGCTCGATTGATGACATCTATCCATGCACCCATTTCTACCGACCTCAAGGATGCAGTCACAGAGGCCAAGCTGCGAGGGGAGGATGCCGGCGCAGTCTTTGAGGAGAAGGACAATACAAATTTTCAACGTCCACGGAAAGAACAGCGCATACAGACGGTGACCATGAAGAAGACCGTTCGCACGACTGGTCCGACCCAAGAATCTGCTGCTATGCCAGAAGATGACGACAGCGAGAACGAAGACCCGGCCAGTGCAAGCAAAGAAAACGACCCCTCTCTCTCTCCGACTCCGGTGAGACTCGCACCGCCAAGTCCTCGGAAGAATGCTCTGGGGAAGCGGCCACTTTCGTCGCTTCCAGTACCGTATCCCGAAGATCTGGATAGCGATATGATGCTCGTGGACGAAGACGAGGATATTGATTCGCCGTGCATGTCTTCGTCGGAACAAAACATCCAAGCCAACACCAGTCGATCGGGCTCCCCGCAACGGAAACAGGTCAAGTTATCTCTGCTCAACCGAGGCCTCAACGCATCAAGTCGTGTTCGGGATGACCTCCAGATCTATGAGGATGTTCCTGAACTCTCAACCCATGACGCATCACGCCGGTTAAGCGGTGACGGCAAGGAGAACCCGCAGGCTGTTCTCGTGTTGAAAGAGAAATGCGAGATGCAGACAGCGAAGACAGTTACACCGCTGTCAGCAGGAAGTGCTCCAACACGAACCGCCTCATCTCTTGCATCCTCGGCTGCTCCTTCAAAGGTATCGAAAGTGACCGCTGGAGTGCGCAAGGTCTCTTCCGGTGCAGGCAAGCCCAAGCCCCGGATTGGAGTTCGCCGGCTATGATTGGTACTTTCCTTAGTCTTTCTTTTGACATAATTTTCCTTGGTGAATCCTTGGCTTTTATTTTTAAGCGATTATACCCTTTTTCCTGGACTGGGTTGGGTTGGGTTGGGTTGGGAGGTCTTGGAGCATCGAACAGGATGGTTATGGGGGTTTGCATCATTATTAGAACGGGTTTTTCTTAGGCGCTGCATTGGTCAATGACATACATCTTGGAGCTTTCTGACGCCAGATAAAAGTACATATTCTAAGCAGTATGCGACTCATTGGGGCTAATGTGCACATTAGGGCCATGACTCGATGCCCGGGACTGAGTCTATGTCAATCCTTATACGTTCTTTTGATCATTTCGGCCCATGGATCACGCTGGGACTGCTCTTGTAAAGGTTGTTGTTTCGCCACTGTATCTCAATCTGAACGGGGAAATTTGTTTGAGCCAACATGGGTAACTTGGAAGTCGCCCGCTCGGAAAACGCTTGCAGAGATTGCATTCACAATTTAAGCGTCTATGATTGCCATGTGAAAATACTTTGACCTTGCGCCGCTTCAACAGGTGTCAGACTTCCAAAATCCAATCCTCGCTAATCACATCTCGAATTTCATCACAAGATCTCGTAATCTCTAATCAACCACGAATCGTCGCTAATAAGTCATATATATGCACACGAAATACGCGCACGAACCATTCATGCGTACCCTTGGTCTAATAGGATAACCTGACCAGGCCGATCTGCATAAAGCTAGTCAGAACAAAAAGCTTGAACCTGGCGGCCCATCGCCAAGCATTTGGAGATTAGAAAGCAGCTTCGGCCATCTGAAATGTAGTCAGCGATCTGCTGCCGACCATATGACGGAATATGTAAGCTGGTAGAGTGCTTGTCGAGGCGACATCGTCCCTGTCTCGCCGTTGGTCGAACAATTTGACAAGGTGGCGAGAAGTGTGGGGCACGCAACAATGGCTTGGTTCGGTGCGGGCCGGCTGCCGCGCCAGACTCAATTACATGCTCAGGGTTCCGTGATGGGTTACCTGTCAATCCCATGAACCTGTATGTCGGCTCTCTGAGCAACAATGCCAATACGTACAAGCTTCGTCCTTTATCTTTTAGTGTGAGCCTTTTTGAGTACTTTTACAGGACAGCTCACACTCACCTGCTCTTGAACTAGCAGCCTGATGAATGGCATCTGTCCCAAACCAATTCCGCCAATAGAAATAGACCATTTGCTTGATCATCGCCTTAGCCTCGATTTTGAGGCCGCCCCCTCACCTCTCCAGCATCTCCGCTGAATTCTCTAGATTCTACGATCCCCAGACTTCTTGTTTCTACTTTTGGCAACACTGAACGTTGGCTCTTTATCCCTCCGAAATGGTTGGACTTTCGGCTACAGCCAACGTTATCGCGGTTATTCAACTCGTAGGGAGTATTGTAAAGATCTGTGGGGGCTACATTCAGGAGGTGAAACATGCACAAGACGATATCATCACTTTACAACAGACGGTTGCGGGTCTTGAAGGCGTTCTGCATAAGCTCAAAGAACTCCTCCAAGACCCTCACGGTACAAAGCTACGCACATCTTCCTCGCTAGTCAACAACATTAGCGATTGCCTTTCGCACCTCGAGGCCTTGGAAGAGAAGATTGATATAGGGAGGGGGAAACAAATGATGAAAAGACTCGGAATTCGGGCTTTGAAATGGCCTCTCAAACGCGCAGAAGTGGGCAGAATTATCGGCGATCTCGAGAGATATAAGTCTTCCTTCGCTTTATCTTTGCATGTTGACAATACGTACGTTAATCGACCACAATTGCTCGAGTGCGACTAGCTTATATCTGCATAGAACTATCTTAACTGGTGTGGCTCTGAATATAGACCAGATCGGCCAGAATTTGGGTCTTGACAAGCTACCAATCGCGCGTGGGGCCGAGTTTGACTCATATATGGATCAACATGAGGATGAATGCCTCCTAGGCACCAGAACCGAGCTCCTTCGCCAAATCACGGAGTGGGCTAGCTCGCCACAAGACAAATGCATGTTCTGGCTAAATGGCAAGGCTGGAACAGGGAAGTCGACCATCTGCCGAACAGTGGCAAAATCCTTGAAAGACGCGAAGATCCTCGGTGCGAGTTTCTTCTTCAAGAGGGGAGAAGGGGACCGCGGAAATGCTACGAAGCTTTTCCCGACAATCGCGAGACAGTTGATGATTAGCATTCCTAAATTGCAACCGGTTGTCTGGAATGAAATCAAAGACGAACCCGATCTTGCAGGCAAATCCTTAAGAGAGCAATTTGACAGGCTGCTCCTTCAGCCCCTACTGAGATTAGACTCAGCTAAGGAACAAGCTCCGACCGCGGTAATAGTGATTGACGCATTGGACGAATGTGAGAATGATAAGGACATCCGAGTTATACTCCAACTACTACCACAGCTACGGGTGCCAACTGCTTTGCGTGTACGGCTTTTCTTGACAAGTAGGGATGAAACACCGATCACTTTAGGATTCTCAGAGATTGCGAATCATCATCAGGATCTGGCTCTCCATGAGATCCCTGAGGTAGTGACGGAACATGACATATCTCTATTCTTGAAAGACCGATTTGCAAAGATTAGAGATAGGAGAGACGTCCCTTCAGACTGGCCTGGCAACGAAGCCTTTCGAAAATTGCTTATAATGTCAGTCCCATTGTTCATTTGCGCCGCCACTATATGTCGATTCTTGGAAGATCCGAAGTGGGACCCAGAAGTGCGCCTTGTAGAACTTCTAGAGGGCCAAGCAAAATATGCGACGAAAATGGAGAAGACTTATCTACCAATCCTTACGCGACTCCTTGAGGATCAAGATGATGACGAAGCAGACCAGCTGCTGCAACAGTTTCACGAAATAGTCGGCACCATCCTCCTCCTTGCTATTCCTCTTTCGGTCAATGCGCTTTCCCAGCTCCTCCGTATCAGAGTGGGGATTATCAGCAATCTATTAAATTTATTCCAGTCTGTTCTCAACATACCTAGTAACCAAGATATCCCAGTCAGGATCCTACATTTATCGTTTCGAGAATTCCTGGTTAAGTCCACGAGCAAGTTCCGTGTGAATGAACAACAGACGCACAATACTATCACGAAATATTGTCTTGGCTCCATGCATAGTGGGTTGAAAAGGAATATCTGTGACCTATCAAGTTACGGTACTGAAAGGAAGGAAATCGATGCCCAGTTAATCCAGCAACATCTCCCACCAGAATTGCAATACTCTTGTCGTTATTGGGCATATCATCTGGCACAATGCAAAAACCCCACCGCTGAAATGGAGGATGCCCTTTTGTTTCTCCAGAAACATTTCCTACACTGGATAGAAGCAATGAGCATTCTAGGTCTTGCTTCTGAGGTTGTGGGGATCATTAATCTATTGCAGTCAGTTTTACACGTAAGTGTCTATTAAGTGTTCCGATATCATTCCCGCTAATTGATATAGAGGCATGAAAACCACGAACTATCAGAGTTTCTACATGACGCAAAGCGATTCTTTCTTAGAAATAGACAAATCGCTAGCGAAGTTCCTCTTCAAATTTATTACGCAGGACTTGTATTTGCACCGAGACAGGCAATAATTCGGAAGCAATTCGAAGCAGAACTCCCAGATTGGATACGCGTTTTGTCGCATGTTCAGGAAAGATGGAGTACAGAATTACAGACCATCGAGGGCCATTCAGAGTCGGTTTTTTCGGTGGTTTTCTCGCCCGATAGCCGGCTACTGGCGTCTGGCTCCTATGATAATACTATCCGGCTCTGGGATTCAGCCACGGGCGCTCTACAGCAGACACTCAAGGCCCATTCAGACTCAGTCCGGTCAGTATCGTTCTCGCGAGACGGCCAGCTGCTAGCATCTGGCTCCTATGACAACACTGTCCGGCTGTGGGATACGGCGACGGGCATCCTACAGCAGACCCTCAAGGGTCATTCGGGCTCAGTTTTCGCAGTGGCGTTCTCACAAGACGGCCAGCTACTCGCATCTAGCTCTAGTGATAAGACTATTCGGTTCTGGGATTCGGCGACGGGCACCCTACAGCAGACTCTTGAGGGCCATTTGAGCGCAGTTAACTCGATGTCGTTCTCGCCTAATGGCCGGCTACTAGCGTCTGGCTCTAGTGATAAGACTATCCAACTCTGGGATTCAGCAACAGGCGCCCTACACCAGACCCTCGAGGGCCATTCAGGCTCGGTTTTCTCATTGTCCTTCTCTCCTGATGGCCGGCTGCTAGCATCTGGCTCCTATGATAGCACCGTCCGGGTCTGGGACTCGACTACGGGCGTCTTACAGCAGACCCTCGAGGGCCATTCAGGCTTGGTCCGGTCCGTATCATTCTCGCGAGACGGCCAGCTACTAGCATCTAGCTCTAGTGATAAGACTATCCGGCTCTGGGATTCGACAACGGGCGCCCTACAGCAGACCCTCAAGGGTCATTTAGACTCAGTCTGGTCAGTATCGTTCTCACAAGACGGCCAGCTACTAGCATCTGGCTCTAGTGATAAGACCGTTCGACTCTGGGATATAGCGACGGGCATCCTAGAGCAGACCCTCGAGGGCCATTCTGGCTCAGTTAACTCGATGTCGTTCTCGCCCGACGGCCGGCTAGCGTCTGGTTCCTATGATAATACCGCCCGGCTCTGGGATTCAGCGACGGGCGCCCTTCAGCAGACCCTCAAGGGGCATTCGGGCTTAGTTTTCTCAGTGGCTTTCTCGCCTGATGGCCGGCTACTAGCATCTGGCTCCTATGATAGCACCGTCCGGCTCTGGGATTCGGCTACGGGCGTTTTACAGCAGACGCTCGAGGGCCATTCAGGCTTGGTTAACTTAATATCGTTCTCGCCCGACGGCCGGCTGCTAGCGTCTGGCTCCTATGATAATACTATCCGGCTCTGGAGTTCGGCCACAGGCACCCCCCGGCAGATCCTTAAGGCCCATTCAGACTCAGTCCGGTCGGTATCATTCTCGCGAGACGGCCAGCTACTAGCATCTGGCTCCTATGATAACACTGTCCGGCTATGGGATGCGACGACGGGCACCCTAAAGCAGACCCTCGAGGGCCATTCGGGCTCAATTGACTCAATTTCATTCTCGCGAGACGGCCGGCTGGTAGCATCTGGCTCCTATGATAACACCGTCCGACTATGGGATACGGCAACGGGTGTCCCACAGCAGACCCTCAAGGGTCATTCGGGCTCAATTTTCTCAGTGGCGTTCTCGCAAGACGGCCAGCTGCTAGCATCTGGCTCCGGTGATAAGACCGTCCGGCTCTGGGATACGACCACTGGCGCTCTACAGCAGACCTTACAGGTCGAGGGAGTAGTCACCGACTTAGAATTTTCTGCAGATTGTTCATACCTTAAAACTAATGTGGGATACCTCAAGATCCAAATCTTGCGTGACACGACACCCCCAGGTCTAACTAGACCGGAGACCAACATGTTCCTGATAGAAGGTCAGTGGGTGACTCTTCGACGCGAAAAGGCACTATGGCTTCCTCCAGACTATCGGCCCCGTTGTTCAGCGGTAAACGAAAATAGTCTCGCCTTGGGACACGCATCGGGACGGGTTTCTATCTTCAAATTTTGTGCATCCTGTCAAGGATAATGTTGTCATACAGCACTTGGCCCCCTCACTATATTCATTTGTTTACTTTGCATCAGTCAGACTCGCATCCTAAATTGCATCGCGAGTCCTAGATAGCTATCTCTTTCCAGAAGGAGGGCCTGGAAGAAGTGGACTTTTTTTGTTGCGGCCTACAATTAGAGTCTGCGGCGGATATCTCCAGCTTCTCCACCCAATACAGAGAGCTATGAGTGTTCGATGGTGAAGCGGGATTTGCGCTTGGCCGTAAGCAGAGCTTGGCAGCTATCCTCTCGCTTTTGGGGAGTCTAATTACGGTGTTGAATACAGTAGGATGTTTTAACGAGTTCACATCACTGAAACACCTTGACTACGACGTTCTGTAATTAACTATATGTTGGGAGATAAAGCTTGGCCAATAATGAGGTTTCTCTTGGCGTTTCTTGCCTTTTCAAGTACTCTGGCTGATTTCCTAATCCAGCATGCATCTCACTAGGGCTCCGACACTAGTTATACTCCTCCACACTCAAGTCTGAGCCCCTCGGCTCCCACGATTTGGATTCCTATCTGCTCGTAAGCGCCAGTTATAGTTATACCTAACTCACTAAGCGAGATATTCCCGAGTCACTTGGCGCTGGGCTAACTATGTGATTCGTGACAACAAGCGCCCAAGTCGTATAAGCCACCACACTAGAAGAAAACACATCGAGAGGCTATTATTAAGGGAGTGAAATGATTCAGCAAAGTGAAGCTGGGCTCCGAGTTTGTGACGATCTAGCAGTATCCTAGGTGTATATTCTATCTGTGAACTGGGGCAAACCACCCGTTTTGGACAGTCGATCAGAGGAAGACATGGATGACACTCACTGTAGGCTGTTTGCGTTTCAGCCTCCTCAGCGGTGATGGTGTCCATCTGGGAGTGTCGGTTCACACGCAATGCAGTCGCTGTGCCAATTATCTCCGAGCGCCTATCACCATGGTGTGGCTAGGAAAGAAACAAAGAATTCGCGTCAAGTCATTCGCCATTAAATCATCTGCGCCACCTTCGCCGCCTGAACTTTTACTGACGCCGGGTGCCCAACGGCGCATGCTATCCGATTTTGTAAGAGACACATGATCGCTCCTTAGAACCAAATCTTGATCAGCTCTTCGCTGACGGCGCTAGGCGTCAAGACACCGCTATCCGTGATCAGCGCAGAGATCAAGTGTGGTGGTGTGAAATCGACCGAGTCACACAGAGGCAGCTCAATCGGTCCGTCTGCATTCGTGCCGGCCGCCGATGCTTGCTGTTGGCTCTCCTCCGCAATGTCCTCCTCGGACTTGAACTCGATAACGTGCTGCTCAATGGGCAAGTCGTACTGTCCCAGCGGATACAACCGAACGAACTTGTGGCTCTCTGCGACCACGTAAAATGGCTTCCCGATCGCCTTTGCAAGGAGACCAATCTGGTAGGTGCCCATGCGAGACACGATGCCTCCGTTCTCCACCACTCCCTCCGCACCCACGATGACCATATCCGCTTTCCCCAGAGCATACGCCACCGCTGATTCCGGGATCGTAGCAACTGGAACGCCCTTTGCTCTCAAGGCTCGAACGGTTTCCATCCCCTCGGGTTCCCCGGACGGGTCGTCCAAGCCCTTGCTGGTCGACGACATGACATAAATCACACGGAAGCGCACAACGGACGGACCACCCTCTTCATCTGCAGCTTTCCGCAACAACGATGCGACAGCCCTAGAGCCACCGTTGGTGATCACAGTGCTGCCATCCCGGATGAACCCTCTTCCAAACGCCGCAATCTTTTCTCGACTTTCCTTGGCGCGTCGAATGAATAGTCGTCCATTAGACAAAAGATGCGTCCGAATAGCCTTAAAGTCACCCGCGGGCCCAAGCTGTCCCGGCCGTTGTAACGTGGTGATCAGGTAGCGCTGAAAGAGATCGGTTCCGGCGGAGAGGCCGATTGGGTTGGGGATCGATTGCTTCAAGTGGGCGGTGGACTTTGCCAGTAGATCCAAGGTTTCTGAGATAGTGGATGCCGCTGAGTGTGTGAGGAGAAGCACCAGGGCTTCAATGGCCGCGATGGGCATGGTGAGATCGGGGTCGGAGCGGAGGAGGTCATTGTATGTTGCGACAATACTGTTCCGCGGGTGAGCCAGATGCGCAAAGAATTGGTCGACGGGCACTTACTCGAACCCCTTGGCCGCAGCCGTACTTGTGGGAGGCGCCATGTGGTGTATAATGGTTATGGTAGCAGGAAAGAAAGACCAAGCAAGCCGGCGAGTCATTGAGTGAATTTGTGTTTGACGTGTTTGCACTGCCCCTCCAAGTCTAAACCCGATCGGGGCGGAATCAACAAGAACCACGAACAGGACAACTCCCACGCGCGATGGCCTACAATAATCACCGCATGAGCCAGCAGTTCCATGGCTCGCAGCAACCTCATGGCCGCACTCGCAAGAAGGAAGACGAGAACGATGCCCTGATGCGCCTGGTGAGTTGCCTCCGGTGTCCTGGTCGCGTTCACGCTGACCACCTCGCAGCCCGACAAGGAAATCGCAGGATGTATCAACGACATTGGAATCCCCTTTACCACGGCCGACCTGGCCAAGCCCCAGCCGCAGCAGATCCAGATGGTATTCGAATGGTTCGCGGAGCTACTCATGAATACGACTCGCGAGACTGTGGAGCCGGCCATGCACGCCGCGGCGGAGGATATCTGCGGCGACTACCCTGATATCATTCCGAACGACACGCGCAACCTCATGGGATTCTTCGTCAGCCTCCGACGGCTGCTGATGGAGGTGTGTTGTGCTGCCCTGCGTGTCCCTTCGTGACTGACCGTAGACCAGTGCGGCGTCAACGATTTTACCTTTACCGATCTAACCAAACCGACACATGACCGGCTGGTCAAGATTTTTTCATACCTAATCAACTTTGTTCGGTTCCGCGAATCGCAGACGCCAGTGATCGATGACCACTTCAACAAGACGGAGAAGACCAAATCGCGCATCGACGAGCTGCTGTCCGACAACCAGGAAATTGAACTCCGCCTGAATGATATGCGACGGGATCTCAAGGCTAATGAGGGTCAGGTGCAGGACAAAATTAGGCAAAACAATGAACTGAAGGCACGGCTGAAGGAGCTGCATACGGAACAAGCACGCGTCTCCGAGACACTGGAACGGGTCAAGGGGGATAAGGCCCGGCAGCAGATGTTGTTGGAAGAAAAGACGGAGAAGCTGGTCCGCACGCGGCAAGAAGCAGAGAAGCTGCGGCCTTATGTGCTCCAGTCCTCGGCCACTCTCCAGGCAAATCTGACCGAGCTGTCTGAGAACCTGATGCGCGAGAAAGCGCAGATTGATACAATGGAGAAGCGAGCCCGCGCCCTTCAGACCTCGTCAGACACCTTCGTCGTCGTCTCTAATGATGTGCAGGCGTGCGTCAAGTTGCTCGAAGATATCTCCATGGAATTACAGAAGGAAGATGAGGAAGAATCCCGCGCCGTGAGGAACAAGGAGGCCATCTCAGAGAGAGGCAACAGCGTTCGGGAGGTGGAGCAGACCGAGAAGCTCCTGCAGCGACAACTAGCTCGGTGGAACGAGCGGATTGAGTCTCTACGGAAGAATGCACAGGAGAAGGCAGAGGTCGCCCAAGCGCGCATGGAAGAGCTGCGGAATGTACAGAAGCAATTACGTGAGGAGCGCGCTGAGAAACAGCGCGATATGGAGCGGCGGCGGATTCGCATCGAACAGACAGAGAAGAAGGCATGTCTCCAATTACTTTCAACCCGCGGACATATTTACTGATGACTGCAGATGGCCGATCTCAAGGAAAACATCGAGAACGAGATCCAAGGCGCCCACGACCAGTACCTGAAGCTCGAATCGCACATCAAGCTCTACATCACGGAGATGGAAAAGTCTCTGTGATCTTATGTATGGATGTTTTAGGAGTTCAGCGGTCGGCTCTAGGATACCCGGACGGTGCAGAGTCATTCTCACGGAGTTCTGTTGTGTTTCCACGTCTCTCAATTGTATCTTTTTCCCCTGGTTATTCAATCTTCAATCAAACTCGAACCAGCGTTGAGCAACCCGTCTCACGGTCACACCTCGGCCACCCCAGGCCCTCTCTTCACCTCGGATCCGGACAGAGCCATTCAACAGGGGCACATGCGCGTCCCAGAGCGGTCGTCCGCAGTCGGTATTCGTAGGATCAATAGCATCGCAGCATTCACAGAGTCTCAGCTCGCTGTTAGTTCGAGAAGCAGCCTCGACAGCTGTAGCAAATGTTCTCGACAGTCCTTGTCCCGAGAACTCTGTCGTCGAGGCATGTAACGCCACCGCATCTAGAATAGCCAACAGTCGCCGTCCATCATTCTGTGCAGAGAGCAGGACCGCGAGATGCGCCCGCAGGCTTTCGAGAGACGGACAGAACGCTAGCTGGATCTTGCTGGACTTGGCCAGAATGGCGATAGTTTTTGAAGGTAGCTCATGATTTGGTGCTTGTTGAGACTGAATCACGGCAGATAGCTGGGCGAGGAAGCCGTCTCTCGAGCCACAGATAATCAGGTGTGTGTCTGTGTGAGCGGTGTCAAGCAGTCGCTGTACAAAGTCGGTTATTAGCTCGCAGCCAATGATCCTCGGAGAAGCAGATGCCATGGTTGCATGATGTCGTTCATGTTACCATCATTAGCGGTGGAAGAGAGGAGGTTGTCTGTCCCGCGGATATAGGAATTCCTGTTTGTTCCTCCGCTTTCATCCCCCCCACCGTCTAACTTACTCACTCATTCACTCACCTCGCCCTCGTCCCTCCCTCGTGCAGGGATCCTGGCAAGATGGAAACAATCTCCAGGATCTCCTCGATGCTGGAAACAGGTAAGCCGCTTTTGATTTATTTCCATGCCGGACTGTAGCTGACCGTGGCCTCCGCTTGTGTGCGAACAGCACGAGAGCTCACCCTCGAGGCCGCCCAGTCCGCCGCCAGCAATCGCAGCTCGAAACCCGACTACTCGTCGCGCACTTACTCCGTCGCCCACATCAAGAAGCTACTGGACAGCCGACATGAACGCGAGGTCTTGGATGGGATGCGGAGGGTCATCTCGGTATGCCGACAGCCCGCGAATGACGCCCGCAGAGGACACGCAGACTGACCCAATTGTTTCCAGTTGATGTACCGCTCTGAGCCCTCCCTCCCGTTCTTCTCGGCCGTGGTCAAAAACGCCGCCAGTGCCCACCTGGAAGTCAAGAAGCTGGTTTACATCTACCTGGTTCACCACGCTGAGGCCGAGCCGGACCTGGCCCTGCTGTCGGTGAATGCGATCCAGAAATCGCTTACAGACCAGAACCCGCAGGTGCGGACCATGGCATTGCGGACCATGTCTGGAATTCGAGTACCGGTAATCAGCCAGATCGTGTCACTGGCCATCAAGCGGGGGTGCGGTGATATGAGTCCACATGTACGGAAGGCAGCGGCCCTGGCCATTCCCAAGTGCTATCGCTTGGACCCGAGCACGATGCCCCAGTTGCTGGGATATCTGTCAAACCTGTTGGGCGATCCGCAGTACTTTGTGGTTGGCTCTGCGGTCGCAGCCTTTTTGGATATCTGCCCGGAACGGATTGACTTGGTCCACAAGCACTATCGCGGTTTGGTGAAGAAGCTGGTGGATATGGATGAATGGGGTCAGCTGGCGACCTTGCGTTTGTTGACGTTTTACGCGCGCAAATGCTTTCCTCGCCGAACTCAGAAGGTAAAGCAGGCAGTTACCAAGGCGTTCTACGACGAGGACCAGCCAGATCAAGGCGCCGAGGACTCGGGCGAGGAATACGAGGTCCCCGTGGTAGACTCTGACCTTGAGCCTTTCCTCCGCGCATGCAAGTTACTACTGCAGAGCCGCAACTCGGCCGTGATTGTCAGCGTTGTCCGCTGTTTTCTTTACCTGGCTCCTCCAGAGTATCTGCTGTCTGCTGTTGGTCCTCTGGTGGCCCTCCTGCGGAGTCCGCAAGATATGCAGCTCATTGCTCTCTACAATATTGTAGCAGTGGCCTTGCGCGACCCCAAGCCGTTCGCCAAATATACCGCGCATTTTCTCGTCCATGCCAATGATACGCCGCATATCTTGCATCTCAAACTCGAAGTGCTAACAATTCTCTTCCCGCATTGTGGGAAACATTGGAAGAGCGTGATAATCAGTGAACTGGAACATTTCTCCAAGGGCACGGACCCAGATCTGGTGCGAGAGAGCGTGCGAGCCATCGGACGTTGCGCACAGGGAGATGCCAATACCGCAGATTTATGTCTACGCATCCTTCTCAGTCAGATCTCCAGCCTGGACGGGAACCTGGTGTCGGAGTCTCTGACTGTTATCCGCCATTTGATTCAACAGGACCCGACATCACATAAACAGACTGTCATTCAGCTTGTCAAGCATCTTGGGTCAACAGCCCATCCTGACGCCCGAGCCACCATTATTTGGCTTGTTGGCGAGTTCGCTGGTATTGACGTGGATAACAATATTGCACCCGATGTTCTCCGTGTGTTGGTGCGAAGCTTCGCGGACGAGCCAGAGGTTGTCAAGCAACAAATCGTTCTCCTCGGTGCTAAAGTGTACCTTCAGCATCTTCTCAAGAACCCTCCGAAAGAGGACTCCACTGAAACCACATCGCCGGAAAAACCTGCGATCAACACACAGAAATTCCAGAATGAGTGGACAGATGATCAGCTTGAAGAGCAGATTCATCCCCCCGAGAATGCGGGAGAGGCGAAGGGCAAAGAAAAGCAAGAAGGCGTCGAGACAAAAGAAGGAGAGGAAGAAGACCGCATCACTCTGCTCTGGCGCTACATCCTGTTACTCGCTCGCTACGACACTTCCTACGACCTCCGCGACCGAGCTCGTCTCTATAAAGCTCTCCTCGCCAGCCCATCCTCCACCCCGCTCGCCAACCTGCTTCTTCTCGCCCCGAAACCAGTACCACACGTCCCAAGTCCCTCAGAAACACGCAAGGATCTTCTAGTCGGATCTGCAACCCTAGTTGTTGGTCCAGATGCCGGTCCCTACGGCTTGCGCGGTTACGAGAACCTTCCGGACTGGGTTGAACTAGGCCACGAGCCAGATTCGAGTCTGCGCGTCGAAGATGTGAAACCGGATTCAACTCAAACCCAGCTCTCGATGACCGCCGGCGAACGACTCGATCGAGCCCTCCGTGAACATCAGACCTCTGGCGGGGCAGGCAGGAGACATAATGGTGCCGCAGTGCCGACGGACCCAGCCGGGAAGAAGACCCTGAATCAGTGGTTAGACGAGGAAGACGAGGAGACCGAGACTGAGAGCGAAACGGATTCCGAGGAAGAAGAGACCGATTCGGAAGAGGAAGATGAGTCCGAGGAGGAGGACTCTGAAGAAGATGAAGACGGGGAGGAAGAGGAGACGGACTCCGAAAGCGAGGCTGATCACATAGCAACACAGCAGTTGCTGGCTCAGCCTGGTTCGAGAACTCCAAATGTATAATGGGTTAGGGCTGGGCCGGGTTGGACAACGACATAGACGATACTTTTAGATGTGAATGGCATGTGTTACGTACATACCTCAGTTGTGCAACCCTTTATTTCCCCTTCTGTTTTGCTGTCTTGTGTCCATCTTATAGTTAGTTCCATACGATGATCTCGATCCAGGAACGCGTCACGTGACATGCCGGTGAACAGCGGCAGTTTAGTCCAGCCGAGAACTGTTTTACTCGGATCGGGAGCAACTCTGCCAGCCTTCTAGCCCTGCGTGCGGGCATCTGTATACGATCGATCACTGTTGGCTTGGACGGGGAACTGCTCTGTGGTCATGATGGTCGTTGCGTCGGGATCGCTTCTCTCAACTGATCTCCCCTTCCTAACCTTCTCCATTGAGCCCACGCCCGCCACTCCGGCCCCGTCTTGTTGATTATTCACCATCGACTGCTTGATTCGCCTGCCTCCATCCCAGCATTGACAGCAACCGACCAAACCCTGCCTGCCCTTGACGTCACTCTTTTGAATCGTGAATATCCATTCGGGCCTCTGAAACCCTGCCCGCTATGCCTGGCTTACCAGGTAAGTGTCCACCGTCAATATTCCCTGGGTGTGTATTAACGGCCGGCCAGCCAGCATCGATCTAGATGAGTGCATCGAGCGGCTCTATCGAAAGGAATTACTCGCAGACTCGGTCATCGAAGCGATATGTGCCAAGGCGAAGGAGCTCTTGATGAAGGAGAGCAATGTCGTCCATATCGCTGCGCCGGTCACCGTTGTGGGGGATATACATGGCCAGTTCTTTGATATGATCGAGATCTTTAAGATTGGCGGGTTTTGTCCCAATACGAACTACTTGTTTCTAGGTTCGTTCGCTGCGAGGCACGCCGGTTGTCTTTCGGTTGACTGATTTGATTACAGGTGATTATGTGGACCGCGGGCTGTTCAGTGTCGAGACTATCTCGCTGCTTATATGTCTTAAGCTGCGGTACCCCCAACGAGTCCATCTCATTCGCGGCAATCACGAATCTCGCGGTGTCACCCAGTCATACGGCTTCTACACCGAGTGCGCGCGGAAATACGGCAATGCCAACGTGTGGCACTACTTCACCGACATGTTCGATTTTCTCACGCTGAGCGTGGTGATCAATGACGAGATCTTCTGTGTGCATGGTGGCCTCTCGCCCTCCATCCATTCCATCGACCAGATCAAAATCATCGACCGCTTCCGCGAGATCCCCCATGAGGGTCCGATGGCTGACCTTGTATGGTCCGACCCGGACACAGAACGGGACGAGTTCTCTCTTTCCCCCCGTGGGGCGGGTTACACCTTTGGCGCGCAGGTCGTCAGGAAATTCCTCGAGGTCAACAGCATGTCCCACATCCTAAGAGCTCACCAGTTATGCCAAGAAGGGTATCAGGTGCTCTACGACGACCGGCTCAGCACGGTCTGGAGCGCCCCAAACTACTGTTATCGGTGCGGAAACCTAGCAAGTGTGCTGGAGGTCAGTGATACGGGCGAGCGGTACTTCAACATATTCGACGCCGCGCCCGAGAACGACGTGCATCGCAACGAGCAGCAGGCGCAGCAGCAGAATAAGGATGGCCCTAGTCCAGTGATTGACTACTTCCTGTGATGATACCCTTTGCTTTTGATTTTCGTTTCAATACACTTTATACGGAGTTTTTGGACGGACGGAAGATTCATCTTGTGCATTCACTGGGAGACAGCGAGACTGGCTATTTGGCGTCTGACATAAAGCATCTCCCGCAACGAATAATATCACCCTGAAAACGAAGACGAGTAGAACACACGAAACGAATGGCGGTCTCTACCAGTTCTTGGCAATGTCGAACGACCATTCAAACTGCAGGTGGGTGTGATCGTCATCGTCGAGGAACTTGGACACGGCATTGTAGTGGCCACGGGCCATCATACCGGAGGGCGCCTCCTCCTCATTGACTGTTATGATCATCACATTAGTCCCTATGTAGTTATCTCCGGACCGTCAAGAAGAAGATGCACTTACACTTCTTCTCATACGTCTGCTTATCAGTCGTATTCGGCGCATAGCTCCCCAACATCTCCTCATCCTTGGAAACACGGATCCCCTTCCGCTTCACCACCTGCAGATACTTAAGCCCACTCAGCACCTCATGGTGCACCTGGAAGACGACCTTGATGCGGAACTGCGCGCCCTCTTTGATGGTGAACGGCTTGTTCTTGAGGTCTGCCAACGCTCCGTCGCTGGACACGTCGATCACCACGTCGGGGCGGTCCCGCACTTCCAACGCTAGGGACTTGATAATGCACTTGCGGGGGTCGTTGGGGTCGCCGATTGGTGTGCCCGTGTTGAGGCCCAGGGAGGCTTTCCAGCGGTTTAGGGACTCGTCATTTTTGTCTGGTGGGGTGGGGTGGTGTTAGTTCTTGTGCACACGGGGCGTGATCGATTGTAGATTGCAGGCAGCGAGGCTGTCCTGGGTGATGGATCAATACTCACCCAGCTCCTGGTACTCCTCCAGAGTCTTCTTCTCGCCGACCTTGAAGCCCTCGGTCTTGGTGGCAGCGAGATCGTCCTCGTGGTCAGGCATGGTGGGTGTTTGTTTGTGGCGGGGCAGAACCAAGAAGTCGCAAGTGTGGCTTGGGATGGGATGAGATGGGAAGTAAACAAACCGCGAAACTCGCTCGATACCGTCGGGAGAGAAAGGAGATGGAAAGACGACACGGAGAGAAAGCCAACAAACACAGTTACTAAGTTGTCTGCCTCCTGAGACTCGGTGGGGGGAAAGGCGGTGGGGGGTGGGCGAGGCTATTACCTGCGTCGGAAGTATACATACGTGGGTGGGCTCTAGACTGCGACACCATTAATGGATGATTCCCGCTTCACTCGATCGGTTTGAGGCAGCAAGAAGATGTCCTATGGGATGTTCATGCACGTTGATCTGGAGACTCGACGGATCATGCAGTGTCCGCGGTATGTAGGTGAGTTCGGCATGCAGCGAAGCGTGCATGAATCAATCCAAGTCAATCCGCGGTCCAATTAGACTATCTGCTATGGCGATTCGATACTCCCCCGAACCATAGGACGGTCCCCTCGCCGGGGTGTCACTATACACCGCAGGGACGAACTACGACTGCTTATCAGGGGCGAGGGAATGCCAAGTCGCGAGCCCGCTCCGTACGGGCCATACGGGTAATTCTCACATTGGCCAATCACCCCCATTCCAAACCGAAAGGCCCAACCCACCGGACCATGCCGGACACAGGCAAGCCCCAGCCCCATCATTTAGTTGGTTAATCCGTCCCCCATTATTCATTATTCCTCTTCCATCGCGCTCTCCTGATTCATTGATCCGTGCCGCTTCGCGACTTTGGCTTTCTTGTCTGGAGGCATCTCCCATCAATCACATCGTCGCGCACGTTCTGCTTGACTTGCGCTCACTGTAAACCCTTCGGTGCTCCCATCCGACTCGGCCAGTCCTCGGAGAGCGACAAGCAACGCGCCTGCAACGTGGCTGTCGCATCTTTTTCCCCTTGACTATTTTCTCACCTCCCCTCCCCCTCTGCTCACCTCGTTCCTCGCCATCCACCATGTCGCGCTCTCTGCCGAAGCGGAACAATCCTCTCATCCTTGCCGAACAGGCTCCTTCTTGTAAGTGCTCGCTCCCCCCCCTCCCCGGTGCGCGTGGTCGCGCGACCGCGCGCACCCACCCTCCGAGTCGAGTCCTGCCCTGTGCGACTCGATATGTCTCAACACGGTGTCGCGGCTAATCACATTCACCTGCAGTCGAAGAGCTCCTCGCGCGCCGTCGTCTGGGAAAGACCAACCTCGCCGTCAAGGCCTCGTGGATCGGTACCTCCAATGCGACCAAGCCTGAGAACTTGGGTCTCTTCGAGTACGCCCACCTCCGGGCTCCGCTCCCGAAAGACCTCAAGGGCTCTGAGATCTTCCCATCCCACACCCCGCAGCAACACCCCGAGACATACTTCCTGATGGTGAGTCGCCGCCCTGCACTTTGCCCCGTGGAGACAGCCTCCCTAACATGACGACAGCGGAGAAGCAAGGACGGCTATGTCAGCGCCACTGGCATGTTCAAGATCGCATTCCCCTGGGCCAAGCTGGACGAGGAGCGCTCTGAGAGAGACTACCTCAAGACCCGGGACAATACGAGTGAAGACGAGATCGCCGGCAACGTGTGGATCTCCCCCTGTTCGGTAAGCACATATCATCTCCCCCGGCCAGCCACAGGAGCTAACTGACGGCTCCCAGCTCTCGAGCTCGCCAAAGAGTACAAGATGTACGACTGGGTTCGCGCGCTCCTCGACCCCACCGACATTGTCCAGAGCCCTTCTAGCGCAAAGAAGCACATCACACCACCGCCCAAGTTCGAGCTCCCGGAATCGGACGCCGCGCCGTCTTCGATCTCCGCATCCCCGTCGCGCCGAAGCCGCCGGTCCGTCTCGCCCAGCAAGAAGTCTCCGTCCAAGGTGCGCGGGTCTCGGGCTAAGAAGGACGTCCCGCCTACGCCATCAACAACTGCCGCCAATGCCAGTCTCCAGTCGGCTCTGAACATGGACGCAGAGTCTGTCAACGAAACTATTGAGAGTGTGGAAGAGGACATCGAGGTGAAGACCAGTGGATCCCCGAAGAAGACCAAGGGCCGGAAATCTAAGAAGGATTCCACCGTGGAGCCTGAGGACAAGAAGGCAGAGAAGGCCGATAAGAAGAAGAAAAAGGCCGATAAGCATGATGGTGAGAAGGAGAAGACCAAGACTGAGAAGACGACCGTCTCAGCTGATGCACCGATCACCTTGCCCGAGGTCCCGTCTGCTGAAGAGACCAAGGAGATGATCGCCAAGGCGAAGGGAATGGTCCAAGAAGCTATCAAGGCCGAAGGGGCCGCCGTGAAGTCAGCCTCCGCCAAGGTCACCAAGAAGCGCAAGGGCGAAGACCTCAGCGAGGACGAGGATGAGGAGACGGGAGCCGAGCGTGCGAAGAAGGCTAAGCTGCTGGAAGATAAGCTCAAGCGCGAGCGCGTTCGCAACCGCGCGCTGGTTGGCGTTTCTGCCGCCTTTGCTCTTGCGTGGGTTACCTACCCTTGACTGGACTGATCTGTTCACATTGCTAACAAGATTCCTAGTGCTTCGATCCCCTACTTCTTCTAAAAAAAAAAAAGGATACCTCCAATCTTTTATCACCCAAGGATCGATCGGGCGACCCATTTCCGGACGTCATTCTTCTCTGGGAGAACCATTTTTCCTTCCAATCTTTTTTTCTAATACTGCAGTTGGTCACACCCTATCGTCTGCCTGTCTACTTCACGGAAGGAACAGTCTATCTGATTCTAACCCCATTCTTTCTTTCTTGCTTGACCAGACGGGAATCGATTCCCAGTATCCTGTCCTGCTTCTGATCCCACCGCCCCCTCCCCATTCCCCCTGTCGCGTCATGATATATATTCCTCCCCACAAGACTGAGTCTGTCTGTACTGTACTTTGACATCCAACACCACTTTCTAATATCGTGCCTGCCTCGTCCCTCCTGCTCCGTGAGCCTCGGTCATCTACCATCTATCCATCTATGTCTCTAACCCCCTTTTTCCTTTTACCCGCTGTCTCCAAACCCCGCAATCCATCTGGTTGATGGTTGCCCACTTTCTGGTTGTAGTCCAAACTGTCTGTTCTAGGCATATCCCCCACTCACCAACCTTCGTTCTGTATCTAACTGTTTAGATACGTGGAGGTCCTTAATTAAGTGAATGGGTATTCAAATGAGTCATTCACAGTTCCAGGTATATGCTAGATCAAGTAGAGAAGCAGTTAGATATTTATACCCCTAAACCAGACATAAATTCAACGGCGTCGAAATGCTGCCCCAAAGCGCAGGGGTTAGCGCCGATCTCCAAATGCTTAGTCATGGCCGTCTTCAAACAGTCCAAACAGGACTTCATTGGAAGCACATCTCTGATCGACCTCAACGACCAATGTCTCTCCCGGGCTTAGACCTCACTCAGGTCTCGGAGGAGAGGTCCTCGGCCGTTGCGCCGCCGTCGCAGATCACCCTGTCGCCGGGCATGGAGTGGAGGTTCGAGGTCGCGTTTGGCAATATCGTGAGAGTCAAGGTGCGTACAACCTAATTGAGGATTCAGAGAGTGGAGAGCTTTCTGGGTGGAGAGCTTTTTCTGGCTGTTTTGTTCAAACAAGGCTCTCGAGCTTGTACAAGGAACCGCTGACCAAACTTCAATAGATTCTCACGGGAACCGCTGAGCTCTTCGGTACAGAGCTCGCCGAGTCGCAGACATACACTTTCACCGGGACCAAGGCGGCAATATATACATGGCATGGGTGCACGCTGGAGATCAGCGCGGGCGAGATGGCGATGACGACCGCGGACGGGGTGGCGCCGACAACTGGCCATGGTGCCGGGGGATGTCAGAGCGAGTACACAGCGGAAGAAACACCAATGGTGGAGTACGCCAACGTCCACTTTGCGCTGGAGACGATGCGCCAGGATGCGCAAGCCACAGGCAAAGATGGACCTCGCGTGTTGCTTCTGGGCCCCGAAAACGCGGGCAAGACCAGTCTGGCGAAGATACTGACCGCGTACGCGACCAAGGTCGGCCGGCAGCCGCTGGTGGTGAACCTGGACCCGACCGAAGGCATGCTCAGCGTCCCCGGTACGCTGTCTGCCACGGCTTTCCGCACTATGCTAGACGTTGAGGAGGGATGGGGCAGCAGTCCGATGTCGGGACCGAGTCCCGTGCCGGTCAAGCTACCTCTCATTTACAATTACCCACTACCCAGCCCTCTGGATGCCGAAGGATCGGTCTACCGACCTGTGGTATCGCGGCTTGCGCTGTCAGTGACTGGTCGAATGGCGGAGGATGAAGACGCGCGCGAGGCGGGCATTATTGTCGACACTCCGGGATTGTTGAGTTCCGGCAAGCCTGGCAGCCTGGAGCTGATCAACCATATTGTCACCGAATTCGCCATTACAACAATCTTGGTCTTGGGATCTGAGCGGTTGTACAGCACGACGGTCAAGCAGTATGACAATAAGCCTAGCTCGAGCTCAACAGCCGTTGCCTTCGATGAGCGCATTTCCGTCGTCAAGCTCTCCAAATCCGGAGGCTGTGTCGACCGCGATGCCGCTTTTCTTAAAATAATGCGCGAGTCGCAGATCCGATCTTATTTCTTTGGCAATCTGGTCCCATCATTCACCGCGTCCTCAGCCTTGGCGCTCTCTGCATCTTCGACCTCCATGGTGACATTATCACCACACGCGCAGCAACTTGACTTTTCCGCCCTCAGCGTCTATAATTACACCATTGCCTCCGTCGACGACGAAGACGAGGATGAATACGACCCCTCCCAGCTCACCACCGGCGATTCTTTCCTCCCTGGTGGCGGAGGTGACGACGAATCCCAGCAGCAGCAGGAACAACAAGGCCCCGATCGTGCTGCACCGCTACCGGGTATCGTCGGCTACGCACCTGTACCTCCATCCCAAGCATCCACAACCGCCAGTAACGTCCCTCTGAAAAAGGTGCTCCCTCCCGCGCCTGCTGCTCTGGCGAACACTCTTCTCGCAATCACCCACGCCCCAAACACAGCGTCACCCGCTGAGGTTCGCGACGCCAGCATCATGGGATTCTTGTATGTTGCCGACGTCGACGCAGACAAGGGCAAGATTCGTGTCCTGGCTCCTGTCGGCGGCAGGATGCCTCCGCGTGCGATGATTTGGATGAAACGCTGGCCGGGCGAGGTGGTCGGCTTGGTCGGTTAAAAAAGACTTCTTTCATAATTGTTACCAGGCATCGTTATACCGGGGACTGGAGTTCAGGCCGGGGGCTGTATTTGTACATAATCTCGTCCTTTTAGCATCCGGGTCCTATTTACGGGATCTCACACAGATGACGTTCTCTGTGCTTTGTTGTACTTGTCTTTCCTCCAGTATCTGTGCTGGGAGACTAGGCAGTTAACCAAAATATCCCATTGAGCGAACACGCATTCCATAATCTATCAGTAACTGGTGGAGTGAGCAATATCTTTCATCGGCTCCATTTCCTCTAGAGAATCGGGCGCAGATGAAGCGACGGTCATGAAGACATCTTGCAAAGAGATGTGGGTAGGGTAATAAAATTTCGGGATCGCATGATGCGGAGACTAGATTGGTTCCGGTGAGGGAAACCTCGAGACCTATGATGAACGGAGGGAAAATCATAGTTCATGGAAAAGAGAATTGGAATTGTAAGTGATGAACCAAGTTGTTCTAGTAGACATGTTGAGACTTTTATGTTGAGGCCCATTGTTGCGCAGACTGTAGGCTGCCAATGTTTACTGCGAGTTTCAGGCAGATATCTGCGACCCCCCTGCTCGCTTAAATGCACGAGAATATCCAACTCTTAAGACTGCCGGGCTACCTCCGTCTTGACTACATATTGTCCTCTTGTCCGACAACATACACACACCAAGCAGCAAAATATCACTATCAAGATGGAGCCCATTTCTTCTTCTCCACAGCTCAAAACTTCTCTCTCTTTCATTCTCCCAGAGGAGACATTGAAGCGATGCCATAGGCACTATAGATGAATAGAGAGAGACTTTTGCTTGGAATTATTTGCGTGATTGTGGTATATCTTGATTTGTTTCAACAGTCAAACCCGAGTAACTGTTCTCTGAAATAAATCGAAGCTAAAATGCCATCCGTCATAATCATCCCGTCGTTATCATCAAATCATCGTAGGTCATAAACTCAGATCCAATTCCGTGCCGTGTAGAGTGTGGGTAGTTCCTAGCCATCCGAGTTGTGCCAGACAACACGACCGAGGTCCCGTTCTCCGAACGCCTGTCCACACCATACTCCCCAGTAAAAGCCGAATAAACCCCCAATGAATGCTTGACCGGAGGTTTGTTTTATGCCGGTATATATCACCTTCGTAAAATGTTAGGTTGCTCTCGCTTCGTACGCAACGGCGGAGTCTAGCCAGGTGTTGGCAGACTCAAGCGATAATCGATAGATAAAGCTAGCTATAGTTGATTTTTGATTTTGAAGAATCCCTCTCGCAGAGGCCGGCATCTTTGGAGAGTTCAACATTCAATGTGAGCACTCTTCCGTCGGAGAGTGTTCAAGATGCAATACGGCGCAAGGCGAAAGCGAGAGCCTGCCATTCTGGTGTTTGCAGCGTTGCGAACGCGTACAGAATCAAATAGCCGAGAGCTATGAATACCCACAAAGCGGCCATTGTCTGTACAGAGGGGAGGGAGAGTTGGGAGGGAAAGTCGGTGAAGTGAGCGTGTGGGTTTGGCTTGGTTAGGGCTATGTGTTTGTTTGTGTGTGATGAGCAAGACAGCAGCAAACAAGACCAATGTGGGCCGGACACACACAGTCGAGAGAGATGCAGGAATCCAGAAGAGAATACCCTTTTCAAGTCATCGAGGGCAGCAGGAGGGGCAGCACATGTTATGTTTCATCACCTGCCAACTCGGAAGTTTTAAACCCAGCTAGACCGACTCTTCAAGGGTAAGGTCACAGGCTCCGCGCTCCGACAAATTCCGCCCAATACGAGCAGGGCAGGGCTCTTGCCTCCGGCCACTAGGAGTACATTCTGGCTGCAAGTGCAGCCGATGCGGGGGTTGGGGGTCTGCTGTTTCGCTCCGGTGACTCCACCATCAACGGAAACGTCGGGTTCTCAGGGTTTGTTGGATCCTCTTGTCTTGATCAAAGGTCAACGTAAAATAGATGAGGGGAGTTCCGTCAATCATGGTCTACGGATGATGGACATGAAACAGGGTAAGGGATTCTAGGTTGCATTGAGCGCCTGCTCCAGGGCACGGCACACCCGACCAGAGGGAGATCGTCCACTACAGATCAACATGAAGATTCTTGGGCTTTTTCTTCTCTCTGGCTCCGGCGATAAAGAAGAATACATCTCTTTCTTTGTACACATCAGCCCCAAATTAGATCCGATGCCCCGAACCCCACTGACCCCGCCTCATTCGCGGCACCCACGAGGTTGTCCCTGAACATCTAACTTCTCTTCAACTCCATCTCTGTTCGAGAAGAAAAAGAAGAAAGAAAACCATAATCAAATCAACGTTCTTGCGAAAATATAGTTTACCCCATCTCGCCCTCGGTCCTTCTCCGAGCAGTCCCACCCGAAGTCAAACAAATGGATGCCCAATCGTTTACAACGCCCATCCAATGCACACCGCAAAAGCTCTATCCCGGCTCCGAAAACCGGGCTTACTGTGAGTTGGATGTCCGCAGCCATGCGCCGGGGTCGTGGTCGATCAAGCGATTCCTCAGCGTTCGTGGCAGTCGCCGGTATCGCGTGCTGGAGCGAGAGCCGAACCGGCTGAGGAAACGAGCCAGCCCGTGATTTTCAACTCACAGTGTTAAACATCCATACCTTGCCGATTAACTACCGAGTTGACCAATCCGTGCTATGTATGCATGCACCAAAGGCGATACATCCGTCTGGGGTGGTGGAGTCTCTGCGCATGGGGGATGCAGACAGGAACACGGTGTCTATTTATTAAGTCTCACTCTCCCTTGCGATGATGGCGTGCATACAGTCCGGCGTTTGTAAGATTCCATTAGAGGTTTCGGATGAGGGTATGGAGGGTCTCGTGACTTGTTTATATGTAGTCGGTTATGTTTATTCGCAGTTTAGTTTTCTTGTTCGGCTCACCGTCTCACTCTCGAACAAACATACATCCATTTCCTGTAGTTACTGCGTTCGTGGTTCGCTCTCATATGTTGAAGCGAGGGCGCTACGCCAGACACGCGAGCACACCACGCCTTGTACTAGTCGGCCTAGACACCACCCCCATTTAGTAGCGAGTCCGGACGATCTCATCCGCGCTATTGACGCGCGAGCACAAACCGCGGCCAAACGGGTTAGTTAAGCAATAATCATCACCATCGATTAATCCATTAGTTTCGCTGCCCGACGGCCACACGGGTAGCGGCGTTTTCCTCTTTTCCCTCCAGATTACTCTCTCTCACAGGAATTAAAATTAAGGAACCGCCAGCGCCATGGTCCAGACTGGCGACTTGCGTCAGGTCGACTCCGTTTTGGTTTACTTCAACCAAGGTTGTCTCGGGCCCACCCGGCGTCAAAGTCGATTAACCAGGGCTGACAGCCGAGGGCGAGGAGAGAAGTATAAGAGTAGAGGGAGTAAAGACGCAGTCCAGAATGAAGAAATAAATGAATGGAGGGAGCCAGGGACCTGACAACCTATCACGCGTGCGACCGTGCCTGAGTAACCGCTGTATGTACCCCAGATGGAACGTGTAAGATAATAATGTGGGTGGTGATGGAGAGGGCAAAATAGGCCCAAGGTCTGGCCTAAGCCCGATGGGCCTTTGTTGTTTCTCCTTCCTTCATCCTCCCTTTCTTCTTTTTGCACCCATTCTTGTTCCCACCCTGTACCCTCGTTACCACTCCCCCAAAGCCGGAGGGTTTTTCTCTTTCTTTCTCAAGGCTCTCACCACTCGTCGTGGAGAGATCGAGTTCTGGCCACCTATCACGCCCAGTCCCTGCTTGCCGATCCACACGGATGACGACGGTGGCCTGCTAATCCCGCCCCCCAACCTTCTGACAGCCTTCTCGATTTTTTCTTCCGTCACCCACTCCCTTCTATCCTCGATGAGTCCAGTTAGCCCGTCGCGCGACTTGTTTACCCATCGCCACTGACCCGTCCTCTGGCGCGAGCCGCACCACGGGCGCCATGGCGATATGGCCCTTCGGTCGCAAAAACAAGCGGCACACGATCCAAGTGAGCCCAGCCGAGGCGCTCGCCCTGCACTCGTCCTTGGAGGACCCGTCGGTCGACGCGAATCCGCAGCTGTCTCGCAAGGCGTCTAGACGCCAAAGCAGTCGCTTGTCCCATCGCACGGATGACGCCCGTCGTGATTCCGTCCCGGCGCCTTCGCACCGCCCCATCTCTTCACTGGTGGCTCCCTCTGAGGCCGACCACGAAGCCGACCTCCAAGCGCCCCCCGCAATGATCGTGATCCCGGGCTTCAGCGATCACTCTCACGTACAGCGTCGCTGCCGAAGGGAAAAGGTGGACCGAACAAGCTGAGACGCCGCCTGAGCAAACGCAAGGCCAATGAAATCATGCGGGAGCGAGAGATTCGGATGCTCTCATCCACCCCGATCGATATTCCCCGCCGCTATACCACCATGACTGGTGACTACGGGTTGGAACAGCGGCGGCGCAAAGCAAATGGTCGACGTTCCGAACGGTATACGTCCGATATCAGCCTTTCTATACGTGATTCTACCGGATCTTCCCTGTCGGACGTGTCAGATCCGTACACTTTCAAGGTGAACGCCTTTGCTGCTTTGACTCCACGCCCTGCCGTCCGCTATGTGGAATCACCCCGTGCGCCCTCTGCTGCAAGAGGCCGCGACTCAGCGGCCTCTCATCGGCTGGACAAAGACCGACTCCAGGCCTTGACAATGTCCCAAGAGGAACTCTATTATTCGAAGCGACGCGTAAAAGATATTGCCGATACGTTGGACGCCGGGGCGCTGCGAGAGTTGTTGGATAGGGACCGTCGCCGCCGAGAGAAGAAGCAAATTGAAGATCAGGAGAAGCTCCGGCGCAAGCTGCAAGAGAAAGCGGATGCACAGCAAGCGGCAGAACCACAAGACGAGGAACAAAAAGCCCCCGAACAACTCGTGGAGGCACAACAAGTGGTTGAACAGCAAGTGGTGGAGCAGCAAGCAGTGGCCGAAATCCAAGATGAATCTGCCAACGCAGAAGACGACGATGCCTATCCTCCCAATGAAACGACTCCTCTTGCAGCCCCACCAAACACTGGGTCGTGGTTGCGAGATGCTTCCAAGGACAGCCAGGCGACTGGCCGCGAATCCGTGGATAGCGCTCGCGTCATTGGAAATATTGACGACAGCTCTGTGCGCGGCCAGAAAATCGTCCCGCGCCGCAGCTTTGCGCCATCGCAGGACATGGCCATGTCTCGAACCACTCTGTCTCCATCTCACTCTTCGCTCCGCCAAGGTATTAGCAGCCCCAGCGGCTCACAGGCTTTTGGGCCCGGTTCGAACTCTGATCTTTCCCGAACGATTGACTCAGACCGACGGACATCCGATACGAGCGGTCGGCGTGTCGGCACGATCACCTCGCTCTTCCGTCGCGGCTCTAACCGTCTCAAGCGTTACCGGGAGCGGTTCCATGAGTCCAGCCCAGACGTTTCCAACGCCGCCTCTCATCACGCATCGCACAACGCCTCACACGAATCCTTCTACAGAGTCCAAACCCAAGCATCTCCCCCTCCTGCACCCGTTGTGGTGCCTCTTTTGAGACCTTATATGCCCACTGGGAACATCCAACGCTCCCATTCCAAATTCACCGAACACTTTGATGACGCTCCCCTCTCCCCCCCAGACTCGCGCCTCCAGTCCCCGGGCATCCCTGAAGAAGAACGGGAATCCTCCATGGAGCATGACAAAACATCTTTCCTGGATGATGCAGCACCAAGTACTACTACTGGTGTGGACATCAAGAATGCCAAGAACAGCTTCGACGCAGATCCGGACAACGTGCCCCTCTCACAATCCTTGGCCTCCATTGACTCGGAAGGCTCGTGGATGTCGGGCCAATTCTTCCGTCGAATGAACAAGCCGGGCAGTCCTGTACGGCCGATGCCGGGATCGTTCGACTCTCCCTCGGGTGATGGGGCGTCTGATAGCAACGTTTTGGGTGAGACCGAACTTGACACCGAAATGACTGGGGATGTCGAATCCAGCAAGCCCACCGAGACCCTCTGGCACAGCGAGGTTGCCAAACGCCCAGTGGTTGTCAACCCCATCTCTCGCCCCAAGTCTACCCAGGGCATGCTCAAGAGCATTCCGTCGCTGTCCCCAATCTCTGCCGAAGAAGATTACATCCCCGACGATGCTCCTGGCGCCGAACTTCACCGGGTGGCGAGTGTCGAGCCCGAAACCGGCTACGTGGATGACTCTGTTGTCCCAGGTACTGCCATCTAGGCACCCCGTTTCAATAGCCCATCGTTCCTTGAAGTCCTTTTTCCTTTGTTGCATTTCCCTTTGTATCTGAGACCTCACGCCGTGTACTCTGTGGCACGTCCACATCTACATCCTCCCTCGCCCTTTCCTTTTCCTCTTGGTTCGTTGATACCCCCATTTTGCCCTCTGTTTAAGCCCTGCTAGATGTTGCAATTCACTGTCCTACCACCTCGAGACCCATTTCTGATACACCATCTTCCGGACCAATCATCTGGTCCGCGGCCTCTTACCTTCTTCTCCCCGTGATATTAATAAACCTTTCTCTGCCATCATCTCTGAGACCCTTTCAATCCATATGATTGTAAATCAAATGAACGAGTAGTAAATATTCACCCGATTCGTACCATTTCTCTTAGAAATTCAGATAGGCTTTCCTTTGTCAGCCCGCGAGCACGCCATCTTCCACAACACACCGCCTGCCCTTTCCGTGCATCTGGCCCGTCACTTAAACATCTTCCTCGGACCAGCAACCACGTCCCTTCCTCCTCTCCATTGGATTACGCAACCCGATCTCACCTCGAACAATACTAGTCCGGTGCCCAATTCCTGTTTGCCTACACACCCGGCACACCTCATGTTCCCTGTAAGTGCCATTTTGCCTTCTTGCTCTCCCTAGATGCTTCCATATCATGCCCGGATTATTCAGCGCCCCCTTACCTAAGCACTCTCGACCCGGTCGCGGCACGTCATCTGCGCTGCTATATAAGCCCGGCGTTCTGCCCCTCCGCCGGAAAAAAAGCTAACTTCCTCTTCCCCAGATCACCCCCTCCATTCGTCTGGCTTCTCTCTCTTCAGTTCGAAGAATCACATCCACCACAGCACTGAGAGCACCACTCGTCGTATCCTCGCTTCTGCGCACCACCACCACCACCAGCCGCACACCTTTCTTCACCAACCCCACTTCTTCCCCTAAACGAACTTTCCACTCAACTCGAATCACCATGGGAGGCAACATCGTCGATATCAACTCGTACGTGAAATAAAAACCCAACCATCTTACTCCATCCAATCATATACTAACTGTGATTGTTTCGTACAGCATGCAGGAGTGGAAGGAGAAGGTCATCGAGTCCGGCGACCTCGTCGTCGTCGACTTCCATGCCGAATGGTGTGGCCCTTGCAAGGCCATTGCGCCCGCCATTGAGAACCTGAGCACCCAGCACACCAACGTCAAGTTCTACAAGGTCAACGTCGACGACGTCGCTGACGTCGCGGCCGAGAACGGCATCTCCGCTATGCCTACCTTCCTCTTCATGAAGGGTGCTGATAAGATTGACACTGTTCGCGGCGCTAACCCGCCTGCTATCCAGGCTGGTCTGCAGAAGCTGCTTACCGCGTAAGCTAGCTGGGAACGAAACTTTGTTGGGGGGCTTATTTTGAGTGTATCTAAGATGGATGCAATACCATGCTATAGAACTACGTGTCTTACGGACTACACCATACTTTCTTCGTGACTATTTGTTATATTAATGGACTGTAGTAGTGTAGACGTAGTTGATCTAATATTGAAGGTTGACTGCGTAGGTGCACTGCGTATGCAACGCACGTAATGCAGGACCACCACGCGGCTGTTCGATCTCGACAAACCTGGAGACAAAATGACAAAATGTTCTTCTTGGAGCGACGTATTATCATTTCCGACCACAAACCGTTTTAGACTTGCATCTGCTAGAGACTGGTAACCTCCCACGTCATCGCCATGTGGTTGACAGGTGTTCAACCCAAATAGCCACCATCCGACCTATCGATTCCCCCGCGCATCGACAAAACTACGTGTAACAACAGCTCCTAATTCTACTATGTACAGCCATACTGATATAAGAGACAGGTAGTGGTCACAAAATCCTCAATACGGTTAAATCTCCGATGGCTAAAACCACGTCGCCGCGAGAGCCCATCGAGTGGCTCGTTCGGAACCAGCCGAGATCAGATTGCTGCAGCTTTCACACCGCGATGGCGGTCTACTAGTTAACTATCAAACACAAGGAAAGGATAAAGATCCTTTCGATCTTCGCTTCTAAAAGCCATGGCTGCTTAGCGACACACCCGCCACGAACCATCGCACGGTTGCACTAATCGCCCTTGTTTCATGTACGTGATAAACCGCTCAGTGGTACTAGACCCCACCCACCGTTCATGGAGGGGCCAGCCATCGTCAGCACTATCGTCCGTATTGATAAAACCCAGATCCTTCATTTGTACCGTGTTCGGTTTAGGGGGAGTGCATCCGGCGATTAGTCCAGTTCAAAGCCATTAGTCTCTACATAAGAAAGACAAACATTTTCTAGAAGTTGATATGACTGATCGATCGCCTTGAAACGCCACTACCTGCATATTCCAATTCAAAAGGGTGGCCTAGACCAAAATATGATACCCATCAGCCATGTGGTTGCCTTCTCGCAATCATCAAGGATTTTGACACGGCGCAGCTGAGTTCATCGCTTAGCGCACTTGCAAAGTCTCCAGAGCCCACTTTTGCAATCAATAAGTCGGCGGAACCGAGCCCCAATATGAATGCCGAGACCTACGAAGAGACTAATGTAAATTACCTTATCATTATTATTCCGCGAATCCTACTGTGGCGGCCGGTGCAATACATACTAGGATCGAGGCTACTAGGCCGTGCGTTCTGTTGGACTCCACGGCCCCATCGTTCCCGACCCGCAGCGATCCGATCCAGATCTCATTTGTCGAATAGAAGCGCCAACTTCAAGACAGTCCTCGCTTCGAATGCCTCGCTTGGCCGGGGACCCATGTTTGTGTTTGTGTGCCCCATCCCGCCTGAACAGTTCGAATTGATTAATCCGAAACTATTCCAGCTGCAGCGTGGAAAGAGAAATGCCACGCGAGTTTACTAATTAGTCGTAGAGTAGAGAGCATGTGGTTCCTCAGGTGGAGCCCACGGTCGGACTACTGTACGGCTTTTTTGGTGTGTTTTTTTGAGGCTGTGGCTCATCCACTTGGGACGATGCTGCATTGGCAGGACGGCGCGAGCATGGCAAATATAATGCTGTACATGTCCAGCGCCCGGTCGGTGCATCTGGGGTATAAGATACTAATGCCGGACGGGTACGATATTGTCACTCTTTTCTTTACACCCTTTGCACTTCATCACTCCCTCCGTATGGCTTTGGTATAACCACTGCTCGTCTTCGGCTCTGTTCTCTGTTGGTCAGACAGACCCTGCCTCACATCAACGCTCGACCATTTCTTCTCTCATTCCCCAAGCAAAATGTCACCGGCAGGCCCCGGCACTACTGCTCACGATGATCCTCGTATTCCCGTTTTCTATCTAGCCGGCTATATCCTTTTATCCTATGTGATCAGCGCGATGGGTTGTGCAACGACGGTAGAGCTTCTTCATCGGAGGACCTCAAGAGCAGGCTTTTACAACTGGTACGTTCTTACTCTCGCCAAAATTGATCATCCCATAACATTGTTCAACTCCAGGTACCTCCTCCTCACCTCCTCCGTCACCATGGGCGGAATTGGCATCTGGTGCATGCACTTCATCGGAAACCGCGCCGTCGTCCTGGGAGACGGAAGCCCCGAGATCCAAATCCTATACAATGTCGCCTTCACCGGCACCTCATTCGTGCTCCCCGTGGTCGTGCTACTTATTGCCTTCTATGCAATCGGCGGCGAGGAAAAAGCGGGTTACATTCGTATCCTGGCAGGCGGTTTACTCACGGGGAGTTCGGTCTGCGGTATGCACTACGTGGGCCAGCTCGGCATCGCCAACTACAAGTGTTCCTACCGCGTTGCTAATGTAGTCGGCTCGGCGATTATTGCTATCTTCTCCAGCACCACTGCCCTCGGCATCTTCTTTCGGTGGAGGGCTTCGTGGACGGATAGCTGGTGGAGACGCGGGATATGTGCTTTTCTGCTGGCTGGCGCGGTGTCGGGTATGCATTGGACTGCGGCTGCGGGGACGTCTTATCGTGAGCGCGATGAATCGCTTAAGCATGGGACGCAGTTGTCGAGGGGCCAGGTTGTTATCATCTGTTCCGTCTTGGTAAGAGGGATGATTCTCACTGAAGGCCTGGCTGTGACTGACTGATATCCTAGGCTTGTGTCTCCTGTGTGATATTATCTGCATGCGCTATCGTTGCCGGTGGCAATCGAAGAAGATCGACTAATCGTGCACATCAGCTTGTGCTCGCATGTGCTTATTTCGACCCTGCCGGTCGAGTCATGGTGACGCCGCAGGCACTTCTCCCAAGTCGAAAGATCGTGGACCATTACATTGGCCGAGTATGTTCTCCCAGGAATCTTCAGTAGTGAAATTGACGCTTATACCTCTCCAGACCTTCAAGGACGACGACCTGACCCGCACGCACCCAACCTTCCTCTGGGCCTTCCGAGCAAGTCGCAACTGGACAACAATCAAAGAGCTGGTCCCATTGATGCAAACCCGCCTTGAATCCGAGGGAAGGGCTATCCAGAAACATGTACTCTCGCGAGGGGTGGTGTTGGACAAGGAAACCGAATTGCAGACGGATTTTGACACTCTTTTCAAGCAACTATTCTGCGTCACAGCACAGGACCTTTCGACTGAACTTCGCGTTCCCCTGCAGGATCTGGGGATGCTGTACGACGACGTTCTGACCACCGCCATCCCCGTCTCGCGTATCTCTCGGGCAATGGGCCGTTCTTCGCTACGCACCGGAAAAGGCCAGTTGATGTTTAGTGTTCGTCAATTGCAGAAATATGATGCAACACGCCTGGCGTCACTGGGTTTTCGATTCGCTACTATCGAGCATGTTACTTCGATGCTCTCGCGCCGTATTCATGTCCCAGAATCGAGTCTTCTTCATAACCTGCGCGATATGCGAGACTATGCGTCGTCGAAGCGTGGATTCGGCGAGGGCGTGCATCTCACCTCATTTATCATGCGCCCGACTATACACGATCATTTTGAGGTTCTCACTGCCAAGGGCACGGGCAATCCTCTGCCGTCTGCAACTCTGCCTATGAAGCAGCTGCAAGTGCAGCATTTGGAACTCCTCTCGCACATGGAAGGATGGTCCATGAGCCACTGTCTCAAATACCTAGAGTCCGAAAACTTGGATCTCTCCATGGCCAGCTTCCGTGATCACCTAGTCGGCGCAATCACCTCGCTATCGAAGTGTCTACCAGAGGACATAGCCTCTGCCGCGCGGCTCTCATCTCGACCTCTCACCGCACCCTGCAATACGCTTACACTCCCAGCCGAAGACCGAATCCAACATCGATGTACCCTCCTCGCCTTCTGCGTCGTCGGATCTCTCAATACCCAAATTTCCAACCCGGACTTCACATTCACTCCACTGCGCCTCTTCAGAGTCCAGCAACAAGCCAACGATGACGCTACAGACCGTGACGCTTTCATCCGCGAGCTAGGCCAAGAACTCTTCTTCACAGACATCCGTTCCGCCTCCTCAGCCACCGAGTCCGACGTCGTTCCGCCCTCCACCCGCTCAGGAATTCACCGTTTTTGGCCATCGCGCAGTAAAAAGACAGTCTCCATGTCTGCAACCCCTTCCTCGCAGGTGTCCCTTGTTGAACCTATGACATCGCCTCTGCGCGATATCACAGTTCAGAAAGAAGTTCGTGTGGATGTCACACAGCTCCATGAACCTCCCACCCCAACTTCTATTGGTACCCATGATTCTCGCACTATCATTGCTGCTGCTGCGTCACCTTCTTCCTATGTGGATGAGTTGTATGGGCTTTGTTATGCACGGGGAATTCGGCTGCAACCGGATTCGACATTTCAGCGACAGGTCTCGCTGAAGTTGGGCGTATGAATCATGATGGGTCTTTTGTTTTTCTAGGCTGGCGTTGGGGGGTAAGTAAAAGCATTGACGACCTTGCATCCATGTATGATGTCCTTTATTGTGTCCTGCGTTGTCACTATCTATTTGTGCTGTAAATATAGGAATTTTATTGCTATCCAGTATAAACATGTACATTTTTGACCTGGCATATCGAAGTATAGTTTTAAGTTTGACGGTGATTAGCGCATGAATAAGACTATCTCAAACAAGTATGATTCACAAGACAAAGGTATTATCGTTACACATAACGAGAATAGTAAAAAAGGATGAACGCTATAAATCCAATGCAAGACAGCCAAGCACAACCACATACACCAATCCATGACAGGAGCACATACAGCACCACCATTTGAGAGATACAGAAGACTCCATCTCGTTCAGCTCTTAATAACAAGCCCAGAAATAAACAGAAGCTGGAAGAAGAGACCATCATGTCGCATTGGGATCCTCACGCTCCAAAAACGCCGGATCCACCTCGACCCGACGCTCAAACTTGGTCCACCAGTCCCGGAAGCTCTTAAGAGAGACGACCTCATGGCCCCTATTAGAGGGGTCGGACTCAGCAAAGCTGGCGAGGAAATTGAAAGCGCTGCCAATGATACGCTGGGCTAGCACCTTGGTCGATATCTGCTTCTGCTGACGCTGCTCGGGAGTCTGCAGTACTAGCGCAGTAGAAGTTTGCGAGGATTCTGTGCGCGGACGTTCCATCTCCAATGCGGCCAACTGCGGTGTAATGTTATCAGCGGACTCAATCGAGATGCCCAGAGTCACGACGGCGCCATTGGCTGCTCCCGCTGCTGCTCCGCCGGAGATATTGCTGCTGCCCTCATCCAGCATCTCGTCTTCATCTTCCGCTTCCGTGTGCCGCGGGCCATTGCCGCCGCCTGGTGATCGCACGCTGAAGATCCCCGATGGTTTTGCGTTGGCTAGCGCCCCGACGAACTTGAATTCCTGGGGTGCGCCGGTCGTTGCATCTGGGAGCTGGACGTAGATTGCGGCGCCTGTGTTCTCCGGAAGCACGGTGCCCGGTAGGAAGAAGACCACGATGTCCGTGAAGCTTGGGTTGGCGGGGAAGGTGAAGGCGAATTTGGTCGGTTGACCGGTCGGCGAGGCATCGACGGCGCGGATGTCTGTCAGACATGGGCGACCTGGAATTATGACGGAGAACATCGCTGGAATGGAGATTGGGGTGGAATTAAAGAGAGGGAGAAAGAAAGAGCTGTTGCTGGCAGTGACATAACCTCGTCTGCCCTTATCGATAAGGGCTGCTTTGTCCCGCCGGCTGCTTCTTTTCCCCCCCTCCATCAATCAACTCTGGTCATGGCCAAGTCCAACCTGGACCTAGTCCGCGAATGCGACAAGTATGTCTCCATGCAATTGTTGAGTCCATTGTCTTACCCCGTGCTAGTTTCCCCTACTACGACGACAACCCGGCCGCCTACACAGAGAACCTGCAGAACTACTACGCCTTCCGGGTAACGGGGTACGATGCGACACTCGGATACATTTTAAATACAGTGGTGGACAAGTTCCCCTGGCCGAAGGACTGCTGGAGCATTGACTCCGCCGCCCGCACAGTCACATTGGTGCCATTGCCGGGCGCGAACGCCGCCCAGCGCAGCAAGCTGGTGGCACAGAGCATTGCCGATGCAGTCAAACAGGGCAACTTCGAGTTGCTGAAGGGATGGCGCAATGAGATGTATCCTGTCTACGGACCGGGCGGCGAATTCTTGTTGGAGATGGAGCGCAGCGCGTCACCACTATTCGGCATCGTCAGCTACGGCGCCCATATGACGGGATACGTGGATAGCCCGTCCGGCCCGAAGATCTGGGTGCCGCGTCGCGCAAAGAATAAGCAAACATACCCCTGTATGCTGGATAATACCGTCGCGGGCGGGATGTGCACGGGCGAGATACCCTCTGAGTGCATCGTCCGTGAGGCCATGGAGGAGGCCTCGCTGCCAGAATCGGTTGTGCGCGCCAATGTCGTCCCTCGTGGCTGTGTGACTTATACACATGTTCGGGATGCACGCGCGGGCGGCGAGACCGGCCTGATACAGCCCGAGGTTGAGTATGTCTACGACTTGAAGCTTGATCCGAGCGTTGTCCCTCAGCCTTGTGACGATGAGGTCGAAGAGTTCCAACTGTTGTCTGTATCCGAGGTCAAGGAGGCGCTCAGCCGCGGCGAGTTCAAGCCTAACTGCGCCAATATCATGATTGATTTCTTCGTTCGCCATGGCATTCTCACCCCCGAGAACGAGCCGGACTATCTTGAGATCGTTGCGCGCTTGCACCGCCGCATGGATCACCCGACTGCGTCGCATTGCAAGTAGTGGGGGGATTTTTTTGGAGAATTGATATACATAGACCATTGGGTAGTCACATAAGAGAAGGTGTGCTGAGATCGGCAGATAGTAGTAGTTCATGACAATTCTTATCTGACTGACGAGATTCTATTGGTATCCCCAAATAATGCAAAAAATAAAACGCCACGCTGCACCCACAAAGATATTAACACTGTCCCAACCCCCCAAGATCCCCTCAACTTTTTGTTTTCTATCAATTCAAAAACCAGCACCAAGGGCCTATTTCTTGAGAAGCAGGTACAAATGGTCAATCCTCAGCGGGGCCAGCTTCTTGTAGGGACCCTCAAGATAGAGCAGCAATCCTCCAAAGGAGACAAAGACGGCCCTAAACGAAGATGCAACGTTAACAGGCTGGACTAGACTTCGCAGAAGCAACATAGAGAAACTCTCGGACACTCACATCGTATCTTTGGTCGCACCCTCCTCAAATCGATAAACCTTGCCATGGCAGACATAGTCATAGTCATTCGCCAATGTCTGCTCGCCCATACTGACTTCCCTCCAGCTCGCGCGGGTATCCTCCTTGCCGTCGAGGGAGAGCGTCGAGGCCAGCGCCAGGGAGAGCGACTCGCCCACGGCGCAGGGGTAGAGCTCCGAGTTCACATCCAGAGTGAATGAGAGAGTGGCATCGGTCGAGCTGCATGTCAGTCGGGACACGCGGTCGTACTTTTGAGCGTTGATCGCTGTGATCGTGAAGGTGTCTTCGAACAGGAGCGGATCCGACATGGTGATGGGCGTTGGTGGGTTGAGTTGGATTGGTAGGGAGTATGCGATGTGAAGTGATGCGCAAGTTTGGGGGGAACTCTGTGGTTACTCAGGCGCAATTGCTGGGTTGGTTGGGTTGAGGAAGAGGGAAGAAAGTGAAGGCGGAGTTTGACGTTGGAGAAGCCTTTTTTTCTGCCGTGTTTTTTGGTCCCGCCGATAACCATAACCTTGAAAACTACCATTACATTACTGCGGTGCTCATCATGTCCTTCCGCAAGCGCAATATCGGTCTATCGCCTGGCGTCGATCGTGCTGCTATTCCTACTGCCTCCGAAAAACCTGTGCCCGAGTCGCCTGGCATTCGGCCCTCCCCCGATGATGGACGGCCGACGACTTCAACGGGGACCCCCTCGCTAGACGGTCTCCTCGCAGGTCATGCGGGCCTGCCAATGGGTAAGACCTTACTGGTAGAGGAGAATGGGACTACGGATTTTGCAGGGGCATTGCTGCGTTACTATGCGGCGGAGGGCGTGGTACAAGAGCACAAGGTCCATGTGATTGGAGCGCCGGAGCAATGGGGTCGCAGTCTCCCTGGCCTAATTGGGACTGCAGAGTCGGTGGAAGGGAAACGATCCGACAAGCGCAAAGACGAGCGCATGAAGATTGCCTGGCGGTATGAGCGCCTGGGCGAGTTTGGGGCTGGTGTTGCCGGTTCCCGGAATGGTGAGCATGGATAACTTCTCCAGACCATTTTTCCGGTTACTGATAGTGTATAGTTCCGGCTGCTGGAACCCAAGACCCGGCTGCACCGCAGACACCTGCCTTCTGCCATGCCTTCGATCTCACCAAGCGCCTCGCCCATCCGTCCATCACCAACATGTCTTTCATCCCACTCGTGCCCTCCAAAGAATCACCGTTCATTTCTGTCCTCAACCGGCTACAGACTGAAATCGCATCCAGCGCTCCGCATACCATCCACCGCATCGTGATCCCCTCCCTACTCAATCCCACCATGTATCCGCCGGACACTTGCCAACCCGAGCATCTTCTCCAATTCCTCCACTCTTTGAAAGCGCTGATCAGCGCATACACCACCCGCGTCACCACAATGATCACACTGCCACTAGCCCTCTTTCCTCGTTCATCAGGTCTGGTTCGGTGGATGGAGCTCCTCAGCGACGGCGTCATCGAGCTCTGTCCCTTTCCACACTCTGCAGACGCGCTCACGACATCCGGCGCAGCAACCTCGCAGGAGGATCCCCCACAGGGGATGCTGAAAGTACATCGACTACCGGTATTACATGAGCGCGGTGGCGGAAGCGATCAGAATCTCGGACAAGACTGGGCGTTTACTCTCAGTCGACGGCGATTTGAAATCAAGCCTTTCAGTCTTCCCCCGGCGGAGGGGGACAAGGAGGCGCAGGATGCATCGGCACCTAGTGGAATGCCTAAAAAGTCCGATCTCGAGTTCTGAGAAATCAATCATCCTCTTCTTCGATATGACGTCTCACGCCGGGCTCGGAGCTCGAAAACATGTCCTCCAGCTCGATCTGCTCCGACATGGCAGGGCCCGAGCTGGCCATTGTCCGTAGGTAGCTTGGCCCGTACGCATCAAGGTCGGGGCGCACGGAGAAGCCTCCCAGGCGCGTGCGGAACCGGTTCCCCAGACACGAGGAGACGGCTAGCCATGCTGTTCAATATCAGCGACCTCATCTTCATGCATGGGGTGATGCATCCGAACCTATGAAGAGGAGTAGTGGTGCGAAAAAGACCAGGAGCAGCAGCAGCAGGAAATCCATGGCGATGGTGATTGTCAGCGACAAGCAACAAACAAGCCCGCAGCTCCAGGACCGTCGGTGCTGACTCATCTGGTCTAACCGTCCCACTTCTTATTTTCCACTTTTTCTCTTTTCTCTTTCTTCTTCCTTCCTTTTTCCTCACACACCTTTTTTTCCTCATGGTAAGTTTCTACATCTCCATTCCACTCCTGCTTTGCATGATTATATATCTACAATCTGTCAATCCCCTGAAGCTCGTCAAAATTATCATTAAAAATTGAGCACCGGTGACTGAGAAACGTATCGAGAATGACTGCAAACCCACCACTTATTTCTGTGCACACATTTGTCTCACGAGAAAACATTGGCTAACTCGGACACAAAGTCTTGATGAACAGAAAAACAAAGAAATATGGACTCCGATCCACCTCTCCCCATCCCGATCTCCTACATATCTCATAGATACCTCCTCTTCTCCATTGACGCCGTGACCTACCTCAGACGCGAGCATCACATCTGCGGCGTGCTGATCGGGACGCTGCCGCAGATCCCCCAACAGAATGTGTTTCTGGGTCTGCCGCTCGAGCTGATGCCCGAAGAGGCGCGGTTGTTGGTGGACAAAGGTGTAGCGTGCATCGTAGACGAAGCCAAGGCCCACGGCGGTATGCGGTCCCTTCTAGAGGAGGACCGCGCGCGCTATCTGCGTGATCTAGAATCCCAGGGCCAGCATGCGATGCGCCTGCAGTCCGACCGGAAGGAGCAGAAGCGCGAGGAGGCGTTGAAGAAACTAGATGAGAAGAAAGCGGCCAAGGCGCGCGGTTCCCCGTCGGCATCGGCACCGACCGAATCCTCGGCGGCCATTGTGGATATCTTCAACTCCGAACGGAGCAACAGCAGCACTTCCCGAGATACTTCAGCTGCAACCGCTTCCTCCAGAATGGGCATCACACCTGCCACATCCTACCCGCCCCTCCCTCCGCCCTCTTCTACTCTTCACCTCCCACCACCCTCCGTCCCGGCCTCATACCCTCTCTTCGCGCACTTGCATGCACGCGGCTACTTCCTTTCGCCGGGCCTCCGCTTCGGATGTAATTACATGGCTTATCCTGGAGACTCGCTGCGCTTCCATGCACATTTTCTTGTCGTGTCCTATGATTGGGATGAGGAGATTGACCTCATGGATGTTGTTGCCGGCGGCAGATTGGGAACCGGTGTCAAGAAAGGGTTCCTTCTTGGTGGAGCCGAGAAGTCCAAACAGGAGGTGGAGAGCGAGGCGGATCGTGTGGACAGCGTGAGAGCTTTTAGCATTGAATGGGCCGGGATGTGAAATGCTGGCGTGCAGGCATTGCCAACAAAACTCCTCCTACCACCACTTCTTGCTGCGAGCATTCGAAGCATGATCGAGTGCCAACAAGGCCCGCGTTACATCCGTGGGTTCAACCTCCAGGCTTCTGTGCGCAGGCATCCCCGGCGATGTTTGTCCCAATTCCAAGGAAGCGGAGCAAACTGGGATATGATATCGCTCCCTTCGCCTTGCTGCGGTTCTACAGCTCCGAAATGAGCACGCGCGGCAAGTTTGCATTCAAGATGACTCGTGAGAAACACGAGAACAGCTTCGAGCAAAGCATTGCTCGAGCTACCGACATTTTGTCTATACTCCAGAAGCGAGGTCTGATCAGGGAGATCAACCGATCTCTCCATAACTATCATAAACATACATTGTGCCTGTCCCCTCGTTGTAAGGACGGTCAACCAACAATCATACATAATTCATGACATTAATTTCCGTAGCAGCATCATAGCCCAGAGATACCATCCATAAACGAAGGTTGCATCAAAGGTACTCGACATTCCTCCACTTAAACTTCTTATTCGCTCGATCAACGGGCCGATTCTGGAACTGACTGCCATGGAGCTCAAAGACCAGCGGCTTCGGAGTATTTTGGTCATTCCGAGCAGTCTCTGCACGTGCCTCGCCCTGCCCCGACTCGACGGAAGGGGTGGGCAAAGGCACGGTGAAGCGGAAGATCGATTGTTCTTTGGGCACAGCTGCAAATCTCCCATTAGCCTCTCTGTCTCTCTCTCCCCCTCCGACGAAAAGCAGAAATAGAAACTCACTCTTCACTTCGTCCTTCTCAGTCACAACCACAAAAGTGAACTTCGTATCCCTCACCACAATTCCCTTAATCCCAACCCTCCCAACAGCTGCACTCCTCACAACCTCCACCTCGGCGCCGTGGAAATCTGCACTGACAAGCTTACTACCATGCGCCATGGCATTCACAACGGTTGTTGAAGATCTGACATCAAGAAGATCCTGCATATACCCCGTCCACAGCGCATGCAGCCCCCGAAAAAGTGCGTATTTGCACTCCTCGCGCGGGAGATCGTAGATCCCGGAGGAGCGCTTTTCCCGCGCTGATAGCGGGCGTGGTCGCTGGTGTCGCAGGAAGTATTCTTTCTTGCGGAGGCGGTGCTGTCGTCGCCGGGAGCGGTTGTCCGAAGCCGAGGGGGAGGTTGCGCGCAGGAAGAGCGGTTTTTGTTTTATGCGCTCGGTGAATTGTTGGTTTGTTGTGTCGGGGGAGTGTGCGCGGGAGAGGAGGGTTTGGGCGATGTGTGTTGGTGGCCTTGGGGATGGGGATGGGGAGGCCATTTTGTTTGTGGTGGTTGTCATGGTGGCGGTGGTGGTGGACGTTGAGGTTGAGGTTAAGTGTACGCCTACCTAGAACCTTTTGCGGAAGCGGCTCCTTGCGACCCACCCACCGAGTCGGCTACCCGATCACTCTCTATACTTGACGGTGTCACTCCCGTCATTGCCATTTCCACAGAGAACGACAGTGGCACCTCTCATTACACTAGCCACTTATGCGCTCAGCCTGGACGTCCGGCATATCATGCAGAAAGCTACAGCCCGGATGAGCACAGATTTGAACCTCGGCCTTTTTCTTCGACCCGCCGACTTTTTCAGAGCCGGTGCTTCGAGAAGATTGACTAGAGAGTTAAGGCTTTGGAGAAAAGGAGGCAGAAGGAGCAAGAAAATGGCCCCTGGTGTTCGGACAGAACCAGGGATAGTCAGCAGGGCCGCCACTGCGATTTGCGGCAGTGATTCTATTAGCTGGCTTGTTCACCCAAATTAGGTATGCACAACAATGCAATTGGTTATTACATTAAGTGCTCTCTAAATGTCTAGTACAAACGTCACTCTTTATAATTCGGGTTTATAATAACAAATCGGCTGTTCGTCTCCCTCGGCTGCCGACTTCCCCGCATCACCACCGTCATTCCATGCTTCACTTCTACATCCTCTATACAATCGCATTTTGTTTCATATAGCCATGAACCAAGTACAGCAGAGCGAGGAATTTCCGGGTCTGCCTCCCTTCCCGGACGATGTGCCAACGGCGCCACTTCTCAGACTCTCACTGGGGAAGTTGCTCGCCGGCGATGTCGCCGAAGTCGAGAGACTATTCCAGGTCTCAGTGGACTTAGGATTCTGTTACCTCGACCTCCACGACTCGGCTCCAGGAAACTGTCTCCTTGATGATGCAGACAATCTATTTCAAATTGGTGAGAAGCTCTTCGAGTTGAGTCTGGAAGAGAAGAAGAAGTATGACTTCAGCGCGCAGAAGTCGTACTTCGGGTACAAAGCGCAGGGCGCAGGTGTCATTGACAAGCAGGGAAACCTGGATCGGCATGAGTTCTACAATGTGCGTACCTATTTGACCCTTCCAGTGTAAATAGCCCAACCAACATTTCAATAGGTCTCAAAGGATGATATCCTCGGCATTAGTGACCCGCTTCCAGCGCCAGACATCCTGCATCAGAGCCGTGAGCGTCTGACCTCATTCATGCAAGGCTCCCATGCAGTCGTGACGCTCATTCTGAAGCTGCTGAATGACAAACTGGCTCTACCGCCAGACACTCTTCCCAATCTCCACCGCCGCCAAGCCATCAGCGGCGACCAAGTTCGCTTCGTGAAAGCCCCTCCCCAACCGCAAGACGACCGACGCACTGCACTGGGCCAGCACACGGACTTTGGCAGTGTCACGGTACTCTTTAACCGACTGGGCGGGCTGCAGGTACTGCCTCCAGGCGCAGACGCAGAATGGGTATATGTGCGGCCTTTGCCAGGCCATGCGATTGTCAATCTCGGCGATGCAATGGTCAAGTTCACCAACGGGCTGTTCCGGTCGAATATCCACAGGGTTGTCTCGCCGCCGGGTGCTCAGGGCGACACAACGCGGTACAGTCTGGTGTACTTTTCGAGGCCGGAGGACAGCGTTATGCTTCGCCGTTTAGAAGGGTCCGATCTCATCCCGCGCATTGAGGACGGGCAGGTCGAAGAGGAGATTAATAGCAAGGACTGGATCATTCGGCGGGCATTGGGCCGGAGGGCGGGTCTGGCGAGCAGCATTGACTATGACAAGGCGGCAGGTACGGAGCAGATGAGTCGTAGGATCAAAGTATGAACACGTTGTTGTGTCAAGAGAGGTATGAAACCAACAGGAGGCAGCATATCCGGTATTATTTATTATTATTGTGTCCATATCGTGTACTTTGATAGATTTCTCACGAAGCAGTCAAGCAAAAGGATCTCCCGTGGACAGCCCTCCCCTTAGCCCCGAAGGGCAAGAGGATCTACTATATTCAGAACAACATTTTCCATTTGTTAGTATTTTCCATTGAAGAGCCTTGGACGTTGTAGCCTAAATAACGTATATTCAGAACTCGTCAGTGGTCTTGCCATCCACAGCACTCCATCTGCTATCTTTCAAACAGTTCCAGGTGTCGGAATTTCGGAGCCATGTGATTTTACAGCCGAGGCTACTGCCAAAGCGGAGGTTGAATCTAGGTCTGAGAAGAGATACTGGTGTGTTTAGTCCTAGTCGGGAAATTATCAACCCTTGTCATTCCTTACTCGTGATGTGTCGTATATCCTGTCAAGCTTAATACAGGAAATCTGAGTGGATAAAAATCGTGGACATTAGGCATCCGCACCCGTCAGTATTGCGTGGCACAATGAAATCAACGTTCGAGTCAACCTTAGGAACCCCTTTCGTCCTCTTTCCTTCTCTCTTCTTTCTTTCTCTTTCTGGTTTTTGCAGCTGAGACGTTGATTTTTGCTGTTGAAGAAGGTTCAATGCGCAGGTGCATATCAGCCACACTGGGTAATGATCAGTGATCTAGTCCGGCTACTCGAAGTCAGAGCTCAACTTTACCAACTCACGACGGAGTTTGAGCACTAAAATGGAAAGAGCCACGGCACAGAAATAATCCACTTTGTATGCAAGCCGACAGTTATTGTTGGTCCATGCACAGGTGACAGCTTCGATTATGGCATCCCGGTTTTCTGGCTCGCATTTGCCGGGCCGCCGGGATCCATTCCAGGAGGAAGGAAATGGAACAACACCGACAGTGTGGCATGACGTGCTGGGCTCTGAATCGTAGAGTAAAAGTCGATTGCAGTCTAGGGGCTAAGTTTGATCACTGATTGATCGATCAACGCTGCATGGTTAGACTGTTTTTGCTTCCGACCGGCCTGTATGGTTTCTGGACGATGTACGGAGTCACGGATAGTGCTACACTAACGCTTATTATTGCTTAGAGTAGTGCGAGTGGCCCGGCCAAATGATAATCGGACCCATCCTCCTGTCACCTCTCCGAAATTCTGTACTAATAATAAGAACCCTACTGTGTGGAAAACATATCCAGTGCCGGACCCAGCAGCCTGGAACCTCCCCAGCCTCTCTTCAAGCCCCTTGCTATCTGCCTTGCTGCCGAGTATTCCTGCTGGATCCCGACAAGCAAAGAAGGATGGTAACCGGGGCCTGGCCCCTGACAGTCCCAACAGACCGGTAGTATTATTGACAGGTAAACGGATGAGATGACAGTGACGCTTCTTCGGAGTTGCCGACCGTCGGCCGTCACTTGCTCTGTATTACTACACAGCATATGAGTCTCGGACACGGTGTCATTTTACCAAAAGCTGTGTGACCATATACACAAATTAGGAGTACACCCATCCTACTAACTCTCTCTGCAGTTGAAACCCAATTAGAGCACAGGATTGTGTATGTACTGCAGTGTCCTTTGTAAAGGCCACAGTCCGTAACTAACTAGCTAGCGTTATGAAAGAATACATAATCCTGCGAACGTACCCCACCGATCTATTCCACGATAGGCAACAGTCTCAACGAGGCCCAAGCGCCAGTCCTTTTCCTTCCCGGAAGTGCCCTTTTCCAGGGGATTGGGTAAGCCATCCGCGCCAATGGAACAAGCGTCCCGTCATCATTTTACCCCGTACTGTACACGGCGGAAGGGCCGGTATTATAGAACAGGGTATGAAGAATATGTGCTTTCACGCGGTTTGCCTCAAGGCCTCAAACTGTGTTACTCCCTTGCATTATATTGTTCAATCTTTATATTCTACTCTAGCAAAAGGGAAGATGAACCAAGTACGTAGTAGGAAACAACCCATCCATCCTACAGACAAATCGAAGAAGAGGATGTAATCCACCTCGGCTCGGTCCGCAACCCCCGCATGGTTCGACTAACTAAACCTCCGCTCCCCGGCGAGTAGGATCGAGATTCCTCCTGGCTCCGTTGGCTAGTGTTCTGTACGGTTGCAACCAGTAGCACATTGTATCATGCCACATGTCTGGAACCCAATTCTGGGATCGGACGAGGGGGGAGGGGCGCGGCCGTTATCTGACAGCTCGACCAATTCTCCGTAGATTAAAGACGGCAGACGGCGGATGCCTTCCGGATCCAGCTCCTACCAAATCAAGCGACTGACATACTTTGTACAAAGTGTCTAAATAACGAGTCTACGAGGAGTTATCGAACATGTCTTGTAACAGTAATTGGCGCTCTTTTTCGCAGACCAGTGGGTCAACGCGAGACAAGTGTATTTCCATTATGTCTTTAGGCAATGGTTTGGAGACGGGTCTGTCAGTTCGCGCAAACGATCGGGAAAAATTTATTTAAATCACATTGCTGTAGTTGAGCGCGACAGCCAGCCAGGGAGCGCGGCAGGCTGCAGCGTACATGATCAAAAAACACTTCGTCAAGTCTAGACTGTCAACGAGGCCAATTTCTCCTCCACATGCCGGATAAGCGCTGGATCAAATTCTTTCTTGACCTTCTTCGGTGGATCTCGTATCGTTTCTTCGCATTTGCTTTGGCCGCATTTTATGCATGAAGATGCTCCGTCGTGATATGTCGTTGAACAGACGTGACAAATGTACCGGTATCGGCGCCGTGGTTTCTTCCACTCGCGATTTGGGAAAGGTTTCGGCGGGTCGACATCACCAGGATATCCAGTGGGGTATTTTTCTGGTTTAGCTGGATCGCGAGGGCAGGTCTTGCATCGGGCATGCTTGCAGTTCTCGCACTCCTTGGATCCAGGTGCGAACATAGTCTGGCACTGGTGGCAGTGGCGGCGGGCACGCTGGCGGATAGGTTTGCGAACAACGTTCTGGCCACCCCTGGGCGATGGCCGAGTAAGGAACGCAGCGGCGCCGTGAGACTGCAACTGCGAAGCCAAGTTCATAGGGAAGTCGCCGCGCTGGCGCAGCATCTCGGGGATCTTGGCCTTGGGAATCGGCGGCTCGGCGGACGCCGACTCGTCCTTGGTACGGCCGGGAGGGAAGCGCGGGCATTTCTTGCAGCGTGGGTGCTGGCAGTTGACGCAGACCTTATCTGGGCCAAATGTGGTCTGGCAGCGGTGGCAGCTGCGGCGGACACGCATGCGAACGGGCTTGGTGACTCGCTGCAAAGGCAAGTCGGTAGGCGATTTCCACTCGCCGGGCTCAAGAGTTAGGCCATATTTGGCGAAAACGGCTCTCGCCTTCTCCTTCTGCACGGTGCCATAGTCCGACAGAATCGGGGCGGTCGCGATAGAGTGTCTCTGCGTTGCGGCGGAAGCACTATTGGGGGGAGACATATGTTAGAATGATTTTCATATTTATTCAGATGTTTGAGCATACCTTGGCTTGCTTGTTAGACCAGACAGGCTCGACACCGATTGACGTTTAGAGCTGGAACGGGTGCGCAGAACGGTCTTCATGCGTTTCAGATACTTCGAGAAGCCCTCAGGCTTGTCCTCGCCGGAAGGACCGGGGTTGGTAGACATCGTGTCGTTGTCGTTTAGATTAATGATCAATCGCAGTTCATCATCCCAGCAGTAGTCTTGTCAGTCGTCGAGACAAGGGTGAGTATTTGATGGCGGAGTAGGTTAGTGGAGTCTCGAAGAGCGAGACGGCGAGAATAAGAAGAGTAGAGCATTATTCGTTACGGTAACTAATAATACCGCGAGTGGAGTCGCCAAAGCTCAGGCTCCCGGGCACATGGGGCCGCTGGTGTTCCGACACAGTGGTCGGTCCCAGGTAATATTACTGATTCCTGCAGGGGTTGTGGTGGGTTATGGTAGACCCCCAGAATGGACTGCTCCGGGGGCGATCTTACATGATACGGGGTGCGCCGGGCACGACATCGAGACGAGTTGACAGGGAACTGCGCACTAACCCGGAAAGATCGAGCCAGATCCTCCAGAACCTATTATTATTTAGTATCCTTGTCTAACAATCGGATTGTCACCGAAGACAAAGAAAGAGGCTAGATCCAGAATCAGGAACTGGGCCGGGCCTTAGCGGTCTCCGTCCGAAGTTTCGTGGTGAAGGTTCTCCTGATCATAAATCGCGAAGAATAAACTTCAAAGCTCCTGCCGTTTCGATCGAAGCCTCCGCCACCGGCCATGCATGATGCAAGACACCAGAATTCCATAAAAAATAATACTGGAATGATCATCGCCCCCTCTCTCCCGCTCTTAGTTACAGTACGTGTATAGACTAATTATCCCTCGTTGCCCAACGGTCCCACACTTTAGTCCGTGTGGCGCTGTGACCTCGATGTTCTCCCGCGTCGCGTTCACCCAACGGCATATCGAGGACGCGTTAAAGGTCTGACAAGGTTAATTGATGATCTGTTGCGGTCGACGACCACTCGTCATACAAGTTGAGATGTTTCCCAGCTGAATCCATACATCTTCCGTACATCCGTCTCCCAGGCCGCCTTCACCGCCACCATCAGCTGAACCAGCCCGCTGGAACAGGGAGATTCTCGGGTCCTGTTGGACAGGAGGGTTCGTTCCAGCACCAGAGAAACAGTCCGCCTTGACAGGTTGGTCAGTGCGATTCCAACCCGCTGGGACGTTCAGTCTCCTTTTCCCACCGGACTTCCTTCCAGAGGACGGCCGATCGCTGGGATGTAGCTCCACTAAGTGGGCCTCGTGCGTCGCTCTCATTGCCCCAGGCAGGACTGGGGGCCGAGATGGAAGAAGTGGAGGCCGATCCTGGAGAAAGGCGATTGGCACGTCTAGCGAACAGGATCTGCTGTTTTCTATCGACCGAAGTGTGCGCATTACGTACATTACTATGCAATGGGGACCGTGCATCAACAGCGAGCGGCGGTTTGCAACTGATTTACTACTCGATGCGATCGAAGATCTCTCATCGCTTAACCGCATGTTGGATCTTACAGCAGGCCCAGTCCGCTGGGTAAATATATATGCGACAAGAGTGCAATAGTTTCGGCTGGCATGCTCTTTCGTGCCAAATTAATTTGGAGCTCGTCATCTTCTCATGAACTTCGATCATCCATCCTAACTTATTGCTGATGACACATCCTGCGGTAGACACTCTGGCCCCTACGCAGACTCAGCCCTAGTCCATATTACTGTCCCCCCGGGCAGTATTATCCTTCAGGCGTATCAGGGGTTGTCATAGTTAACGAAACGGCATCGTGCACGTTTAATACTCGGTTCATCCGTGGGATTCGCCGCCAGCCCTGGGCCCCAGATTGCATGTATGTTGTTACCAGCCCGGAATAATCCCGACAATTCTCGAAGACCTACTGTGTAATAGTATATCTATACTGTATCCTGCACTGATGCTGCATCAAATGATATATACGTCTTTCAGGTATAGGTACAAATGTAAAGGAACAATGATAGAGATCGAAGGAAGTAGATCAAACTGTAAACCGCAGAACGTGCTTGTTGTATTCGAGACACAAAGTTTCCAACAGCGCTCGGCCCCAACAAAGTACAACTATCGGGCTGTGTTCCGACAGGATTGATCGGCTGCCTTTTCATCTGCCTCTGGGCTACTGTTTCATCCTGCTCTCGTCCGAAGACCTATTGAGGGCCGTCAACACAGGCCCCTGTCCAGACTTATATCTTGCCCAGGTCTCCGGAATGATCTGCGCTAGAATCGTCTCTAGATCACGGGTCTTTGACCATGGCAATAATGACAACTGATGGAACACAGTCTTGATTATCTCTCTTTCGCAGTCGCGATGTTCAGAAGTGATGGATGCTTGTAGGGTGGCTGTCAGAGGTTTGCAAGGAATTCATCGTGAACACTGTTGCGAGCGTTGTCTTGAATGGCTCTAGGATGGCTTCGCTGGCCTCGATTATGAGATTTCCGTCAAGTATGGAGTGGAGTTGACGTACAGTAAGCCACCATATACAAACGTGAGTTGGTTGGAGCTATGGGAAGCGTTGAAGAAGAGTGACCGATCATGAATGGAGCACGTCTTGTTTGAGTTCCTGATGGATGAGGATGTCGCCCATATCCTACTAGAAAAACAAGCAATTGACCGTTGGGAGAAAAGCAGTATCAATCCCTCTTTCCTCAAGCCCTGTTTTATCCCGAGGCACATCCATGGTTTCTTTGTTTGCACGAAGCAGTCCAGACGATACATGTGCTTTGTTTGTCTCTCTCTTCTCTAAATACATCCCTCAACCCCTTCTATCTTCATTCTTTCTCCCATCTCCGTCCCCAGTTCTCTACCTTCTGAGACATCCTCCAAGGAGTTCAGATCCCATTTTACAACTCTCGCGGACGAATTTGTCGCGGAAAACCCGAACTGGGCCACATTTGATAAACACGCATTTTCTTCCCGTGCTTTTTGCGTCATCCTGTCTCTGTCACTAGTCTGTCGTGGCTTCCACCGCGTTCTCACGCCGTTCCTATTCGAGAAGATCGGCTTCGAGATCTATCATACCCTCGTGCCTCCCTCCGAACAGATGTTACAGCTGCACCGGCTTCTCAAAGGCAACCCAGAGCTTCGGTCAATATGCTTCTACCTCTACATTTAAATCGACCATGATGCTATTGCAACAAAAGAGGACTTTGAGGTGGCCCGTGATCTTGTCTCTTGGCTGACCAAAGTATGGTCTCTGTTGCTTGACCGCGGGTTTGAGAGGAGGTCCACGGTCAGTCCTCGCCATCGCACATTGGAATTGACAGGAGTCATCGCCAGAGGGTGTTGAACCTGACTCGCCAAGCCAGCCATAGCATGCCAGTGCTCAAGCATTTCAAGATCAATGACTCAGTTTGCCCCCGGGGGATCAATTTGGCAGAGGCCGTGGAATACATCGAGTTTCCTGTCTCTGGAAGAATTGCCTCTGCGCGCTAATAGGTGTTCAGATCCCGCTCGAATTTCGAAAATGGCAGAGGTGAGTATCCTGACTCTTAATCTTTCATCTCTTTGTTTCTAGAGCGTGGTTGATACGTTTTTAGAAATCCCGATGTTCATCAATGAAACAAATCAAACTCGAATATTGTACAGACACACCCGAGGCACTTCTCGAATTTATTCGCTGGCCAAAGGAACTGACGAGCTTGGCTATCCACGCTGAAGAAAGAGATTTGGATCTACTTGTTCCATATGAACTCCAGGGATTGGTGTCCGTTCACAAGGACACTCTCACTCTCCTTAATGTCGAGCTGAGACGCAAAGGATCGCCAGTCGACGTCTCTAACTTCCCAAGTCGTGAAGTTCTCGAATTGTCACGGGATTCGACAGACCCGGGTCAACTCAACAGAAGGCTGAAATGGTCATCTTTCCATGCAGATCCCCGTCTCACTCCTAATCTGCACACCTTGATCATGACAAAGAGCGGATTTTTGAATTCGCTAGAGCTGCCGTGGCGAGAAAGTCGAAACTGGCGTGCATCAATCTCCAATTTGTCGATAGGTGGTATTCCAAGTACTCCGCAAACAACTGGCAATCGCAGTGGCATAACTTCGCAGACCTCGCAGGTGACATTGAGATGTATGGAGTGACATCAAGACACGACGAGATGTACTGAACCAAATAGGAATGGTAAGAGGTCATGGAAGATTAAGCTGAGGAAGAATAGCGGCTGCATGTTTAAACAGAAGCGTGCTCAACCAATCACTAGTTTTTCAACTATGGCATATTCTGACAATCATAAGAATCCTAGCAACCACGGCTAGCTAGAGTGATATATATGTGCCTTGCAAATCAACACCATCCAACCAAACGTCCGCTCAATACAGAACCGCGGCTGGATAGATGACTTCGTATGAAGCAGCATCAAAATGGCGGTGTGTGCGCCATCATATTGACGGACTCTTTAAGATATATTTCCCTCTGTTCTGCACTCGTCGGATCGAGCTGCTGCAAGCAGAGTGCGAGTTGAAGTTATGTGTTGCCTGTCACCGAACTGATGCGAAACGCTTACTCCGAGCCGGCCAGCCGGGACTCGATAGACGTGACATCCTCATCGCTCTGCACCTCGACCACCCGATTAACCTCCGCCGTGCTGCGCATCAGTTCCACTGCGCCAGCGTACATCATCCGTTGCGACGGATTGCAGTTTTCGGGCAGGTAGTAGAGGAGGACGTAGGGGACGGAGAGACGGCCGGAGCTCTGTAGTACAGTCCCAGTGGATGAGTATATAGATAGCGACAATGAGCAAGAAAGGGAGGATTGGTTGCATGCACTACTCACAAGTGTCAACGGGTGGCTGAGGAGGATGAAGCGTGGGGAGGACTCTGGGAGCTCGTCGGCTACGTCCTCCATCTTGGTGTAGACTTCGCCATCCTCGGGCCGAATCTCCTGGGTTTTGGTGTCGATTATATCTGCACGCTGATTAGAAAAGTATCTCTGTGGGGTGTGTAGGAGGTAAATCGCACAGATGATGGCTTGGGGATCCTTTGCTCGTGAGGTGCTGAGGCGGAATTTGCGCAGCTTCTCCCTTGTTTCTGGGGAGAAGGAGTATAGCCGTGATTCAGACTGTGACAGATGTTAGCCATCGTCTGTCTGTTCCCAGCAGAGAGTGGTTTGCCTACCATTGTTTATGATCAATGTGTTGGTGGTCAAATGGAGAGAGAGATGGCAGAGGAAGATTGAATAGTCATGCGGGCCCCCATCCCCTCCCCCCACTCTTTCACTTCCTTCGACTCTTGTTCTTCTTACTTCCCTGCTTAACCACCCACCTTCATATCCCTACATACCCTCATGCTCAACCGTCTAACTCACCTCACCCGCCATCTCCCCCGTCCATCATCACTCGCATCACCACCGTTTCCTCGGCCGCTCTCCTCAACCCTGGTCCCGCGCCCAGGTCCGCCCGCGATGACATCAGCGAAACCAATCCACACGGCCGCGTGCCTGATCATCGGCGACGAAGTGCTGGGCGGAAAGGTATGTAGACTATAAACTAACTATCTGATATCAATTGCAGCGCTGATCATCCACATGCACGCAGACCATCGACACCAATTCGCCATACCTAGCCAAGTTCTGCTTCGGGCTCGGCATCCAGCTCAAGCGCGTGGAGGTCATCCCGGATGATGAGGAGGATATCATGGAAGCTGTGCGCCGGATGAGTGCTCGCTATGACTTTGTTGTTACCAGTGGAGGCATTGGGCCTACGTTCGTACACCCCTGACAGCCAGCAAACACCATCTGGGATGGAGGGAGGAGTGCACGGAGTCTAACATGGAAGACGGAACAGACACGACGACATCACCTACTCCTCCATCGCCAAAGCCTTCAACCTCCCGCTCAAACTGCACGCGCCAGCGTTCGAGCGGATGAAGCAGCTCTCACGCCCACACCCCATGCAACCAAACTTCGACTGGGAGACGCCCTCCCCAGGCCTAACCGCCAAGCTGCGCATGGTCGAACTGCCCCACGACCCCGCGCTCCCAGATGAGGCACAAGCGATCTTCGTCACGGACGACATGTGGGTTCCCATCGCAATCGTGAACGGCAACGTGCACATCCTCCCCGGAGTGCCGCGCCTATTCGAGCGGCTGCTTGAGCACCTCAAACCCGTACTGATCCCCCGGCTGGCTGATCCGGAGGGCAAGGGGAGTTTCCGCATTCTGATTAGTACCCCGTTGCCGGAGAGCGCCGTGGCGCCGTATCTGACTGAGCTTGCGAGTAAGGTTGAGCCGCTGGGTGTGAAGGTGGGTAGTTATCCGCGCTGGGGAAAGAAGCGGAATACTGTTACTCTTGTTGGTGCAGATCAGGCGTATATGGAATCGTTGGTTAAGGAGGTTGAGGAGGGTGTGCAGGGGAAGAGGGTCTCGAAGGAGGATGAGTTGGATCCGCCTGCCCATACGGATCAGGTGTATAGTCAGTAGGAACGATATGTAGGACATGGTGAGGCGGCGGGAGAGAGGAATGTACATCAACTTTTGATCTCGATTGCGAACGGCGCTATATCTACTGCATTTGTCTGATATTTCCCGGTATTTTACCATAGAAGAGACGAAACCTACAACGCTGCGCAAGTACATAGAGAATGGCCTTACGAATGCTACGGCAGACACGGACACAAGCAGACAGAAACCCACAAGCACATCCACATTGAACAAAAAACACGCGCCATGAGATATAGAGAGAGATGGCAAGGGAAATGGGTCCCTGCACAAAACATATACGGACGATCAGATCCCAGGATCAGACAGACAGACAGACAAGACAGATGGGGACAAGATTCTTTCGCGACAGATAGATAAGAAAGAAAAGCAAAAGGAAAGGAAAAACGACGCACGCGGGTGCAACAAAAGGGGAATCAAAATGGTTCATGAGACGAAGGCTGGCGTCAAGAGTCGGCATTTGGTTTTGGTCTGCGATGAACCCACGTCAAAAGGGAATTGCGCAACACAAATCAACAACAAGCCATTGGGTTTTTTGTGGGTTCTCCGGATCGACCCCCAGATTGTCGTAAACTCTCCCCCTACTACCAATCTCTGTTCTTTTTTGTGTGTGTTCCTCGAAATTATGCGCACCGTATCGTATGGGTTGTGCGACCGGGGACAAGTCCCTTTACATAATGACGCACTTGGAGCAGCAGCCGGCGCTCTCACCGGGCTCGCTGACGTCCATCTTGCCGTCTGGCTGGCGGGCACCGTAGGCGCCAGAGCCGGCCGGGTACGAGGACATTTCCTTGTTGTAGCGGCGAATCTCGCGAACGAGGTCGTAGAAGGCGTTCTCGACGTTGATGCGCGACTTGGCGGAGGTCTCGATGAACTTGCAGCCGAACTGCCGGGCCAGGGCCTCACCCTCTACAGACAGACACGCGCATTAGCCTCTTCTTTCTTTTCCTCGGATTACTTTATTACCCACCTTGCTCCGAGACCACGCGCTCCTTCTCCAAATCGCACTTGTTGGCCACGACAATAATGGGGAAATAGTCCTTGTCCTTAACGCGCAGGATCTGCTGTTGGAAGGTCATGATCTCTTCGAAGGATTGGCGCGACGTTATCGAGTAGATCAGCAGGAAGCCCTCGCCAGTCCGCATGTATTGCTCCCGCATTGCCGAGTACTCCTCCTGACCGGCTGTGTCCAGGACGTCCAACAAGGCGACCTCATCATCGATCACGCACTGCTTGCGGTAGGAGTCTAGACGAGAGATCAGTGAGTGAGTGAGTGGAATGAATGAGTGGGATTTGTCAGGGCTCACCTTCAATTGTCGGGTCGTACTCATCGACGAAGTGGCTCTGGATCAGCTGGATCGTCAAGCATGACTTTCCGACACCACCGCCGCCGACAACGACCAGCTTGTATTCTCGTAGGAACTATCGCAAGACAGAAAATCCTAAGTCAGCCATTGGAGTGGTCTTTGGGAGAGTGGGATTGCAGGCGATGGGGCCAGCAAGGAGGTCTCGCAGGGTCAGGGCGTAGGGCTGGATGGCGGTCTGGGGGATGTTTTGGGCGAGCTCACCTTGGAGGCCATGACGGGTGAAAAAATCTATGGGAGCTCTGCGTGTGTGTGGTTTTTTGTTTGATGTTGATGGGTGCGAACGGAAGACGGAGGGGGGTGGGCAGTCGAGCGAGGGAGGGAATGGAGACGAGGAGCGAGTAAGAAGGGAAGGAAGATGGTTGGTGCGAGCGATTAGGGGGGGGGTGGGCAGGGTGGGTTCGGCAGGGGGAGAACCGCTAGGGTTTTTGTCCAAGCTTCTAAGTGGAGAGAAGCAATATACAAAGAGAAGGAGTGAATGTGTGTGGGAGTAATAGAGAGAGAGAGAAAAGAGAAGTGGTGAGAAAATAGTTACTAGTCATAAGTTAGTGGGGAGAGTAAGAAAGGGGGGAAGGGTGATGCGCCCGGGACTGACTGGCTACATAATGCTATAGCTTTGAGGATTGTCGTTCCTCCTACGATCAACATCATTTTTTCTCCGGTCGCATTATCCACGTCTCCCATCCTTATTATTCTCGCCCTACACAGCTGCAGCAAGTGGATCACCCGAGTGGGGGATGGGTCTCTCCAGCATCGATCACAGATGATGTAAGGGTGTTTGGACGTGTCTCGCCGGACGCCGACATCTACAAACACCCGGAGGAGCCAGAGAGTCCGTTCGACTGACTGCACCAGGCAGAAAAGGGTGAACGACTACTGCGCTGCTCATCACATCACTCCGTCTAGTAATTCGATCCATGGGTTGATCGCAAACTCAATTAAATTCCCCGTCACGCTACAACTTTTCTAGAAAAAGTCACGGAACAAAGCACCATTGTTCCCAGACCAGACCCAATGGCCTGGGTACTCGCTGCTAGTCTAGCCTAGGCTGGAATCAGATCTGAAGATTCAAACGCATTACAGCATGCCGGTGGTGGGCGGAGGCAGGGATCCGGCTGGGGGCGATCGGGAGCGGTTCATTAGTTAAGTATGTTATCGCCAGAGATAGTGGCTTGGCGAGGTACATTCCTGCGAGGTAGCAGTTTCGATTGAGTCGATTGAGCAGGAACGACAGCTACATGTAATCATCAACGGCTACTTCTCGTCCAGCAAACTACGATATGAAAAACGGCGACCCCTGACAGTTTAGGTCAAGGCACCGCCAACGACCCGACCCGACCACCTTCGGTCCAGATAGATACAGTTAGGAGAAATACAAATCTTCGAGAAGGGCTACAAATTCACATGACCTTCCCCCACTGTGGGCGAGGGTGGCACAAATGGATAAGCATGTAGAAAAGAGAAGCTATCTATAGGCTGTTTACACCCCGGCCCGTCGCACCGGGTATTTAGGACTTGCGATGCATAACACCAGCAGCCGCCTGTTCAGTCGTTAGTAAGCAACGGTTTCTCTTCAACACCGAGCAAAGGCTTGCTTGCTTACCTGGTGGCTGGGGAAGACCAGGGTGTCGGCGATCACGACATTCTCCCGTCGGCCAGCGGCGAAGACAACGACCTCGGCAATGTCCTCGCCGGTCAAGGGCTCACAGCCCCTACAACAATCATCAGTTAGCAAGGGCTACACGTCAGTCAAGGAATCAAACGTACTTGTAGACGGCATCGGCCTTGGCCTTGTCGCCGTAGAAGCGGACAACGGAGAACTCCTGCGGGGATATATTAGCAAAACGAACATTTCTGAGACATAGCTCGTGCGCACCGTCTCGACCTGACCGGGGTCGATCTCAATAATGCGAATCCGCGACGCGATGAGCTCCTTCCGCAGCGAGTCCGTGAACGAGCGCACGGCTGCCTTGGTGGCACAGTAGATGCTACCGCCGGCGTAGGGCTCGCGACCCGCAATGCTGCCGATGTTGATGATATCACCACGGCCGCCCTCGGGCCTCTTCTGAAAGATGGGAAGGATCGCCTGAGTCATGTTGATCAGGCCGGTGACGTTGGTGTTGAACATGATGTTCATATCCTCGGCAGCGATTTCAGGTGCCTTTGCAACGCCCTTGACCAAGCCCCTAAGACGGCATTAGAAATAACAATATCCCACCTGATATGTCGTCCACTCACGCGTTGTTGACCAGGACATCAATCTCCTTGAACTCATCCGGCAACGAAGGAACAAAGTTCTTGACTTCCTCCGGATTACTGACATCCAGCTTAACCGGAAGCACCTTGACGCCGTTGCCGACCTCCGCGTTGATCTCCGCCGCGACCTGCTTCAAGGTATCGATGCGGCGCGCGGTCAGAATCAGCTTGAGGTTCTTGGGCGACGTACGCGCAAACTCCTGGGCCGTGGCCTTGCCAATACCCGATGATGCGCCGGTCACGACAACTGTCTTGCCTTCGAGGCGTTTGGCCATTGCGGACGCCATGGTGCGTCGGAGGGTGAGTGAATGAGCGCGGAGAGTGAAGGGATTGGGTGGTGAGAGCGGAGACGATGAGAGATGGCGCAAGTATCCAATTGATCTGGTACAGGTTCGAAAGTGGTTCATGGAGACAATTCAAAGTCGAAGTCAGAGGAAAGAAACACTCGGGCGAGAGACTGCGGGGAATCGTTCAGGCGTCATACCGGGCCGGGGTTATGTAATCGGAGTTCTTCCGATCTATACAATAGTTATTATATATTGTTTCGGACTGGATACTATCGGACGGGACTGATAGTATTGAGAAACGGTTGTTACGAGTGAATTGTTAGCCTGTATTGAGTTGGAGGACTGCGAAACAAGTTGGTGGTGTATGTCAAACATAGAGCTGTCTTTGTGTCTCGATATAGACTGGTAGACTCTATCAACGACGCAATACGCCATCAAAGAAGTTGCCTGAGGACTTATCAAAGAAATAAGGAGTATGTTCCAACACATTTAACAAAAAATGCCATTTGTGGTGTGTTGCTATTCTGGTAACAATGCGAGTCGAAGGTGAACATGCAGGCCGATATAAAGCAGAATCAACTGTACTGTTTCTGGTCCAAACTGCTAGAGCTATCCAGTAAATAATATTTGCTGGAATTATCCATCCTATATATGTTTGTTATGGAAGACTGAGTGTACACACAAAGAGAGGGTGTTGGGCGCCTTCCTAATTCGATATATATACTTGCTGTATTTGCCCACGGCAGCCACGCTCTCTCACACGACAACAACATCTTCACACCACCACCACTCTCCAAACACTACCAACCATTTATATCCTGTTATTCTTTCACTACAAACTGCTTTCTGCTCACTGAGCGTGCCTCAAGGTTATACTTCCTAGTGGAGACATTAAATATAATTATCATCAATACCTGGTTATGCATGGAATGAAATAGCAGAAAGTCGCAACAATCTCCTCGTGAAAAGCGCTGCAAATGGTAAAACAGATCTATCATACTTCTACCTCAATATGAAATGTTATAGCTTCACAGTAAAACGTTCCCTAAGCCACCCTCCGTAACGATAGAAGAAGAGTGGCACTGGAAGAAAAGCCACGCCTATAAAACCTAGGACGCTATTCCCCCACCCAAGTCCTAGGTCTGCATACAAAGACGGCCCTGCCAATGGAATGAAAGCTGCGAAAAGAAGTCGGAGAATCACGTTCGCAGCCAACGCAGAGGCGGCAGCCTCAGGGCCAAAAGCATCCACCATGTAGAGCTGAGTTGGCATTGTGACCCATAGAAAGCCGAATCCAAAGATGGAGGTGCCGATGATGGGCACGATCCAATGAGTCTGCTTTTCGGCTGCCCAGCCATACCAGAAGATGCCGACGGGCACGGCGGGCATGACCCACATCATGGGCTTCAGGCGTCCTTCAGGTTTGGGTGAATGTCCAAATGAGTCTTGCAGTTTGTCGCTCACGGTGGCAAAGGTTCCGAGAGAGACGGCCATTCCAATTCCAACGCCGAGATATGACAAGCCAGAAACGCCGGCGGAGAAGTGGTATTGTTCCTCAAAGACCGTGGGAAACGTGGTAAACAGCATAAAGAGGAGGCCGAAGACGAACGCGCACAGGAGGGAAAGGAGCAGCACGATTGGCGACAGGATGAGAAGCTTTGTTGGTCGAGTAATAGCACGGAGGAACAGCTGGCGGGGGGTCAGGCCACGATCCATCTTCGAAACCAGAGCAGCATTGCCAGTTTCTTTCCGGAGGCGAGCAGCTTTCCATCCTAGCAGCACGGCGGCATTGGTCTCGCGGAGGAAGAAGATTGATATCGTAAATAATACTCCTGCCTAAGTCGAACCGTCAGCGACCCGAGAATAGTAGGGATTGAGCTCTACTCACTAGGATAGTGATGATCCAAAAAGTCCATCGCCAGCCAATTGATTCGGACACAAAGCCACCAATAATTGGGCCAAAGACCTTGAAGGATCGTCAGTGTCATGACGGTTTGCGTGGGATAATGCTACCTACTGGTCCCAGAAGTGGCCCCACGAAGAACAGAGACATTACCCTCCCACGCCGAGCTGGCGGGACCACGTCGGCGACGGTTCCTCCGCCAACTGTCAATGGGCCCGAAGAAGCACATCCGGCAAGGAATCGAAAAACGAGAAACATGCCGGTGTTTTTACCCAGCGCACATCCGATGATGAAGCCAATGTAAATGACATTGCAGGTGTGGTAGATCACAAGGCGTCCGTACAATTCGGATAGCGGTGCAATGACCATTGGCCCAACGGCGAAGCCGGCGAGGTAAATGGATACGGTGAGACTGGTAATGGTGGAACTCGTGATATGGAACTCCTTAGCAAGCGCGGCAGCTCCAGGTGCAAACATTGTCGCGGCGAGGTTGCTTTATGTGTATTATAGTCAGTACGGGATTTGCTTCGCCAAAGGAGCGCAGGAACTGCCTTACGCCGTGAGCAAGAAAGTGGTGGCGAGGACGACTTGGGTCATGCGTTTCCATGCTGACCAGTTCCGTGGATTTTGGGGATCGTCTGGCCCATCCCAGTCGACGACATTGTCCTTCGTCTCTTGTTCAATTGATGTTTGGTCAGGCTCGCTAGATTGTTGGTCATGGTGGCCGTCTTCTGATATGGCCGGCTTGTCATGGGCGGATTCCAAATCGGCCGCCATGATATGTTGTCGAGGATGGTGTGACCCTGGGAGATTGGCGCGTGTTTGTTCATTGGTGCCAGGTGTTGCTTGCTATATATTTGAAAGCCGCGTAGAGTCATAGTTATAGATTTCTTTGGGCAAGGGGTAATTGCGCCAACGACTAAATCCGCAGAATGGCCCATAAATCCGGAGCCAAACTGGGGATTTGCTTAATAGAAGGGGAGCTCGAAGAGCGAGCGGAGCGGAGGGTCGGAGGAGCAGGCATCGTGGGGGCGCACGGACGGTTGGCGCGGAGGGTTGACGCGGAGGGTCGGAGGGTCGGATTGTCGTTGCTTTCTTCATTGCCTCCCGGTTTGCGCCGCCAGACAGCTTCTTTCTTTTCTTGAAGTGACTGTGAAATTGTCTGAGAGCGGACCAGAGGACAATTTCGTTTAGGGCAAACCCAGATTGTTGCATACGAGGTTGAGCTCCGCGAGTGCCTCAATTCAGTCACACTATGGCCGATAATGCTCAACGTCCGCGTCCGCCGCCAAATCGACGCAGAGACAAAGTCCAGTTTTCCTGCGACCCTTGCAGACATCGAAAGTACGTGCTCGATAGTCGTCACAAAGTCGTGCACGCTTAACTTTGCTAGGCTGAGGTGTGACCGACAGCATCCATGCGGAGCTTGCTCAAGGCGTGGCCTCACCAACTCCTGCAATTATGCGACGACATCGTCTTCTACGCCCGATGCTCAGCGGTCCGTTGCTCCGCGACAGTCCACCGGCCTCCATGGCAGAATCTCTGAACTGGAGAGCCTTGTCATGACGCTCATGGAAGGCCAATCACTCCCAAATCCGCCCGCACCGAAATCGCCGAGACCAAGCTCGCTATCATTCGCAGACGCGTTCCCTGAGATCCGGAGACCAAAGAAATCCCAGGATGAAGCTGCATCCCCGGCAGACCCTGGCACCCTAAAGTTACGCGAGTCTGGAACCAGCTATGTCCAGAGTGCTCATTGGGAGGCCATTCTTACCAAGATCAGAGGACTGAAAGAGGACTTGGTCACTGATAGCAAAGCTCCGCCCGGTTCACACTTGTTCTATGGTCCGAATCATCATGCAACTCGAGATGAAATACTGGTAGCTGTTCCTCCTCGTCCAGTTGTTGACCGCCTCATGGCCGTTCACTTCGATTCCTACATTATAACTCCATGTCAGTACATCCAAGATTTCTTTCCGCTCTCAGAGGCATTGACTGTGTTCTGTAGATCTCATTCATAGCAAGAAGTTTCTCCGAGAGGTGGGTTCTTTCTAACCTGGCCGAGTACAGGCAGTCTGACATTTGACCAGTACGAAACCTTCTGGAAAGATCCGTCTGCAACTTCTATCGCTTGGATCGGTCTCATGTTCTCTATGTTATATATTGCTGCGCAGTTGCAGACCTTCACCATTGACTTCACCGACTCACGAGCCGAATCGCTCAAGGCGGAATATCTTACCATGAAAGATGTCTTCCGGGAGAAGGCCGTTCAGTGTCTTATTCTGGCCAGGTATACGACGGGAGGACCATATATCCTGGAAACCCTCATAATGGTCCTTACTGGAGAGTTTGTACTCTTGAAAGATAGCGCTACAGATGGCTGGCTTTTGATCAGTATGATACTTCATCTTGCAATGCGCATGGGCTATCACCGGGACCCAGATCACTTTCCCGGAATATCTCCATTCGAGGGTGAGATGCGTAGACGCATCTGGACTACAATCCTTCAATTAGATCTCGTTATCTCCTTGGAGATGGGCCTTCCTCGAAGTGCCACCGATACGCACATCGATACAAAAGAGCCCCGTAATCTGCGCGACTGTGATTTTGAAGAGGACACGACCGAGATGCCTCCGCCGAGGCCAGAAACAGAATGGACGTCGGTGCTCCCTCTCATTGCAAGAGGGAGATTGATATCAGCTCTCGGCTTGATTTGCGACATCAACACCGATATTAATCCCCCTTCCTACGACGAGGTCATCAAGGCCGACGCACTTCTTGAAGACGTGCACAATCGTGCTATTCCGCCCGTGCTGCGCTGGGGAAATATGCCACATCCCATCACGGATAGTCCAAACCATGTGATACAGCGGGTAAGTGTGGAAACGACCTACCACAAATCACGCATCCTCTTGTACCGGAGAGCTTTGATCAGCTACCCAGTTGGACAGTCTCAAGAGCGAGACAGGGAGTCGGTGCGAATTTGTTTGGATTCCGCACTCAAGATTCTATCGTTTCAACAGATGCTTCACGAAGAGTCCCAGCCATTTGGTCGTTTGTCTCAGCTTAGATGGAAGGTCGCCCGTATTTCCTACCAGGATGTTCTCCTCGCAACGAGCGTGCTCTGTCTCTACCTTCAAGATGTCGATAAATTTGAATTGCCTGAGACTGCAGGACAGACAACGTGGTCATCTAGGACTGAAGAAATTCGACAACGACTAACGATCTCGCACAATATTTGGCTTCAAATGAGTACGGCATCTGCGGAAGCTGGAAAAGTAGCGAAAGCTCTGAGCATTGTCTTTGGAAACACAGAAGCGTCTGCCGAGGACGGTAGCGGGCCCGCTTCTTACGACTTTCTGACGGATTTTGATGCCATACCTCTGAATGGATTTGGCGCAACGTTCAACAATCAATGTGAGAAGTACACTCAGGCATGCCGATTGCAACTAACAAAAAGACTTATCAGATTTTCCTTCTGGCTTCTACTCACCTCTCACGTTTTTTGATAATGTATTGGAAACTGGGGGGACATGAAAATATGATTATTTTGCTGGAGCTGAAGCACATAAAGCAGGTCCTTCGAATGGCCCAAACGGCGGACAGTTTTTTCAGTTCAGCTCGTCAATTCGTTAACTTATATTCGTAGTGCTGCCGTAGTCAATTTGCGCATCGTCGCACACTCCCTTGAGGTTGGAAGCAAAAGGGGAAAAGGGGTTCGATTGTGATAAAGAGAGACTCGCTCATGCACAGAGATAAATGGGTGAATTCCAAAGATATTTTAAGGATAGAGAAGAGCTGGAGACTCAGAGCCCTCGGCGCGAGAAGTCTGAGGCATGGAAACATTGACTGGCTGTGATAGGTCTTCATTCTTGAAGTTGTAAGATATGGGAACTAAGTGTTGGACGCCCGTATTGTATGAACCTCAGAAGCTCGTAGCGACACTTGTATTCCTTTGCTAGAAGATATACAAGGCTCGAATAGAAATAGTATGGCAACACCCTATAGGTAATATCTCCTTGACATTTCCTATGCTGAATTTGAGATAGAGCCGTATGATTTTACTATCAGTGCTATAGGTCTCAAATTCTCTTTAACGACATCTTTGAGCCTTCTTACTATTTACTAGTAGATACGGTATTGAATAATGGCTATTGTTTGTAGTTTTCGCTACAACTGACACCTTCATGCCCCACTCTTAAAGCACTCGTCCCTTAGAAGAGGCAGATCTTAATAGTCTATCACGAGTGGCCCCACTATGATTTCACCGACCATGGCGTCCGTATCATACCCACTGCTCTCCGTCCACGGCCCAAGGAGAATCACCGTTCTCAGGAGTGGGAGTATGGATCCGAATATACCTGACAGTTTTCATTTTCAGATTTATGGTCCCGTTTTCATAAAGGCAAGAAGCGGATGAGGCCGGAAGTTTCGTATTCAAGCGTGTCGAACGGATTTCGGCAAGCCATCACAGGGTCTAGATCGGTCGCTTTGTCTTCGCAGCCGAATTATCTGTTTCGACCAAAGCTGGCCCGTATAACCCGTGAAGACAAAGCCATCCCATGGTTGAGCGAGGCCACCAGACCCACGACTCAGGCATTTTAAATCAAGCGCCAATGTCCGTGGCAGCTCGGTAAAAATGTTATAAGAGCGATACAAACCCGGAGAGGAGATAAACAGTTTCATATAATTTCTTCTCTTATCAACTTCTGCCCGTAACACGTTTACTCAAAAGTCATCATGTCTTCATCGTTCGCCACATATCCCAAGACTATGAAGTCTTCGCCCACTCCTTTCCAGGTGTCAATTCCAGAGGAACAGCTGAACGAGTTCCGGCAGCTATTGCGCCTATCCAAGATTGGTCCGAAGACTTTCGAGACCGAGCAATGCGATGGAAGATTCGGCGTGACGCGGGATTGGCTCGTCAACGCCAAAGCGAAATGGGAAGAATGGGACTGGTGTGACTGCGTTTAGAAGTCTAATCGAGGGTTCATCGGTCAACTAATAAACAATTAGGCGTCAATACGAGAGCCGTATTAATAGCCTTCCAAACTTCACGGTGCGGATTGAGGACAATAACGAAACATTCACTGTTCATTTTATGGCCTTGTTCTCCCAGAAGCAAGATGCTGTGCCTGTCATTCTCTTACACGGGTGGCCTGGTAATTTCATGGAATTCTTTTCCATTCTGCAGATTCTATCAAAACAGTTTACACCAGAGACTCTACCATACCACGTTATTGTTCCGTCTCTGCCAGGCTACGCATTCTCATCACCTCCGCCTCTCACGCGAGACTTTCAGATTCAGGATGTGGCTCGAATTATGAACTCCCTCATGAGAGAACTTGGATTCAGCAATGGTTATGTGGTCCAAGGTGGTGATATTGGGAGCAAGATCTCTCGAGTCATGGCCGCGACTTATGATGAGGTGAAAGCCATACATAGTAAATTAAATTTGTCACGTATGCAACCTAGAGTTGGCTAACGCGAAGTATAGTCAATTTCTGCATCATGCCCCGTCCCGATGGCATCAATGATGAGACGGTAACTATTCTGGAAAAAGAGGGTCTCAAGAGGTCGGACGAGTTCTTGCGATTGGGCTCTTCATATGCATTACAGCATGCTACTAAGCCTAGTACTATTGGGCTTGTACTCGCTACAAATCCGCTTTCACTTCTTGCATGGTATGCTACCACACCTATTCTGGCTTCGTGGCGAAATTACTAACTGTCTATATTCTAGGATTGGCGAAAAGTTCCTTGATTGGACAGACGATAATCCCCCACTGGATGAAATCCTCGCCTCAGTGACACTGTATTGGCTTACGGAGACCTTCTCAAGATCAATTTACCCATATCGCCAGGTATGTCGATTTACAGCGCGATTATATTGCTTGACATGCTGACATCTCAAGCTCTTCACTCCTGGTGTTGTAGGAGCTCACGAGAACCCTGAGTGGTATATTAAAAAGCCATTTGGATTCTCTTGGTTCCCAAAGGAGATCGCGCCTATTCCTCGCAGCTGGGTAGCGACCACAGGCAACCTTGTCTTCTACCGCGCGCACAAACAAGGTGGTCATTTTGCTGCTGTGGAAAAACCGGAGGTGCTGCTTGCTGACCTTTTGGAATTTATCACACAGGTTTGGAATGGCCATTAATTGAAGAATTTGTGTGCTATAGCTTTGAATTTTCAAGTTCGAGTGTCATATTGCGCATTACCACCCAAATCGCGATCTTCTTTGCGCGCAGGCGCAGTAGCAGCCCACGCCTACGCAGTTCGAAGCCAGGGTCTGGGAAGTAGTAGTATGTGCTCGGGTTTGTGTCGTCAAGCACAGTCTCGCTGGCTTGGTAGCGGCTGTCTCTGGTTCATTGGCCATGGGGAGTATGGTACTTCAAAGCTCGACCCTTGGCAGCTTGGACATGCTTCGAGCCACGCATTTGGAGAAGAGAATCTTCGTCGTAGAGGTTGACCACCACAGGGTCGAGGAAGGTAAATGCACAACTGGGTATGGCTTGCATGCGGTGCTCATCGCTCTGTTGTGGGATCTTGGGATCGGAGAGAATGAGTGCGAGAGATTCGGTGGGAGGTGTTGAGCTGTGCTGGTAGACCGGATTTCCCTTCCATGAAACTTGACCGTCCTACCGAAGGCACCCCTCAAAGGACAAGGACTCTGAAGAAGTCATGATACTAAACAATATGGCCTAGCCGTATTTGATCTAGCGTCGCCTCTAAAGGTACCGTTGGACCCTGGGGCAATTTGGCAGGTGCTTATAAATCCATATTAGTATGAGATGTTCAGGAATTTCGACCCTGTCAGTCTTCTTAGCTCAAACCAAGCCTCATATTAGACCTGAATTTGAAGCAAAATGTCCGCTGCGAAGCCAATCCTCATCTCCGGAGCGGGCCTGGCCTCGCTACTCCTGGCCCAGTCCCTACGTCTGTCGCAAATCCCCTTCATTATCTTTGAGCGCGACGCATCCTTCATCTTCCGCGCACAAGGATACCGACTACGTCTTTCAAACGAGGGACTGGACGCAGTTGAATCGGTCCTCGACCCCGAAACATGGCAGCACTTCTGGGCCAAATGTGGCAAGACCGCCGGGAGCGGGTTCATCGCGTACGACGCTGTGACGGGGAATGAAACTGAACATGTCGTGGCTGAGGATTTGACCTCACGGGGGGGCAAGATCGTCGGCATAGCCCGAGGAGACATGCGGAAGATCTTTGCCGAGGGCTGCGAAGAACATATCAAATGGTCCCACCACGTCACGGGCTACGAGCTGACCGACGACGGCGTCCGGGCAGTGTTCGCCGACGGCACCAAGTCAGAGGAGGGATCAATGCTCGTGGCCGGCGACGGTATCTATTCCAAGGTCGCGAAGCAGGTATCGGGCGGAAAGCTCAAGACATATGACACAGGCGCAAGAGCCGTTCACAGCCAGGCTCCTACCTCAGCTTTCAAAGGATTTGGTGAAGGTGTTTTTCGGCTACAAGACCGCACTCGCCCCGAGGGTGCTGTTTTCTTGATCACCAACGTACGCTCAGGAGACAAGGACGACCCCAACATCGAGCTCGGCTGGACTATGGGCGGCCAACCGGGTGCGATCTGCGCCCCTAACAACGATTATAGCATCCTCGGTAAGGGAGCCGCCGAGATCGCCAAGTCCATTGGAGCGAAGTGGCACCCAGTCTTCCAACCTTTGTTCGACCAAATGAACGAGACAGAATCAGCTTTCTGGAAGATAACTTGCTCAACACCTTCGGGCGTTCCAGAATGGCTCAATGAGCCTCGCGTAACGGTCATTGGTGATGCGGCCCATTCTATGACCCCCGCAGGTGGTATCGGCGCCAACATTGCCGTAAGGGACTCTGCTCTCCTTGGAAGGTTGCTCCGTGAGGCTGGTGGCTATGGGGAGGACGTTACGGCTGCCTACGAAAAAGAGATGAGAGTATATGCGAGCGAGGCTGTCCACCTCAGCTACTCCTTGGCCTCCAGTGGGCTCGGGGTTAAGATCGACGAGATGATTACTCCAACAGTGTAATATATTAGACACGGTGGTGAAGGATAGTATCGGAACACATATCATGTGTTTCCTCATTCATTAGAACAAGCTTTAGAGAAAACAGAGATCTTTCTGGGTTTCGCAGCATTCTCGGTCTGAAGTGGGCTGGCGATTATTATCACGACAAGCTTCTCGGATTATCTTCGGCTCTATAAGGCGTCATGGCTAAAGCTTGCGAAAGTATGCGGAGATCCAAACTAAAGCTATGCCAGCCTGTATAGAGTAGCGTGTCTTGGCGTTGGGGCTGGAGAATCAATCGAAGAGTGTAGGCGGTCACACCAGTTTCGGGACTACTGTATATGCAAGTTACATGTAGATCAGATTCGGTCGGCAACAGATCCGCCGAGAGATCAAGCCTTATGCCTTAATGAGAAGGGGAAACCGATGACAATTGTCTGTGCGTTGGAAAAATCTGATCAGAAATGCGTGCATCGCGAACGGGACTGTGAGATGAGTTCCCACAGTGGAGATTCAAAAAGCGTTATTGAAGCTTGTGGAGATTTATGTAGCATGCGGAGGTGATGACACGTGGAGAGCTCAAGGTGATGCTAGGAACCAGACACTTCATCCACCTTCTGTAGGGCTAGGAGTCGATAACTAGTGGACTAGTAACTAGTGAATGACTGTGCACTTACGACTAACATTCGGCTCAACCCCTCCACGATAGACGGGCGATCTGGAACAGAGTGGGTTCAGGGGGTAAAGGCAAAAGTTGTGGCATGCTCTATTGTTCCTGATCTGCTTTGAGCTTAGCCCGAAGAGGAAACGATAATCCTGACCCTGAGTCCTGAGCGTAGATTGTTTCCGTCAGTCGACATTAAGGTATTTTTCTTTCTTTCTCTTTCTGTATATTAGAGTATCACATTCATGAAAATTAACCAGACCTCGGATATATGCAGGTTGGATTCGATCCACGCCGCTTGTTACTCGCAGGATCTCCATTATCCAATTTTTGAAGGTCGTCACTCGGCGGCGTAAACGGAGTACATAAGTACGGTATGGCGGGCGGAGTTATATGAAACATAGGGCTTGATGGGGCCATACGAACATGTACTAACTAGAGCCTTCGATCGAGGGGTTCCATGCATCTAAAGGATTCCCCGCCTCCCGCACTTCATGGCGTGCGTTGGACCTATGGGTCTGGGCGCCAAGCAGATCGCGCGGGCTGTCGTGCGCTATTGAGCGGACTATCAGAATGCACGGAGATCCGAGGCAGATGAACACCCCGATCTGCACATTCAGCCTCGCTGACTCCGCGTCGTACGGTGTACATTTTGCACTAGTGTTGCAAGATTCAAAAACCTTCCGTGCCTTCCCACTTCTTGCCCTCTTTTTCAAAACTGGTCCATCACGGCCTGAAGTCTCGACTCGATGAAATAGACCCGCTTCATGCGAGGGTGGGCTTTTGTTGTTCAGATATGATCCATTGATCTAACTACGCTCCTTTGATATCTTTACTTTCTTACACCCCTTTACTCTTTTTTTTTTTTTTTTGGCAATGGATGTGCCTCTACACACGATATTTCCTCGACAGGGGGACGATGGGCATGCCCGCGGCCGGCAAGCGTTGGTGGTGACGGCAGCGCTGACTGCCATTGCCGCGGCGATAGTAGGCATGCGGCTCTTTGCCAGAGCGGGCCTGATGAAAATCATGGGCCGCGAAGACTGGGCCATTCTGGTTTCTCTGGTCTGTCTCTCTGCAGAGGTCCAGGATATGCAGTGACTAATCTGTGGCCACTGTAGACCTTTTCGATCATTTATCTCGCGCTTGTTGCTGCGCGTAAGTTTTATACTTCCCTGTGATGAGGGTATCAATTGACAGAGACAGAATTACATTTCGGCATGGGCACACATTCAGCAGATCTGCCCGCAGCTATGCTACAAGCGCAACTCAAAGTAAGTCCTCGCCACACGCGTATCAGCAAACATCCAAACTAACACTATTGTATAGTGCCTCTGGGCCGCAATCCCAATGTACAACGCCAGCCTAGCGTGCACAAAATTCTCCATCCTCTTCCAATACCTCCGCATCTTCCCCCTATACCCCTTCCGACTAATTTGCTACATCATGATGGGGATAGTAGCCACCTACTCCTCGTGGGCCATTGTGAGCGGATATCTGAACTGCATGCCAGTGGCAAAATTCTGGAATCATGATCTGCCGGGCCACTGTCTCAACTTTGAGGCGATTTGGTTCTTCAATGCCGCGATGAATATCATCACGGATTTGACGCTGCTTGGTATGCCCATGCCGATGCTCTCGCAGCTGCAGCTGCCGCGTATGCAGAAGATTGCGTTGATTGGTGTTTTTGCTATTGGTATTTTGTACGAGTGTGCATCTTACTGGAAATGGAGAACGAGAGACTGATTAGCTTTTTAGGGTTGTTATCACGAGTATTCTGCGTCTATCGAGTCTACGCATTGTTGCCCAAAGCACCGATACTTCCTGTACGCCCATTCCTTCCTGTCCTCTATCATCTCCATCTCCATCTCCAATTACAAATACCAATAATACCAATACTAACAAACGACCAGATAGCAACGTCGACGCAGCCTACTGGACTGCTGCAGAATGCAACGTCGCCATAATTTGCGCCTCACTCCCCTTCCTTCGTCCACTGATCGGCCGCCTCTTCCCGAGACTGCTCTCTAGCCATAATCGCACAGGCTACGGCCGCACACCTATGGGCAGAAACATCAGCCTGATGACGCCCTCTCCAACTTCACCTACTTTCGCCGTTGCCGCGCAGCGCCTGGGATCTGAGCTGTTTGATGATAGAGAGGAGAATGATGGATATTCGATCAACGTGAGGCATGGGAAGGGGGATACCCCCAGCTCATCGCTTAATGGGATCGAGGCCACGACTGAGATGATTCTTATTCAGGGTGCTAATGGGAGGATTGAGCAGGTGGTAACAAGTAAGAACCATCTTGTTGATGCCTGAGTCCGATATTTAATGTTTTTTTACCTTCCTTTTTCTCACTTTTTGGGCTATGGTTGGCTATTTTTATGATTGTATGGCGACTGCATTACCTCTCTGGCTGCTTTGGGAGAATTGATATTCAGGTCTTTCACTCTTCATCTTTTCCTATACATTTTACTTGACGACGGACAGTTTTCTTTCACATGTCATCAACTACGTCCATATTCTTGACTAGTTATTTGCATGGCATATACAAACCCCCAGCACAAAAGCAACCTAACTTAACCCCCCACATCAAGAACAACCTGTCCCTCTTCCCCCAACTCTTTATTAACAACCATCCCAAACTCCCTACTCAACCCTGCAATCTTCTCCCTCACCCACACATGATCCTCATCATCAGGATCAAGCAAAGTAGCGCGAAACCTCTCAATGCGTGTCGGAAAAATCTCCAACCTCTCCAACTTCAGCCCTAACGCTTTCCCTCTTTCTGTTTCTTGCTCGGTTTCTCTCACACGAACCTTCCACACAGCACTTAGATCATTCCTCCACTCTTCATGAACGGCATAATCATCTACGAAATCGCCACACCCATATATAATAATCTTACCACGATAAGACTCCACGCCTTGGACATGGTGCGACGAGTGGCCGTGCACGATATCGACGGCGCACTCGTCGATAAGGAAATGAGCTAGGGAGCGGATTCGCTCAGCGGGATGCCATGAATAATTAGGGCCCCAGTGCACGGAGAAGATCTTCAGAGCCGGTGGTGGCGGCTGTGTATCTTGTTTCAGTTGGTGTCTCCGATGACTATGGTGCCTTTCCCGATCTTCCGGATCTGAAGCCGTCAAGCCGCCCGCGTCGTCGTCGGCGATGTGCTTACCCGGTCCGCCAGAGAGTAATAGCGTTCGGAGACGCACGCGTGTCGAGGGGGTGTAGTCGAGGAGATGGAATGTTGGCGTTGCGCCCCAGTCGCGTGGGTGGTCGGAGGCGGAGTAGACGTGGACTGTATATTCCGGCGCAGCAGTACTGTCGTCTTCTTCTTCTTTCTTCTTCTGCGACTGGCCATCCGTGTGATGGTGAGCATGATACCCATCCTCACCTCCCCGAGGGGGCAAGTGCAGCACAGCCGGCCTGCGCGCCTCATCGGTCGTCTCCCCGGCTCCCGCAAAAGCAACCCCAGCGCCTTTCAGCGACCAGACTGTATCAACTAGCCCCTCGGTCCCAAAATCAAGCGTGTGGTTATTCGCCAAACCGGCATAATCCACATGCGCGGCATGCAAGATAGGCGCGACGTTAGCCGGGTGCATGCGATAATTGAAAGCTTTCTGCGGCCAGGGCTCATTAGTTGTTGTTGCTGAGGTCTCGAGGTTGATGAGGAATAGATCTGTATTTCGGAGAAGGTCGAGAGTCGTGCCCCATGGCGAAGAGTGCGTGTAGTTCCCCTTGCCTAGGCGGGATGGATAGCGTTCTATGAAGTCGGAGACGATGCGTGCTTCTTCTTTATTTTCGACGTGTTGGGGGAGAAGCTGGTCGATTAGTCGGCCGAGCATTACGTCTCCCACGAAGCTGAGTGTGAATGTGCTGGATGGAGGCATAGCTTTGGCCTAGGAGGGTTAGTGATTAGGGTGTGGTTTCATCTGGTCCAGTCCGGCTTCGAGATATCAAGTCATGATGACATCGCCCGGGCCGACGTTCAAAGAATAAAAAGAAAAGTGATATATGAAGAAAGAGATCTTATTATAGGCTACAGTTCTCAAACACTTTGCCCCATTAAAACACAAGGGTCACAACATCCTCCTAGAAAATTAATGGTATCGTGCGCAAGTCGCCCACTGCGCCGTTTAGAATTCCCAGAGAGAGAAAAAAAAGGGAACACGTTATTCGTCACAAACTTTTCATCTATCGTTGTCCCATCTCCGCCAACTCTCTTTCTTTCGCTCTCAATGCCTCGCGCATCGCTTCCGCTTCACGCTGGAGCCGTGCCCGCCGATCAGCCTGATCCCCCAGGGAGGCCAAACTGGGCAAAACTTGCTGCGTCGGGTGCGGCGCAGGAGAGCTGGAGTGGCGAAGCAGGCGCGGATCATCACGGGTCTCTGTGCGATTCAGAATCGATGAAATGGAACTGAGACGGCCAGGGGGTGATGGATTGGCCGAGGGATTGATCGGGGGTAGTTGATTTGACCCAGACTCAAAAGGCGGAAGAGCTTCTTGTGCCGTCTCGGCGAGGGTTCGTTTTTTAGACACGCCGAGTGAATGTGGGGACGCGGATCGCCGGGCATATTGAGGAGTGCCGGGCTCCAGAAGCTTAGGCCGTGCATGCACATGGGACCCGGAGCTGGAATTGTAGCTGGTGAAGTCAACCGGCGGCGGGGCAAAAGGTAATGGCCGTGGTGCATCTTCGACCTTGCCGGGCGTCATGTGGTAGTGGTCCATTGGCTCACTGCTCATATACCGATAGTGATCTTCATGTCCGTGAGACAAGGGAGCGGGAGAGGCCTCGGGCGACGCGGAGGAGCCGTTCGACGAATGAGTCGCAGCGGTGGGAGATTGATCTCGTAGGGCGGGCACAACACGCTTCCGCCGTTTGATAATAGACTTTTTCATGGTAGTCGGGCGATAGCACCCGTGCAGCTTGTAGTACAAGCCACACGCATTGCAGATGGGATGACCCTGTTCATCCCGCCGCCAGAGTGGCGTCACAGTAGTGCCGCAATTTTGACAGGCGACCAAATTATTGCCGCCATCAGCAGATGGAGTGCTCTTGGGGATTTCTGTTTCCTGCAGCGGTTTTTCGGGTTCTTGAGGCGAGGCGCGTCCCCAGGAGGATTGAATAGCTGTGGACCCTCGCGGAGCAGATTTGTAGACTCGGTTGTTATATGCCGGACAGCCTTCACACCCTTCTGCACCACCAGTGCCATTGCAGCTTCCGCCACCAGGACAAGAACCCTTGGGGCCATGGCAACCTCCTTCCGGCGCTGGGGAATCTGGTACTGGAGAACATGCGGAGTGAGGATTGGATTGGGCAGTGCCCTCAGCACTTTGTTGCGCCCGATTCCGCTTCGTAGGGCGAGCGACATTCCGAGCTTTGAGATAGAGACCACAGGCGTTGCAAATCATCGCTCCTGTCGGGGACCGGCGCCAGAGGGGAGTGCTTTTCGTACCGCAATTGCTACGAGAGAAAACATTGTCAGCAAGGAAAGTAAGCTTGGGTTTGGACACAACAACATACCTGCACGAATGTCCAAGAAAGGACGTGTCTTTTTGTATTCTGGGAGACGTCCTCTCACCCGGCGTTCCATCTGGGGGCACATGGGCCCATCCAGCATCATGGTGTTGCGGAGGGGCGTCCGAGTGGTCGCGACCCGCCTGGGCAGACGAGATCAGCTGCTGTGCAGCATCGAGGTCCTCCGCCGATGGCTGTCGCATGGGAACATTGGGGTTTCTCGGGAAGGAGTGCACGGTTTCCATTTGTGAGACGGACGCCAACATCACCACCACCGTATACTTCGGGCCGGGCCGGGATGATTGATTCGGCCGTGGAATCGGGAGAAGATGCAGAGACGAGATAGATATAGGGATGAGCTAATGAAGCGAGCGAGTGGGAAAGAATGGCCGACAGTCTCCAGGGACGGTGACGCGAAAACAGACCCCCCCAAATAAAGCGAGAGAGTGGAATAGGGTGGAAGAGGCCTAGTGAGGCAGTCGAGACCAGAATGTACCGTATGTATCACACCGAAGTCAAAATGTCGGTCAGCCTGGAATGGCGAGTACCTGCAGCCACTGTGACAGGTTTCTACCGGTCCACCACGGACGAGATCGCAGACAGTGGCGAACAGTCAGGCGATGGGAGTGTCAATGGATCTGTCGGGTCAGGGTCGTTGACAACAGTTGGGATTAGGCGAGAGGCTAGGGGCCTGCAGGGCGGTGATCGGACCCTGTTTGGAAGGGCAGGGAGAGGGAGGAGGCGATAGGATGGATGACACGGATGGCGATGGCGCCAAGGCTGGGGAGAATGGCGAAGTCGGGAGGGAGAGATGGATGTCGAGAGAGGGGAAGAGGGAGAGGAGAAGAGGAAAGAGTGGGAGGCAAAAGTGGTGGAAGAAGACGAAGAAGAAAGTAGTTGCTTATCAAGGCTTTATCGATCTAAGGGAAGGGGCTGATCTACGGTACATATCAATCAATCAATCAGTGAGAACGGTCCGTCCGGCAGCGCGGGCCCTGCTGCATCTGCCGAGGCCATTTGGATTTAGTGCCCTGTGACCCTGTTTTCTTCTCACTCTCCTCTTGTCCCAACCTGACAGCCCATTCTGCCTAATCCTGCGCTCCCCAGATCGCAGGGTTGGGAACTCCACCGCAGCCCATTGCAGTTTAGGCCCACGGAGCCCGGTGGACATTTCACCTTCCTATGCGGGCTTAAAGTGGGTCCGTGCTCGACAAGCCTCTTTCTGGGCCGTGTGATTGGCCAGATGCATTGTCAGCACGAATTGACGGGCCTGTGGTTGGTCGAGGCGGGACTCCATCTGACCACGCTGGACAATCAGATCATGAAAACTGGCTGCCATTTCCATCCAGCTATATAGTACAGTACTGCATTCATTCTCTGGGCGGTCCGCCAACATGAACCCACTCCCTCCCCTATGACATCAAGAAAAAATCATATTGAAAAAAAAAGCAAGATCATCATCCACAGGTTCTCGCGTACACCAACTCCTCTCTCCGAAGCGACACGACTAGGTCATGATGCGCCTCGAAGTAGATCATCATCCGAGGAGATCAATCAGATCGAATCGCCGATGACGCGACCCATATGCGCCACCGGTGGATTGCCCGACGGTTTCAAGATTTAAACCTGTTCGGCCCCCCAACCCTGATCCGACTCGCGCATGTTCGACGGAGGCTCAATGGACGGGATGAACTCAAGGACCAGGTATGCGACACCGATGATGCCAACGATGGAACCGGCAATCTCGCGCAGAACGTGGTCGTGCAGGAGGAGCGAACCAACGAAGACGTAGACTGCGGGGGGGGGATTAGCACACACGAAACCAAGGGCTGGTGGGCGAGAAACGTACAGATACCGCGGCCCAAGAAGGAGAACAGGAATGAGGCGTAGCGGTAGGCGTAGTCCGGCACGTTAGGCAGGAACTCGAGTCCGGCGACGACTGCGGCGGTCGGTCAGTATGGATGCACTCGCTGCACTTACGGGAAAATAATGGTCGACCTACCCAGACCAAAGACTATCACATAGATGCCCACGATGATCGAGCTCATGGATGGCGGGAAGAACTGGCTGATACCGCCCAGCACCATAAGCACACCCACTGCGATGTTGACCAGACGGCTGTCGCAAGTCAGTAATTGAAGAGCGCATCCGAGGACGGGTTCCATACAAAATGTTGGAGAAGTCCATTGTGCCGGTGTTAAGAATTCGGTTATTCGGTGATCTTCAGTGTCTGGAGGATGTGTGCGCGCCGCTATACAAAGAGCTGGGAGGGTCGGGAGCGAGGAAAAGGGGGAGGTTCAACTAGATCTCAAGGTTCTTTAAGACGTCTCTGTTAGCGTTGTTATCGCGAGTAGGTGGTCTGAGATTTGCCAAGTCGCCGGTGCCAGCGCGGGCGGGCGGGTGTCTGGCTGAGATTCGGGGGGTGGTCTGGCCACAGCATTGTTTGGGGTGGCTGGGCTGAGCGGAAGGTGGGACGGGAAGGAACCCCGACGGGAGGAATCGCGAGGGCGGACAGCACTCACCAAGAGACAGGCAAAATAACGACCAGGAATGTAGACGATGGAGAATGGAAAGCGAACAGAACAGGGGCAAAAGGTGGTTGGGACAGCAGTCGCAAGCAGCGGGTCCGCCAAGCCAAGATGCGGCTGAATCAGCAGGACCTAGACTAGATTGGGGTTACCGCGCACTGGTATACGAGTACGATATTGGAGGTAGCTAAGAGAGGGCTAGCGAGCTACAGCCTCGCTCCCTTCTTCTGCCTCAGAACCTCCTTCACCAGTGACACCGCAGCCTCCGCACAGCCATACGACGCCTGATAGCCAAACCCGCCATGGCCATAGTTGTGCACGATATTGACTCCGTCCACGGTATCCTTCTCGACCCGAGGTCCTCCCTCACGCAGCGGCCGCAGCCCAACACCATGTCGAATAATATCCAGTCCCTCGATCCCCTGTCCCTTCTGGACCAGCTGCGGCGCACTCGCAATCGCACGCTTCATGATCCGATTGGCGAGGTTCGGATCAGGTAGCGCATCCCAGTTGTGCTTTTGATACGATCCTCCGAGAACGGTGCCGCCGCCTAGAAGTGATTAGCGAATATCATACACGTAATTGTAATAGGGTGAGCTTACCCAGGGCACGAGTCATAATGTACAATGCTTCGTCATCGCCATCATCCGTTCCTGAAACAGACGACATGGGACCGGCGTCGTTGCGCACGACCACAACCTGGCCCCGGGCAGGATACAACTTGTCATCGAGGACACCGCCGAGGAACTTGGACGAGAGACCCGTGCAATTGATGACCACATCGGCTGTCTGGCCCGAGTGGTGTGCACTGGCGGCGTCCGTAATATGCTTGAGCGTGGCTCGCTTAAAGACCGTGCCCGCCTTCGCGCACTGTCCGACCAGCCATGACAGGTAGACGGGCGAGTTGATGCAAACCGAAGTAAAGGTTTGTGCGTTGTCGATTCCCGGGCCGAGCTGGTCGTCGGGAACGGTTTTGAACTAGTTCGTCTTTTCGTTAGTACTTTCTCCGTAGGACCGGGCATTCATTCGATCTCCCTTCACATACATCAGGCACGACATCCTTGTACCACGGATTCGGCTGTACCAGCTCCGAGAACACCTGTGCCATAGGGGAGTGCTGGTCCTTGGTGCGGTTGTAAATAATCGTCCCTGCAACCCATTAGCCCACGGCCTTCCTCCATCAAGAGAAAGAAGTCATCGGCATACCTAGAAAGTGAACACCTGCTTCCGGGTGTTTCTCTGCCAGCTCCTTCAGGGGCGCCCATGTGGCTCTCTCCCATTGCTGATGCGCGCTGCCTTCCTTGCCCGTTCTATGTATAGGTCAACACTTGCGTCCATCCCAGATCAAGACAGAATACCATACGGCATATAGTTGGCGCCAGCCCAAGGAGAAGCATATTCGATGTCGTAGTCACCTGGCATGTGCTTGGCCAGCACGGTGATCTTGTTGGACGGGTCCTTGGATAGGAGGTAAGCCGTTGTCAGGCCCGAGACTCCAGCGCTGGCGTCGTCAGTCAGTCCATGTTTGTCGGGTGTCTGCAGTGGCACGGAGGTCTTACCCAAGAACGACGATGTTATTTGTGGCCATGTTGGATCTGTTGCCCGGACTTTCGCAAGTGCTGTACCGAACAACAATGGTCAATGCCCGCCATAAACCCCGGATCGTGACTCAAGTGGGGGAGATGATTGCCGTTTGATAAGAGAAAATGTTATTTATCGTGTATCCATACCGTCACGGTTTCGATTTCGGTGGCGGACTCGGCGGGCGGTGTGACAGCCAGGCCAATGAGACGCCAGGACTTTTCCAGCAATACGGCACACGACCGACAGCCCTTTTGAGGAATGCTTCGCGATGAACCATCAAGAGGTACGCATACTCGGTAACATACGGATTTTGAAGCAGACACCGAATCCCTAGAAGAGGACGAGTAGAACCGACCCAGAACAGACCCGTCCGTAAACGCCCGGCGGCTCCATCGTCTCCACTAGGGCCGATCAGTCACATTCGGGGGTGGAAAAGTCTGCCACGAATGATGCGTAGTATGTATTTCGAACTCACTCCGGCAAATAAATCATAAGAAGAAGCTATTTGCACCACTTTGTTGTCTCAATTATTTCCCAGCCGTACCCGACATAGTGCATACATACTCCTTTATGTCATAGTCGCCCAACCCCCCCAATCATCGCCCCCAAGCCACACCGCCCCCGGCACCACCCACATCCCTGACTGGGCCCGAATTCCTTTCTGCACAGCAGCACTCCCCGATTCACTCGGTGGGTGGACAACTCTTATTGCTATTGTTGTTATTGTCTATCGCGCGATTCATCATCCCCTAAACTCTCTACATTATTCACCACCACATCCGACCACCCTCTCCATAAATGCAGGCCTCGAGAGAGCAGGCTTTCCTCTCCCTTCACAATGGCCCATCTTACACACGGTGGCAGAATCGTACCCATACTAACGGGTCACGACCACGACAAATCCACACCCGCTTCTCCTCCACTGCTGCAGGACCAGCACGATGAAGAAGACATCGCCCGACGGTCTAAAGCTCTCGACCGCGAGAGCTTAGAGATGCCCTGTCTCAAAAAACGCGGTCTATTTGCCCTGCCGACAGAGGGAGATGGTAAGTCCGCGCCCTTGTAACTTGTTGTGGTGAAAGATAGTGTTATGTATAAGCGTGTGAATATGCTCGTTCTGACGCGTCTTTTTGGCCAGGCAATTGCCTCTATTATTCTCTTTCCGACCAATTGTATGCCGACTTCGCCCACGCCGACGCGTTCCGCCAGCTTCTAGCCGACCACATCGCCAGTAACAAGCATTATTTCATGCAGTTCGTCGTGGCTGAGGGTGGCGAGCGGCGCCGCCCGAAACGGGCCGCCGCGTCCGTGTATGCGACGCGCTCGGCCGCCGTGGCGCCTCCGTCTCTGGAGGACAAGGAACGGCGGTTCGAGGAGATGGTGGCGGCTACCCGTAAGAATGGCGAATGGGGTAGTTCCGAGCATCTGCAGGCCTTTTGCCAGCTTTTCAAGGTCGATGTCAACGTTTACACCATGGATGGTGTGCAGGTGTTTCGTGACGTCAATGCTGCCTCGGATCAGCCGAGAGATGTGGTGCATGTTGCTTTTCATGTAAGTGTTTCCTGCGGGGTGTCTGCCGGACCCGAGCTGATGGCAGTAGGACTTTAAACACTACTCTTCCGTACGGGCTATAGATGGCAACCACCAGGGACTTCTCACCACGTCCAAGTACCCAGAGCGCTATATCCTGCCGCCGAAGAAGGTGATCATACCAGAGAGCTTCGCTTCGGACAGCATGGCTTCAGACGGCCTGGCCGTCGACGTCTACCCTCCATGGGACATCAAGTCGATTCAAGAGGGTCTTGGTGGCCGATACGACCGAGAAACAATAGTGGACATGCTGCAGAAATGCCGTGGAGACATCGATCGAGCATTTGCAGCCCTGCTCGACGAGAAGAGCGACGCGCCAAACGAAAAGAAAGGACCGGCCCTGAAATCCAGCTTGCAGGCCTCGCGATCGTCATCCCCATTTAGCACGGGTAGCAAACGCTCGGCGGAAGATAGCGACGATTCCGAAGACCCGCGGCCCATGACGCGACTATCACGACCGAAAAGGCGGATTGTCTCCAACCTCACACTCGGGGTTGGTATATCTTTCAGAGACGATCAAAACGAGCTTGTCTCTCTGAATTTGCGAATGCCAGAGAAAGGCCAAGGTGCTGAGCCCGTCTCGAAAAACAACGACGATGACCTCGCCAGCACTGACCCCGAACAATCAGACGCGGACAAGACAATGGCTCCTCGACGCAGTGGACGTCTATCCCGCCCTCGAGCCGTTTGATTTCTTTCCTGTCTGTCTTCGGTTTTCTTTTTTGGCTTACCAGCGGTGCCACCCATCATATTCGTCTTCATTTGCGGCGATCGACTTGCATCTGCGTGGCGTTGGTTGTGAAGCGTTTCTATCATAGCTTGATTTAGCTTCTTCCCAGGTCTTTTTTGTGGGCATGGCTTTTTGTGTGCATCGTCGAACAGCGACTCGGATGGTCGCTTTCGCTTGGCGGGAGGGCGTTTTTGTCTTTTCAAACAAGATTTGCATGAGAGGACGATCGATGCCCGGTGCATGGACAATTCCCTCGATGGGTTCATGACATGCATAGTATGGCGAATATCTTCTGCCGTCGGTGTTTCCTTTTTTTATCAACGGGGTATTTGTTGCATTGCTTTCACAAGCCCCCCTATTCGTGGGACTGCCACTACCCTGCCCGGTTTTTTGAGAGCAGGGCAGGGCAGGGATGAGGATTATCCTTGTTGTGACGGACAGGATCTTTGCCTAGATTTGGTTAATGAGATATCCCGCAAGTGGTTACATTGATCACCTGTGATTTTCTTCTCACTCCGTAGAATCCGAGATGTGTAGAGTAGGGAAGAGTAGGGAGGGTCGGGGTAAGGGATGGATGATGGTGTCGTACAGAGCTTGTCCGCTCTCACTTTCCCAGCATATGCCGCTCAGCTACGGCTGTTTCGTCTCGCTGGTCGGGATAATATGGATTCAACTTCTATTAAAGCACGAGAAAGACGAATATCTACAACAAATGCCAGATCTATCTATAGGCATGTCAAACTCTCCACCAAGAACGACGCGATCTATACACGACCGCTCCCTTCCATTCCCATGCAACCCGACAAGAGTCTCTCTTCAGTCCAGATCAAAATATAATAAGGACTGTCTCAATCCTCCAGTAGGAACTTCAGAAACGCCGTCCCAATAGCAACACCGTCATGCTCATCGCCCGCCCTCCCCAGCGCGTCCTGCGCCTGGCTCTCATGAAAAACACCCAATCTCGCCCGGTTCTGGACAATCTCCGTGACAATCTCCCCGGTGAACTCCGGGTGGCCTTGAACCGTCACGAACCGGCCCGGCGCGTACATGCCCTGGACGGCGCAGCGGGGCGACGAGCCCAGCGAGATGGTGTTGGGGGGGTAGTCGAAGACGATGTCTTGGTGCATTTGCTGGATGCGCTGTTTGTTTCACGAAGTTAGCCCCTCTGCAACAGGCAACGACGAATCAAATTCCCAACAAGACGTACGATCTTCTCTCGCCCAAACAGCTCCTTTCCCTTCTCCGTCAGGTCCATCCCGCACACGGCTATCTCCCACCCCTGCTCGCTGCGTCCGACTTTCGCGCCCAGCGCGCGGCCGACGATTTGGTGTCCGAAGCAGATACCGAGGATGCGCACCCGGTCTTGCGCGAGGACTTTCTGCGTGAACTCGACAAGCCGATTGATCCAGGGGATATCGTCGAACGAGTTATGTCCTAGGAAGTTTCACGCTATTAGCATGCTTGCTTTTGGGGCCGCAGTATTGATTATTCTTCTTCTCAAAAGCACGTACTTGAGCCAGTCAGAAGCACCGCGTCGATCTCCTCGAGTTTGGGGTACGCATCCCCGTTCACGACGTCCCAGCAGGAGATGTCGAGCCCAGACTGCGGGTCTAGTGTCTCTGGTTGGTTCAGGGCTTCGGCGCTGGCGGACAACAACGCGCGGAAGACACCGCCATAGCCATTGTAGCGGCGGTTAGTGCCTTCGAGGGGCGTGTCGCATTCAAGCACGGCGATGCGAAGGGGCGGGCGCATCTTGAAAGAGTGTGTATAGTCGGTAAGTAAGAGAGATGCAAGAGACAAAGAAGTGGCGGCATCCCGCCCCCCCACTCGTCCATATCTTATCGTAGTTGCCGAACCCGAATGCGAGGGACGGCACCAAACCGACATATATGTACGGCAGAGGTAACACAGCTTTGTGCACGATCTACTGCTGCGCATGGGAAGGCCCTTACTGTCAGCTGGCCAATATAAAGACTCCCTGCTCGCCACGGTTCTTGTCTTGTTTCCCCGTCAGATTCACCCTCTGCCACCAGACTTTTTCTCTCGGCTGGGTCTCAACTAAATAACCCATTATGCAGGATGAGGGGCAGCAAAGCCGTCCCTCAGAGACTTCTCCCCTGCTCCGAAATAGCTCTCATGAATACAACTCCGTTGGCCACCGAGACGACGTGGAAGCTGGCTCGACCACCAGCACAGAGGTAGACGAAGCCTCCATCCTGGACCTAACCAGAGTCAGCTCCATTCCGCAAGGGCTGCAAGTTGAGCCGAACCTGAACCGGCGAGTCTCTGGGAATGGGACAGCCAATAGTGCTGGACCCGACGATAAAAGCTATGACGCGCGGTTCATCGGCGTATCACCAACACGCTTCTGGTTGATCTTCTCCGGCGTTATGCTTGGGTACGTGATCGGCTTTTTTGACTCAACTCTGATGGCGTCAAGTCACCCGGTCATCACTTCATACTTCCACGCATCTAACGCCGCCTCATGGCTATCCACGGCCTTCCTATTGACTTCTACCGCATTTCTTCCTCTGTTCGGACGAATCTCCGATGCCTTTGGCCGCAAACCCGTCTACCTCTTTGCCATCTCCGTGTTCTTCCTTACGACAGCATGGTGTGGACTGGCGCAGAGCATCGGCAGCTTCATCGCCGCTCGCGCATTCTGTGGCCTCGGTGCCGGCGGTGTCTTCTCCATGGGCCAGGTCCTCTCCAGTGACCTGGTGCGCATCGAGTACCGTGGTATCTACCAGTCATACATCAACCTATGTCTCGGTATTGGCAGCTGTCTCGGATTGGCGCTGGGCGGATTCCTCTGCGATCAGGTGGGTTGGCGAGGTGCCTTCCTTGTGCAATTGCCCTTCATCTTCGTCTATTTCGTTCTGGCTGTCTGGACCGTCCCGTCAGGTCTGGGAGTGAAGCGCGTCGGACTGGAGCGAGTAACGGTCCCGCAATTGATCCGGAGTATCGACCTGACCGGGTCATTCATCCTCATTGTCGCAGTCACGGCCTTGATCATGGGCCTGAACCTGGGCGGCAACGTCTTCCCCTGGTCTCACCCGCTGGTCATTGTCTCCCTGGTGGCCTCTGCCATCCTCTCGTTGATCTTTGTCTTGTATGAGCGGAATGTGCCACGCCCTGTAATGCCCGTAGAACTACTGTCCAAGGATCCTCGTGCCAGCATCATCTTCGGCAATTTCTTTGGGTCGATGTCAACCAACACTATGATGTTCAATGCCCCACTGTACTTCCAGGCCGTCAAGCTCGCCTCCCCGACTGACTCTGGCGTGCGGCTTGTGGCTGCAACAGTCGCGGTGACGATATCGAGCGTGGGAACTGGCTTCCTGATAACCTGGACTAAACGTCTCAAGCCAACCATCATCGCCGGTGGTGTCTGCATGCTTGTTGGTGGCTGCGCCGCCGCATCAATGGGGATGAACACACCGGATGCCGTTGCCATGATATGCGTCTCGCTCACCCTCCTGGGCCAGGGATTTACCTTTCCAACCTTGATGGTCTCGGTCTTGGCCACGAGCGAACAGAGTGAGGCAGCTGTGGCCACCACCACGCTGGGACTGTGGCGGAACCTGGGCTCTGTGATGGGCGTGGCTGCTAGCAGCTGGATCTTTCAAAACACCCTCGTCTTTCAGCTAGAGCACATGGTTACAGGGCCAGACAAGCGCGACATTATTTTGATGGTGCGCAAGTCCGTGCGAGTCATCGCGGACCTGGACTTGAAGCACCGGCATCAAGGTTAGTTCTTTTCCACTAGGATTATAGTTATGTCGACTGACGCTTTTCATAGTCATGGGGGCATATGCTGCTGCGCTGCGTCTAACGTTTCTCTCTGCGGCTGTCTGGGCCGCGATCATGTTGCTGCTTCACCTGCGCCTGCGATTGCCGCGACTGGGCAGTAAGCCCTAGCCGTATGTAAATATGTACCGAAGCTATACTATAGGCATACATAATGATTAGATGCCCCACCGAACGCTTTCCGACCATTGTTTAATACAGTGGAACCAAGAGCTTGCGAATATTAGGATCAAGATAGCAGGCGGAACTGCATTATGGAAAATGCTATGGGGAAAACGAGATATTCAGACGTCACTGTTACCGTCAACTCGAAAGTAAGGCCCAAGTAACCATAATAACAACTTGTTATTTACAGGTCAACTGGATACTGGGTAGTTTCGATCTTCTCGGGCAGTGTGAAACCATTCTGCCTGCGAACCTCATCCATCACCTCCATAATCACAATGGATTCCTCCAAGTCCTCAAACCTACTTTCCTTCCGTCCTTCAATGAGTGCGATGGCGGCTTCATCTGCTTCCCAGAACATCCCATGTCCCTCGCCTTCCGCGTTCAAGCTGCTCCCAAACCCATTCTTCCACCCACTGCCGGCTCCTGGTCCAGGCATTGACCAGGTCTTGTCTTCCACAGTACCATCTTTCAGAATAAGTCTAGTCCGTGTTGGACGAGATACCGGACCCCACACTTGGACCTCTCCTTTCTTTCCCTGCACTCGTATGGCAGGACCAGCGGTGCCTTGACCATCCGGATCGGCGGATAGAGCTAGTGAGGTCATTGCAATTCCATGAGCATCTCCTCCGGTGGTTCGTGGGAAAGTGAGAAGCATCGTAGTCGTTTCATCCACGCCAGTCGGCTCGTACTTCTTGATGGATGACAGCACCTGTGGAGCTTTCCTGTCACCAGCGGGTTGAGTATGATACAGAGTCTGGAAAACCCAGGTCAACGAATAGATGCCAAGATCCAGAAGCGCGCCGCCAGCAAGATCGGGATTGACCAGGCGATGCTTGCCATCGGCAAAATTCTCGTAAGGGTTAAAATCCACGCAGTTATCTGCCGACACCTTGGTCACATTTCCCAGCTTGCCAGAGGTGATCAACTCTCGGACATAGATCGATAGGGGAAAGTATCTCGTCCAGACAGCCTCCATCAAGAACAGGTTCTTCTCTTTGGCCTTTTCCGCAAGCTTCCGTGCCTGTGGCGCATTGACCGTGAATGCCTTCTCAACAAGGACATTCTTTCCGGCCTCCAGACACAACATGGCGTTTTGGTAGTGATGAGAATGGGGGGTGGATACGTAGATAATATCCACATTTGGGTCTTTGGCGAGCTCCTCATATGATCCATATCCCTTCGCATCGGAGGGGGCTCCGACCTCTTCCAGGAATGATTTCGCACGAGAAGCACCACTGGAACTCGCTGCTGCAGTCACAGTATGAACAACTTTGTCGACGCCTCGAGTCTTCGGGTCGACGAGCAGGTCTTTGGTAAAAGTCACGGCGATACCGCCAGTGGCTGTCTCTGTCAGAACAGATCGCTCAGAGGCAAGGGCTACGTACCTAGGATGCCCCAACGAATGGTCTCTGGCATTATGAATAACACTTAAGACAAATGGTCTAACAGAAGTACAGACGGGCGGCAAGCTTGCTTTTCAATCCGACGGAGAGCGGGGTGACGACATGTCTCTGCTAAGCAACCCCCACGCTACTAGTCACTGACTAATTTCCCCACTGCGAGGCATGAATAGATAGCGATGCATGGCGTTGCAGGGATATATATCCACCTAGAGATATCGGATATCTGCCGATTATTGGCGGTGGCCACTATCTTGAGCTTAGAAAGTGAAAGCAAGAGCGGACTAAATACTTCTATCGGGTAATTACGTCGGAAGCCACAAACTATCCCCAATCTACAGGCATACCAACCGACTGCCTGATGATTCATCTCCACAAGGAAGGGCCTATAGTCTTTCTCCAGGGTGGAACCACTCCATCAGGTATATCTTGTCTTCTGAAGCCCTTAATTGTTGGACCAGTGGTTGGTGCCATCAAGTGACACCTGGTTGGTAGTCTATGTTGGTTATGTTCTCAGAGGGGTTCAGGTGTATATAGAACGCTGAAGGGGGCCTTGGAATCTAGTGATCTGGTCTAGGATTCGATACTTCTAATTAAATCCCCTCCTACCTCCCACGATACTGATTAACGGCAATCAACGGATCCAAAGCATCGCCATGTAGACTTTTGGCCAACCGCATTCCTTGACCCACTTTTCCCGCTTTCTTTTCCCCAGTCGATCTCAACTTCACTTTTCGACTTAGTCGAACGATACGCTGGGTTCGGTCGCTGAAAGTACCCTGTCAGACTACACTAGCGGTGTCCTCGACTCGCTCTTCCATCTCCTCCCGCTCTCCGCCCATCCAGCCCCGAGCTCAACCGGGCGCCAAGCGGATGACTTTCCAGACCAGCGAATAACCGAGTCGCACCCTCCCCGATCGCACATCGAACATGGCCATACGCTTGCTATTGAAGAAGAAAAAGATTACACTCGGGAAGCCTGTGCCGGTCTGGAAGTCGGCCGCACCGATCGGCGCTGGCGACTAGACAGACAGACAAAAGAAATTGTGGCGCACCCACAACTCCAGGAGAGCGCAATGACTCTCCAAACTCGCACAAAGTCCCAGTCTGTTATCCGCGATGGCAAATCTCGAATTCCGATACCGAAGAGCCCAGGCAGCGACTCCCAATGCGTCGCTGCCCGCACGCGCCGCAAGAAATCCGCTGAGATCGCCGAGACCAAGGCCCGACGAGTCCGCACGGGATGTCTCACCTGTCGCGAGCGGCATCTGAAATGCGATGAGGCGCTGGGGCGGTGTCTGAACTGTCGAAAGTCGGATAGGGTATGTCGACGTGGAGTTCGTCTCAATTTTATCGATATCCAGACTGTGGCCCCCCCGCATCTCATTACCCGCCCTCATGGCACCAAGGTGACATTCCGCGACGACTCGCGGTTCATTGCGTCGGAGTATGTTGGTGGATTTGAGAGGTATCCGCCGCCTCAGCCGGAGAAATCTATCGCCGAAGACACTATACAGACGCCCCATGAGGCTTTTGAGATGGATCCAGAAACTCTGAATCACCTCTTTCAGTCTGTCGCTCACTCATTCGATCCAACGGGGTTCGAGGTCTCACATTCTGGGCCAGATCTTATTGTTGGCGCGGAGCACTGGCCATCGACCCACTTGACGTCCGGCGATGAGTTGCTGCCTCACGCTTTATCTAAATTCGCACAGAAGCTGTCTATGAGACAAGTAGTTCATGCTGCTTTGACGGATCCCGAGCAAGTGCTTTTCCTGCAGGTGTTCGTTGAGAAAATTGGTATTTGGATGGATTCCATGGATGTGATGAAACATGTATGTTGCCTTCTCCTATTGATTTCTGTCCTGTCATTTCTAATCGAGAAAAGTTCACACACATCCTGCCATATCATGCTATCGACGAACCCATGCTGCGAAACGCCTTTTTTGCATGCGGGGCCAAGCACCTGGCCCTAGTCAATGCTTCTTACGAAGAGGAGAAAGCGCAGCATTTTTACGACTCAGCAACTCGAGATATTCTGAACGCCGTTCATGATCCAAACCGTGATTCTGTTCTCTGTGCAACCACAGCTCTGGTTCTTAGCATCTATGAAACTATGTCTTCACGATCAACGAATCCGATGAATCATATCGCAGGCTCGCGGGCTCTGATCCGGGAATGTGGCTGGACAGCAAAGACACAGGGCCTTGGCGGAGCGTGTTTCTGGACAAGCGTGTGCATGGAGCTCCTCAGCTGCCTGCATCACAATTGGGCCGTATCTTGGAATCCTGATACTTGGCATGTCAACATGGACATGGACCATATGCACCATCCAGAGCAGGTCTGGCTCCAACGAATGCTGTATATCTGTTCCAAAATTGCAAACTTCCGACGGTCCGTTCGCCAATCGCCAGGAGCAGATGGCCATGCCATCCATACTTCTGGCATGTTCCAGGAGTGGAGTCTCTACACCAACTGGTGCGATCAGTGGGCCAAGCTCGTGCCGCGGTCTATGATGCCCCTAGGTTACTTGCAACCCTGGCAAAGTAATTCTAAATCCGCGTTTCCCACGGTCTGGTAAGTGATCATTCTCTTGTTTCGCCTGCAAAAGCTTACAATTGTTATTCAAACAGGCTCATCGGCGGGCATGCCGTTATTGCACGGTTATTTTACCACACTGCTCGCATCTTACTGGCCAAATCACACCCGCTGGGTTCCGAAATGCACACAGAGATGCGAAACATGCAGCAAACCCACGCCTATGATCTCTGTGGTCTCGTTTCCCAAGTCAAGGATCGGTACGTGGAACACTCATATCATATCAATAGAAACTCATATTTCAATTAGCGGAGCGGTCTACATCTCGGTCCACTGTCTTGCCATCGCAGCAGAATGTCTAGACGCCCGTGAAGCCCAGGATGAAGCCCTAGGCATATTCGACACAGTTACCAACAACGAAATGACCTGGTGTGTCGATCCCATCAAAGAGAAGCTCAAGCAGACCTGGGGTTGGCAAGTTTCGCATTCTCACACCGTTTCTCCTGAGCAAATACACAACAACTTTTCCGACTTGGATCCTCTGCTGTCCGACGAGTCCCATGACCTGGCGGGAGGTGTCGTCAATCCTCTACTGGTGGCGGCGGACTTTGCATTGGATAATCACCCCTACCAGGGCTCATATGTTACCCCGCATCATGCAATTGATCATTATCACTACGGTGGTTACTTGATGTGATGGTTGGTTGGTTTATAACGGCTGCCTTTTTTGTTTTGAGATACCCTCGACAGTTGTATATTTATGCAAGGATTTTTCCACCGCAATTCTAGGTGATAGTAAATCGGGCGCCGAAAATGGCTACGTGAGCTCCCTTTTTACCAAGATCCTAGTCTTCCACAGGTCATGAGATATGCTTGTACTATGCGGTCGCTGAGCACTCACTGAGCGCTTGGAGCTGCTTAGAATTAATTTGTCGAACGATCGCCAACACATGGACAAATGGATCGACGCCGTAGCTCAGTGTCAAAGCGTGAATTACGACTGATTCCAATGGCTGCTGCCAGCCGCTAGCCGCTACCCGCATAGATCATCAATAATCCGGCACAGATTGTAAATAAGAATACGTGAGATAGCTTCGAAGAGTAGACAATGGAGGACTTCATATAGTACCAAAACCACTGGAGAGCAGTATCACTAATGGAAAGCAGAATTCTCACTCTCAATAGGATTAGAGAGTCAGAGCTGTCTTTATTCCTACGGCCCATACTACCGTGGACCCTTTGTGCGGTTCATCCCACGCCTTGGTCTTAGTCACCTACGCGTAGTCGTCATCGTATGACAGACGAGCACACCTCCGAGTTTAATTCCGACCGTGCGGTTCTGGAGCGATCAGAGTCAGCCTGGGAGATATTTCTAAGCCTGAGCCTATTGCTCTTGCAGCCTGTATACGCTCTCCTGCTCCTTGCGCCCTCTGGCGTTTCTCAGGTCTGCTATGGAAACGCCTTTTCCAGCCTCACTCGAAGATAATTCGTTATCAGCGTTGGAAGGCTGGCATCAAACACACTCTCTTCCAAATGGTTAGCTTCAAATACAAGACCTTGAAGACCTATCTTCCTCGGGTCCGGTTTCTCACGGTGCATTATGCCTACTTCATCGGAGTCTCCTTCATCACCTCCGCCATCTTCTGGGGCACATCTTCCCCGGCCCGCAGTGTTCGATACATTGACTCGCTATTTTTAACCGTCAGCGCCATGACCCTGGCGGGACTGAACACTGTCAATTTGTCTACGCTGAATACATTCCAGCAAGTCCTGCTGTTCTTCCTCATAATGTTTGGATCTGCGGTAAGAATGGCAGTGATCCACCATCGCCCACGGGGAAGGCTAATATGATATAGATCTGGGTTTCCATTGCGGTGGTCCTAGTTCGCAAACAAGCCTTTGAGAAAAGGTTTGGGGAGATTGTGAGGGAAGAGCGTCTGCGGAAGAGAACCCAGAGCTCAATTGGGTTAAGCCGTTTAATCATGAGGCCGCGCTCTCTCTCTCGACAGTCCACCGTGACCCAGGAACCTGCTCGTCACTCAGAACCCCCGCTCCCGCTCCGTTCTCCCCTTTGGAGAACGCCAGTTGCGCCTAGCATTCCTCTCCATCCTGCGAGGTCGCAACCCAAGAACCAGAAACCAGATTCAAGGCCTGGCCCTCCTGATACCAGACAACTCGATCAACAGGCAGAGCAAGTTCCCCCAAGAGCTAGAAATGACGTTGAATCTGTAGCACCTGACGAAGTACTGCCTGATGGAAATCCCCTTACAGAGCCCAAGAGCAATACGGACGCTGATTCTCATATTGCATTCACTTCTAACGTATGGAACCGTTCTGAAGACCGATCATCTAGCCCACTACGTCGACGCATGCTCTCCCCATATGTCAATGTTCAGAACTACTCTACTACACTTGGTCATTTGGAGCAAGATCCTTCCGATGTGGGCTCGGATAGGGAAAGATTAAATACGGCTCATTTGCACTTTTTGCGCAGATTTCATCGAAATTCTACGTTCTATAACCTAACTGAAATGGAGCGACAACAGCTTGGAGGCGCCGAGTACCGAGCAATATGCTTGTTGTCCATCATTGTGCCGGTCTATTTTGTCCTGTGGCAGCTGCTTGGCGGGTTAGGGGTCGCAGCGTATGTCGCAAGGAACAAAGCCTCGCTGACAGAAGCTAATGGCCTGAATCCTTGGTTCGTTCTCATTCCAGCTCCTGGTTTCTTGATATCTGGACTACCATCCTTGTCACTTGATCCCTATAATGATCTCTAATGTTTTTTTTGCTTAAACTTAGGTGGACCGGCTTCTTTTTTGCAATTTCTGCATTCAACAACTCTGGAATGAGTATTCTTGATGCGAACATGGTTGGTGCTTCAGGATTTTCTGGAATAGCTTGTTGCGTTTAACCGTCTGCCAAGGTTCCCTTACAAACATCGAAGTATATGCTTATTACCATGGGCTTGTTGATATTGGCTGGTAACACCTGGTAAGACACCACCCTTCTTGTTATCTGGTTTTATCTTTGGTGTACTCATGAGGTCTTGCAGCTATCCAATCTTCCTGCGATGGATATTATATACTATTCGCCTGATGCTTCCGGATATCGAGTATTTCCATAATTTCCGTGACACATTAACCTTCCTCCTGGATCACCCCCGGCGAACTTATACTAGCTTATTTCCTTCTGCACACACATGGTGGCTCTTACTCTCTGTGATTGTCTTGAACGGTATCGATTGGGTAGCGTTCGAAGTACTCAACGTGAGTTGCTAAGCTATCCAGACGTACAAGTGCGTAATGCTAATCCTCAGCGATAGTTCGATAATCCGGTGGTGGACGCTATCCCTGAAGGTTCGCGTATTTTGGACGGCCTGTTCCAAGCACTATGCGTCCGAAGTGGAGGCTTCTATATTGTCAATCTCTCGACCCTCCAGCTAGGAACGCTACTTATCTATGTGGTAATGATGTACATCTCTGTCTATCCAGTTGCGATCACGATGCGACACTCGAATATATACGAAGAGAGGAGTCTGGGATTATACGCAGATGACGCCTCCCTGGATGAGGATGATCTGGAAGCGTCATCAGGAGCTTCGGTGAATCGGCCTCCCGTGTCACCCACCGTTGGAAGGATATATTTTATCCGGCATCAGCTGCGGGCACAGATGGCGTACGACTTATGGTGGATCGCCCTGGCTGTCATCATAATTGGCATCGTGGAGGCGGGCCAGTTCACCCGGGATCCTATCGCGTACTCTGCATTCAACATTATCTTTGAGACAGTAAGTGCCTACGGATGTGTCGGTATTAGTATCGGCCTTCCAAATAAACTTTACAGTTTCTCTGGAGGTTGGCATACCTTGAGCAAGCTTGTCCTTTGCGCTGTGATGATTCGAGGCCGCCATCGAGGCTTACCGGTGGCGATTGACAAGGCAATCATGCTACCAAGCGACAAGCTTGTTAAAGCAGAAGAGGAAGACGCCCAGATTAGGATGGAGAGAACTATGAGCCGGAGAGCCAGATGAGAACCGTTAGTCAAGAATTCCCATAACGAGAAAAAATGTCTTTCCACTATGTATGCCTCTGAGATCTGCGCGGGTCTTCATGTGGTGAAAGTTTTGGTATCCAACCCTGCTTAGCTGGGATGTTGTTGGCGCCACACTCTCAATGTGGTGAGAGGCTCTAACTTCCGACAACGACAGGTCAAGTTGCTTCGGGATTCCATTAGCGGGTTTTGTCGGGAATCGGGGACCTAGAATCGTACGAGACATACGAAAGCGTATCAATAACATCTCACACAAGAGAGAACGAGAGATAACAGGCCACTGGTTGTAGATTTGTTATTAGCTCTTTGATCTCGAATGAGCGCAAACCATAGCATTCGACCCGAAAGTTGAAAGAAAATCTAGATGCCACATCTACCATCGTTTTAGAAAGAGAGAGAGAGCAGATTCAACAACCTGATATTGTCAGTTTCCCTAAACATATATCAACCCGGGGCAAGTATGGCGACAATTTCCAATACTGGAACCTTGACCGGGGTGCTCAATGATTGTATAATAAACATTTTGTGTATTTCATTCGTATTAGAGACAAGAAGTAGTCCATCAAGAACACTAAAAGTACATCTGTGGCGAGGCACAATTCAGGAAGACGGGAACAACCAGCAATACCAATAAAAGCAACAAAAAAGTGTATCATCATTGGTCCAATCACATCCTGCTAATGTACATGCAGAGAAATCCAGAAGATCGTGCTGTTAACAAGTGAGCGAGCTCTCAGGCGGCTGACGGGCCTTAAGGAAGCAGGAATGTAAACCAAAAGTTTCGAGATAACAAGCTTCATAGCTGAAGGGGCGGCATGGCCATTCAACCTGACCGGCGATCGCATTGTAGCTCAAAGATGGATGGCATCTAAATATTCCCAACGATCTGCGCTTTTATAGCACGCTGGAGCTCGCCATCCGCATGGCCGGACAGCGACCCATATGTGCTAGGACCTTCGCTCGAGATATCGACGGCAGCCATCTGCTGCTGCACGGTTTAATTCGTCGCAGGCAAAAAGAGTAGGCTGATCACTAAAACTAGACCTGCTTCTGAACTGCAAATTTTTGCAAGTTAATGAACTATTGTATGCCATCAGATGCTCGATATTGACGTTTGCTAACAAATTGTTGTGTACAAGCTGACGTGTTCTCGAAACAAGCTGGAGGAAGGAGTCCCAGCCGATTAAGTCAAATTCCATAGTTTCCCCACTGACAGCATCGTAAGTCCAAAAAGCCAATCCGGCAAGCTTCTTTTGGAAATAATAGGCCCAACAAACCGCGGTTCTATTTCTGATATGCGGGGTAAAGTTATGATCTCTTGTGCATTCTCAAACGGGCTCGGCCTCAGGTGCGGAGATGAATCCCAAGGCCCACCCACCTCCGAAGCTTATCAGGGAAGCACCGTAAGCCAACCATTTTGCTAGGTTTACCAGGTGCAAAACTGGCCCCCGCAAGTAGCAATGTCGGCAAGATGAGCTAGCCAAGATAGGGTGGACGTCAGTCCTGCCTGTTCGATCGAGGACCTAACCCGTTCAGGGGGAAATACCCTTCTCTTGGACCAATGTGAATGGCAGACACATATGAACCGGTGCCGTGTCCCGGTCGGGACTTACTGCCTTGCGCTATTATTCCATTTTGTTAAAGGGGCGTGTATTCTTTCCCATTCATTCCTCTCGCCGAAATTTGCTGGTTCATCCAAGAAATTATTCACTATGGACATCGATACCGCCGTGCCTGTTGAGGTAGAGAAGGGAAATAAGACGCTGGATGTGGATGATGCCCGATTACTTGCTATGGGGAAGAAGCCCGAATTGCAACGCGTATATAACACCTGGACGTGTGAGTGTTGCCTGCATCTTAATTGACTTCGTGAAAAAAGACAAACTGAGTTGTCCCTCAAGTGTGCGCGTATCAGGTCATGATACAGGCCAGCTGGTCGTGTCTCATTGTCCTGTATTCAACCATCTTCGATGTCGGTGGCCCGACCAGTTTGATATGGGGCAGGTCAGTCAAACTTTCTTTCAAGAAAAGTATTGGCGAGGCTAACCTCTAGCTCCAGCCTGGTTGTCTCCGTAGGTCAAACGCTACTGATGACCTCTTTGGCCGAGTACTGTAGTATCTGGCCGACGGCTGGTGGACAGCAGTACTACACTCAGGCTCTCTCGATGGGGAGCATGCGGCCATTTCTGTCATATATAGTTGGATGGGCTATCATGGTTGGAGAAATATCGACGGGGTCAAGCTGCGCGCTGAATAGTGCTCAGATTATTGCGTCTTTTGTTCAAATCGCTCACCCTGAAACAGAGTGGAAGGTCAGTTGCCATTTCGTCCAAGTCATGCTGTGAAATATTACTCTCAAGACTGACAGGTGCTGTAGTCTTGGATGACTTGGCTACTTTATAGTGGAATGCTTGTTCTTCCAGTCATTACAAATCTCAACCAAAGGTAAGTACACATATACAACCCACCTTGTGTGGACCGTCATTCAAGCCTTACATTTGGCTTACCTGAAAACAGATGGCTACCAGGGGTGAATCTTCTTGGCGCACTCTGGGTTGTCGGCGGCGGAGTCACTTGGGCGATAGTCTTCATCGTGATGGCGCCCAAGCATGACGCCAATTTCATCTTCACCGAATTTATGAATAATACTGGCTATGCAAGCAATGGATGGGTATTCATCATGGCGTTTTACAATTCTATGTACGGCATGGTTGGTACTGACGGAATGATGCATCTGGTGAGTGTTGCCAGTATGGTAGAACAGAGACATTTCTAAACTGCTCACAAATAGGTCGAAGAGATGAAGAACCCGTCTAAGAATGCTCCAGTATGTCTATCTCACGCTTTGCTACTACACTCCACTCTAGGCTTTTTTCATGGCTCACCATTTATAGCGCGCCATGATCTATTCTATGATATTCTGTGGCATTATGAGCTGGTTAGCAGCCGTCTTAATGATTTGGACCGCCGGCAACATAAATACCTATATGGACTGTAAGGGTCCGAGTTTCCGGTATTCTGATTGAGTACTGACAGTTTCTAGCACCACAGCCATACATGAGCTGGTGGATGGGTGTTACAGGCTCTCTCTATGGTGGTGGTCTCTTCTGCGCCCTCGTGATGATTGGCATCAACTTTTTCGTTATCGTAGGCACCAATAGTGCCGGATCTCGAATTGTGTGGAGCATGGCTCGCGATAAGGCTTTTCCTTATTCCGAGTACTTGTCTCAGGTCAACCCTCGACTTGGAATTCCTTTGCGAGCAATTGGGTTTGTTGTGGTTATCGACTTGATACTTGGTACGTCTCCCCTTGTACGGAAAGCTCGGAGGTATGAGTGCAACGACATTGTCTACAGTTACTCACAAGTAGGAAATTCTACTCAGGCTTGATTGTACTGGGAAGTGACCTTGCCTTTCAATCAATCATTTCTGGTGGCGGTCTGATGTTGCAGGTCAGCTACTTGGTACCTGTGATGGTGGTATGCCCCCTCCCCCAATCCAGTTGTAACATGTTGATCGGTACTAAAATATTTCCTTTAGGTTCTTATCCGAGGCCGAAAGATTCTACCTCCACGCCCCCATTTTGATCTCGGTCGATGGGGCTACCTAGTCAATGTTCTCAGCGTCTGCTGGTCTTTATTGATTTGTGTGGTATATCTGTGTCCGCTTTACGTCCCAGTCACTGTCCCTACTATCGAGAATATGAACTGGAGCTGTCTGATTGTGGGCGCTACTATTCTCTTCCCCGGAATTTATTGGATCTTTGGGGCGCGTTTCAAATACATCAAAGAGCATAACTCGGTCATGGAGGACAATGTTGTAGTGATTGACGGTGTTATCATTGGAGGAATGGAAGCTATGACAAGGGGAGCCGGGCTTCACGCCGCTCAAACGAAGGAATGAATCCATCTGTTACTAGTGTTCGTATCTGCCTTGGAACAATTTTATAACTACAAATTCCACATGGATCTTTTATCTCTACCCCTCTGGTGCACATCAATATTGCTAATAGCAACGCCGGCTCCTCCAGCTGCGATTGGGTCCCGACGCAATGGATGAGCGGCTGAGTCGGTGCAGGACGCCTTTCCCGTTTCGGAAAGATTTTGGAGAACTAAACTCTGTTTGGAAAGATCATCGTTAACTTCCAACTATGAAACTCTATCCTTATTTGAGACGTCGAGCTTCGGGAGTTCCAAAGTTCCGTCTGACATTCAAAGAGCTTATCAGTTCCGAGATGAGATGCGGAGTAAATAGTATATTCGGTTTGCCGTTTCGAGGAAGGATTTGGAGATTTAAGCCGCATTGGTGTTCTCCCGTCACTGTATCGTGGCCCCATGACGCTATCTACTCGTTATGACGATGACCTTTGAGATTCAAATTAGCCATAATGAACTTTCGATATTCCCCTCATCGCCTTGACTTGCCCATTTCGGTACTGTCTTCGGATAAATCTGATCAGTGGGAGAGGTTCAAACAGTGCCAAAACCAATATATATAAAGCGAGTATTTGTCGCCCCAGGTAACAGAAGAAGTATTAATATTCAATGAACTAAAGTTGAATGGTATCTTAATATAAGACCACGCTGAATATTCTACTACGATTTTGATCTCTTCTTTCTACGGTTGCGAAAATGACCGTTCCAACGGGAATGCCCAAAATCGTAAGGCTCGACGCCAAAGACCCCAAGACAACCACCGAGCGTGTCGTCGAGGTCGTTGAACGAGACGGCGGAGTCATCATCAATGGTCTTTTCCCCAAAGAACACACCGATAGAATTCGGGCGGAGTTGAAACCAGTGTTTGATGCCGACATACCAGATCCATCTGGATTCTTTCCGAAAACGACCCGACGCGCTACAGGGTTGATTGGAGTTTCAGATGCATGTGTTGAATATGCCACCAATAAGTTGTGGATTGATGTCTGTAACGCAATTCTCACAAGTACTTTTCAAGGTTGGCATGGCGAGTCACTTGAGAAATGGACAACAAAGCCCATTATTTCATCAACTGTTGGCTTCCAAATCCATCCGGGATCGCGTGCTCAAGATCTCCACAGGGATGACAGGTAATGCTCTCAAGAATTTGCATCGTATTCTCCTGTGTCATGTTAACCGGTTCGCATTGTAGCGATTACCATGCAATGGGCGACGAGCATATTATGATGGGCTGCCTTCTAGCGACTACAAAATCCACATATGAAAACGGCGCAACACTGATTATACCTGGCTCTCATAAGTGGGGTCCAGAACGCGTGCCCAAGAAGGAAGAAGCAGTACCGGCTGAGCTAGATGTCGGCGATGTGCTCATATTTACTGGCAACGTTTATCATGGCGGAGGCGCAAATAAGTCTATGTATGTTCTATTGGCACTTCTCTGGAAAGTACATTCTGATAACCAATTTTTGGCAGTGATCAAATTCGGGAGGTCATCGGGATGTTCATGGTGAAGGGAATGTACAGACCTGCAGAGAACCAGATGCTTGCCGTGCCACCCGAAAAGGCGAAGAGGTATACACCCCAGGTTCAGAGGTTGCTTGGTTACGGAATCAGTGCCCCTAGTGTGGGATTTCACAAATATCAGGATCCCATGCGCGTTCTGTTTGGTGTTGAGGACGAAGAGACAGTAGATATGTGATTAGCAATTATGTTGGCCATGGACATAACTACCGCGGCATTGTATTGGTTGTTTATCTTGTATATATGTGTTGTTACCGTCAAAGCATTAAGATTAATCTGTCTTAAATTTTTTTCCAAGTTAAATAATTACTATTCTTTAGTTACAAGATACAGAATAGCCAAAGATAGACATTTTTCAACAGCATTCCAATATACATGAATTTCTGCCAAGGGAAAAAAATTCTAACCCTTTTCATATGAGTTATAATTACTTTTCGGAAGGTTCAGACTGTTTGGGATCTGGTTGCCGGAACTAATCTCCATCTCACATGACTGAACGCTTTATCTTCAGTTTCCCCGCTCGGTAACCAACATCTTCCGCCAAGTAACCTCACTTAACTCAATGTTACCATAGCTAAAGAATTAGCTGCATGACACATTATGACAGCACCTGATAGAGGTATGCAACATCAAATTACAAAGTCTCCAGTCAAATTCTCTGAGCTATGAAGTGGCGGCAAACAGCTTGCTTGTACTTGTTATGGTCTCTCCTGTGCGCAAGTGTGCTGATTTTGCAGGAAAACAGACTGCCAAAAATGCAAATTGAGACGTATAAAATGCGATAGAAGCTTGCCGACATGTCTCAAGTGTGCGAGTCGATCACTTGATTGTCCCGGATACTGCCAGACGATCAGGTTCGTTATGGGAACGTCCCGGAAACCCAAGAAGGACCCAGAGCCTATTCCTACCAGACACCTTTCTTATAGCATCCATGGCTCCAGCGGACAGAATTTGGCCTCGTTGGACTATCAAGAGACCTTCACTTCAGACTGTCGCCCACTGATAACGAAATCCGAGCTTCTTCATCATTTCACCAATGTTATAGCTGCCGACCTTGTTTGGATAGATGATCTACAAAACCCATGGCGACAATACATTTGCCCACTTGCATCGCAGTCTCCCGGAGTTTTATATGCTGCGCTTTCTGTTGCAGCCGCCAATTTATATTTCAAATTCGACCCCAACAGCCCGCACAAAACGTTGAGCCTAAACCTCATGAATGAATACCGTCAGAAAACTGTCGAATGCTTGACACCATATTTAGCTTTTGCCAATTGCAATGATGGCCGTGCAGACAGCAGGACGAGCTCGCAGGCATTTCAAGAGGCACTTGCAATCACACTACTCCTTTGGCATCTCGAGATGCACTTTCCATCAGACTCACTATGGCGACTACATTTGCGCACGGCACAGGCTCTGGTATATCACTACCAGAAAAGCTCCATGCTACTTCTAGGATCAAATAGATGCGGAGATTTTCTCATATCGGAATTTTACTGCGCTACTATCTGGCCTCGGCTGACACTGAATGTTGAAATCGACGACATGACGTTAAATATTCCGATGGCTGATGGAACGAATGCTTTCGTTGGTTTTGTTCAGTTGATGCACCAAATCATCATGAAATACCGGGACTGCGGTGGGAGTGATACTATACCTGCTGGAAATACAATGGCTCTCACAGAGTTAGAGTCACAAGCCACAAAGGTCAGAGAAACGGTACTTACAGTGGAAGATACAGCCAAGATCAGTTTGCACAATGGAGCTTCAAGCGACATAGCCCATGTGGTGGATGCGTGGTACTATGCCGTTCTTCTGTTTGGCTATCGGGCGATTGGACGATTAGACGGCTCTAATCCAGCGTTGCAAAGAGCTCGCGATTGTCTGTTTAAATCGCTATTGTCCTTTTCCAGCCCTCTATCCTTCGCTCAGAACCAACCGTGGCCGTTGTTTATCGCTGGAACGGAGTGTGCGGGTAATAAAAAAATGCAGCTATGGATTGAATCCCGCTTGCTCAGTCTCATCAATTTTGACTGCCCTCTAGACCGTCCGCGGATGCTGGATTTTCTCAAAGAGTGGTGGGCGCAACCAAGTTCAACATTTGACCAGAAATCCTGCTGGATGGCTTTCAGAAAAGCACCGGCAAATTTTGTCAAGGAGTTCGTTATTTGGTGACGCGATTGATTTGTCAATCTTCATAGGACTTGATCTTTCGTTTCATTGTACTATCGTATTCAAGTGGTAGACCTTTTATGTCAATATGAGACGTGTTTTTTGCGCTAAAGCTTGGTCGAGAATCTTGTAACTAGGGTCTTTAAAATAAATTCACTCTCTAGGCTCTCTCCAAACATATTATTGTTCTCTTGCAATCCTGTACACATAGATGGCAAGTCGTCAAGGCTTGGCCCCAAGGTATAGTTGACCTTTCGTTGATCGCCTTGCCACTCTTTAGATCTGGCACTTATATCTCCGCCAATTATATTCAAATATCTGTTTTCTTTGGATACACAGGCCTTTGATTAAGTCCTGCACGGTTGTAAAGCCAGGTTATCCCTAGGGTGTTAGGCACAGCCTACTAGGGCAAGGAAGGGCTCTCTACCATTGTTCTACGCAGAATTGCTAACGAAAAGCCGACGCTCGATTCCTGTCTCAGAAGCGAAGATAATGGAATATGAAATATGAGAGGTTCTTTAATTTCTGAGGTAGGTTTTAGAAAATCGAAATTGTGACTAGAAGTTCCAAAGGGGAGGTGAAAGTTGTTAGCGACGTAGGAAATCGTCATCTGTGTCTAGGCTCCTAGAAAAACTAATCGGCAGTAAAGCGGTTAGCATCAGAGCAGGCGAAGGGCGAGGCACGTTGAGAACTAAAGAGGTGAGGATATAAGCGCTCAGGTCGCCCAGTGAGTAGCTCAGGTCTCACTTGGAAGAATATAGATTGAAGCGTATAACAACAACGCAGTTTCTTTCTATTATACCTACATACATCGAACTCCAATTGTATATGATTAACACTCTAAAGCTTACTTTTTGCTGTTAAACGGACAATTTTCTCTTCCAGTCAAGAATCATCCACGTTCGAAACTGGACCAGATCAAAGGGGTGGCGGTGTGAGGCGGCAGTTTTTCCCTACTCATCGACTGATCAGCTTCCACTTCCAGCACACAACACAATATATGTCTTCAGAGAAATGGATGAAAGATCTACGCTGGGACTTCAGTCTACAGCCACACCAATCTACATCCTACGTGGACACACAGCCCCAATCCACGCTCTACACATCTTCAACCGCAATCTCCGCCTGGTATCTGGAGACGCCGATGGCTGGATCGTGATCTGGGACCTCGTCATCAAACGACCTGTGGCCGTATGGAAGGCTCATTCTGGTGCTGTGCTCGAAGCCAAGGGATTCACTCGTGGTGGAACTGTCACAGAGATCTATACGTGAGGATACATTGTCTCCTAAGTTAATATCTCACTTGCTGATTTTATGCCTACCAGACATGGCCGAGACCACAAGCTATGTGTGTGGAAGGTCAGTGCAGAGGATGAGTCGTTTCTTGACAAGACTCTCCCGGTCGATAGAGCTGATTCCGCAGAGTCGGAGGAAACTCAGCGCCAGCCGTGGCTACTGCACTCTCTGCCTGTGAACGCGCTGAATTTCTGTGCTTTTGACATGACATTCCTGCACACAGACTGCAGTCCAGAAGAGAAGACTGGCAGCGATAATAAACGCGCCGCTCTCTTCGCAGTCCCTAACGCTCTTGACTCCGGTGGAGTCGATATTTTCCACCTTCCTTCCGAACGCCGTCTCAGCACCATCCGCTCAGACCCGTCAACCAAGACAGGGATGGTGATGGCTGTTAATCTTTTTGTTTCTCCATCTGGAGACCTTTATCTTGCATCTGCCTACGAAGACGGACATGTCATGGCATTTCTCCATCGCGGACCACTCAAGTCCATCATCAATCTGGAATTCAACGCAAGCAGCAACGCCTGGAAATGGGAGAAGATATACGCAAGTCGTCCGCACTCACAACCTGTCCTCTCTATCGACTCATCTCCCTCTCAAGTCTATTTCCTGTCTTCTTCCGCCGATGCATTGATCGTTAAACATCCGCTCCTCAATTCTGAGCCTGGCGGGTATATACCCACACCCAGATATGTTCAGGAATCGCCGCTGAAGATCATCAACACGAAGCATTCTGGGCAGCAGGGTCTGCGCATTCGGTCTGATGGGAAGGTCTTTGCGACGGCTGGGTGGGATAGTAGGGTTCGAGTTTACTCTGGGAAGACGTTAAAGGAGCTCGCTGTGCTGAAGTGGCATAAGGACGGGTGTTATGCGGTGGCGTTCGGGAACACTGATAATATCACACAATCTTCGGCACATGAAGCGTCTGGAAAAATTGCAGAAGATGTCGGCACCGGTTCAGAATATGCAGAAATGGCTGGCGAGAGATCGGAACGCTCGCTGGCAACTGTGCAGAACCAACGGAATATGAAAGTGCAGCAGACACACTGGCTAGCGGCTGGATCTAAGGATGGAAAGATTTCATTATGGGATATCTACTGAAGATGCGATGCTAATGCTCTTGAGCTGCCGTTATTCATCGTCGAGGAATGAAATGAGATGGTCAAAGATGCAAAAATGTCCAAAATCAAGCCAAGTTGAACTCGCTCGCCCCGGCCATTTGCTCCCTCATCTTGGCCCTCATCTTCCTTGCGGCATCGTTCGTGGTGGTCGTAGACGGCCCATCGTCGTCTCCACCAGCCTTCCGCTTGTTTCCTGGCACTCCTCTCCGCTCCGCCCTGAAATCTTTCTTCGTGTCTTCTTTTCCAGGCCGCAGGCCAGGCACATTAATCTTGCCCGGCCGGTCACGCAATGCGAAGCTCTTGGCTAGGTGTCCCAAGTGGAGTTCTTTAATGTTGAACATGTTGCGTTCTGCCGCAATGTGAGTTGCATAGGCCCGGATATGAGACTGGAAGGCCCGCCGCCCCATCTCAAGGTACTGCGGGTTCTCCAGTGCCCAGCGCTCCACGTCCAGTTGCCACTCCGTGGCTTTCGCCTCCCAATCCCTGCTGTCGGACTTGACGTTGCTGCCGAATCCGCGCTTCAGGATCTCCGTGGCGTCGGTGTGAGTCAGCGCTTTCCCGCCGTCGCGATAGCTGCGTTTGAGGATGTCCACGTAGTTCTCTTCGCTGCCTGGCTGCAGGAAGATCTGGGCGCGGCCGTCTCGGCCTAGACGTGCTGTACGTCCAATTCGGTGGAGGTGGTCGTCCGAGCTGAAGGCGGGGTCGTACTCGATGACCAGGTCGACGTTGGGCAGGTCCAGGCCTCGGGCAGCGACATCAGTGCAAATGAGCACTGAGCTCTCATTGCTGTTCGCAAATGATTTGAGGGTGGCAGTCCGTACTTGCTGCGGCATAGAACCATGTAGTCGGTGCAGAATGACGGAATTCGATGGGTTGGAGAAGTCCGTGGCGTGAGCAATGGTGCCATGGGGTGATAGTTCGACGTTCTTGGCTTTGTTATTCTCCTCCTCGTTGTCGCTATTCTTTTCCTCTTGGTTTGCTTCCTTCCTCGTAAATACCTCGAAATGGAAATCCACCGAGTCGGCACAAGACACAAAGACAATTGCCTTCATCACGGAACCTTTCCGGATGAACGTTCGCTTCAAGTAGGCCGTCAATGAGACCAATCGTAACTTCGCTGCCACAATTGCATAAGACTGCTTCAGCTGTGCCGGGACGCGGAAGGCATCCTCTTCGCTTTTGTTTGCCGTTGTTTCCTCATCATCCTCTGGGTCGGCCTTGATGTGTACTGCATCCTTCAAACTGATCTCGCCGAGTCGCTGAACGTTCATCTTCAACGTCGCCGAACACAGAATCGTCGTCCTGCGCGTCGGCACCCCGGGAACACGACTGGGCCTTTGTCTGGCATCAAGTTTCCCGACAATGCCTTGTATCTCCTCCTCAAAACCTAGATCCATCAAGCGATCTCCTTCATCCAGGACCAACCACCGAACATTACTGACATCCAGAACCTGCGTATTGTCCAGATGATCCACCAAACGTCCTGGAGTAGCCACGAGGATATTCAAGCCTTTTCTCAAACGTGCCTTTTCCGACTTCTTTTTCTCGCCTCCGATCACTGTCCCCGCCACCAACCAGTTCGCACACCGGAGCAAATTTTCCAGCACCACAGAGATCTGCTTGCAGAGTTCTCGTGTCGGGGCCAGGATAATTGCAAATAAGCCGCTATCACGGTGTACGCCGTTTTGGGTATTGTGGTCATTTGTCGCCTTCGAGAGAGCCATGATTCGTTGCACCAGAGGCAACAAATAGGCCAATGTCTTGCCGGAGCCAGTTTCCGCTTGTATAAACGCATCGCTTTCCTCCTTCAACAATTGCATAATCGAGCTTTTTTGAATTGCGGTCGGTGCCTTTAGCTCCAACTTTGTGAGCAGATGCGCGGCGAGATTCGGTGATAGACCCAGGTTCGTAAAAGTGTCCAGCCCATCAATCAGCGGTGCATTGGTCGGCTTAGCCTCCTCCGTTTCCTCCTCTGGCTGTGGCTGCTCTGCATTCTGACGCTCTGGGTTGAAGGAGAAGAGGGACGACACGATCTGGCGGGGCTTTTGTTGCCGTTGCTGCTGCGGTCGGGACCGTTCAACCTCGTCCATGTCGAGATCAGAAGCACCGGCCGTCTTTTGGCGCTTGGCAGGCCGCGATGAAGGGACCTGAATGTGGTTCGGGTTTTTCGAGGCTCCGTTGCGGGCACTTGCATCGCCGCCGCCTGCTTTGGGCAGGTGCTGCGACCGCTTCTTTGCGCTTAGACGGTCTCGCCATGTCCCTCCCTTAAACTTGGCTTCGGGTTTGATGACATTGTCGCCGATGGCGAAGTTCAGGAGCATCCCATCATCTGCCATGGCTGCTGTTAGGTTGAGGTTGTCGAAGCTTTGGTGATCGAGACTTTTTTTCTTATCTTTTTTTTCTGCCAGGCGGTAAGCGTTCTCCCTCTTACGACCGAGCCCTGCTTGCCTGTTTGGCAGCGCGACAGATGCTTATTATATTTTACAGTCTATACATAATTATTTCAAAGTCCATGCCAATCATTCTCGGGGTGGCAAGATGAGGTTGTCGATCAGACGCACCGGCACCTTGCCATCCCCCAGTCCGCAATCTTCGCCCGGCTTGGACTCTTCCAAAGGCGCCATTTTGAAAGCACCACTCAGGACCGCTCCCTTGCTGGGATCAACGACTTCCAACTCATCTAGAGTCTCAGGGTCGGCCAAGGAGATATAATCCGCCTCAAAAAGCGCCCGCTCCGTGGGTGAAAGAGCTTGCTGTTCCGCAACAACTCGGTCTGTAATGGTCCTGGCCGCTCCCAAGATATCTGCGCGCGCGGTCTTGCCCGCCTTATAGGCTTCCTCTGCCGCACTCAGTGCCCGGTAAAGGGTGAGCCCGACCGACCGCCTCCGATCACCCAAGTAGACATTCCGCGAGCTCATCGCTAGCCCGTCTGCCGCGCGTGCAGTTGGAACTACTCGCACCTCGGTGCCCAAGAGAAAATCCTGAACCATTCGCTTGATAATGACGGTCTGCTGCACATCCTTCTGTCCGAAATAGACACGATCTGGAGTCATGGCGTTGAAAAGCTTCATGCAGACAGTTGCGACGCCGCGGAAGAAGACGGGACGAGAGGAGCCTTCTAGTTTCTTCGAGAGAGGCGTAATTGTAACAAAGGAGCCTTCGCCGTCGATTTCGGACGAGGGCGGCTGTGTAGGGTACATGATCTTGGAGGTTGGCGCGAAGATGGCTGTAATCCGCCCCCGGGCTTCTTGCTTCAAGCCCGCCAGTTCCTTATCGAGTACTTCCAATTTCTCCATGTCACTATCCCATGTGCGAGGATAGCTCGACAGATCTTCGGTGACCCCGAATTGGGTGGGATTGACATAGATGCTCACAAAGACATCTGTATTCTCGCGTGCTGCATGCCGGATCAAAGAGATATGGCCTTCATGCAGGGCGCCCATTGTGGGCACGAAGCCCACTGTGCGGTCCTTCTGCAGGAGTTGGCGGCGGAATTTGCGGATTGGGGGGACATCGCGGAAGACTGGGAAGGACGATGGTTGCCGAAGGGAGTGGGGGGCGTCTGCCAACAGGGACGAGGCCGCAGCTGTTGAACAGAACAAGTCAGTCGGGCATCTACAAGTGTGGTGGTCGAGGTATACTTGAGAAGGACCGGATCCAGCGAGACATTGGACGGCTCCGTGTTATGTGGGGAAAGAAGAGAGTGTGTGAGCTTGGACCGCGCAGATGATCGTCGTTGGGCGGGCGGAAACACGTGATCGTTGCTTCCCTCGGCAACTCTGAGAAGCCATTCGGTGTTTTTGTTGGGGAAACAGCTACCATTATTTATGGGTGGATCTTGTCTCTTATCCCATCCATAAGAATGGCCCACTGCTTTTACTCCAGACCCTGAAGCTCTCCCCATCTTTACACCACCGCCACTCACGATGCCGGATCCCAAGTCGGTCATCCCCGACGACCATTCGGCTCCCGACCTGGAGATTGTCGGCGACAAGGTTACGATTCACCCCTCCGGTTTTACAGGTGGCCCCGACCTGCAAGATGACCAGATTACCGAACGCAACCTGGTGCGCCATATGGCGCGCTTTCGTGCAAACCCCCTTGACTTCCTGCGCGAAGTGAGCCTGTATATGTCCGGCTCCGGCTGGCGTGCGTACGACGATATTATTGGACAACCTGTGTTCTATCCGGGGTTCTCCGACAGAATGAAGTCTTTAATTCTCGATAGCCCGCTGCTGAAGAACAAGGTCACCGAGTTGGCAAGCACTCGCCTCGCAGTGGAGGAGAAGGAAGGGTTATTAGCCATCCACGAGGGCAATACGCCCGAGGAGAAGCGCACTCGCCGCAAGAATGAAATTGAAGACAACCTCAAGCAGGTAGTGGACCGAATGATGGACAATATGATCTGCAAGATGGAAAGCAAGAGGTTCATTCGGGGCGCATACTACATGTGCACTCAGCTCTTGACCCGTGCCTACCACCAAGGGATCCATGTCTCCAGCGAGGAAGTTCTACGTCTGAGATCGGTCGCCGAAGCGGCTGCGCAGAAGAAACAATCGATTGTCTTCTTGCCCTGTCATAAGTCTCATGTCGACTACGTCTCTCTCCAGCTCGTCTGCTATCGGCTAGGCATTGGTTTGCCTGTGGTCGTGGCTGGTGATAATTTGAATATCCCGCTGTTAGGACCATTCCTGCAGCATGCAGGTGCTATGTGGATCCGCCGAAGCTTTGGGAACGATCCTCTTTACAACACGGTTGTGCAAGCTTATATCGACACGCTTCTGCAGCAAGGGTTCAACTTTGAATGCTTCATTGAAGGTGGCCGCTCCCGAACCGGCAAGCTTCTTTCCCCGAAATTCGGAATCCTCAGTTTCATTCTAGACAGTTTGTTATCGGGCCGAGTTGAGGATACGATTATCTGTCCTGTGAGCACTCAATATGATAAGGTCATTGAGACTGAGTATGCCGCCCTTGTTGGTCAACCTGTTGAACTGGATACTGACGAACATTGCAGATCGTACATCAGTGAACTCCTTGGACAGCCGAAGCAAAAGGAAAGTTTGTCCGATCTCCTCTCGTCATCCTCGGTCCTATCATTGAAGTTGGGCCGCGTTGATGTCCGTTTCCACGAGCCATGGAGTCTAAGAGAGTTCCTCACACAACAACTTACCCGGCTGGACATCCCAAGCACGAAAGTCACCCAGAAACTGTCTTATACTGACCGAGGTCGAATCTTGAGAACCCTGGGATATCGAGTGCTGTCAGAGATTAACGATGTGTCCGTGATGATGCCAACGGCTCTTGTAGGAACGGTTCTTCTGACGTTGCGCGGACGTGGAGTTGGTAAGGGCGAGTTGGTCCGACGGTTGGACTGGCTCTGTGATCGTGTGCGCGCCAAAGGTGGCAGAGTGGCCCACTTTTACCGCTCGCCAACGGAGATGGTGGTTGACCGCGCATTGGACGTGATGGGGCCGAAACTTGTAGGCGAGGTCGCTGGCCTGGTTGAACCCACCTACTATGCGGTCGACCGTTTCCAACTTTCCTTCTATCGCAATATGCTGATCCACCTCTTTATCACCGAGGCGTTGGTCTCTGCTGCCATGTACACAAAGATTAAGCAGGGTGGCGGGCCAGCTAACCAACGAATCACGTACGAAGCCCTGAGAAACCAGGTTTCTTTCCTTTCGCAGGTATGTACCCGCGCACAGGGAAACTTTGGACTGTAAACTAAGAACCTCACAGCTTTTCCGTGGCGAGTTCATCTTCCCGCCGGATGGTTTGGCCACCAATTTCGAGAATACCCTGCGCGTTCTTGAAAAGGATGATGTGATCAAGATCACCCGGGACAACTCTGGAACGCCAATTTACGTCGAGTTAAGCGATAAGGAACGATCCTGTGGACGCGAGAACTATGATTTCTACTGTTTCTTGATCTGGCCCTTTATAGAGGCTTCCTGGCTCGGTGCAGTCTCTCTCCTCGGACTCACGCCGCCGGTTGACGGACCAAATGACGTATGGATCGACATGAAGAAGGCCCAAGACAGTGCGCAGCATGTAAGTACTCGTTTTTGAACCGCTGTGGCTTTACTGACATTCCCTCTGCAGTTGGGCAAAACCCTCTACCACCAAGGAGACCTGTCATACTTCGAAGCAGTCAATAAGGAGACGCTCAAGAACTCCTACCAACGCTTTGAAGAGGAAGGCATTATTCTTGTCTCCAGGAACAAAGAATCGCGCGCAGGGCCTTCTTTGAGTCTTGCTCCCGAATGGACACCGGAGCGAGACCCTAACACTGGCAAAGTGCTAGATCGCGGGCGTCTGTGGGACTTTACGGAGCTGATCGCGCAGTCCCGTCGTGAGGGCAAAAACCGTCGAGATGGAGCGACGGTCTCCTCCCGTGTCCTGACCATGTCCGACCTCGTCGGGCGACAGCTCTTCACCGGCACCGCTCCTCCTGCTCCTGGCGATGTATCCTCACGACAGATGCGCCGCAAGGCGATTGCGACTGATTCCAAGCTATAACTGTGTTCGTTGGGTTATATAAAAAACCTATACACGATTTCCTCTGGGCGGTGTCTGTTTTTGAGTCTTTCTGTTAACGCGTTGCACGGGGGCAGTGATCGCCTGACGCTCACTCTGCCTATTCCTAATACCCTTTATGGTGTTTTCAAATGGCGCCAACTGTACATACATCTCCACTGCAACTTCAACAGCCTACAGAGCATTACAAACGAATAACTATATACACGTTTCATGGATTATATACCTACCTCTCAACTATTGTGGACAACACATGTTCAACATCCCTGTCCTACAGTGACAGACTCGGACCGTGTTCCATCACCCACACCACCCACAGCCTCAACAACTACAGACTGACCACTAGACAACCCATCAACCCAGATGGAGGTCTCGAATCCATTCCTCGGCGCAGAGTGCACGACCTTGGACCCCGAATAGACTTTCCACGATTGCACATCCGTCGCGCCATTCCAGCTCACATACACCGCAGCCTTTCCGCCCTGCCCCAACGGACACGCCACAGCATCTGGCTTGGTCGTCGGACGTCCAACCCAGGGGTAGCGGTAGGTGCGGTAAGTTTGCATGGTGTTGTCATAGCCAAAGCGCGCACGCATGACAATCGTGCCCTCGGCATCATACTCTTCGATCTTGGGCGTGGCGCCGTGGTCCTGCAGAACGTGTCCGTTGTCCAGATGCTGGTAGCTGCCCTGCGACTCGGCGTACACGGGCTGTGCAGCGTCCCACATCCGGCTCTTCAGCGATGCCACCTTTGAGCCTGTCAGATCTACGTCCAATACCATCCCCGTCGTCAAGGATGTGTGGCCTGTGAACTCGGTGTTGTCGTTGTTGTGCATGCTGATGATGACCCTCTCGGGGCTCTGCAACTCGAAGCGGGGGTCGTGCTGGTAGCAAAAGCTTGTGCCCAAGCCCAGCGTGAAGTCGCCGCCGGTTTCTCCCTGAGGGTGTTTGTTAAAAAAAAAAAAACAGCGCGTCAAACACAGGTCAAGATTATCGACTTACGTGGAGATGCCAGATGAAAGTGCCGTTGGGCGCAATGAGCATGATGCTGCACATGTAGCGCGACGAGACTAGGTAGTCGTCTCCGTACTTGTGGATGGAGTTCAGATGCGGATACCCGAACGGATCAGTCAGGCTATGTCCCTGTCCTGCCAGCGGAGCACGCACATCGCTGAGAGGCAGCTCGTCAACGTGCTCGTGGGCACTCCACCGGAAGAGAATCTTGTTGGTCTTGATATCAATCTCGTACACCAGACCATCTTGTATCCACCCGTCCTTGGGGCCGCCAATGGCGCCTAAGTCCGCGCGGGTGACGTTGACGGCTGTCACGAGAATAGTGCCGTCGTCGGTGAACTGGCTCTCGTGGAGATCGATGCACGAGTCGAACTGCATCGGCTCGAAGACGGTCACGAAGTTTTGGGACTTGCAGTCCAGGGTGACCCGGTGGATCTCGCGGTAGGAGGTGTCCAGTATGCTGATGGCGCCGAATCCGAAGCCATCGCCAGCGAACCCGGACCAGTATGCCATCACGGGCTCGCCGTCCAACATCTGTGGCTGTAGAGCGGAGTAGTTCCCCTCCGCACCTCGCCACACGAGCTGGCCATCGTCCGAGTACATGGCCGGATACCCCTTGTTACGGGAGATGTCCTCGGGTGTCAGAAACAAGTACCCGGGCTCGGTCTGGCCCATCTTGGTAACATTCATGAACGGCGCCTGGATCGACGAGCTCTTGAACGTCTGCAGTGGCCACAGCGAACTAGCCGCGGCCGGCGCTGCACCAAATTGCGCTGTGCCAACGCTGAAGCAGCTCGCGAATAGCGCAAGCGCCTGAGGCAAGCGGGCCAAAACTGACCGGCCCATCATGGTGAAAAAAATACAGAAAAAGTCAGCGTGGTCTTCTCTCTCCTGCGGAAGCCTGGGTTGGGCTCAATTTATGTATTTATTTTCCTCTTGTCGCCATCGAGTCATTGACTTTTCACTACTCCATTTTCGTGGGTGGAGGTGGACCGCTCCCCACATTCTGTATCTCCAGACTGAGGGCAAAGGAGTGTATCATTCCCTCGGCAATCATGATGCTCCCGATGTTCCGATGTGAGAAGCTTTCTCGACTAGCTCTTCAGTGGCGGAACTGGTCCGATCATAGTCTCCGCGGTCGGGTGTGGGTTTTCGGGGCATCCCTGGGAGTAGAAGGGGTAGAATCTGTCAGCGGTTGGTGTTCTCTAAATGAATACTCTTGTTTTCTAAGGCTTGTGTTTATCTAATCCTTTGTTCCTGATTCTCCGTGTAGCAGATTGCTCGTTTCCATGCTTGGCCTCGTTTAGTTGAAACGGTGTGGCTCTGTATACCATATCTTGCGAGCGAACCGGGTCAATATTTTGCAGAGTTATTCGCTTCTGCAGCCCAAAGCCCGAGTGGAGTGGATGATCTTCATTAATGACCTCGAAGCTGGATTGGGTCCATCGGCAAATCAGCAGCCCCTTCAAGCGACGAGCAATTAGTGGACATGATGTCACGCGCGACACCTCTAGTCGAAGGGGTAAACAGATCAATTGAGTTGGGAACAAGCACGGAATTTGAACCAGTACTGCGGAATTAAAGGCATTGCCCTGTTAATTTTCGCATGAAAGGTTAATTATTATTCAAAAGTATCGTTAGGTACCTTGCGGACAGCCTAATTATTATTGGGGAGGAAATACCTTCCCCTCAGAGGCCAGTGTGGAGAAGGATCCATGACCAGGCTCGTGTGGAGAAATCCGCTGTCGTCATAGTGCTCTATGGAGTCAATGCTCTGGCGCCTCTCATATATGCCAAATTTGAGAGCGCCCTTCTCGAGGATCTCGAGCTAAGGGCACCGAAGGCGCTGCAAATTATTTGACTTCGCCGGGCTGGATTCTCGCCATGGTTTGAAATATCCACTCCCGGAAAGTCTCGCGACTCCTTATAGGGTGTTTGCTGCGTAACTATCTCTGGTTAGAACTAGTCTATAATCTAGATAATTCGGCTGTTTTGTCGGCAGTTCGCAGTTCGGGATGCCTAGGCAATGGCAGAAATGACTGCGATCCAGCTCAGATAAATGAATGACAGGGCAGTAAACACCGACCTCCGAGCGTGGCGATAATTCGCCGCAGCTTATCAAGAGAGTTAGACAACCATCGATCAGTGCTCTGTCAAACGCTTGGGTGCTCATGGTCGAGGAATGTAGGGGCCCAGCCGGGCTCTCCACAAGGGGCAAATGCCATAAGGCACCATGTATGGCAATAGACCTTGACCCCTCAAAGTATAACGGCCTGAACAATATTCTTGTAGAGTTTCACTCCATTGGATTATTCCGCGCCGTTGCAATTTTGGAAATGCGGAAAACGACCGCTTGGGGTTGATCAACGATCGAGATGTGGCTTCAGTCGAAGCGATAAACTTTGGGCACCATGCTCGATCCGAGGAGACGATAGTTGTTACCTAATAAATATTATCGAACCAGGGTCCAAGGGTTATTGTTTCAACTTAAGGTCATTTGCTTCGTCGCAGAAAAGAGCCATGGATGTTCTTGAATGCGGCATCAATTAGGAATTCGTAGTCCACGTTTTCAGTCCAACTACGATAGTAGAGAACAATGTAAATCAGCTATCATCATTTTACCAATTTAACCAGAGTGAGCAAGTCACGATAGAGGCGGGTCAATTACTATCAAAATGACCAAGGTGAACTATAAATGCACGTCCATGTCTCCATGCTTTATTCCTGGTCACTTTTCTCTTCATAACCATCATCCTAATCACTTTCATCCCAATCCTCATCACTAGGGTCCTCACTCTGCTCATTACCACTCTCCTCAACAATCTCTCCTTCACTGGAATCTTGATCACTGGTCACGTATTGAGCCTCCCACAGTGCAATCGCTTCCTCGGCAGGGGTATCGAGAGATATATTGATTTTTTGCAAATCATAAACTGGGAGACTCTCCTCACCCAAGTTCCGCAGCGGAGGAGTCTGCCAATTTACCTGCAGTTTCGGGTTGGGTCCCCAACAAGTGTCTATGGCTTCTCGGCTCGGTCGCCAACTCACCGTCGCAACATAGTAGTCGATCTGGCCAGGCCGGACCTCGTCCCGAATCCAGCGCTGCTTTCCCAACACGGAAGAGCCTGTCCATCGAGAGACAGAGACGGTGGATTTGTTTGCAACCATCAGACAATCATCTGCTCGCTTGAAATACCATTTCTCTGCTGCCTCATTCGCAATATAGTCCACCTCTGCTTTACGGTGCTCAATGCTTTCGATCTCCATATTGAAGTTCCTCACGCTCGCCGGTAAGATCAAGTCTCGGTTCCATGCTCCGGCTATACGCAAAGGCTCATTATTTTCCCAGAACCAGGTATCGGTATATCGGATGGTGATAGTGACGGTCTTAGGGTTGAAATTATGCATTTTGAAAATTCCCTGGAAGCGAGATTGTTCAAGGCACCATAGTTGAGCGAAGATGCGAATACGTCCACCCTGCACTTCGCCATGCCGTTGATGAATCAGGTCAAGCCACTGCTGCATTTCCCCGGCTGTGATAACTCGGCTTTGTGAACGGTCGCGACTCGCCATGAAGAACGCATGTTCCGAGCAGAGGAAAGGCATGAACCATGCCTCCATGTAAATTCTTTTGCAAGTTCGAAGCAGTTCAGTCCATGTTCGGTGTCGAGTCTCGTACCCCGGCCGAGTGCAATAGCCCTCTTGGTCAATTGGCTGGGTGTTATCGGGGGCAGCTGTCAGGGCGTAGGCGAAGATATCATAGCGGATCTCTGCAGGGAGCGTTGAAAATAGAGGACACTGATTTTGCTCTTCGTATGAGACGAAGGTTGCCGGGGAGAGATTTGGCTCAGCCATTTTATCGTCGTAGCGGAGAACTCGTATTATTCTCTCTCTAAGAGATTCATGGTCAATATTTATATACACGTTGCTTGAGTCATGCACGTCTCCTCTTGAGGTAATGCTGCCTGGTCGGGGAGCCTGTCAGGACAAGAGGGGGCTGAATCTGGGCCACTATGTAATGCAGTGAGGCTGAAAGTCTCCTGTGGCCTGAGGTGTCACCGCTCACCGCTCACCATAATAATGATCGACCTTAATGAATGGATCGATGGATGGATGCCTTGTATACGAGTATGGTATATGAACAGGAGGGACGCGGGTAAAAAGAATGCTGGTGGAACCAAGACTGTGATGTTGGTTTTTGTTTTGATCTCTGGCTCTTCGCCGGGTCTCCAGACGGCTGTCAAATCCGGGGTTGGCAGACGCGAATATAGTTGGACAATGTCATATCGTTAGCTGTGTCTTCTTGGGTCATTATCATAAACCATATCTCGCTTATCAGAGTTGCCACGAACGGGGTCAACGAAAGATGTCGCCGCTCGCGACGAAGCAACTACGGTCCGGTGGTATCGACGGCATGAAATCTATGTACGCCAAAAGGTGGCGGAGGTGTGGGCCATCTCCGCGTACGCCTGGCGCCCTGCTCTACGAGTGCACGAGAAGGCGGAAATAGTTGGTCTCGATCGGACGCAGGTCGTGGATGAACAGATCGGGGATCATAGCGTACACAACAACCCCTGCAGTATGGTGGATGTAAAGATAAGAAGTAATGATATTAGACGAACTATTTGCCAAGAATTACGGGCTGACAAGCATTGGACCCCTTGCCCGACTTTTCCAACAATAATGCGGAGGGGGGCCAAAGGGCTGATTTCGGATTGAAGACTCTTGTTAGGGTTCGGGATGTCTCAGGTGGGTTGACTAAGTATAGACGTTCTAAAAGTGTCGTAGATATTCTTGTTGCAACCCAATCGTAGATCGCTTTCCGTCTCTCAGTTTGACCGTGGTTGATTCGCCAGGTTGCCTCGAGAATATAGTTACTTGCGACGCCAAGACATGAGCTGACGTACTCCCGACGATGGACTAGCCCGCTTAGTTCTCAGGCAGGGATGACGATTTCCCTCGCGAAGCTGCACGCCAACCGTGTCGGAGAATGTATGGAGATGACGAATGCGCGTGGGACAAAAACATTGTGACAGCCATGGAGGGCATTCCACAAAAATCATGTATAATGGATAACAAAATAGAAGGGAAAAAAAGGCAACAACAGACGAGCCTCGACCGTCATAGAGTGTGGGGGGGAAAGACGCCACCAATAATAATTTTCGGCCCGCAATTCCAGACCAGGGCACTATACATACGTCAAAATCGCAACGGCCATGTGGTGGAGGTTTCGCAATAAAAGCCTGTCGTACGCGGCAGAGATGAGCCGTGTACGTCCTGACGTGATGGATGGATGATTGTCCACGGATTGTGTGAGTGAAGAAGGATGTTACCAACACGAGGCCCTAAAAATACCCGTTCTTGGTCACGTACGGTTACACAGAACGCGCCTTTCCCGATGCAGCCCCTGACGCAATAATAACGGGGCGTCGCCTCCTCGTCCCATACGGTAACCCCAAGATGATCACTCCTTATCTGCCGCATTCTTCTCTTCTTCCTTCACTTCCCTTCCAACTGTCGTTCGTTTATCCTTCTCACGCCTCGCCCTTTTTGCCTCTTTCTTCCCTTTCGACTCTCTTCGACAACCCACCAGGGACCGATTGGCGTTCCCTCTGTCGTTCGCTGCCCGCAATCAAGTTCCACCGGGTCATGCTCATCAGGTAGTGCGCGAATCTAGTCCAAATGGGCAAATGTACGTATTGGGGAGCCTCTTGGCCATCAAAACGGACAGAATTGCTGACTTCTTCTCGCGTGATAGGGCGTTATGGCGTGGTCCTGGACGCAGGCTCGTCTGTATGTCGCCTTCCACATCAGCTCCTCGCCTCTTTGTCGCGTTGACCACCATCTAACCTTGAGTTGTGCAGGGGACTCGTGTACACGTATATCGCTGGTTACGGAACTCGGTGGCGCGCCTGCGCGCGGATCCCAACGAATTGAAGTCGCTGCCCGAGATCAAGACAAAAGAGCATTGGACCAAGAAGATTCATCCTGGTGAGTACTGGCTGAGGCGCACCGCCAACGCCGCTGTTGGGTAAGCTCTGACCTCAATCCAGGTGTCTCCTCGTTTGCCGATAGACCGGAATTGGTTGGGACGGAACATCTGGCCGATCTGCTCGACCATGCCAAGAGTATCATCCCCGAAAAGGACGCGAAGAACACCCCGATTTTTCTTCTGGCCACTGCAGGCATGCGACTGCTCGGTGATGTGGAGAGACAGATTCTGTTGGACCAGATCTGCTCATATGCTCGTGCGAACACGGACTTCTTGCTCCCGGACTGTGGCATCCATATCCAGGTGATTCCGGGTGTGACCGAAGGACTATACGGATGGATTGCAACGAACTATTTGTTGGGAAGTTTTGACTCGACCCAAAATCACGATCATGGAAAAGGCCACCATACCTACGGTTTTCTAGATATGGGTGGCGCGTCCGCTCAGATCGCCTTTGCCCCGAACGCCACAGAGTCGGAGAAGCACGCGGAGGATCTCAAGTTATTGCGTCTACGGAATATCGATGGGTCGGTCCAGGAACATCGCGTTTTTATCACTTCGTGGCTGGAATTTGGCGTCCACGAAGCCCGACGGCGCTACGTTGAAGCTTTGCAGGTTGAAAGCGGTGGCGTGGGTGTCACCGAACTCCCTGATCCTTGTCTGCCCCGGGGGTTGAGGACTACTCCTGACGGACAGGACGTATTGGTATCTGCAGGCGAGACATTGGTGGGCACAGGTCGATTCGACGAGTGCCTGCGCCGGACATTCCCCTTGCTAGACAAGGATGCTCCGTGCCCAGACCAACCTTGTCTTCTTCACGGTGTTCACACGCCGGCCATTGACTTTGATGTCAATCACTTTGTTGGGATTAGCGAGTTCTGGCACACCACCCATGAGATCTTTGAAATGGGTTACAAAGACAAGGCTTATGACTTCAACACTTATCAAGAGCGCGTTCAAACGTTCTGTTCGCAAGACTGGACTTCCATCGAAAACGGGCTTCAGGATCAAAAATGGGGCAAATCGGTTGACCGTCAAAAAGCTTACGAGGTCTGCTTCAAGGCTTCCTGGATCATCAACATGCTACATGATGGCATTGGAGTGCCTCGTGTTGGACTGGAGGATACATCTGGCACCCGTCACAACGGTACCAAGGAAGTGCTTGCGCACGGAAAGGAGAAGGGCTACCTGGATGCTTTCCAGGCGGTCAACAAGATCGACTCGACAGAAGTGAGCTGGACCTTGGGCAAAATCGTCTTGTATGCGTCATCTCAGGTGACTGCAGAAGTCGAGGATGCGCTCCCCGTCGGCTTCGGCAGCAATGTCCCGGGAGTTCCTGCGGATTTCCAGTATCCCAGTGTTCAACTTCTTCCGGATTCCGAGAGCTTCCACAGCGAGCATTGGCATGATGCTTTGTTCGATGGCGATTCACCGCGCAGAGTACCGGGATTCTTGCTGTTCTTGTTCATCATTTTGTTGGTTGGCTTCTTCCTGTGCGGGAGGGGCCGTCGCCTGCGGATCTATCACCGCGTTAACACCTTCTTCCGTTGCGGACGACCCTCTCATCCTAATTACCCCAAGAAGCGAAAGCCACTTGGCCTAAGGCTGCCTTTCCTCAACCGTGGCCCGTCGTACGAGCGTGTTCTCGAAGAGGGCGCTCAGCATTTCGACCTGAGCGTGACCGACTCTGATGGGAGCGATTTGGATGGCCGTCCCTCTGACGCTGAGTCAAACACCTTCCGGGCACCCAAACACACAACAAGCTGGGGCAGTAACCCTACTACACCAGGCTTGAAATACAGTTTGGATAACAGCTCATCGGGTACGATTGGGCTAGGGATTAGCGGTGGGACCCCCGGTATCGCCATAGATCGGGCAGGGTTGGTGGTCCGGACTGAGAGTCGCGACAACTTGGCGCCCATCGCACTTGGGCCCACTACGAACGGGCGTCGGTCGAGAGCAGGCAGTCCGACACGATCCCACCACCACAAATCACCGTCCATGTCGCCCTTGGCCGATGACTGATGCCCTGATGCACCGCCGAATTAATGTTTATTTGGGACGGCATCGCATTGTATTTGCATATCCTAGAGGAGTTCCGGTTTTGTTCTGTTTTCTGTTTTGAGCCGATCCAATTGTGGATGGGTGTTCTTGTTTCTTTTAATGCTGGGATGAAATGACCCGGGGCGTTCTATGCCGTGGGCAGCTTTAGCTTCCCTTGACTTCACTTCTTGGTACAATATTTTAACGTCTTGTGCTCTGGAGTACTTTTTTGTTTTCATTATCTTCGAGGTTTCTTCCCCCGGTACTCTCGATCTGATTCGGTTATTTACGTGTTATAATGGGAGTGGCCATCAGGCCTGAATGTGTCCAATGAATAGATTATGACTGTTCTGAGTGTCTCTACTTGTATACTTCGTGGGTAGGTCGTAAATACTGCGTTCTCGAGATCGAGTTGACTATCGGGAGTTGCAGGGCGCTAAATATATGGTCCAAGCTACTCTGCCGCCATGTGAGCTAGCCGAATTAGTTCCATAAGACCCCTAAGCAGACTTTGCAGTTGAAGCAAGATATTATCATCGGAGAAATGGTACACAAGAGGTGTGAAAACACTATGATTTTCCCGTTAGAAGCCACCCTCTACCTAGCTATTTGTTTCCTTCCGGTCGATCACCCCGACCTACTCTTCAAATGGTCACGTGCCATATCAATACCGCACCGCCCGGCAGAAACGGCGGAGTTTTGAGTCCTGCGATGCTGCAACGCCAGACACATCCAGTTTCCTCTCTCCGCCAGCTTCTCGGTTTGTCATGATCTAGAGCCCCGTTATCGCACTCGATATCTATGCTTTCGTTATAAGATCAGCCGCCGGCTCCAATTATTCCCTAAAGCACTTGACCGCAAACCCACCGCCGCGATGCGCTTGACCGTCGAGCTCATCCAGAACTCCCTCTCATACATCAACCCGCTCACAGACCGCGAGCTAGACCTTAGAGGTACGTATCAGAAATGGAGCCACAAGTCCTGAAAAGAACAGGTGCTACACTTTGAGAAAGAGCTTCATTGACAGCGGTTTTTTGCGTTTCGCGATGTAGGACACAAGATTCCCGCCATTGAGAATTTGGGTATTGCCAAGGTGAGTTCGCTCTGGTAGATATACAGGATGTTCGTTCAATTCGGGGGAGACATGGCTGACCATTCACTCCTCGCAGGAACAAGATGCGATTGATTTAACAGACAACGACCTCTCCTCCCTCGGGAATTTCCCTTTCTTCCCCCGCCTTCACACACTTCTACTTGCTCGAAACCGGATCAACCATATCCAGCCTTCTCTAGCAACGTCGGTGCCCAATTTGTCGACTTTGGTTCTGACCTCGAATAATTTGTCCGAGTTGGCGGATCTCGATCCCTTACAAAATCTGCAACGGCTGACGCATTTGGTTCTGATGGAAAACCCTGTCACACGGAAGGAGGTTGGTTTTGGCACTATTATTGCTATTCCTCCCAGGATCGGAGCTAACTCGATATGTCCAGAACTACCGCTACTGGGTGATATGGCGGGCGTCCACCGTCCGTTTCCTGGACTACCAGAAAGTCAAAGACGCAGAACGGGCCAAGGCTAAGGAGCTTTTTGGCACCGCTGAGGAACCATCTGCTCTGGCAGCTAAGATCATGGGTGTCAAGTCTCGCACTTTCGATGTCACAAATGTTGCGCCCGCTGATCGCGCCACGGGTGATAAGGCCATCCGCGTGAAATTGACGGACAAGGAGCGAAAGCATGTCGAGAAACTGATCCGTGAGGCCAAGAGCTTGCAAGAGATCACGCGGCTGGAAAAGGAGCTTAACGAGGGGCGGATACCTGGCGGGGCACTCGGCGCAAATGAAGATATGGATGGGGATGAGCGGATGCAGATGTGAGTTGTATTATCATCATGCTGTGGTCCTCTGGGCATATCCTATTGCCTAATTTTCCGTTTTTCGTCTGGGCTTGGCTTTCGTCATGGGGTTCTACGTGCGTATCATTTGAGGGCTTTCTTGTCTCCTTTTCATCTCTTACTCTGTGGTGTTCCTTCTTCTGAATGGGTTAAGTTTAAACGTCGGCATTGTGAACAAGAACACCATACTATTACTAAAAGCTCTCTCTTTCATTCATTGCTCAAGTTCCACAGCATGGTTGTGCTGGTTCCCAATGAATGAACAAGTGAAAGGAAACAGTATAAAACTTTTTTGACTAGTGAAAAATGGTAGGCATGACTTTTGCTGGCCATGATACATTTATAACTGCCACTATGAGAGCGACTAAATCCCAGAATATAACGAATTTGCTATAATTGGCAAGGAATCCCTCTTAACTCTCAAGTTTAATTATGACCGTGACGTGTGAACGTTCAATTAAACCGCTGTGCATTCTGCGATCATTCATTCCAGCGGACTCGTGAATCCCAGCAAATCAAGACCATCAAGTCCTGTCAAGCCCATCAAAAAAGTTTGATCATCGCTATGTAGTGCTGAAATAAAACCATTGTCTGCAGAACGGGCTTCATGAGAAAACGTCGTTTGCTGTGTGAAATCATCCGAGAATGGGACCGTCGACGGCATATCTACACCATGGAGTCCCCAGCCAGAGGGATTGACTGAAGGCTGTGGCAATGTCCATGTTCCTACTTGGGACGTTATTTCCCTGTTTGTTGTATGGCCTCCTCCCGATGCAGGGGCTGAATCCCCCTGCCGGGCATTCTCTTGCTGCGTGAGCCACTCGGCCCATTGGCTATATTCGGATGCCGTATCTAGTCCCCCAGTCACTTGAATGCTTTTCTGAAACGAAGAGCTGTGGTGTAGCTTGCTGGCAGCCTCATTCGCAATGGACTGCACGGCTTCAACAAACTTGACACCCATCTTGGCTGTCATGTTGCCCGTTGCCATTTTTCGAAGGCAGTCCAGTCCGAATGCTACCCTCGCGTGATATGTTGAGTCACGGTCCAATATCCCGGACACCAAGGTTATGATAGTCGCAATACTGCACCCTTGGAAATCTGTAAAGGAGAAACGAGTAATATTGCGAGTGTGTGCCAAGTTCTCAAATAACTGGAGAAGCTTTCTTGCTGCCTTTGTGCAGGACTGGGATAACTTGTCGATTGTTTCGTTAATGCGTGGAGGCTGTGGTTTGGGATAGAAATAGGAGTCGAGGTTAGTTCGAACAACAGTGACGAGAAACACCTTGCCCATAGAGATCCACGCATAGTAGTAGTTCAGGTAAAGATGGAACACTGCACGATATTTCGAGTCCCTAGGATCTATTTTCTCAAGTCTGAAGTCTTGTGGTAACGATCTTTTCCACTGTAGAAGGTCTGATTCGCAATTTTCATAGCGCTTAAGTCTTTCCGTGTCCTTCAAGGAATCACTGCTTTGCCTCATTAGCATGTACAATCTCACATGTGAAAGGCCGAAGTACGTTGGCTCTGCGATTTGATCAATAATCTTTACCAGATGGGTGAACGCCAGTTGAAACTGGAGATTATCGAACTTCTGAAGGCGATCTAGTGACGGATTTGGTAATGGAAGGCTTGCCGTGATCATATCAGCATTTATAGAACGGGGTCGGTTCAATTTAATCGTCGTGCATCTATTTAGAAATCAGATTTAAAGTCTTAAATTTAGAAATCTCAAAACAAACCTTTCGAGCGAGTAAATTGACCACCATAGGCGACGACGAACTTCCTTTTCACGTTCTTCAGTTGTTGGGTCATCTATGTCTTGATGAAGGTCGAAGGCTAGTGCCTTGCGCAAAGCCAAACCCATGTACACATAGGAAGACCCAATTGCACTTGCTGGCAACAGATACACGCTCAAAACCATGGGGGCCTGGATAGACCATAAGCATGGTTTGTCAATTATATCAGGAATCAAAGTTCTAGCATGGCAATAAAAGACCCGACCAAGGTCCACGTTTTCCCGGTGAAGATCAGTGACCAATCCCTCGGGTCTTTCAAGTGGTGTCCACTGGCTTCCTAATGCGAAGACTCCCATTGCGAGACAAACGAAGCTCGGGTCACACCTTAAAGCTGAGTTTGAGTCAGTGTACAGTTGATCAATTTCTCTCAGAAACTGGGACTGATCAAAATAGAAGAGCGCATCTGTGGCATGCTTGATGAAGACGGACAGTAAGAAGTTGGCCACAGGCCGTGGAGGGAAAGCCTCTACGACAAGACGAAGGCGAGCCAATTCTGATGGATGGAGCGCTTTTGGGCAAGTCATATGCTTTGATAAATGAGTCCACCGAGTCTTCAATTCGGAATAAGAGAGCAACTTACTGCCTGCATAGCCATCATGTCCTCTTCTTCTGGTGTAGTGTGCGAGTCGAGTGAAAATGCTTCTCGAAGACGACAAAAAATATTCGGCCACGGCACCCTTGTTGTTTGGTCCACAATAACGTGTTTGGCAAGCTTTTGCGACAGTGCCGATGCTGGAGAGAACACTTCTGGACTTTCGATGGATATGTTTTTCTCGGGTGCCTCTCTCACAGGGCCCTGGGTGGCGGATGTGCCATTCTCAGATTGTGCAGACAAAGGAGGTTCTTCATGAAATGACGGTGATCTTTCTCTGCTTATGTGTAAGAAATTGGGCCTTATTTATCTCACTGGGAAAATATACTTCTCAAATCTGCAGCTCAGGTCGTTTGCGGAACATCGCTGGCATCTGCCGGGGGTCAACTCCACACACTTGCTCTTGCGTGCCTTGCAGCGATCGCACCTAAAGTATACCGTTAGTCAATTCTTCTCTCTTTTATCTTGCAGCATGCGTACGCGCGAGGTGCCCTCTTACGATTCTCATTAGTGACGCGCCGGCGGCGCCTCCTCCGAATAGCAGCAGCCGAGTCCATCGCTGCGGCGGTGTGAAAAGGGACATTCCAAACGGCGTGCGGGGAAGAAGTTGGCCGTGATATTCTGTCGGGAATCTGTCCGAATAAACACCAGAGATAAGCCTGGGGGGAAGTGGGGAAAGGACTGAATCCTTTGCCGAGGAGAGTCGGCTATCCGCCTCCGCCAAAGGTATAACTTGATATTGTTGGATAGAAACAAGTGAACCTTTTCTGCAAATTTGGTATTCTGATTTGATCGACCTGTATGATAAACCGTCTCCTTGTACATGGATAATGTCCTCTATACGAAACATTAATTAAGAAAAAGAAAATTGGAGCTAGCAGTTGGTGAAAGGTCGCAAAATATACAGTTGACTCCGGCATAATCATTGACAGGAGTCAAGTTGACCAACTATTGTGCTTGACGGCGAAAGAACCCTCTTATCATTTGTCGACATATTCAAAATTAATGCTTCAATCTTCGTCTTTTTGTCTCACAATAGCCCCTATAGTGGAGTTGACCTTTCTCAAATGCAGCACGTCTTGATTCTTCTTTGAGAAGCTTAATTCTCCAAATTGCTCAACACAGTGAATCCAACAACCAAAGGACCAAATATAATTATCAGAAAACTGTCATATCTGACTTCTTAAAATGGTGAGGCTATTTCGCTGCTTCAATAAATCATCCAATGTGCTCGAACACTTATACTCTCACAGGAATATCTGCATCCTCGGGAAGCGCATTCCACCGACTTTTATAAACGCGGCCATCTTTCATCACCCCAAGAACATGTTCTTCAGGCCGGTCAAAAACAGTCACATCCTCCAGGGGGTTTCCATTTAGTATCACCACATCAGCAATAAACCCTTCTTTAAGCTGGCCAATGGAATCCTCCCAGCCCATCATCTTGGCTGGATTCACAGTCGCACTTCGCAGGACCTCTAGCGGAGAGAGAACCTGAGCACGTAGTGCAAACTCATGCGTCTGAGCCGAGCCCAGTGGGCCTAGCAGGTCGGAGCCATAGCACATGGTAACTCCAGCCTCAGAAGCAGTTTTTAAAGCCTCCAGTCCAGATTGGAGTACCTGTGAGTTCTTGGTTTGCGACTCCGGGGGCAAATAGCCCTTCCAGCGATCTGAGGCCATCTGGGCATACGCGATAAGCGTTGGGGTTAGGTAGACACCCTTCTCCGCCATGAGGTGCGCAGTAGGTGGATCGACAAAGTTGCCATGTTCGATCCCTCGGACACCATTATCAATGCAGTGTCGGATGGCCTTAACGGTGTATGCGTGGGCAGTCACAAACGTCCCAGCATTGCTTGCACACTCGACCATGGCCTGGATCTCGGCGGCAGTGAATTGGAGGTGTTCTAGCTTGTCGGTTGGAGACGCTACGCCCCCGGATCCCATAATCTTGATAAAATCTGCACCACACCGGATTTCTTCGCGTACAGCAGCCATACACTCGGGTACACCATTGCACAAACGACCCAAGTGATTGTTACTATGCAGGCCGCCGCAACACTCGGTTGGTTCGTGCGAACCCCGGAGATCCCCATGCCCACCAAATTGAGAAAGAGCGTGTCCGGAAATAAAAATACGAGGACCTGGAAAGACACCATCCTCAATAGCTTCTTTCAAGGCGAGTTGAGCACCGCCGCAATCACGAACACTGGTAAACCCACGGTGAAGCATCTGGGCAGCGGAATAAGGCTGTCGTAGGAGATGTACATCATTAGGATTGCCAAAGGCCTTGGAAAGATCACCAAATCCTGGAACGGCGCATAGGTGAACATGGGCATCAAAAAGACCGGGGCAGAGATACCGGCCCCGACAGTCGACAATCTTGAGATCTGTCGGCAGGGGCTCAGGGATTGACTGGGAGATGGAATGGACTTTTCCCTGTCGTGTCGTGAGGGATGCGTTTTCCAAGATAGTGCCTGTCTGCACTTCAACGATGTTGGCGTTGGTGAACAGATAACCCTGCGGACCTGGGCGAAGCCAGGGCTTAATGTCGGAGCCGGGAACCTGGCTGCGTTGAGTCATTGTCAGAATTATTATGACACCAATGATTTCGAAGATATTGCAGAAGAGATAATTTGAGTCCCCATGCGATTTAAAACAAGCTAATCGTCAGCTACTGTCGCGCGCCCTGTAATGGCGGCAATCTGCTCAGCCACATTACCGATACGCTCGCCCTATCCGATGGCCTCACGTCGGCTGCATGTACACATTCCCCACCTGCCTGATCAACGAAGCCTATCTTTGCCCAATAAAGATATTTCCATGACCTGTGCGCGGGGATATCTCGGGGAGCCGATTATAACAACAGTCTCACCCCTGTGATACCGCTTTGCTATTTCCTTCTCCTAGCGCTCTCCCTGAAATCTCAATCTAGCCTCTGGTCAAAAAAAAATTCCCTGATCATTGTTGTCCATATCTCAATCCGATGGAGGAAACAAAGGCCCCCCTGCCAAATGACGATGGCCAACATGCGGCCGGTGAGATCCTCGACTTCAGCGACGGATACACCCCAGCAGAAGAGAAGGCAGTCTTGCGGAAGATTGATATGGTTATCCTGCCATTTGTGAGTTTCCCAAAATAAGGCCATTTGGGAAACTGCGTGCTTTTGCTGATCGCATACACCACAAGATGTGCTTTGTCTTCTTTCTGCAGTATCTTGACAAGCAAAGCCTCAGTTACGCCGCAGTATTCGGTCTAATGGAGGACCTTGACATGACGAGCTCGCAATATTCCTGGTGCACCTCAATCTTCTATGTCGGCCAACTAATTTCTGAATATCCCTTTATTTACCTCATGAGCCGGCTTCCCCTGACAAAATTTGTCGGGTCCACGGTGTATGGTTGTCTCTTCTTTATAGATTCATTTCTCGCTAACAAGGGCGGGCTAGCATTGTTTGGGGAATCATATGCATGTGCCTTGCTGCACCGAAGAATTATGCCGGCTTTGCCGCTGTGCGATTCTTACTCGGCTTTAGTGAGGGTGCTGTCTCTCCTTCTTTCGTCACTATCACATCCATCTGGTACCGTAAGAAAGAACATACTGTTCGCACCGCTCTTTGGATTAGCATGAATGGTCTTGCACAGGTAATTGGCTGCTTGGTCATGTACGGAATTGGCAAAAACACATCGCTTTCAATTCAGCCTTGGCGAGTGTTATTCATCATTTGTGGTGCGCTGACTGTTGTCGCTGGAGTTGGGTTTTTTATTCTGGTTCCCAGTGGGCCCAAGGATGCCTGGTTCCTGAACGCGCGCGAGAAAGAAGTATTATCTCTCCGCATGGCCGAAGACCGTGACGGTGGCGACAAAACTTCATTTTCGGTATCTCAACTGAAGGAAACACTGTTAGATCCAAAAGCGTGGTCCGTCTTTTGGTTCGGTGTGTTGGTGACCATGCAGTCTCCTGTGCTGACCTTTGCAACACTTGTCATCGAGTCAATTGGCTATGGTAAGCTTGACACAATGTTGTACACTGCCCCGTCAGGTGCTGTTCAGATTACACTTTTATGGATCGGTACTGCGCTGGTCTTTTTCTTTCCCCGACAGCGGACGCTTGTCGTACTAGCACTCATCGTGCCGCCCTTCATTGGCTGTGTATTCCTCATGAAGCTCACTGTAACCGCCGAATGGGGTCTGATTGTCGCCGCTTGGCTGGTAAGCTGTTATCTTTGGCTCGAAGAAATGCATCTGTTGACTTTCACCGTACAGTCCTCTTGCATTACAGCTTCCATGTCGGTGCTTCTCTCACTCGCTGCGTCAAATGTTAAGGGTAATACCAAACGTGCTATTGTCAATACCATGTTCTTCATCGGCTACTGCGCTGGCTGTATAGGGTCACCCCAGCTATGGACCCACAACCCTCGGTATACCGAAGGTGTGATCACTGGCATTGTAACTTGGTGTCTGCTTTTTGTGACAGTGCTTATCTATCGCTTTCTATGCATGCATGATAATAAAAAGCGAGACGTCGATGCCAACGCAGTTGCTGATGACACCACGAGGCGGGAAGTTGCACTTGATGAGAACGGATTGCCGAAGGCTGATCTGACAGACAAGGAAGATCGCCAGTTCCGATATTCATGGTAGGCGCGAAGGTACTCTTAATTTTGATAAGTAACGCAGTAATTGCAGTATCTGCTGAAGGCTATTATGTACAGTTGAATATTCTACGGAATGATTATATGTGCATTTCCAAAGAGACCCAAATGCATCAAAAGTGCTAGATAAGCCATTTCAATGTGTAGTCTAGGCCTAACTTGAAGTTATATCCTGTCTATCTGTTCGAAGTAGTCAATTATGACTATTTTAGGTCACCAGACATAATCTAGTTTTAATTATCAGCACTGATACGGAGATTTGTATTCATTGTTGTTGGTTGACACGCGCTAGGGAGATGTCACTCGCCCGAGGAATGACAGGAAGTGTCAGAAATATGCCTATCCAAAAATCAAACTTCACATGCCGAACCTGCGTTACTTTTATTCGCATTATCTAGTATAGCGACCAAATAATTATAGCACGCTTAATCGCTGGGGCTGCCTCAGCGAGCCTGTCCAAACCTAATTTTTGGATGCATTGAACACTCCTACTAGGGGTGAAAGGCAATCCTAAGCAATTATTGGTGTCTCCTTCCTCATCGAGATAAAAATTACTCGCCTATTTCTAAGCCACATGCGTGGATAGTTACCTCCTAGGCTCAAAATGCAGATCTGAACGTGGATTCACGACTTTCCTGAAAAAATTTTTGCTCACATGTAGGATATTTCGGAACTAGTGGTTACAAATAGGAAAAGTATGGTCAAAAGAGCATGGGGCATTTGGCATGGATTCCATTCCAATTTTTAGTGGCTGTAAAGGTCAAAGCGGGTGGGTGTAGAACGTTGATGTCTCGACTAAGGGAGATATGCAACTTGAGAAAAATCCGATGAAGTGCTAGCTAATTGATCAGAAAAGTCCTTATATCAGAGCATAGCAATAGAGCAAGGGGTGATAGCATACGCGGGTATGTGGAAGTATGTACGCTTATCTGAATTTGTCGTTGAACAAACTTACAATCGACCCTTTGAGAAAGAATTGCTCCTTTGCAAGATTCCTCGATTGGAAAATGAGGCATCAGCGTTTTGATTGACTATGTGGTCCATAAAAGAAGTATTAGCGTCTAGGTATATGCCATCTCTGGAACGTGGCGAGATGTTGTTGGACCCCCGCCGTCTCGATTAGGACCAGCTCATCATAAGATCGCTATATATTGGATAAAAGATGTTAATAACACACAAACAAGTGGAAGAATTTTCATGTGCTAAGGGATGGCATGTATCCAAGTCAGAATACTGCCTTTACGAACCAAGTAGAATGTTGAATTGATATCTGGAATGTAAACGGAAAATCCTTGGCATTACTCGGAGTGGCGGAAATAATTTCCCAAATGATTGAGACGAGAGGACCGGGAGTGAAAGAAATGACCAGGAAAAAAAATACTTAAGATTGTGTCTTCTGGCCCGAATTATTGTTTCATACCATACTGAAAACATTTTCTTTCTTTGATCTTACTTTTTCTCAAGAACATCAGCCGTCACTATGCGTCTCAACACTCTTTCCGTTCTTAGTTTCATCTCTGCTGTTGCCGCCATGCCTTCGGCTTTCGGCAACTCCAATGGGTGGGCCAACAAGGGCAACACCGACGTCGACTGGTCAGTGCCTGACGGTATGACCGTCCACGAAGCGCAGGCCAAGTGCGGTAACCAGGCCCAGCTCTCTTGCTGCAACAAGGCTAGGTATGCTGGAGACACTACCGACGCCGAGAAGGGTATCCTCGCAGGTGCCTTGAGCAACCTGATCAGCGGTGGCTCTGGTGCGGACGGCCTTGGCCTTTTCGATCAGTGCTCGCGTCTGGACCTTCAGAGTATGTCTCTCAACTTCAATGGAAACTTCATGGAGCTAATATTTTTTAGTTGGCCTCCTCATTCCGGTCCAGGACCTGGTCAAGAAGAAGTGCCAGCAGAACATTGCCTGTTGCCAGGGCTCTGGTGCCGACGCGGTAGGTACATCATTGCTATCAGAAAGTGCAATGGCTAATGGTTTTTTAGGATCACGATCTGGTTGGCGCTGGTCTACCTTGTGTGGCTCTTGGTGCCCTGATTTAAGGATTTCCCTAATAATGGCTGCGCTATGTATGACTAAGAGTATATTCCGATGACTTTAGTTGAGTTTCAATTCGAGATAAGGCATTGCGAAATTTGATTTATTCTGGTCATTGAGGGGGTGGTAAAATGTCCTTTTAGCGATATGTCGAAAGGATAATGAAAGTTTGTCAGCCATCCTTCAGGTTTAAACATTCTAATTAATTCTGGATAGAGTTAAAGTAATCGTGGGGCCACAAGCATCAGAAAAGATAGTTCGACTTAATCATCTTGATAATTCTAAAAATAATGAAATGGCTTTGGCTTCTTGGGATATATTCCAAAGCCAGGGGAAACCAATCAACCCGAGCAATCATGGAGGTGGAGTGTAGCTCAAATGACTTACTATGAAGTGTTTATTTGATGTGTGCTTATTTAAACCATCCCGGTCATTTGAGCTGGCAGGAGATGTTGACATTGAGCCGCGGGCCCGGTAAAACCGAGTATTAATTCCTATTACGAGTTAAAGACATTTCCATTTGTGACCCCTCAAGACACAATGTATAATTCACTCGTAAGTTGCGGCGATGCTGATAAATATTAAGTCAGCAAGAGGCGTTCTCTACGTAGTAACATTGATGCGCACTCAAGTCCTGTCTATCTCCGTAGATGCTGCATTTTAAACCCTTCTTCGGCGGTGCATTACGTCTTTCCATGTCGATCATATCGTGGTCGCCCGAGATATGAGGCTTGGGTGACTTTTTCGCAGGCGTAGTCAGGCTGGATCACAGACTACCTGTCTTGGCCGGAGCCCACCTCTAACTCCCAAGTCTGATCTAGCTCCTAATCTCACGTCTTAGTCTTATCTTTGATGACCACGTTTGCGTGTACAGTCCGAGGTTAAATGGGTTTTCGCCACTCAGGTACTTTAGATCAAAAAGGTAGCCATTAATTCAGCGTATGCGATAGATGAACTCCATACCAACAGACAAAAATGCCTCCCAAAAAGAATCCAAATCTGCTCATCGATGCAGCTAAAACATAATGTGAACTGAAGCATTGATTGAAGGAATGAAACAATGTCGGCGCCAGAGCCAGATTCGATCATATTGAAGAGATATCACTGCCGCTAGCACTGAAAACGGTATCATCACTGGAATAGGTAGTTGTATTAAATGCACCTATCAAGCCCACGGTTTGGTGAGCAAGAAAACTGAGCCTAGTCAGCGCACTTGAGCTAGGCATTATTGATAGCCATAGAACAGGACGTTTTCCAGGAGCTCTTTCCATGTGACTAGTTCTGATGGCTCAGACCAAGTGCGGTGGCCAGGCTCAGCCGCTTTGCCCACCAAACTTGACTTGCGGCTGGATCGGAACATTCAACGAAGCTGATTATGTAAATTCCATGACCGAAATCTGTATTGGCATCTAGTACTCGAAATTTAACACGCTAGTTATATCAAAACGTAGTGGGAGATGAGTAGTAAGACCAATATATATCTGCTTCTGGCGAGACATGGAGCTATGGGCCGTTCTAGCGAAAAGCAAAACAAGTATCTGACAAGCATCTTGGATCCAACGTAATGCAACATCAGTGGAATCATAATAAAAATAATTCAAGGAGCAACTATTTTACATATAAAATTGCCGGTATTCATTTAGTATACCATCTATCTACTTCCATTGTAGATTATATACGATAACTACACACTTGTCAGTGAGAGATCTTGCACTGGGCGTATTCCAGGGCTAAAGGGTATGAAAATCATTTGCCTTGACTCACTCCAAACTCGAATATCGGTCTGCTCACTCTTCACGAATCTTTTACCAAGCTGTCAATCGTGGTATTGCTTGAACAATTACCGAGCTGCGTACAACTAAGAAAAATGTAGTATGAACCACAGTGTTCCCTATGAATTGAAATCGAAAAAAATCGACATGTGAGCCTCTCTTCTCCAATATCTCGTATGTGTGGCACGAGACATGTTGTAGCTACCCCATACATATGTCGTAGCTATTGCTCTAAGGCGAAATAGGCATGCATTATTTCAGCGTTCAACCAACCGACCTAGCGATTGATTAAGCTATACACTGTAGTTTTTCGAGAGCCTGCCCGGCTTCACTTTGTGATTCCTCTCTAATTCCTCTCTAATTCCTCTTTTCATTCTGCTGGACCAGAACTTTGGTTGAAATTGATTTTCTATGGTCCCATTGGCGCTTTGGTTAGCATGCCTAGAACAAGAACTGAGTCGCCCCATGCTCTCCTTCCCTCTGGTTATAAGTAGTATGTTACACGTAACATTTATGAGACTGGTAGCGCTATAGATACGAGCCTTTCCTCTGCAGTCGCTTATGTAGGTTATTCAATTGGCCAGAAAAAAAAAATTTCTTTGATGAGCTGTCCCTGTAATAATAACCTTGATCGAGTCTTATGAGTGAAGCATTCCGAAGCTCCTGGCCTAGCTCTGGGGTGAGTACAATATGCCGATCATTATGGTAACCATGCTTCCTTTTTTTTTTTGTCAAAAGCCCCTTGGATGTCGCATTCTTAGTAGGGAGAATCGGTCAAAGAGGAACAACAAAACTCAAGAAGGTAGTTCGGCGTTCGAAATGCAAGGGTCCAGATAAATACTAATTGCGGTATTTTGCATATACTTAATTTTGCTTCGCGTCCCAGCTGTAGCGACAAGGCTGATTGGTTACCAGTATGAGACGCGGAATTACATAGACCCCTTGTTAAAGGGTTATATCGGCCAACACTCTAACAAGATATTTGAACTGGAACCCAAAATGCCAGATCCCAGAACAAATACGCTATTTGCGAAATACGGAAATCGTAACCAAGCATTACCCATACATGTTCAAGTTTGAACATGGGATACTACATATCGTAAAGTGAAACTATCAAAGATATTCTCTAAATCTAGACACCCAATTTGAACTCAAGTATGTATTCGATGAGCTTGGACACATATTAAAATATAAAGCAAACAAGTCTTCGAAGTAATATTTGTGATCAAATCACTAACGAGAGATGAGAATGGTAGAAACAAAGGAAAGATGGATGGAGCGATCGCCGACCCTTCGTCCCCCACAGCTTGAGGCCTTGTGACTCTGCTACTTAGAGCAGAGCACCAAGAGCGATGCAAGGCAGGCCAAGGCCAATCAAATCGTGGCTCTAAAAAAATATTAGCCATTGCACTTTTGGACAACAATGATGTACCTACCGCGCTGGAAGGAGAGTTCTGGCAGCAGGCAATGTTCTGCTGGCACTTCTTCTTGACCAGGTCCTGAATGGGAATACCGATGATCGGAACTACAGGACATTAGCTCCATGAATTTTTGCTTGTCAAAGTTGAGAGACATACCCTGAGCATCCAAGTTCGAGCACTGATCGAAAAGGCCAAGTCCATCCGAACCAGAGCCACCGCTGATCAGGTTGCTCAAGGCACCTGCGAGGATACCCTTCTCGGCGTCGGTAGTGTCTCCGGCGTACGTAGCCTTGTTGCAGCAAGACAGCTGGGCCTGGTCACCGCACTTGGCCTGCGCCTGGTGGACGGTCATATCCTCAGGCACCTGCCAGTGGACGTCGGTGTTGCCCTTGTTGGCAATACCATTGGCGTTGCCAAACATGGGACCAGACGGAGGCAGTGCCACCGCACTGGCAACGAGAGCCATCAGGGTAATGAGCTGCATTTTGAGAGATGAAGGTAGAGAGAGTAATGGATTTGGAGAGGACAAGAGTGGTTGGCTTCAATGTCTGCGTTGGAACAGGAGCTTAAATAGTCTTTCGTAGCATTCCATCAACGCCTTTGAGGTCAGTTTGTCTTGCTCCGTGGTAACTAGTCCCATTCCAAGTTGTTGCAGCCGTCCATTCTTGAGAGTGCATATCTCAGCCGCTCCTCTCAAACCAACTAGCGTTACTGGTACACATTGACATTCTTCGGAACATTTCTTTCCCTCATGTCCCACGTCTGATCTGTTAGTAACGGAGCTTTGGACCAATTTCCTGCTCTGCTTCTAATATTCTCCTGTGCTCTTTTGACCAGGTTCTTGTCCTGTAAAAGGATATCGCATTTGTTAGATCAAACCCTTGAAAGTATACATTCTTGCAAGGGACTTCACTTGCACTACTTCTCCTGTACCACACTAGACATGGTAGATCACATACGTAGTGGATTATTTCCTTTTCGTCTTCGACACGCGGATCGCATTCTCAGCATTCCCAAACCCTTACCAGCATGCCAACAATCAGAACAAGTCCCTTGATTCGATCTCCCCTTTCCTTCTCCCTTTCTACTACTAAATAAGCTATTTGGTCCGTAAAGGGAGTATAGTCACTTGGTTACATTCCGCCCTTGGCACATGGAGATTCGGCCCCTCGATTGATCTGTTATACATGACCGCCAAGTATAGAGATATGTAGGCCGATGACGATGTGGCTTCGGCATAATGACTGTGCCGGTCGGAGAAAGGAAGGAAATAACATTTAATATACTTCATCGTGTTTAAACGATGTATGTTTCTGTTTCTTTTTCTTCTTTGTCCTTTTTGCGGGTGTTATGAGGACATAACTTTCTTCATGAAGGAATAGTGTAACTAACCACTGTCATGATCCCATTCTGCTTAGCAGGGTGGTCCGTTAATTTCAGATCATCCGAAGACCCCTGTAAAGTCCCGCATATAGAAAGGGGACGTACAAGAATACATACCAGCCAAAAGACCCATTTATATTCAGTTGCTGCGGCCGAAAATCCGCCGATCACTGGAGCCAATGCCGGGCCCAGGAAGATTCCTGTAGAGAAAACGGACTGTAACCTTCCCTGATGCTGCAAGGGAACTGGATCAGAGACCCTTTTACCTCCTGCATTCATTGGTGTGGCACCAAAGCAGCCAGATAGGAATCGAAAGATCATCATAGCAGTCAGATTTGGGGTTAGGGTACAGTCAATTATGAATCCAACGAACGTCACATTGCAGGAATTTTTGGTAAATGATGCTGTGAATGTACACCTCTGTCAACAGCGCTATGAGCATTGGGCCAAAGCCAAAGCCCCATAGTTGAGCAAGGACGGGTGGGAGGTAAAATCAGGATGTAAGAATAGTGAAAGTATTGATGTGTTGAAAAGGCAGTGACTGACTAGATAGCTAATTTTGGGAGGGTGAATACTTTCGACTACACCACAAGTTACAGACGTAAATCTTGATCTCAAGTGTTAAATGGCAAAGTATACATTTCGTAACCTATCAGAAAAGAACAGATATCATCACTCATAACCCCATGCTCCCTTCCTTGAAAAACAAATGCAACCTTTAAACCAACCCGGAGGACAAGATAGGAACCCAGAAAAAAGAATACATGGTTTCACATCACATCTCTTCGTAGACACAGTCTGGGTGCATGACGTAGAGGATCTTGTCCTGGGCCGCACTCGACTCTTCGGAATCCATGAGACCCGAGCCAGTGATACGCAAAAGTAATTTGTCCTGCAGCGGTCGTCAGTCAGTATATCCCAAGTGAAAAAAGGTTAAAGCAACTCACCTTCACCATGCGCTTCAGGACCTTCGCGGTCAGACTGCGCTCGGAGTCGTAATCTTCTTTGGTGTTCAGTTGATTCTCAATCTGCTCCAAGTACCAGAGTATAAGGTCTTCTTGCTCGACACCCTCGCCCGAGTTCTGCTCATCTTCATGAACACGCCGCAAGATCAGGTTCATGATCGCATTGTACTTGTCCCAGGTGATCTTTGTCTTCTGGCGTACTTGCTGAGCCTGCTGCTGTTCTGCATCATCGCGCATGGGGCTGTCGCCGTCACGGTCCCGGTCATGGTCGGCCATCTCCTGATCTTCATCCCCATTAGCTGCACGAGCAGGTGCTTCATCCTCATCCACTTCGACGTCGTCCTTCTCAACTGTTACAATACTCTGGCGGAGGAGATCGTAGGCCTCAATCACAAACTTGGGAATGATTTCCTCGACACAGTTGGCCTTGGCAACAGCTTCAGACAAGCGAATCAGAGACTCGAGCTGACGGACGGTGATGCGGTATGACGAGCGACCCATGCCTCCCTGCGCGTCATTGGCACGGAGCTCCTTGTATTTTTCGACTAAAAGGGCCTTGGCCTCGTCCGTGAAAACAGGGCGGAACGTCCGCGCAAACCGGATATAACGCTGCAGCTGCTCGGTGCTGAGCTCAGGCTCGACGGCGTCATCGCGATTCATGTGCACATTAACAATGTGGTTGGCCAGGTTGCGGTCCACCGCCTCTTTGGGCTCGTCACGAATGACGAAGAACACATCGAAACGACTCATGATCGGAGCGCTGAAGTTCAAGTTTTGACGCAGGGTTTGTTTAGGGTTGTAACGGCCGCCGATGGGGTTAGCGGCGGCAAGAATAGATGCGCGGGCATTCAGAGTGGTGTGAATGCCAGCTTTGGCAATGGAGATAGTCTGTTGCTCCATTGCTTCGTGGATGGCGACCTGATCGGCGATGTCCATCTTGTCAAACTCATCAATTGCGCAAATGCCACCACCGTTCTAAAAGAGCATATCAGAAATTGGTCTTTTGCAGATGTGGAGAGAAAGAAAACATACTGCAAGCATCAGTGCACCTGCCTCGATGGTGAACTCTCCAGTCTCGGGATCCTTGACGACCGAGGCAGTCAAACCCGCAGCCGACGAAGCCTTACCACTGGTGTATACTGCGCGGGGGTGCAAAGAGCAGATGTATCTGAAAATAGAGCATTAGAATCCAACCATTCGAGAATTATAAGGCTTGACTTACTTCAAAAACTGGCTCTTACTGGTGGACGGATCACCAACAATACAGACGTTGATATCACCACGCAGTTGCATGCTCTCCCGCTCCGTCCTTTTGCTGACACCACCGAGCAACTGAAGGAGCAATCCCTTCTTGATTTGCTTATGACCAAAAATCATGGGCGCGATTGAATCTACCAATCTGGAATAAATGCGGTCGGTATGGACGAGCTGTTTCAAGTCTTGAACTTCAGCGGGTGTAAGATTTTGAAGGAACGCTTCCTGCGCATCCTCCCCCGGGATATCCGATTCTTGGGTTTGATTCAGAGAAGCCAGAATGTTGTCCGACTGGCCGCTCAGCTGCTGCTCGGGCTTCTGTCCGGGAGTTGTGTGGTCTGGGGTCACCATGCAGGCAAGGAAGGCCAGTCGGTAGGTAAGGTCTCGAACACCCAGGGCCTTCAGACCGGACACTCCACCACCACCAACCTCGGTGCTGCGGAAAGCGCCATTGTCGCGAACCGCTTCTGGGCGCACCCCGGGCAGGCCTAGTTGACTCACGTCCGGGACCACGATCAGGGTACCCGTGAAAATGCACCGTTCACCGGCCTTGGCGCGGTCGACCATCTCACCACGGAGGATGATGTCCATGGTGCGCGGCATGCTACCGGTGGGGATTTCGTGGGATGATTCCTGCAGCTTGACTTTCTGCCAATCCACAAATGTACTCTTCCCGATATCCAGACGCCACCCAACGCGGTTACCGCAGGTTTTGTTCGGGCACTCGCTTGGTTCTGTGTACTTGAAGGTCTGCTCAACATTCTGGACCACGGACCTGCAGCCCTCACAGATGAAAGTCCCCAGATACAGTTCTGGTCGGATTTCTGAAGTCCGGGTGACTGTTCCCGATACCGATAACAGCTTTCCGATCTGCGCCGTTCGAAGCTGCCGCAGTCTGGAGACTAGGGGCAGGTTGTAGAATGCCAGGGAAAACAGCCGATCGGTCTGCTGGTGACGCGTCTTCTGGCGGATGCGCTGATCCAACTCCGATTTATCAGACACATTCGCAAACGCGGTGGTATCGGAAGTGCTCGCCGCGGACGAAGCGCTGCCGTTGAGGCGGTGGGAGAGGAAATATTCCGGTTCATATTTGGCAATCAGGTTGTGCAGAGCTTTGGTCAAGAAGGGCTGGAAGCGGTAGTACTGGCTGGCAATGGCATCGGCCAGAATCGGATTTGGGAGGGATGTCAGGTGGGTGAAGTCCACGTAAAGGGTCGACAGTTCGAATTTCTTCATCCCCTTGATCTGTGACACGTAATACTGAGGGCTCAGTCGCTGGGAGGAGGTTGGGGGCGCAGAGGAGGATGGTTCTTCGATAAAGGTTTCGAGCAACTCCTCGAATGCTTGCTGCACTTTCTCACCAGCCTCATCGATCACGGGTGGGGGGCCGGCAGCGTAGGGGTTTCGAAGACGATTGACAGTCGAGCTGCTGGTGCCGACCACTTGATCATCGGGGAAGGCATTCATATCACTCATGGGGCCATTGCTCTCGGAGCGTCGCGAACTGGGCAGATGGTCGGACTGAATATTATTCTGGCGGCCCGTTGCCGAGCCCAGCTCCGATTGGAGCACTGCATCGAAAAGGGAAGACATGGTGAGCAACCAGGAATCGGTCGCTGGTCCAGGAGGGAGTAAACAGGGATGAGGCGGTTGGTGGAAGGGAAGAGTGGATGGGCAGTGAAAAAAGGGAAACACGCGTCGCGTGTGCCAGCGGCCAGACCGCGTTCGGGACGCGTTAAGTGGTGGGGCACGAGCTAACCACATTAAGCATTACATCTGGATGGAATTGGATTCGGTATCTCAACCCATTCAGAATAGCTCGAATAAAGGAGACCCTAGGAGAGGGTAGAGGATGGATCGAGAAGCTATTCGTGGACATAGATCTGTCATTATGGAGAGACGGCAACCACGCTCCTCTCCGGCGTCCTCGACCCGCTTCACTCCTTCCCTGACGGATGTGAAGCAGACGGTGAGGTGGATGACTGCCTGGCAGGCGATAGTACGTCTGGTTTAGAAGACAATCTACATGATGGAGAGGGAAACATTCCGATATGGAGACACTCGCACGGTATTGCATGTTACCGATATATCTAGGCGGGGTAGACTTCATGATTCAACCCGTTTTAAACAACCAAATCAATCATACCTAATCCTAGTCAGGTCAGCTAGTGAGTTCAGGTTCATAATTATTGACCGAGGGATCGCCACTATCCCTGAAAGATTCCTGAATGGGTCCTCGGGCCAAAGTTAAAAATCTTGCAGTTCGTGGAGCTGCTCTGGCCCCATCAGCCGGTTTTGCTCCTCGTCCATTGCTTATGATCAAACTTATCAAGACGCGCGTCGACAGGTTGGATGATCCACTGGCTTACTGCCGAGTGGTTCTGGACATCTGCGTACATATCAGTCACGGATGTCGATGTGTGCAGGTGTTGACAAATAATATATATCCCTCTCGGTCGTCGTGGGGTGCATAGGTCGACTTTTGCAAGTGTGCGGTAGTACCCTGTAGATCCACCGATACTCTCTGGAACTCTCCGGCAAGGGACTTCTGTTGATCCTCGGATGCAGTCTCAGGGTGGATAACAGCTTCGACAGGCTCCACTAGCAAGTCGTAGTGACTCTCACGAGAACCGTGGGGAGTGGAATCAGGCCCAATTAAATCTAGACAAAGCGATTGAGGCTTGTGATTCTACAATAGTAATCATGTTTAAATTACCCCACTCAGAGTCTAGACATTCCTATTGAATGTTTGTTGATGTCTCTGTATCAGAATTCAACTATACACCTGATAACTCCCAATACTCGGCGAGCCTTTTTGATGTCATCATAGCGGTGGTTTAGTTGGGGATTACGTAACCCTGACTGCCGCATCTCCAAATTGGAGAATGACAAAGCGGCGGACTGCTCGGATCAGCACGACTGAGGCCTTCATTTCAGCATGCTAGCCGCCCGCATATCCATATCCCACTTCGGTACTTAGTTACTTAGTTAGTCCATTCCAGGTGATCAGTAACGAGTCCCTGCATACAGTCGATTCCACAACTGCCCGCTTCAAGATTCTTATGCATGTGTCTCTGGCGCCGGCCCACTGAGGTAGGTCCCCGAATGAGCCTTCGCTCGATCAGATCACATACCCCAACTTCAAACTCGATCCTCCTAGACGGCTCACTAAACCTTCTGCCTACGCATGGGGCAAGCGGATTCTAAATGCTACACCCCCCCATAGCCGCCAAGCAAGTTGGACACTGCCATCTTTTTCCCCTCTCGGGGATCTCTCGGGGATCACTGCGATCGTCTTCCCTTCTTGCAATTTAGGTTGTGAGTGTATACCCTTCTTTTTTTTCTTCTCCCCTTCTCTCCCTTATCCCCAAAATACCCCCCTTCCCTGCCGAACCACCGTGCACGCGAACTGCCGTCTAATCTCACTCTTGGCTGGCACAGATTCCAAGCCTGCGATGATTCTATTCAAATCCGGAGTTCTTGGCTGGAGGTATCTTGGTGACCGTCCGTGCGGCATGCAGCTCTAGCAATTATCCATTGCGTGAACCAAGGGAAGTATCTTCTCTACTGTGTGGCGCGAGATGTCCGAGAACAATCGCAAGTTGGTCAAGGCGCCAACATCTACATCCCGACCGCATGAGCTGGAAACCTCAGGTGTGTCATAGCCCCGCTGCTGCGAATCTTGCATCAAACAGGCCAACTTATTGTGCGATTCGATGCCGCTCTAGGTTCCTCTCACGGTACACCCGCAACCTCCGGGAGATCCAGAAGGCGGCGGCGGGGGGCAGCGGAGAACAAACCGTCTCAAAATCGAGCCTTTTATTTCGTCGATTCGAATTCCTCATCCAAGGAAAAACGAGCTCATGTGATGCGCCACCATGTCCAGGAGAAACGCAAACAACGCAAGATGTCCCATGAGACACTGGCAATCGAAGAAGATGTGTCGGAACCGAACGAAGTTGAAAGTCCAAATAAAGTGGAGGCGGCATTGATGAACGCACCCGACTCTCCGTCACAGGAGGGATCTTCGGTATGGGAGTACAGGCATAGTGTGCAACCATAATGGATGCTAACATGACACTTCGCAACAGCTCCAAATACGCTTCTCCGCGGTGAAGCCATGTCCTCATTCAACGGGATCATCGAATATAGGCTCGCCCGTCACCCTCCTCGATGCCTCTCGAAAGGATCCATTTTCAAGTCTTCCGATGACCTACGACCGGGAGGATCTAGACTTGGCAGACTACTGGACGAGCAAGTTGACCTACTGGTCTGGCCAAAACCCATATCTCAAGAACCAAATTTTCCGAACCGCAATGGGCCATCCTCTCTCGTTCCAAGCGGTGATCCTAGCATACTGTGCGCGATGGAAAGCGCAGCTATACGGTCTGTCTGATAGCAAGGAAATCCAGCGCCACGTCGGGCAGGCCAAAACATTGATCGACGATGCCGCCGCCTCGGGTTCCATACAGGTGAAGGAAGACGACTTGGCCATGGCATTGGCCGGGATGGCCCTGCAGGAAGAGCGATTCGGGAGCAAGGAGGACGCTCAGAAATACGCCGACTGGGCCGTCCAAATCATGCGGCCGCGGACCGGAACCAACATGCCGGTGGAAGCGTTCCTACAATACGTGCGGTATATCATGACACCACCGCAAAATACGACGATCGCCCCCGCCGAGCGGCGGTGGCTAGTGACCTTTCTCCGTGGCGCAGAAGAGCTGATGCGCAAGCACAACACGCCGGAGTACCTCACCCGCGTGCCTCCCCGACGCGAGGCCTTCCAAATGGAGAGTCCCCTATTCCCCCTACTCTCCAGCGGCCCACGCCCCTCACAAGTCCCGCATGCATCGCGCATGTACGTAGTCCGCGACAACCGGACGCAAGAAGTCAGCCGCACAGCGGCACTCATCTACATCACCGCGGCGCTGTGGGATCTCCAGGAATCGCCGGAAAACACCGATCGGTTCCTGCGCTATCTGAATACATTGGTCTGCGAACACCAACTCGATCGGTACCCGGCCTGCGAAACGCTGGTGTGGCTGCTGCTGGAGGAAGGGTGCGATTCCGATCTACGAGACCCGGAGCGTGGATGGTCGACGGGGGAGCTGCTCAAGACACACAAGCAGCTTCGGCCGGACCTCCAGTTTCAGTTTAATGAGATCCTCATGAGCTTTTTGACGTTGCGCTTGCCGATTCGTGGCATTGATGTTTTTGAAGAGGAATTGGAGGTAGGGACTGTTAGTCCGGCGTAGTTGAATATACCTCTAATACCTCGTGACACCTCTTGTGATTTCCATTCAGTACCCCATCCCTAAGATTGTTATTGTCAAGTTGGGAAGCAACCCCGTGCAAATGAAGCAGTCTACCGCATGTATTTGTCCTCCTCACCTTGTTTACTGCGTCAATATAATATTCAATGAAAACGTCATCGACGACGGGAGTTGGCTTGGCAGGGCTCGGGGACCAAGACCGGCGGTGGGTGTGAGCGTCATGGATCGACCCATCAGTACTACTGTGTACTTGGGCGATCCCATCGCCGCGCGGAATACGGGGATCCAGGTACTCCGAAAGTATCGGGTCACCAAACCGCGTGCGGAAAGGTACCGGCCAGGTACTCAGGATCATGGTTGATCGACATCATCGACTCCTGGTGCACATCGCAATTCGCTAGTGGTGTTGCTGTTCTTGCATTCCCGAAACCCCATGGAGAACAAGAGACAAAACTGGCTGCTGTGGCGCAAAAATGTGATCTCCTATTCGTATGTGCTTTAACTACAAACCATTATTCAAATGTTTTGGCTCCTCTCTCTGCCTAGGCAGTGAAACTGAAAAAAAATGGCAGAAAAAAAAGTGGCGCCCATCACCATGGCCCATGGGCAGGTCAGATCCTTAGTCAATAGCGCATCCACCTCTGCCCAACTAGGTGCCTGCTAGCGCTCCGATCTATTGGATCCAGCTCATCAGCGTCGCGGGCGATCCTGCTTTTTGCTGCCTCGGCGCAATTCCACACCCTTTCCCAAGGTTCGATAATCGCCCCCCGTCGATCCAGTAGTTCGTCCGATTTTCTCTTCAGGTGTGAGTCGTAGCTACCAAATACCATCTCAAATTTCAAATCCCGAGGGCTCGTGCACCTCTGGATTCTTGGGCTAGTGTATCCCTTGCCGCCCTGCAACCCCTGTTTACGCGGGTCCGCGTCATAGGGATCGGCGAGCTGGAGCTTTGGGCTGTGGCTGGGTGTGGCGGTGGTTGGCTTTGGTCTGTCTTTCTCTCTCGGAGTTGGCCGACTGGATTGGTGGGAGGGCGTGCCAGTGAGGAGGCCAGCGCGTCGGAGAGATTGCTGTGCGGTGACACCGAGAGCAAAGAACGAAGTGATGGAGTCATCGACCCGAATAGTCGTGATTCAAATCTTGGTTGATCCAGACTTGATCGATCACGACGCTAAACCCCTAACCACCTAGGTTCTAACTAACTCCGTACCCCTGTTAGCGAGAAAGAAAAGATCGTCGATCGCATGTACCCAGATCGGCTGCCCCTCTGTTTAAGCTCTTGCTTTTCCTGCTCTTCATTTCCTCCCCTTCCTTTCCTTTTCTTCTTCTCACCAATTCCCCTTTCGACCACCCGTGCCTTGGACACACGTGCTTCTCGACTGCACATTACCCTGTGACGCTCCAGGAACCTCCAGGAACCTCCAGGAACATCAACACTTCCTTCTCCTTCACCATGGCGGACCACGCAAGTGGCTTCCACCAGTTGTTCGCTCGAGTATGTCGTGTCGTTCTCTTCAATGATGGATGAAAACTAACCAGGTCCACCAGGATGGCTCGAACACTGGGAGCAGCTCCGCGTCCGCGCTGCTGAGCACCTTGGTCCTGAATTTCGCCATCTTCGCGGTCATGGTGCTCCTGTTCGTGATCTTGCGTCGCAGCCAGCGCCGCACATATGTTCCCCGTACCTATATCGGGTACCTGAAGCCCTGGCAGCGCACCCCAGAGTCGCCCACGGGTCTCTGGAACTGGATCTCCAGCATGTACACGCTGCCCGACACCTACGTCCTGCAGCACCACTCCATGGACGCGTACCTCCTGCTGCGCTTCCTCAAGCTCTCTTCCATGATCATGTTCGTCGGCTGCTGCATCACATGGCCCATCCTGTTCCCCGTCGATGCGACCGCCCACGGCGAGGGATCCCAGCTGGATATCCTGAGCATCTCGCACATCGCGGATTCAGAGTATGCGCGGTACTACGCGCACTGTTTCCTCGCCTGGATCTTTGTCGGTAAGTTGACTTGATTTGCATGCACCACTGGGCCCAATTGACCATCAATTCGCCAGGATTCATCTTCTTCACCATCACCCGAGAACACATTTTCTACATCAATCTGCGCCAGGCGTACTTCTTCTCGCCCGCGTATGCCAGCCGCATCTCCTCGCGCACGGTTCTCTTCACCACCGTGACCCAAGATTATTTGAACAAGGATAAGCTGCGTGCTATGTTTGGCCGCGACAAGGTCAAGAATATCTGGCTGGCCACCGACACCAAGGAGTTGGAGGAGAAGGTCAAGCAGCGCGATGACGCAGCCATGAAGCTCGAAGGCGCCGAGATCAAGCTGATTGTTCAGGCCAACAAGGCGCGCACCAAGGCCCTCCAGAAGAAGGGCTCGCCCGAGGAGGGTGCAGTGGATGATCTTCCCCAGCAGTTCGATGACGAGTCTGGCTCTCTTGCCGCTCGCTGGGTCGAGCCCAAGAACCGTCCCACGCATCGCCTGAAGATGCTCATTGGAAAGAAGGTCGACACGATCAACTGGGCTCGGTCGGAGATTGAGCGTCTCACCCCGGAGATTGAGGAGCTGCAGGCCAAGCACCGTGCTGGAGATGTCAAGCTGGTGTCTTCGTGCTTTGTCGAGTTCATCAACCAGTCTGATGCCCAAGCTGCATACCAGTCCGTCGCCCACAACCTTCCCCTGCACATGTCCCCGCGCTACATTGGTTTGGATCCTACCCAGGTCATCTGGGCGAATCTGCGCATCAGATGGTGGGAGCGTATCACTCGCCGCACTGCCACGATTGGCTTTATCACCGCCATGATCATCTTCTGGGCTATTCCCACTGCTTTCGTGGGTTCCATCTCGAACATCAATAGTCTGATTCAGAAGCTTCCCTGGTTGGGCTTCATCAACAACTGTCCCAAGGTTATTCTCGGTCTGATTACTGGCATGCTGCCATCGGTCCTGATGGCCGTGCTCATGGCCCTCGTGCCCATTATTCTTCGCTGTAGGTTTGAGAAGTATTTATTGGCTTCGTTGCAATTGCTAACTAACGCTCACAGTGATGGCCAAGTGGGGCGGTGCTCCCACCCTGGCAGCGGTTGAGTTGTCGGTTCAGAACTCGTACTTCGCTTTCCAGGTCGTTCAGGTGTTCCTGGTCGTCACTTTCGCCTCTGCCGCGTCCAGTGTCGTTGAGCAGATCATCGACAAGCCCAGCGATGCTGCCTCTCTACTAGCGAGTAACCTTCCCAAGGCTTCCAACTTCTATATTTCGTACATCATTCTGCAGGGGTTGTCCTTCAGTTCGGGCGCTTTGCTCCAGATTGTTGGTCTGATCGTTAGCAAGGTCCTTGGCAAGCTCCTTGACAAGACTCCCCGCAAGATGTACACCCGCTGGTCTAACCTGGCTGGACTGGGATGGGGTACCATCTACCCCATCTTCACGCTGTTGACTGTTGTTGCCATCACCTACTCCTGCATTGCGCCGCTGGTCATGGGCTTCGGAACCATCGGCCTGTATCTCTTCTACTTCGCCTACCGCTACAACCTGCTGTACGTGTCCAATGCCACCATCGATACCCAGGGACGCAGCTACACCCGCGCTCTGCAGCACATCACCGTGGGCGCCTACCTGCTCATGGGCTGTCTGATTGGCCTGTTTGCCATCGGCACCGGTGCCAACACCATGGCCGTTGGTCCCTTAATTTTGATGATCATCTTCCTGGTCTTCATAATCTTGTACCACATTTCCCTCAACAGCGCCATGGAGCCGCTCCTCAACTATCTGCCCAAGAACATGGAACACGAGGAAGAAGCCCTCCTTTCCATGGAGCGCAGCAAATTGAGCCACTCGGCCGACGAGCACTCGCAGTCCGACGACCTGGCTGCGCCCAGCGCCGTAGCTGCCGCCAACCGCGATAGCGGTGTCGGCAAAATTGACGACGTCGATACAGCAGAGAAGGGCCTGACCCATACGTCGCTTCCTCCCGCGCACTCCAAGCCCAACTTCTTCACCAAGTGGCTCCGTCCGGACAAGTACACCGACTACGCGACCCTGCGCCGGCTGGTGCCTGCCCCGCTCGACATCGTGCCCTACACGGAGGAAGCTGAGCGCGACGCCTACTGCCACCCAGCCGTCACCTCGCAGGCCCCTCTGCTCTGGATCCCGAGCGACCCCGCGGGCATCAGCAAGCAGGAGGTTGCACACACCTCGCGCGTCATCCCCATCACGGACGAAGATGCCTGGCTCGACGAGAAGAACAAGATCGCCTGGAACGAGGCCAAGGGTGAGCCGCCCATCTACGAGGAGAAGGTCACCTACTAGACTGGCCTTCCCTCCTGTGTCTTTGTGTCTGTCTATCTGTCTGCCTATCTGTCTCATCTGCAATCAATCCCTCACTTAGGAGGGGGATTTGGTTTGGTTTTTGATCTACTTTGATACCCAGCCGGCCAGTCTAGTCTTGTCTTGGACTGGCCGGCTCTCACTAATTGATCCCGGCCGATAATCGTGGTGGCCTGGGATCATATGGTTGGAGATTCATTTCTCTGATGCTTTCTTTTATTCATAATATGGGGTTGATTGATGTCTATGCTTCACGTCTGATAATGTTGCGGTGTGAGAATGTTGCTACCATACTGGAGAATTTCCGCGCTTCATGACTTTCAAAATTTGAATGGCAATTGTACTATATATAACTCCTTGGTCTTTGGTCTTCTTCGTATTGTAGACGTCAAGGTTTTTACTTGACTTTGGTGATGTTTTGAATAATGTAGTCGCCGTAGAACCAATAAGAACAGAGCACCGCCCATCCCGGTCGTTGAATTCGCCCGTCGGACAAGCTCGGCCATCTTCCAAGATTATCGGAACTCACAAATATCATTACCACCTTTCTCAGAGAGGCAAGTCGTCATAAAAATTAATTTGGTACAGGATATTTACTGTCCGTCTGGCCGCTCTGCCCGTAGCACATAACTCAGGATGATGCCGGAAAGGTCATCAATTTCGATTTTCGTAGCATTTTCGTCCTGCTGCCGTCGTTTAACCCCTTCCTAGCCAAAAATCCCAAAACCTAGCAGATTGAAGGGAATTATCTTCTTCGAAAATGAAACAGTCAGTAACTATTCATCAAACAAGTATAGACTGACTTTACTCACGAGTTTAATTGACTTCGTTAAGCCACACCCGAATCATGTCGACACCCCGACGGATAGCCAGAATTCGCAGGACAGCGCGGAGATTTTCTTCGTGGATTTCTGTCTCGAGGGGGAGGAACTTAATGCCCCCTTGGTTCCATTCAACCCACATCTTAGTGATGGTCCTTTCCCCCTGTTGCAGGTAGAACTCAGGAATATTACGTCGCAAGCTCGAATAGAAGGATGTCGCGAGCTGTTCAAATGATCCAATATTTTCGTCTACCAAAACCACTTCATTGATTCGGGTCTGACCGGCGAGGTTTATTATCACAGGAAGAAGGCCGTCTTCTGAAGCCATGATTACAGTTGTTGTTGTAGTATTAAAAAAGGCTGGAAACTGAAGGGGTTCGATTCGAGACAGTTATCACTTTCAAGGGAGAAGTCCCAGTGGGCACGATCAAGCAGACTTATATATATCCTCATCCAGGGATTTCACCAGCTTACACTGTTTTTCTCTTTCTTGCCGTTGTCTAAGCGAGAGCCTGATCCAACTAGTTCAGGTGTGCACCCAATCGAGACGAATTCTGATATTTGTCTCGTGTCCCATTTCATGCCCTATTCCCCGAATACGAGGGGGCTTCGCCATGTTTGCAAACTCTTCATCAGACATTAGCAGTAGTATGGGTACTATAAGCGATTGGTTCCATCGAGGAACCAACAAACATTTACAGTCTTAGTCGATGATGGGTTCCGCAACTTAGACGACACCGGGATAGCAAAGATTTCCCAGCACCCAGTTAAGAAAGTAATCCGTGTTATTCACGTTATCTACTTGTTCGATGCTACATCTGAAAATGCGGCAGTTCAGCCTGGCCATAATAAGTTAGCGGACTATAGACGTGAAGGTATTGGTCATCCGTTGACCTCAATATCTGAGTATGTAATGCTCAATAACTAGGTTGCGTCCATATGACTGCGAGTTCTAGGATGGGCAAAGAATTTTTCTTAGTTGCCATGATCTAGTCCGTGATCTGGTTCGTGGAGTCTGTATCCGGAGACTCAAACTAGAGTCTGGGTTTCTCGATGATCTGAAGAAAGCACACAGCAAAAATCAATGACTTAGAGCCTACATTGAGGTCACATTATATCGGGGGTTGGGAAACAATTCGCGAATTTCTATGGGGGATCTGTTTTTCGAATAGTGCTGCTGTATTTGTACTTACTTCTGAGAGCCATCTATCCCAGAAAGCATGTCCTGGCTAGTCTTAATGTGCTTTTAATATTCAGCATGGAACCTATAGCGTTAGATTCAACCAATCACCGATCAATAAGGTGAGTAAATCCATAGAAAAGTAGCCACTGCTGCTGACAAGATCCAATTCACTTGATATTAACTCTTTTTCACTCTATAAAAAGATAAGATGAGCTACGCATGGCACTCAGGTAACAAACGCCATTGCTCAGTAGCTTTCTGCATCTACACACGCCGGAATGGGCTTGAGGAAGAAACCCGCAGTGACAGCACTGCGTAGTAATTGATTCCATACAGTCCGATTCTCTTGGCACTCATACAAACTCACCGCCAATCCCATCACCATTCCTCCAGGGTTCTCTGCTCTCATTTCCTAGGATAGTAAATGAGGAGCGGCAGTCTGAGACGAAACAAGCTGCATCAAACACTGCGTAAGACCCTCTTGTCTGGATAAGGCCGGGGGAGAGGTTCGACAACAAGCTGTTTTATGAATGTTAAGGAGAGAGAATGTAGAAAGACTAGTTACTCAAGGCATAAAGCGTCAGCATCGGCCTGCTGTGTCAGGTGGCCGGTTATTGGTAGAAGCTCCGGGGGGGAAAAGGAGATCGGGTTAGTGGTTCGGAGCGTATTTTTTGTGTATGCATAGAATGTGCCTGGTCATAGACCATCCATACAGAACATCATAATAATGAGAAAGGGTGATTTACATTGGCTGGTTGCATTGACAAGATTCCTCTATTCGTTCCCAGGTGTTACAACTATCATCACTGCCGGGCACATTTTATGGCCAAGGTCTCTGTCAATTTGACAGCACCTACCTTGGTTAGCCCTTGTAAGAAAATGGAGGATGTATTTTCGAGGCTTTGGACTTTCTGAATTAGGAATCAATGTGCGACCCTCCCCTTCTGCGCAGCCACACAGAATGGCGATCCGGGCCCGAGGGGTTGGACGTGCAGCGCTAGTCAATACCATAGTTTACATCTTGTAAGGAGTCAGGAGGATTTACACACACTATTATTCTTTGATCTGCTGGTATGTAAACCCACTCCTGGCATTTATCGAAATGAAAGAACAAGGGCCCGAGGACAGAGGAGATTGTAGACTAGATGGGCAGACACGCTGTGCCGTCCATAATACATGATAGCCCCTGCTAGTTAGGGACGAATACATACGTGCGTCATCGAGTCTTGAGTGTAACCCGTCTCTGGCTTCCTATAGGCCAGTGTGGGAGATGAATTCAGCTAGCCTTGCTTCTGCCCTCGCCATGCTTTTTCACTTTAATCATAATAGTCGGGGAAAGGGGTATTTAATGCTTACGCAAACAGTCAACAAACAAACAGACGGAAAGGCAAACAGAGTCTGGTCTTTTGATCGATTAGTACGTACTCTCCCTCGAGTCCTGGTTTCATGTTGATTATAGCTATGGCCCCATCACAATCCAGACCCCCCACTCTTTGGCTAGTGAAAATTCCACGCCATCATGCCATCCTCGCCTCATTTTGTAGAATCCATAATCAGTGTACGAGATAAACAAAGCCCTAATAATAATAATTAATCTCTCTCTGTGTATACCTGACCGCGGCGTAATTGCAGACCCGAGTTTGAGTTGAATTTAGAATGCTGACACCACAAGGGGGACGAACCATTGGACACTACTCACACCGGGTGGCTGGGCCTTGCTACGGTACATATTGCTCAACTGTCAGAGTAGGATACCGCAGAACCAAGGTTGATGGATAGTTGCACGGATTTCTTCTACGAGCTTCTATAAGCGAAGTGGCGCAGTACACGAGCACAGAGAAAGAATGATGGTAGCACAAGCACATTCGAATTTATGGAGATATATCAGCTGATATACCTGGTGCCTGGTCAGGGAACGGACCAAGTTGAGGAAAAACCTAGAGATAGAAGAAAGAAAGCAGATTCCGACGCCAACGCCATGCTCTCCAGAGTTCGTAAGCAGATGCAAAGGATAGAAAGAAATGAATATGGTAGTCTGGTGAACACATAGGAGATCAAACCCAGATTTCAGATAACATCACAAACGAGAGGGAGACACGAGATATTGTAAAATGAATGGGGAATTCTGTGCGTGAAAATGCAATGAGATCTGCCACCAAAAGACAGATTGAAAGGAGAATAGAATCGAAAGTGTTCAGGGAACCGGTTGTAATGCTTTTGCTGAAAGACTTCAACACACGCTAAATCGTAGGCGAGATGTGCCTCAAAAACGATGGCCAAAAAGATGATGTTGGTGATTGTGGGAAGGGAAGGGGTTTCAAGCCCGGATGCGAGATGATCGGAATGCAGACATGTCAATCGACTCGGCTGATATGGACGAGTTATCATCGACTTCAATGGCGCCGGCGCCGGTCTCTTGTGTCGAGGACTTGCTGGCGGCAGTAAGGGCTGCGATGCGAGCCATGCGTGCTGCACTCGGGGTGGGCGGTGGTTTTGCCGCTTCCTTCGCCTTTTCCTCCTTCTCTTCGGGCGACAGCTGTTTTATCTCCTCCGAAAGACGCGCTACCTCATTCCTGGCCGTGTCGAGCACCATCTTAAATTTCTCTTCCACACTATCCAGCTCCATAGCACAGTCACCCGACCGGAGGATTTGATAGGCTGCCGTCTCGCAGAGCCCGTGTGCCAGCTCGAGTTGTTTATCGGCATAGTCAAATGGCGAGTCCTGCCGGGCTGAATTGGCACCACGAACACCGACAACACCAGGTTGTGACCGCATGCTGCGGACGCGCGGGAGACCCGTGGTTTCCGTCTTGCCGCCCAGGACAGCCGACGAGTTCACCACGCGGGAGTTGCCCAGCAAGTTGGAGCGGATTCCCGTGCGTGGCATGGTCGACATCTTTGCACGCCGGAGATTGTTCCTCGCCTTGCCGATGTTCTGCACAATCTCCTCCAGGGACTTCTGCGTGTAGCCGTCGTACTCGATGATGAGGTTGTGCCGCGTGCTCACGAACGTATACCGCTCCGCCGAGTCGAGAGACGGGGCCTCGTCTGTGCGACGCTTGTGACCGGTCTGCGGGCGTTGCTTCTCGGACTCGCCCGGCTCGGTTGTCGGGTTGGTGGATGTCTCGATGGCTTCCGGGCGAGGGCTTGCTCGCTCGGCGATTGGGACCATGTCATCGGTGTGGATGGAGCAGATCGAGCTGTTCTTCCGCCGGCGGGTTTTGCCTGTTGTATGTCGTCGGTATGTCTCAGCGAACTCGGCGTGTTTGGCGGAGGTGTGGTCGGCGAGCTCTGATACCCGGGTGACCCAAGCCGGGAGGTTGTCTGTTAGGTAGGTGAAGGCCCCCAGGGCATCCATTGGGGGTGCAGCCATGGTTGTAGCAAAGCGATTCACCCACGGGTCGCAGAGGAATTAAGAAAGTTCGGGGTATGATTAGATCTCTCCGAGAGATGTAGATTTCGTATGGTCGTCAATCGTGAGGTCGACCAGAATAATGTGGCAGGTCGAGGGAGGATAACGGGGGTTCCACCGGGTGGATTATTTCGACGTGATGGAAGCGGCCGAGGGCGGGTTCGGCGGAAAGGATCACTTTCAGCACGGTCGGCAAGATTTGACTTCCAACCACGCTCTTCTTCGCGTTGATGAAGAAAGAGAGCGGGAATATCGAGAAGAAAAGAAGGCGGATGGTTAGTTAGGAGGGGTTGGGCAGGGCACGGCAGGGCAAGACCAACAAACAAGAATCATAGTTATGGGGAAGGGAAGGGAAGGGGAATTTGGAAGGATCGGGAGAAACGAGGAAGTGGAGGGTGGGTGGTATTGGTATTACCGTGACAGGCTGCTCCCCGGCACTATAATCATGACAGCTGCATGCTGTACGACTCCTAATTAGATAGTACGTGACTAATGAGCGAGTGGACTAAAGTACCTTGATCGACGGAGCGGTGAGCATGATATTCAGGTAATGGCTAAGGGCATCTACGAATGGAGGAGTTGTAGGTATGGTGAGGACGAGGATGTGGATGTTGATGTTTGATCGTCAACAACTAGGGCCATCAATGCAGCCGGCGCTGCTGCCCAACACGTTGCTGCTGCGAGACTCCTATTTGCCTGGGGAAGAAATCCATTTCGAGTCCAACGCATGGCAATTTACGGCGCAGAGAAGCTGCTGCACTGCAACTTCGCTAATATGAACCTGGGACCAATTAGTTCGAGCCAACCGGGCCCTAGAAGTCAGGGGCCAGCCGGACAGAGCCACAACAGCGCCATCCGGGACAGCTCTGGCCCCAGGTCGGTCCAAGACAGCTGTCAAAGTGCCATCCTGGCCAGGGATTAACTATTCGCGCCATTCCCAAGACAGACATGACACGTAACGGTCGGGGACTCGGGGATCTCGCACGGGGTTTACAGGGGTGCTGCGGGCCTGTACCGGTGTGACCGGAGTTAACTTACATACAAGGCGGATCCTGCGCGGGACGGGCCAGAGTGATCAACATGCCCCCATCATTATTACTGGCTCATCGAACGGAATCGTGGCTTCTGGCCGTAAGCGAGCAGCAGCCATCCTGGAGGATCGTCCGTACTTTTGCGGGTTATTCCAAATCAATGGGGGCAGAAGACAATTACAGAGTGCTGGACGGGGGGGTGATCTTTGACCGGAGTAGTACTTTTTATTGTCTCTCGAGAGGAAACACCGATCGAATAGCACACACCTCACTAACTACTAGGGACTCATATACAATCCTCTCCGGCGATGAACTTCTGCAAAAGGACTGGATCGATCGACATCACGTGTGCGCATGGAACTCGAGTGGCATATTGTCGATGTTATAAACATGACTGCCGGCTCATCTAGAGTTAGATGGCACAGGAAAAAACAAAACAAATCCCCATATTGATCGGCTCATCTGCAGGAAATGGCGCAGAAAGAAAAGAACACCCGCCCATGATGGCCATCCTTCAGATATCAGGAGAAAAACAAAGATCATCGATCATACTCATAACATCATGACCAGACGACCGAAGCGTCTTGGTTGCCGGAGCACTGCGTGAGGCTCACTTGGCAAGACCTTTGACCCAGGCCTCCAGCCAGTTGTCGACTGTGCAGCGAACCGAGTTGGCGGCGTTCAGGGTGGACTTGTGAGCCTGCATACTAGCCTGAACCTGCATGTCGAACTCGCCCAGCTTGTCCTGAAGCTCCTTGGCAAAGACCTTGTGAACGGCCATGGCGCTGGCCGCCTCGAGAGCATCCTCGGGGACATCGGGAAGAGCACGAGGCTTGGGAGCGACGATGGGCTTGCAGGGACGACCACGCTTGCGCTTCAAGGCGAGGGTGAGGCCCGTGGCGATGCCCTCAGGCTCCTCAGACAGGGTAGAATGGCCACGCTTGCGGCTCTCGGTGGAATCCCAGGGGATATCCTCGGGCTCCTCGGACAGAGTGGAAGCCTCAGACAAGTTTCCCTCCTGGCGATCATACTCACCGGCCTCGATGGCCGTCAGGATAGCACCAACCTCAACATCCAGGTTGATGCGACGCTGATTGTTGGTAGCGATCGTGGCCGCGTTGTCGGCAGCACTGCAAGTAGCGTCAATGCCAGCAGCAGCGGTGCGACGCCCGGCGTTGAGAGCGGGTGCGGACTTGAACGCAGCGGGGGCAGCGACCTCAGCACCCAGGTAGTGCGTGCAACGTTTCTTCTTGGCCTTGCACTCATCACAGGCCTTCTGGCGAGAGACCTTCTTCTCATCGTTGGAAACGGACTTGTCACCGGCCATTTTGTTTTCTGCGACGCGTCCCGTCAGCACCAGATTGTTGTTCTCGACACGCCAAAAAACTAGAGGATACTGTACTTACTTTGAGATGAGAGGGTTGGTATGAGAATTGAAGAGAAATGGGGATGTGGGCGCGTGGCAGACACAGAGATAGTTGTGCGGGAGGGTGTACGGACGCAGGAACCGACAGCGAGGAAAGAACAAGATAACAGGGCAGCTCCCCAACAAGAAAGTCAAGCAGGTGCTCTTCTCACACAGGCAACCGCCCAGCAGTCCCATTCATGGACTTTGGCAATGAATACGAAGCGGTCGACTGAGATGGAAATCTATACTCACTGATACTATCAGAACAGAAGCTTTCGTCGATCTTGACGATATGCTGTGAGCGCAAGATGATGTTTAGAGGATAAACTCCGGCAAACGTTGCACTGCGCAGAATGAAAGAAAAGAGCGAACCGTTTATCGCTTCTCAAAGACATGAGAAATTAGTTTGAGAAGATCTGCTCGGAGGTCTTTATCAAAGGCATTCATTTTGATATTGAGAAGCAATAGCCACAGTTATGCATTCCCTAGGACTGCAACACTTTTGGTTGATAGAATGACAAGAAGCTGGCACAGGCTGATAGCCTGTTTTTCACAGAATTTATATGGTAGCTATTCCGATCCACAAACATGTATTATGGCCACAGTTCAGTCTCAATCCATTTATCCCCCGATGAATCCTTCCCATTGCCTTCCAAAGACCATTTCCACCGCCGAATGTCTTCTGGATTCGTGAGATCCAAGCGCTCAACTTCTTCAGGCTGAATAACCACAACTCTGAAATTCGCACGAGCGACGGGGTCATGCAAATCAGTGACTTTCTGCCCTATCTTCAAGCGTGGATCACTGGGTTCTTGCGATCTGGGCTGACCAGGTGGTGGGTTTCTGAAAGAGCCTGGTTTTCAGGTCAGCACGAACAACCAGACAGAACGACAAAGAAGCCTTGTGTCTCTCAATGCGACAAACAGGAAACCAACAACATGAGAAGACATACCTCTCATAAATGGAGAGTGATTGGCAAAGTACTTGGTCACAGCCTTCTCCCACGACCATTTCTCCGCACCCGATGCATCCGCACCGCCATAATCCTTGACCCTCAACCCCCTTTGAACCGCCGACCGGGCCAACTTCTCCTGTGCATCTGTCTCGCCCAAGGGATTCCCAATTGCAAACGCTTTTCCCTTAACCCGCCACTGGGCGTTGAGATCCTTCAGCCAGAAGACAGCCTCGATCTCCCGGCTGGACGATTCCAACTGCGCCAACTTCTCCATCCGCACATCGGTGGTGAGCGTGAACATGTCACTCTCATACAGAGAGGGATTATCGCCGTCTTCTTCCTGCTGCTCCATATCTTTGGCGCCGCTGGGGTGTAGTGTGAGCTCGGGGAAGAAGCCGCGGAAGCCACAGGTGCGCACTCGCGGAACGGGGCGGTTCTGGTCATCGAGCCCGATGGTGCCGATTGTGAATTCATAGCCGGGGGTTTGGCTGAGGTGGGAGTCTAGGATCCCGCGCCAGGATGCGCGGGATGGGCCACTTGAGGATGGGGTGGTCATTGTGGATGTTGAGTATAAGTATGCTGATGCAGTCGGAGGGCTGATGCGGGGACCAAAGCGATGAGTGTGGTTGATAGAAGTAGTATAGAAGTGTTTGAGGCAGAGTCGATGAAAGCTGGTGCGGCTACAAGGTCCCAATGGAACCAGGAACATGTGTACTCTATGCAGAATCGTCAGTCAACTTGCACAGAAACTGGATGTTTGTTGGGTGACGTTGATGGACGCAAGATATGGCCCGTGCGCCCATCCATTATCTGATTTGGCGATGATTGTTGTTCTGGACACAATTTTCAGCATCTTCATCTGTTGCAATTTGAACCATGTGAATAAACAGAGCTCAGTTTGCGGCCATTTACTCAAGACGCTCACTATCTTGTGGTCAATACTGCTGAATCTTGACGGTATCTCGTCGGTATCCCAAAAAGGGGCTTCATGCTAGGCGGATATCAAGAGGCTCAACATGCGGCTATCTGTGAATAATCGAATCTTAAGAAGGGCCCTGTATTTTGGATCCAGATGTCCCTCTCCCAGCTTAGGGACAACCCAACTGGCTTTGCGGAGTGTTCCTTTATCCCGGCCATTCTCATTGTCAACAAACACCACTCCAGGCCAGCTCTATGAGATACCACCAAGTCGACTCCAATCCAAAAGCCATTCACAAGGCTGTGAAACTATTCAAGCACAGATTGAACCATATTTCGCCACGAACTGGAAATTCGCCAGCGAAAGGGAGAAGAAGGGTTTCCTCGCACTCGGATTCTCCCGCGCTTTCAGTCAATTCTTCCCACTCACCCTCAACGATAGGGTAGAGACAACTTGCAAGATGCACTACCTTGCTCTCTTGATTGATGGTGAGTTCCAGCGCTGGCATCCCGCATCATGACCATCTCTGATCTATTCCTTAGACCAGCTGGAGAAGATGAACGCGTCGGAAATGCTATCCTATCGAGACAGGGTCATAGGCATTGCAAATGGTGCAATGCAGCCCGATAGACAAATCTGCCTTGAATGGATGCTTAGTGACACGATCCGGCAAATGCACTCCATTGACGACCTTCTCGTCCACGATCTCATTCAAGGATTCTGCACGCTCCTTCGCGCCCAGACGGCTGCAGAGCGTCTATCAATCAGACATCTCGGTCCGTACCTTGAGTTCAGGGAAGTCGATGTGGGCAGACCGTATGTACTCACATCATCGTACTCATGTGGACCGTGAAACTAACCTTTAATATGCAGATTTTATACCGCATTAATGAGATTCGGAGCCAATCTACATCTCACCCCCATAGAACTTAGTAGGGCTGCGAATCTTGAATCATCTGCATTTCGGTTCATGGGTGTCCTCAATGATATCTATAGCTGGAACCGGGAATGGAGGATTTATCAAGAAAGTCCCATCGATGGAACTCGACCTTTCTCTGCCATCTATATTCTGTCGCAAGAAACAGGATTGCCCTACTCGGCCTGCAAAAGACTAATGTATAACTATTGCCGGGAATTGGAGATTGTTCTTACGCAGTCAGGGGATGATATCAGATGTGCAAGTGCAGAACTGACCCCCGATATGGAGACGTATATCAAGGGATTGGAATATCTTATGAGCGGCGTTGAAACTTGGAGCCAATGGACCCCACGCTATAAGGAAGCGTGACATGACGAAACTTTACAAATCATTAAATTCTGAAAAACAAAGCCCCAAAAACGGGCATGCCAGGCGCCTAATTACTATTGGCGTCCTCGCCCTCTTCCGGCTTCTTCGACTTCTTCGTCTCAAGACCAGTCATGCCGTAAATGGTAATGAAAGCCATTCCTGAAAACGCAGCAACACAAGAAAAGACCAAAGCAACGATACCTCTATCAGTAAAGCCGGCGGGCAGCCAGTTAACCTGCCTATTCTGGCCCTGCAGATCAAGCAGGTCCTCCGTGTTCCCTGCGGCATTACCTTCATATTGCACGCCACCTGCTCGACAAGCTGCATACTGGTCTTCGGGAATGGACACTCGTTCCTGGATTTGCTGGGGAGCTTCGATCAACGTCATCCCCAGGCCCTGCGACAGGTGCCAGTCGATATGGCAGTGGAAGAACCATACGCCGGGGTTATCGGCGACGAAGCGGATGACGAAGTGACCCTGTGGCGGAAGAACTAAGGTGTCACGTCGGGCTGGGTACTTGGGGAAGGCCGTGTGGTTGGAAGGGTCATATGGGACTGGGTCGCCATCTAGGTAACTGTAGAAGTTTGGCCCGTACGCCGGAGCACGCTCGATGACCTGGAAGTTGTGGCCGTGCAGATGGAATGGATGGGTACCAGAGTCCCCGTTATTCAGAATGATTTCCACCACTTGGTTGTGGCCGAGAATATAGGGATGAGTGAATTCGCCGTAGATTTCGGAGTTGGTCGAGAGATTGCCGGATGAAAGGACAGAGTAAAGTGTCGGAACTTTGGGCTTGGTGTAGGAGATATTGTTGAGGAAGGCGTACCCAGCACCGTTGCCCAGGTCTTGCATGAGAACGGTAACGTCAATGGTGATATCAGGATCAGGCAGGAGGGGCTCATGATCCCAGGGCACGAGGGTGGTATCGTCAAATGGATTGAGGTCAGTGGCAACGCCGACCTTCATCACAGCCTGAGGATGGGCGGCCGACGCGTCGTATTCCAACCAATTGGTGTTGTTGAGTTGTAAAGTGGGTGGAATGGTATCCAACAAAGCAGAGTCGGCAACAGTCACGATAGGGAAATTTTTGTCCGCCGTGCTTTTAGTGGTGACAAGAATGCTGTATCGTTGAGCGACGGCAATATAAAGAATATCGGCCTCCTGGGGCTCCACATATACCCCGTCGATCTCAACAATGCGGAAGCTGTGGTCTTCGATGTAGAAATACTGTCCGACAAATGCTCCAATATTGATCAACCGTATCATGTAGGTTTTGTCGGGTTGCACGGAAATGCTTGTGTTCAATGTATCATTGAAGAGGAATGCGTTGGGAATAGGCTCTGCGCCTGTCGGGTTGGCCAGATTGATAAACGAAGGACCGATATCCTCGATCAATTCATGATACCAGTCACTCATCGTGACGGTGAACTCCTCGTCGTACATTTCGTTGAAGTATGCGTCGTTGTCGTGCACGATCAACGCCTGTCGATAGCCATCCGGGTAACAATAATTCGTATGGCAATGGTACCAGTATGTTCCATTCTGATTCACGGTGAAATTGTAGGTGTACGAAGAGCCTGGCAAAATCGGGCATTGGGTGACCATCGAGGGCCCGTCCATGTTGTTCGTGCCATTCTGGAACATGCCATGCCAATGAATGGACGCGCTCTTGTCTCCTAGACCGTTGTACATGTTGACAACCAGCCGGTCTCCTTTATTCACTTCCACCACGGGCAACGGCCATTGCCCGTTGATGCCGACCACCTTGCGGTCGTAGAGGCCATCCGGGTTGGCAGTGACCCAGGTCACATTCCAATCAAAATGGACAGTTTTCGCCTGGCAGGATTGCAGGCAGAAGAGAACTGCCGAGAGGCAGAGGAGCAGGCCTCGCACCGGACTGGCCATCTTGGGAGCAATTCGTCTATTGCCTTGAGAGAGGTAGGGGAGACGGACAAGACTCTTGCAGATGGAGAACCGACCATAAAAGCCAATAGCTACGGCATGACTAACAACTGGGAGAAAAGCGTGAAAATCGAGTCCGGGTATCCGGTTCACGGTGTGCGGGTGATAAGATTCTATTATCGATCTTGCGGTAATTTACACGATGAGTGGGGCTGCGCTAGATGAATTGCAAAAAACAGGTGGAGTGGGAGGGCAGCCCGTGCTCCTGATGAGGGAAAAAATGCCCGCCTTTGGGTCGTGGAGTGGTTCGATATTTTCCACAATCGTCTCAGCAAGGGTCCCATTTGCGTGCCAAGGGTCAAAGATCCAACCCTTCCGGGATGGTCTGATGCAGAAGAATAATCATAATTGCGATCAACAGGATCTTCTCCCTAGAGGACAAGGCATGTTTAGCCGAGTCCCATATCTGATCTCGGTAATCAGATGCCGGCCAGGTCGCTCATTGGCGAGGACGGGGTTACTCTGACCCATGGCTAGTGGAAGAAGAGGGTTTTGTGTTAATCCTCGCTAAGCCTGCGCCAAGGATTGTAGCACGTTCCGTACAGTTTGCAAAAAATGCTGTCACGCACACTCCTTCCGACCTGCTAAACACGGAATTCGGCTATTACCGCTGGTGCACACGTGTTCGAAGTGTTGGGCATCGGAGATCGAATTTCAGAATATTGTACGGTGAATTATTAGACAGAAACACTGCACATAAACTCTCACTCAAGCACTCATGGCTCAGGCTGTCTGACAGTAGAAACACCAACGGTTTTCTCCATAATAGCAGTATGGCCCATCGCACCACTTGCTTCCGCCGGAGTCGGCTCTTCCACCGGCTCGCGGAAGATGAATGCCTTGACCCTTGCCTTGAAACCCCCGATTCGCTTGAACACGGGGTCAACCACAGGCAGAGGGCCGCGTCGTTCGCGATACAGCATTGCCCCATAGCCCACCATGACCGTAATCCAGTAGAAGTTATACGCGAGCACCGAACCATAGGTGGCCGAGTTGGTCCATCCCAGCAACGCGTTGAAGATACCCCAACCGCCGCCGCCGCCCAACTCGGGGTTACAGCAGTTAACGTGCCAGACGCTTTGTTCGATGTTATAAGAACCCGGGCCAGATCCGGTTTCGGAAGCATCGCCGCCAATGACCTTGTTCCAAGCGTTGTTTTGGAAGTACCAAACGCCGCGCGAAAACAGACCTCCGGCAACGAGATAGAGGAAGCAGGTAGAGATGATTAGGAAGATTTGGAGCGATGTCTCTTTTCCTCCCCTGAATAGATAATAGGTCAGCTCTGCTTCCTGGGTGGTTTGTCTCTAGTATCTTACCTGTAGATGATGTAGCCGACCAAGATTCCTGCCGCGAGTCCACACACCACGGCCAGAGGAAACGACGTGGCCGGCAGCCCTAGTCCGACACCGCCGACGTAGACAACTGCTTCGAGGCCCTCGCGAAGCACCGTCACAAACGGCAAAATAAACATAGCATATTTTTCCAACCATCTCTTGAAGCGGCCCTTGCCCGACTTTTGCGCATTGTTCTGTTGCTCTAGAGCTTTGGCGAGCTTGACACGCCACTTATCCTGGAGCTTTGAGACGCGAAGCAGAGCGGCACCCATCAGCGAGATGATCAGCGACGATATGATGGCCAGGACACCCTCCCAGATGTCTTCGGTGCTGGAGAAGGTGTCGGTGCCCAGGCCATAGAAAGCACCGATCATACCGGCGCCGACACATAGACAGAGAAAGAGACCCAGGCCACATCCTAGCCAAACCTATGCAGGATAGGTCAGTTTTTGCAGGTTCTTGCCGTAAAAGATCAACTCACCTGTTTGACCAGTCGTTTATATGTGGTGGGATCTCCATCAGGGCCTCCTATGGCCTGTTTCAGGAATGCCAGTAGGACCGACACGACCACCGTGGTTTCGATGCATTCTCGGAAGCAGATGAAAAACACTGAATAGGCGCCGAGTGTCAGTTGAACAATTCGCGGGATCCCTGGGAAGGGGGATGCTCACCCGTCACGGCGAAGACAGTGTTGTTACCCATTTTGTCTGTCTGTAGCGTGGTCCTAGAGACAGCACTTGACTACTTCACCGATCACAAAAGGAATGAAGAAGTTCGAGTGGGCTGGCTGCTGATTGATAAGGCGGGCTTTCTGCCGACCGCGAGTTCGAGCATATTGAAAATTACAACGGTATGCGACCGTGTTGCCCGCAGCTCCACACCCTTGCCCAAACAAAGTTTTGTGCGGGACCCAAGGTGAGTCCGACACCGGTGCATTCATGGGTGCCAAGTGGAGATATCGGGCAAATAAGGAGAATAGTTGTTTTAGCGGTCAGCGAACTACCGCTGTTGGTGTTCGACTACGTACAACAGAGCAAGATAGCTAGCATGGGCTGATCTGTTGTTGCGAGCCAGGAAAACTCTGCCAAGCGTCTAGCCCAGCAGCAGTAAACAACGGGTTCTAGGGGGAGAGACCTGGGCCGCGCGGAGAGACTCATTAAGTGGGCCCTAATTTACCACGGATGGGACGCACTAGTACTGTCTCGGGGCCGATTGTGGCTATATGGGAGTGGAAAACGTCAACATTGATTATTATCTGATTGATAATCGTGCAAGGAAAGATCGGTGACGAAACTAAGAAACTTAAAATGGTATCTGATCTGGTCCTCGTTGCGGTTAGTATTGTAGGATATGGACTAGTATATGTTCCACCATTACAATAATAAAAGCAGTTATATTTATATGGTATCTACAATATGAGTGATTTATTCTCCGGCTTCTTCCTCGACCGCAGGTTTTAACCTCTTCTCTGTGTGGTAGACCTTGGCCACGTAGACAGCACTGAGAGCCATACCCAATCCACCGAGCCCGATGCCCAGGTACATTGCACCTCGGTATCCCTTGAGAACATCGCTGGGGGTATTCCCTCCATTATTGACATACACCTCGACAGTACCCGCAAAGCCCAAGCTCAGCGAGATACTGTAGTTGACAACGGTAGTCACCAGCGAGGCAGCAATACCCTGATGCTTCTTCTCCACCGCGTTCGATAACATCAAGGTAGCTGCAGGGAAGGACATATCCATACCCCATGGAATAACCAGAAGACACACAAAAGTCAGCGCCCAATAAGTCTGCTGAGCTGGTGCAATAGCTGCAAGGACACTTCCCAGCGTGAATGCCGTCATAGACAGAGCCATAATCCACCCGGGTTGCATGCGACCCATCAAGTAGCCTGTGACACAGCATGCAATAATTCCCATTGGGCCTGCGGGAATGAACTCGGCTGAAGCCAGCAAGGGCGTTGCCTGGCGAAATTGCTCGGCGAATCTCCAGAAGTAATAAATCCAGATTCCAAATGAGCCCCAACCACAGGCAATGCAGCCGAGCACGAAAGAAACATCCGAGCTGAGTGCGTGGAAAGGGATAAGAGGGTACTCTGCAAAGCGGAGTTCAACCAGGAAGAAGGCGGCAATCAGGAGGATCCCAATGATAAGTAGTACATAGACGTAGGGAGAATTCCATCCCACAACCGGGGCCTGGTTCCAGGCGATATTTACAAGGATGAGGCCGCCAATTCCACAGACTGCACCGAGGACATCCAGCGCCTTGGCTAGATCAAGGATTGTTGTGCCATGGGAAGGTTCGTCATGAATGGACGGAATCACGAGAAAGCCCAAGATAGCACACACCACGGAGACAATGGCCTCTGTCCAGTAGGTCCACGGCCACCATGCCAGCTGAGAGAAAATCCCGGCAAAGGTCGCACCCAAAACGACGCAATTCGGTGCCACAGCGCCGAAGATGGCAAATATCATATTCTTCTTTTTGCTGGGTGGGTACGCCGCCCCAAGCAAGGCAATTCCGTTTGGTAGCAACATAGCACCGCCGATGCCTTGGAGAACACGGGCAGAGATGAACATGGTATAGTTCGAGTAGTAGCTAAATCCAGCTATCAGGGACCAGAGACCAAGCCAGATAAATCCGATGAGGAACATTCGACGATAGCCAAACAGATCACCGCAGCGGCCTGATACCAAGATGAAAGTGCCAACAGTTAAAGAATACCCAGCCAGACACCAACTCAGAATGCCGGGATCTTTGACATCAAAGCTTTCGCCAACGATGTCCAGAGGAGAGAGACATATTCCAACATTCGTCTGCGTCATGAACTGGCCCATGCAAACAATAGCGATGAAAATGACCTCGTGAAGAGGTGAGAAGCTTTCTGCTATCCATTGTGTCGAGGGAACTAGCTTGAGCTCAAGGTTGTTGGGTCCCATGGTGAGTAAGGGCTCACTGCTCGAGGTCAAGTGCGTCTATCATGAGAATGATCATTGCGCGAGTTGAAAATGATGCAGGTCCGGCTTTTCCTCGAGACACCGGCTTCGCATCAACTAAGCTTTCCTTTTTTTTCTAGCAGAACAGGTAATTTGTGGGCCCTGGAGGGAGCACGACAGACGTCCTTATTGCACTACTGATCTCTGTGGACCTTTTGAGATAGTCCGCTACCCGCTGTGTGGGTTGTGTGGCCCAAGTTGGTTGAGGATGATCCACATTTTCATCCTGTCGAGTCAGACCCAGAAAAAAAAAAGGAGACCGGCACATGTAATCGGCATTCGCGCTTCAAATAACCTTATTGATGGAGGTTAGATGGCATAATTTCAGAAATCTTATCAGATTCCGTAGAAATGTTGGGTCTGAATCAATCAACGGCCATCGAGTGTAACTAGCTCTCTTGCGTAAGAAGTGCCAAGCAAAAATTCGCATGTAATATTATAAAAATAATAATTGAATTAAGACCAATTTTCAATACATAGCTCAGGGTTTCCTGCCCAGAATGGTCATCATGACCTCGCGCAACTTCAGTGCGCATTGAGGCTCATCGCCCAGCACCTCGTTACACCTCCAAGCTACAACCCGGTCTGGTCGAACAAGAACACACCCAGTCTCATCAACACTGCGAACCCGCGCCCAGTCGAAGTAAACGTCCTCATAATCCTGACGGAAACCGATAGAAAATGAATTCATCTTCACTCCCAGATTTTCTCCAATTTGCGCAGCTGCCGTCTTCCACGCCTCGCCCCCAATACCCGTCAACACGGCGAAAGCACCATGTCCAGCCAAGTCGATAGTGGAGATGCGGTTCACTGGAATGGCGTTGTTCAACCATACATGAGGCAAACGACAACCCGGATACGTATCACGGTTCAGAGTCAAGTCTTGATCTTGCGCGACAACTTGAGGGCTGTAGTACGAAGACTTTTCGTCGGCCGCGTATATACCGGAGCTTTGGTAGAATTGGCCCATCTCTTGTCCAAGAGCGTGGTACTCATGCTCGGTCTCCTCGATGGCAGCTTGGAGTGCACTGCGCTGCGAACGGCCTTTGGTGGTAGGCAATGTCAATTCGTGCAGCGCTTGCATCCTCTGCTCGGGGGTTGGTAAAGAAACACCGAGGGCTTGCCAGACAGGACCGTGGTGACGGAAGGATTGGTTTGCGCGCGCAACGACACCACGGCCAACGGGTTGGCGCTCGGCAGAGTATGTCTCTAAGAGGGAGGGAGATGCTTGTCCTGGAATGAAGGTTAGACATGCCAAACCAGATGAATGGTCGGGGGTAACATATACCTTTCAATACATGGGCAACCTTCCAGGCCAGATTGTAGGCGTCTTGTATACAAGTGTTGGAACCGAGGCCGTTTGAAGGCGGGTGGCGATGAACTGCATCTCCGAGGCAGAACCTGTTTAAGAGTTAGCTTCAGCACCATCTTCCACTTTGTAAGAACTGAGATCATACACCCTGCCTTTGGAGAAGGTCTTTGCGACAACTTCGTTAAGGCGCCACTTGGAAACACCCAAAAGTTCTGTGTCGATCGTATCATCACCAATGAATTCCTTCATCCGGGCAGTCCATTCCTCTGCGGACGGATAGCACTCTATTTCCTTCCCACGCTCGGGCAGAACGATAAACAACCACTCATCCCATGGCTTGACCATTCTCGCAATGCATGCCCATCCAAACAGCGGATGCTCTTTATCTGGTTGCAGGAGCCAATGGAGATTGCCTGTGCGATACTTCATGTAGCGCGAGAGATCTGCCTTCATGTGCACATTAAATGCTGTGCCCTGGTCAGGCTGGACGTCCAGTTCGAGATCTAGTTGCTTGAAGACCTCACTGCGGGCTCCGTCTGCCCCAAATAGGTATTTTGAGCGGACTTTGTATTGAGCCCCGGAAATATTGTCTCGAAGTGTAGAGGTAGTGCCTGTTGCATCTTGTTCAAACGCGACGAAGGTGGTATCGAACCGGCAAGTGAAACCGTTGAGTGTGGCGTATCTCACCAAAATGGGCTCGAGGAGGGTCTGGGGGAGGTCAACAGGGTCGCAGGGGCTCGCAATCTCGTATTCGCCCTAATGAGATCAGTGATGTGCCTCAAAGCATTTGCCTCCCTTCCATTACTGACCTTCCGCTTCGGGTCGTGCCCCCAGGAGTGAATGCGCGCATACTCTTCGCCAGCCATGCTGTATGCCCATCGCGTGTGCATCATGTTCGATCCATCCGTAGCGAGGCGTTTACATTCCGATTCCAAGCCAATGTCTCGGAGACATTCTAATATTGGTTGGCAAATGTTCTTGCAAGTTTGCTAGGCGACTCACCCATGGCGGCCATGTTCGTAATGTGTGCCCTTGGAGTATCAGCGCTTCCAGGAGCCGCGCTGATCATGATTCCTTGGATATCTAGATGCATAATTAGTAACGGGAAGCTAACAGAGATAAAATGTTCCCGTACCATAGTAAGACAGGAAGCTTGCAAGGCCTGCCCCAGCTGGTCCGGTGCCTATTATAAGAACATCGGTGTATGTGACGGGCGTCTGCCCGCTATGGGCGTTGTTCAGATGGACTATAGTCATCTTCTGAAGATGTGGCTTGCCAGGGGTCTCTCAGGAAAAGAATTGGCTATTCCCTAGAAGCAACAGGGGCGGGGGATATGGAACGGCTTCAAGTATTTACGTCGAGAAGGAAGTAGAAGAAGATATAGATTCAACCATTTTTGACCGAAATACCTGGTGCAGGTGATCTGAAATCCACTCTTGTCAATATTTTCGTCACGCATTGTAAGAATTACAGGCTTTTTCGCAGTGTAAGTCTACGGGAATCAAGACATGAGCTAATACGTAGCTAGGGTCCACAGTGTCTGATTAAGATCTTCACTCTATCTTATCTGATCGTACCGGGTGCCACAGTCGGCCAGCTAAATCACGCAAGTTTTGACTAGTTAGGGAGATCCTCTAAGCTTTGTGTAATGTCCCCAATGATGATATTGGACGATCGGTACTTAAATAGCTGTCCGATATCGGGGTTGGCTTTACAAGCTACCGGACACATGCATTATGTCCACCCCCCACCCAACAAAAAAGAACAGCAGGAATGTGGGCCAGCTCGAATTCAAGGACACCTTTCAAATAATACATATGCTGTTGTCAGTCTGGTAATGATTCTCAGAAAGAAAGTGCTGATAGTTCTAAGGCTAGGGTATCTGACGTTTACCTCACCTGCCAAGCAATATCGAACCCTAACATCACATGAACGTATATATTTCGTGGTAGACACAGCTCATGCTACTAGTAAAACTACCAAAGTTTATGTTCTAGTGTCATTTTAAGAAGAGAGGGCCCAAAGACCCTACGGATAGATTAAAGATGTAAAGAAAAGAAAACCTTTTAAAATTGCAAAGCTTTTCACAATCCAGAAAAAGGACCTGGTATCGAATCATCAATCATCCACCTGTAAAGCAAAATGGTCAGGCCATAATCAATCCATTCATTCATCCCAGGAAATAAAAGAACTCTTTGATACAGGAATAAGTAGGGAATAAAAAAGGTCAGCCACATGCACCAGATGTTTCAAACTCCTAAAAACACCGGACTGATTCAGCCATGCCATGCAGATCTACTGGTCTAAATCATCAGAGCCCAAGCGAAGACGCTGACGAGCAAGTCGCTGGCGATTTTGCAGCTCCAGCATACGCCGGAACTCAGTCCTAAAGGTCCAACGAGGCTGCATCGTGCCCAGAGCTCCAAGGAGCGTACGCTCTGCAACAGGCTGTCTCTGCCTGTCGTCCGTGATCAGTGGAGGCTGCACCATCTCAGGTGGCATCGCTGACTGCTGAGCATAATCAGAGTCGGAATCATCTTCAGTGGTGCGGAGATGACAACGGCGACGGGAGCCAGGACGAGGGGCGTTGGGGAGGATGTTCGGGTCATGGTTGGCGGAACGAGCCATCTCGTGATTCAGAGGGAGATTGAAAGTATCGCGAGGACCAAGGCCTGCCTGGGCCCAGTCAACGAGGGGCTGGCGCTCGGCATCGTGTTCGGCCTGCTCCTGCTCCGCCTCATCTTCCAGCTCAGAAGTCGTGGGCGTCATATTGTTCTCCTTGTCCTCATCTGGGACGTCGACGTAGTTGTCGTCAGCAGCAACTTCAGCAGCTTCCTGTTCCTCGGGAGTATCTTCCCAGATGACGAAGTCCTGGCTGGAGGGTCGGTGGGCTTCCCAGACCCGGGTGCCGCAGCTGGCAGGTGGGGTGGATGCAAGGTCAATGTGAGACTCGTCCTCAGCGGGGTGGGTGATGTTGGACTTGGGAGTAGGAGGCGCGGTGCTGATCTCTTCCAGCTTGTCCAGCTCCTCCATTTCTGTTTCCAGTTCTTTCATCACGCGATCGCTTTCCCCGTTGCCGAGGCCGCCGTGGTCGTCGGGCACAGCAAGGTCTGTACTCTCAGGAGCTGTCAGTGATCTATCTTATATACAGCAGTGTTCAACTGTAGAAGAAAGAAGTACGTACCGTGCAGATCTTCTGCCATGATGGGAGTTTGAGACAGAGGGGAAGAAGTAGAAGGTAAGAAAACAAACTCAGCTCGAGTCTGAGAGCGCAAGGTCATACGATGGCGTATAGGCCTGAGGGTGACTCGGACTCTCGCAACCTGGGGAGAAGGAGAAGATGGATGGGGTGAGTATGGAGAAAGGCAAACAATGGAGAGAAAGTTCTTTCCTACCTGATCGCGCACCTCCAGCCGCATATCAAAGTCTCTGCTTTCCATGTTAAGGATCGCTGAACGAAAAGTGCGGGTGGAAGGCTGGGTGGACCGGAATGGAGAGTGTGGAAGAAGAGTAGAGAAGGGACCGGTTCTGCACTTGGAAAGCCCGGGGAGGGCGTGGCTGCCAGCAGGGTTTGTAGTTCCATAGTTAACAGCTTCTCACAGGCAGCAGTCACATAGAACTCGAAGTGGGAGGCGTTCTTTGTAACGTGTGTGCCTCCCTGAGAGTATATTGCCATCCAGTGTGCTAGTCTAGCCTATGCCTTCGACTACATGCAATTCCCTGGATATAAAAACGATTTACAGTATAGAAGTATGAGCAGGTAGTGCATGCCATATACGCAGAAAGAAAAAAGACGTTGTGGATATCAATAACCAACATTGCCATCAACGTCCAGCTACATACTTGGATGTGAGATAAAAACCATTTCTTTCATGGCTGACATACATCTACAGACACCTACAGCAAGCTTTATTTTCGGCAATAGTTTGATTGTCTCTGTCCAGCCATCTATAATGGAGCATAATAACCACCGATAGATAAATAGCCAACATAACCACTATCAATCTATCTACCAAGATCGGAGTATCGTATGACGCACAAGCCAGCTGCCAGTCTCAGTGACCGTGCCACACAGCAAGCGAGGTTTCCCTTGAGAGATCCAAAGCACCAGAAAAGTAAAAGTGAAAAGGCCCCGCCGGACGCATATAGCAAAAGTTAAAGCCAACACAGCGCAGAAGGCTCAAACGGGGACGGACGGCAGTATGGAACAACGGTATCGTCAAGCCGCGAAGGGTAAAAGGCGTCATCAGCAAATACAGAAAGGAAAGAAAGTAAACAATTCCGGATATGTTGATATCTCAAAAGGGAAGTAAGAAAACCTGGGTGGCATGTGCAGAAACATAGAACGAATCCTGTAATCGCTTCCTCAATTTGCCAGACGGACAAGAAAAAGAGTAGATCACGGGGGCAAGATCCGTTCTCATATTGTCCCCAGCTACCTGTACTGGCCAGGTCCCACCATCCCGCCGCGGGCATCACCGCCATTGGACTGGCCAAACATCTCCAGCAGATGCCGGGACGAAGGAGGTCCCTGAGGGCCAGCGCTACCCGGCCCAAAGGGCCCTTGGTTGCCAGGTCCCATACCCATCATCTCTGGGTTAGGAGGCATGGGAGGGAAGCCAGAAGGCAGAGGCCCGTTCATGAATCCCGGAGGTGGCATCATGCCGGGAGGAGGGCCACGGGGATAGGCTTGGCGGTCGTTCATCGGGGGTGCGTTGCCGGGCATTGGCATCATGCCAGGTGGGAAGTTGGGGGGCATGCCACGGTTCGGAGCTGGGATGCCAGGCGGAGGGCCCATCGGGCTCGGGCCGTTACCTTGCTGCGGGGGCAACGGACCAGCCCAGCCTGGGGGAGGCATACCCTCAAGGCCAGGGGGTCGCTGAAGACCCATCGGAGGTGCGTTGGGAGGACGGGAGCCGCCAGGCGTGATAGGTCCCTGGTTCCCAGGAGGGAAAGGCACCTCGTCAAAGTAGCCTGGAGGTGGGCCATTGGCAGCTCGTCGACGAAGCTGCTCGCTGTCCGGCCGCTGCATGTTGGCAATCGCCGGGTCATCCAAGAAGATTGGCGTCTTCTGAGCATGCAGGCCGGGGGGACGAGGCAAGCCTTCTGGCATCAAGCCCGGAGGAGGAGCGGGAGGATGGGCATTCGGAGACTGTGGATTACCGGAAGGCGCGGGGCCAACTCGAACTTGCTGCATCAGTCGGAGCAGATGCTCTCTCTCTCGAGCTTGAGGATCCTTCCCGCCGCCTTGAGCCATGAGCTGTTCTGGGCTGGGGGCCATGTACTCTGACCGGGGGTGGGATTCACGAGGTGGAGATGACAGCTTCGTGCCGGTTCGGAGCTGATCCGCGTGCACCAGGGATGAAGGACGCGAGTGCTGTGAGTGCTCATTCTGCTGAGGGGTGCCATTGTTCGATCGACCGCCACCGAGCATCTGAAGGATGCGCTGAAAGCCTTCCTGGTCGGCATCATGGGAACCGGGAGGCATCATTCCGGCCAATCCGGCCAACCCACTCATTCCTCCCATTCCTCCCATTCCTCCCATTTCTCCAGCTGGAGATTGATTGCCAGCATGAGGATCGAGGTCTTTGGTAGACATCTCAGGCGGCGGGCTGAACAACCCCGCAAATCGAGACGACTTGCCTGCCTTGCCCGCTAAAGCTTCCTTCCTGATAGCCGACTCGACAGAGTTGGGAGTGCTCGCTTCTTGTGGCGGTGGCGCCGGCGGCGCCGGCTTCGCATCTCCCAGCAGGCCGAAGAATCGTTCCATAGACGAATCCGCCATAAAAGGAGCGCCAGAATGGCTGAAGATCTCGCCATCGGTGCGTCGAGCCTCCGGCTGCTGTCCAGATGGCTCGCTTCGTTCTTCCCCTTGAGGCTGAGCCGGCTGGGAAGAGCCGGCCTTCATGCGCTCCTTCCACCGCTCAAAGTCTTCCTGGGTATGGGCTCGGCGAGGCTCGTCGTGGTCTGCGGAATCCATCCACTCAGGATCCTGTTCGAATCTGGCACCGCGATTCCACTCGCGGTCAGCACCATGGCGGTCACGACGCCATTCACGGCTTCGCAGATGTGATTTCTCATCGTCGCCTTCGAGGGCATCATTGGCATTGGCATTGACGTTGGCATTGACGTTGGCATTTTCATCGCGGAACCAACTGCCTTCATGTCGAGCGCGTCCCGGCTGGCCATCTCTCCGAGGGACGAAGCGTCCCTCCTTATCACGGGTTCCTCGTTCAGCGTTGGGAATGGGATCGCGGGGGTTTTCTCTGCCCTCCCAGCGATCAAATTCTCCATTGCGACGAGGTTTGCGCTCTGGCTCATCGACGCCGAAGGTGCGACGAGGAGGACGTCCTGCGTTCCAGTCCTCCCTTTCACCACGTCTGCCATTCAAAGCTCCTTGTCTTCCGTCCCGGCGGTCGAAATCACGGTCTTGCTGTTCGCGGTCCTTGGGAAACCGCTCCTTGAAATTGAAGCGGTCGTTTCTCGTTTCGTCCGAGTCGGCTGGCCGCGAAGTGCGATCTGTGAGGTCGAATGAGCCTTTCCCGCCAATGCGAGATGAGGCAAAGGCTGTCTTGGGCGGTCCAAGGACAATATCCTCTGCAAGTCCACGCAGTCAGCAAATGCATCAGTGGTGAAAAGATGGCCTTCGGCGGAAGAAGAGATGATTATACCAGAGTTAGAGCCCCGGGAGGTGTGGCGGGCCTCGAAGAGGCTAGGTCTTCTGTTCGAAGTAGTTTCCGGACTGTTGGGATCACGGGGATTTTGTGCTTTGCGCTGTGTTGTTGGTTCGGGTAGAGGCCTGCGAAGCGGAGAGAGTGCGGTCAGCTTTTGAAGGTATGAATTGGCCAGCGAGGGGCAGTACGTACATCCATTCTTCGATGGGGGGTAGGCCGGGGGCTTTGCGACGAGAGGCGATGATCGCAGCCATAACAGCTCATCGAGCTCGTACCTCCGCGCCATGGGGACCGCTGTGTCCGTGGTGGGTGGGTGGGATCTTTCTTCAGAGAGAATTTATGAACCTCGCATTGGTCGACGGGGATAGCTGAAAAAGAACCTGCAGCTGTCGAGGGAGATGACGAGAGAGCAGAATCGAAGGAGAAGTAGATATGTGCGAGAAAAGTTTGGGGGGAGAGAAAGGAGAGGGTTGAGGTTATTCGAAAAAGTCGCTGGGGGTGAGGAGGACTTTTGGCTGTGGCAATGCTGTGTCAGACAAAGCGGAGACGGGGTCGGTGAGAGACAGTTGGGCGGGGGAAGGCAGAAGTTGGAGTTCTGGCACCGGGTAAGTAGGTCAAAACTGTAGAGAGCATGAGTCGGGCAGTAGTGGTGGTCGAGAGAAGAAGGTCGAGGTGGCAGTGGAAGTGGCGCAGTGTCAAGTGATTATTAGTTAGGGCCAAGGGGTGTGAAGGGATCCCACTACTGCCGACGCGGGAAAAGACATCCTCACAGGAACTATTATTTCTGCATTGGAATTGTACATTAATCTATTTCGTTCCTTCAGATCATCTGTCTGATCTTTGCAACACTCCGCTCTACAGTCTCACAGCCCCAGCTATCCACCCGCTCGCGGTCGGAGGTCTCATACAAAGCCTGAGCAAGCGCCGCAAGCATAGCCCGATCCTTCGCCTCCGACGCCGTGACCTGAACCTGAATCCAACTGATGATAGCCGAACGAGTGATGAGCGTCGTGCTCCCACCAACTTGGACAGCCCGATAGACGATGTGCAGGATCTTGCGTCGAGGAGAGACTCCCAGCGTGGGGGACTGATAGAGGGAGAGGATACGCTCGAAGACGTTTGCCCGCCGGTAGATTTCCATGTCCGCCGGGGTGCGCAGACCCTTGACGAACAAGTTGAGCAGCCAGTCAATCTCATCGAAATACCCATCATCTAATTCGGGCTCGTGGAGGAGGATCTTGTCGATCCAATATGACGGGATCTTCTCGGATTCCCAAGAGGGCGCCTTCTGCAGGAACTTGTTGACTTTCCCATAGACCTTGTGCAGTGGGTTGATCAGAACAGACAGGCAACTGGAAGCGCATTCGCCAACAATCCAAGGAATTGGTTGGTCCAGTCCCATTTTGTTGACGCTCTCTAACAGTTCACCTGTGAGAATGTATACCGAGCGCCACTCGGCATAGTTCGACTCCTGTTTTAGTCGTTGTCAGTAAATAAAGTCCATCACCTAGAAAATTGGCTAGGATTACCTTAAGCTTCGCCATGAAGCGTATTATATTGGCAAATGCCTGGCGTCGAACTTCCTCGTGTTGGGAACACAAGCAGAGAATCAGTTCGGCGATACGTCCTTGCTCCACTGCCGCTTCCACATCCTCCCGTTCCCAACGGTGCAGCGCGTTGTGGGTTGTTCCCTCGGTAGGCAAGGAGCCAAAGATCTCGTCCAGGTCAACCTCCGCAGGCTTGTGGGGTGCAGCAGATACAGTTGGGCCGGAGTCTATGTCCATTTGGTCTCCCTCGTCGGCCTCCGCGGCTTCTTTCAGGGCTTTCTTGAAAAGCGAACGAGTTTTCTTGCCCTCGGTGGTTTCAACCAATGCATCCCGAGCAGCTTTCAAAGCAGCCTGGTGCTCTTTTGCTTGCTTCAGATTTCCAAGGAATTTGGCAACCCAGGAGCCAACAGCGGCCTCAGCCGCGGCATCGCCGCTCTTGACGACAAATGGCCACTGTTCAGTGATAGCAGCGACAATGGGGCTGGCTCTTCCAGCCGCGTCGGCGGATAGGGAATTGATGAGGTCTAGGTAGTGAACCGGCTTCTTGGCAACCCGACACACGCAGTTATCAAAAAACTTCAACTGCCTGTGCAGAGAGTCAGACTCGGAGTCTTCCAGACTTGCCAATAACGCGACAAATGATTGAGGCGAGTTGAGCAGAATAGAATTCTCTTCGGTCAGAACGGTCCTCAAAAGAGTAGAGATGCGTCGCGCAGAATTTTTGTCCGAGGTCTCCACAAGGACCTTGAGAATCGAGGTAAAGGGAGAGTATGACATGGACGCTGGTTGTTGCCACCAACGCAAGGACGCAGACTGCTGTGCAATCCGCAAAATACTCTGCAGCTGACTCAAGAGCAATTCAGAGTCATCTGCACTAAGATCAGATGCATCAAGTCGTTTCAACACGTCTACCAAGACCATTGAAACATCAAAGTTCTCTTCCAGTGCAATGTCCGGCATGACTTCGTAAAAGCAAGTGAGCAGCTCTGACACAGCTTCCTGCTGCTGCAAGTCGTCCTTGGCAGTTCGTCGGAATAGAGTTATGACATCTTTCACCTCAGGGCATCGGCGAGAAAACTCGGCAAGTAGCTTGGTAGCAGCTTGGTTCCAAAACAACTGAGCCTGGGCATGTTCAGCACGGAACATTCCAAGAACGGTCTTCAGTTTATTGAATGCAACGGTCAGGATCCGCACGGCGAACAAGGTTATGATCTCCGCATTCTGATTCAGACACCGTGTCAAAATCTTCTGGTTCAGAGGTCGAGGGAGAATATTCTCGATAACTATCGAGACAGGCGGTGGCAGGGCAGGTTGCTTCTCTTTCCAGCCGCAGTTCGGAGGAACGGGCAACTGCAGCGTCGAGAAGAGCAACGCTGACTCGGCCATCCACGAGGGCGTAGCCTTGGGGTCGGATGTAAACATGGTCTTTCTGGTGAAGAAATCTGCCACAAGCTCCGGTGCCACCTTGAAGATGGTTACCAGAAGCTCGATCTGAAGACTATCCACATCGGGGCGCAGACATTGGATGAGGTGCGACAGTGAGCCATTCCGAACGGGAACCGACTCGCGATACTTGTCAACGTAAATGGGCGAATCAAGACCAAGCTCAATTGTTTCATCGTCTTCGGCTGGCAAAGTCTCAGGGTCGGTTCCGACAGGATACCAGCCAGTTTCTGGCAGAAGAACGCCAAGTCCAGCGGTTTTGCACACGGTCATCATGACTCGGTGTATTTCATTCGCGACAGACACACCGTCTGGGTTGGGTTCTTCAGATTCCCGATCATAGCCGTAGAGCGTCACGAGTCTCTCCAGGTTGGCGCGGTTGAAGAACTTGCTCTTGGATTTACGAGCAAGCACAGCATCTTGAACGATGTCTCTCTCGATCGACTTTATGATATCCAGCACGATATCCCTCGAATCTTTTCGGACATATTCGAGAAAACCTTTGGTGATTTTGTGCTGCTCGATAATGTCGCTCTTGTCGGCGACATGCTGAACACGCAGGTTGGCGAGTAAGTACCGCTGGGCATTCCGCCGGAGAGTCGACTTGTGAGACTCATCCTCTGCATTCTCCAACTGTGCTTTGTTGGGCGTCAGAAAGACCTCGAGGCGCTTGAACGTGATGTACCGCCGAGAATACAGCTGGCGGGCCACGGCGCCACCATCAAATGACACAATCTCCGTGAGCAGACGCAGACAGGGCGAGATGAGATGCTCTTTAGTCTTTGTCGCTGTCAGGCCCCGGTTGAAAAGCCGCAGCTGATCCTTCTGCAGCAGATGTTTGCACAGCGCAAGCCCAAACTCGCGGAACTCGAGCTCCCGCGAGATGGTCTTGAAGAAGATGGCCAGAACAGAAGGAACATTGGTCAGCAGGGGCTCATTGTTGTTGCTGTCTCCGAACCCCCAGGTCTGGATGAGGTCCGGGAAGCAGACGGGGTCCTCGTCCGGTCCATGATGAGAAATCTGCTTATCGCAATAGGCCTTGAGAACGCGGAGACTCTGTGCCTTAACACTCTCGTTCCCTGCTTGGCCTATTGAGTTCAAGAATTCTTTGAATTTTATGATGCCTTCGACATGAGTCAGCTTTGAATAGTTGCTGGCTAGCAGTTCGACCGGGAATTCTCTCACCTTGCTTGGCAGCGGGAGCATTCTGCTGAAAAACAAGCAGGTCGCGCAACTGGGCCGGAGAAGTGATGGACGCATCCTCTCTTGCAGGTGCCTCATCGTCCAGCTTTCTCCGCTTGGTGCGGAATGGGTGTTCTGCGACGTGCTCCATTACTGGGGTGGCAGTCGCGATCGATGTTTTCTCTTGAAGTTGAAAATGGTTGTTCCGCTGAGATTTTGCGGGCCAATCAGCACCCGAGAAAATTTTAGTAGGGTTAAGCTTCCCATGAACTACATACTATTACCACCAGCTACAAGCAATTAACAAGTCCAGATTTTAAATCTTTCATTATGTCAAACAAGGCACTGTGAGAAATAGATGCCACGAGGCATCTCTGATATTCTAGATACAATAATAGAAGAAGTAAAACGCACAAGACGTCTTCTGAGCTGGAGAGCTCCCCGGCGCACCCAGGTACTACTAACCCCAAGTCCCACCACCTCCTCCTCTGCCCTGGCGTCGCTGTGCTGACAAGCGCCAATCATCTTCGCCTGCAAACCGATTGTGCAGAGGCTGGATACGCTCGGCCTTCTTGCGCTTGGATAGACGGTCCGTAGGTGCGACCTTGAAGAAAGTCGGGGCTGCTTCAACAAGCCATTTCGGCTCAATCGCTGTGGTGCAGTGCATGTATTCCTTCGTCGTGAGAACCAAGGTAGCGTAGATGACGTGCTCGGCCGGCTTCCCAAACAGCGCCGAACTGGGGTGCATGTACACGGGCGTGCCTTCTACCAGCGTTTTGTACCCCTCTTGAGGATCTTTGCGAGCAGAGTTGCGGAAGAAGCCTGTGCAGAGAGCTTGTCGCACTTTGGTAGTGTTCCGGCCACAGGAGACAATCTTATGGTGGTAGCGAGTCATAATCCCGAGGAGTTGCTGGCGAATATCCTGTGCACGTTTTATTTGTCGAGCTTGAATGAAGTTTTCAAAGCACCACGCATTGTTGAACTTTGCATTCTTCCAACCGTTGTAGACGTTGAGCAGGGTTAGATGGTCACCATGCGGATCGTGGAATTTGGACTTCTTCTGGTCGGCCTGTTGCTGTTTCTCCTTAGGGCGGTAGAAGATCGAATGGATAGAAAGCATAGCGACAATCGTGAGAATTTCTTCGGAGCAACCCATGTCTACCGATGCAATGAGAACCTTGGCGAGCGCGGGTTCCATAGGGAAATCGGCCATCTTTCGTCCTAATCGGGTTAAGAGACCCTCATCGTCTAGGGCGGACAGTGCATATAGTTCCTCGAGCGCGGTCAACATGGTGTTGGTCGGGGGTGGATCCATGAAATCAAAATGGAGGAGGTCATTGATGCCCATGGCTTTGAGCATCAGAATGGTCATTGAGAGGTTTTGGCGCTGTATATCCGGAATGGTCGTCGGAAGCATCTCAGATTGATAGGCCGCTTCAGTATATAGACGGAAACACTTTCCTGGGCCTGTTCGTCCAGCACGTCCCGCACGCTGTTTGGCCTGCGCTTGAGAAATCGGAGTGACTACTAGGGAATCCATGCCGAGCTTTGGGTCGTAGGCGTTTTGTTTCACAAACCCGGGATCGATGACATAGTAGACATTGTCAATGGTGATCGAGGTCTCAGCGATGTTGGTCGCGATAACAACTTTCCGGCCACCCGGCGGCGGAGGGTCAAAGATCCGGCTTTGCATCTCACTAGGAAGCGCGGAATAGACGGGAAGAATGACCAGTTCCGGCACGGTGGGGCCTAATGCCTTCATTCGTTCAAATAGAATTTCGCATGCTGTGTCGATTTCTTCCTGTCCAGTCAAGAAGAGAAGAATATCACCTAAAGGCTCCGTCAAATGAATTTGCATGACGGTGAGGAGGGAAGCGTCAAGGTAGTCTTCTTCGGGCTCTTTTGAATACATTATTTCGACAGGAAATGTTCGGCCAGGGATCGAGAAGATAGGACACCCATTGAAAAATTCTGAGAATTTCTCGGCGTCCAGAGTGGCGGATGTGATAATGAGTCGCAGATCGGGTCTTCGCTTGATCGTCTTCTTCAGCAGACCGAAGAGAACATCGGTCGCGATCGTGCGCTCGTGCGCTTCGTCAAGCATGATCACGGAGTATCTCTTTATGTCGGGGTCCAAGAGAATCTCTCTTTGAAGCATGCCATCTGTCATGTACTTGATTTTGGTCTGGGGACTAGTGCAGTCTTCGAAACGAATGGTGTATCCAACTTCTGCACCAAGATTGCAGCCCACTTCCTCAGAAACACGTTTGGCCACGGACATAGCAGCAACACGACGTGGCTGAGTACAGCCGATAATACCGTCGTTCGCATACCCGGCCTCGGCTAGGTACTGCGTCAACTGCGTAGTCTTCCCCGAGCCAGTGTCACCGACGACGATCATCAACTGGTTTTCCTTCACAGCATCTAGCAGTTGCTTGCGGAATTTGTATACTGGCAGGCTTTCTCGTTGCTGTTTGATAGTCATGTTGGTCCGCTTGCCAAAAGATGTGTTCTTGCCCATAGTCACCCGCTTCCATTCCGGTACAGTCTCATCCTTGGGTTGTTGCGCAGATCGTAGGTCTGTAGCGAACTGTCGGTCTTCGGGTGCGACCATAGGATCCTGCCATTGAGCATTCAGGTCGACATCAGCAGCACGTTCAGCCGCCTTACCCTGTGCCTCTTGTTGTTTCAGTTCACGCCGCTCCTTGGCAAGGCTGGTACCTGACATTGCCGCACGATTCATAGAACCATCAGGTGCTTTGACAACGCGAATAGGCGAGAGTTCAAGGGATTGCTTAGTCTGTCCGGCTAAGAACGGGGGCTCTTCATCCTTGACTTCAATGTCAACATCTTCCTCTTCTTCGAAGGTGGCTTCTCCCGTCAACGTCGCATGGTATTCCTCATCGAGATCGGGGTAATCCGCCGCACTCACGGCACCAGACGCGATCAACTGTTTGATCTCCCATCTCTCGGGAGAGGTAAGCCGTTTGCGATTTCTCATCGGTCGTCCATCTGATTCGATGACAGGGACATCCGAGCTAAGGCTGCCATATTTGTCATCTGCTGCAGATGTTCCGTCAAGACGCTCCATATTTGCACCAGATGCTAGGCGGCGTTGAGGCACAAGATCCCTGCCTGTCTCTTGATCCACCTCCTTCATCGACAAGCCAATGCGAGTGCCCTGGATGCTAGCCACTTTGACTTTGACGGGCTGCCCACGAGATACCAGATCAGACGGGTGGTTCACTCGCATTCCTTCCCGCATAGCCGAAATATGAACGAGGCCGTCCACCTTCCCTTGAACGCCTTGCAGGTTTACAAAGGCACCGAAATCCTTCACCCCGGTCACTTGGCCATCGTAAATCTTGTAGAGTATTGGGTGTTCATCGAGCTCGACTGGCGGACGGCGGATGTCATCGTCTCGGTTTCTCCGACGATCACTGTGGCCGTTGCGATGGCCACCGATAGATCGACCAAACTCGTCCACAAGGTCGTTTTTGCCGTTGCGAGGGGACCGAGACCGGGACCGATATTTGTCCCGGCGCCGGCGCCCCCGGTTGTAATCATCGTGATCCGGACTGCGGCTCCGTTTCCTGGTGCTGCTGCGATCATCCCTGGCCACGCGCGGCTGTCCCGCCAGACCCTCCAGCATCGCAAAGGTATCGTCCATGGCGCCAGCTTGCGCATCGGTCTCGTCCGCGGGTTCCTGGCGATCCATGTAGTCGTTTTCAACCCATCGTTTCTCTGTGTCGGGGACAGCCAGACCCTTGAATACACGCGACTTCTTCTCCAAAGCATCAAGCACATCCATGTCGTCGCCACTATGCGCAGCCGCCGCGTCGCCATTCTGAGCCTTCTTGGCCTTGTACTTCGGGTGCATGGTGAGTATGAGGCGATCGAGGCTTTCCATCAGACTCTGGGGGAACTCGGCGCCCATGTCGTCGAGGCCCTTCTTGAATTCGGGGAAGCCGCTGCATTTGAGGTGCTGGTCGATGACGAATTCGGCCAGGGTCTTGTCGTTGATGCCCAGGTAGTTCTGGAGCTCGTTCGTCACTCGCGAGACGAGCGAGAGAAGCTCCAGAGACTCTAGGTCATCCATGGCTGCTGCGGTGGTGGTTAATGTGAGCGCAGCAGGACGGGAGAAAGCAGAGTTGTTTCTGCCAAAGCGGAAGGGAGGGAAAATCACCAAGGCCAAAGTCGCCACCGATAAGATAAGCACTCTATAAGATGCAATTGTAGAGAGAAAGTAGATTAGTTTCGTAGGTTTATAGGTACAAGGTTGCTAGTATACAGATCTAATTCCACAACTGTCGCAACAGAGCCTTAGGACGTCTGTGACTGCGTCCCCTTCGAGCGTTCAGCCTCTTCCGACGGCGCAGTCTCTAGAAAGCCTTCTTCGACCGATTCCTCAGAAGTGCCAGGCGCCTCAGGGGACCCCTCGAGCGTTGATGTCTCATGTTCATCCTCGCCCTGCTGAAGAATGTCTGAGCCCAGAAGGCCCTCCTGTTCCGCCTGCTGCTTTTGCAACGCAATCTGGCGTTTCAGCGAGGAATCCTTCCGCAATTTCTTGTTGACCGAGAATTCTGTCAATGCCCGCATCATACGCTCTTCCACGAGCTCTTTGATATGCGTCGCGAGCGTCCGATCAGTAAATATTCCTCCAAATCGATAGCCCAACCATAAATAAAGAATCAGGGCTTTGTGCAGACGCTCCAGCTCGCGCAGATACTCCTTGGCGCCGGAGACGCGCTGCTCCAGAATCTCCAGGTTCAGAGTCGAGAGGTCCAGCAAGCGCCCGTGGGAGCTTTGGGCCACGCATTCGGCCATAGTCACGAGGAACTCGCGGGACGCTGCTTCACGATAGTCTGTTGGTGCGGCCAGGAAGGTTAATTGGTCCTGAACCTGCAGTCCCGGCACTGTATCAATGATTTGGGAGACGGCGATTTGGCTGCGAATATCGCACATGAAGAAGAGCGGGTGGGATTCCGCGACTTCCAACAGGCGCTTGATGGAATACTCGAGGGGAGTATCCCGGGGGAAGTAGGCGTTAAACTTGTGGTTGACACCATCCGGTGGGAGAATTCCAGCAGCCTTGATGGGCGATGATTCCACTTTGAACGCTTGCTGAATCCAAGGCAGGTCGACGTCTTCCAGGGAGGTGACGAGGCCGACACTGGTCTCTTCTTGATCGCCATCTTCACTGGCATTCGTGACACGATAGCGTCCAGCGCGTCCGCCGATCTGCTTGATCTCCGGCACAGAGAGTCGCGAGAAGCGGCCCGGGATCCGCTTGATCAAGGTCTCGAAAACAATGCGCTTGATACTCAAGTTCAGCCCCATGCCAATAGCATCACTGGCAACCAAGAAATCATAGTCATTATCGGGACTATTGAACAGACTGGCTTGCTGAGTTCGAATCTCAGCTGGTAGGCCACCATACACAATCGCCGCTCGCCTTCCAGTGATTCGTTCGATATCATTCTTCAGGGCGTGGATTCCAATTCGGGAGAAGGACACCACACAATCGCCCTTCTTGAGATTGTGGAGATCGCCTTGCAAGCTGCGATCCATCACCTTCAGGGGATTCAGCCGTTCGTAGCGATGGATTTCCAAAGTATCGCCTGTCAGAGCGCATAGCTCTCGGATGAGCGGCACAGTCCGTGTTTCGCCGCAGAGATGCAACTCGGATACCTGCGCTCCCAGAAACGCCCGTGTCCACGCCCAGCCTCGCGAAGAATCAGCAATCATCTGGATCTCGTCGATCACACCAACGTCATAGGCCTGCCCTAGACTAACCATCTCCACTGTGTTGCTGACAATGCGTGGATGTTCATTCTCAGGGAGCTTAACTTCATCCCCTGTGACCAGACCAGCTGAAATCCCTTCGGCTTTGAACCGATAATATACTTCTTGTGCGAGCAGACGTAGCGGGCCCGCGTAGAACCCTTCCTTGCACTGTGCCAGCCGCTGCAGGGCGTGGTACGTCTTGCCGGAATTTGTAGGACCGACGTGCAGGTGAATCGTCCTTTGCATTGAGCGTGCCGCCGGGTACCATTCGGCGGGATATCGTAGATCGGCCACCTGTTGCTGCCCTTCTAGATTGGGAAGGGAGTATTTCGCAGTGATAGCGTTTGCAAATGCCATGTATTCCAACTCATCGCGCAGGCCATAGACTCCCTCGGTGAGATAGGCATTTTGCAGCACCGCCTTGGTGCGCCTCAGGGGACCCCAGTTGTTGCCAAGCTTCTGCTCGTTCAGTTTGGCAGCATTGAGGATATTCCGTGCGAGCTTGTCCCATCCTTCCGGTAGCTCTTTGATCTCCCTGAGTTTGAATTCTGTATCGCGCACCGCCTTCTCCACCACCAGCTCGAAATCTTGCGTACTCGCTATGGCTTGTCGATCTGCTCTGGGTTTGGTCTCTTTGGTCTGGGGAACGGGCGAGGGCTGTCCTCATGGGAGCCAGTCAGCAGGGATTCTCCATTCAGGGGACACGCACCCACCGTCTTGACCGTGGAGTCCGGGGTGATTCTCCTTGGCTTCAGCTTTCGTTTCGACCGGTGCAGGACGGCGGTTGTCGCAAACGACCGCTCAGCCGGGCAAACCAACGGTCGCACGGCACACCAGAGGGTGCGACTGGACCTGCCCGACCATGGCAGCATCCTCATTAACTGAAATGGATGAGGTTGGGGGGTAATGTCAGGAGGGAAAAAAAAGCGGAAGCACAGCTCAACTTGCTTATCGAATGCGCCACCCGCAATAGTTAACTCATGGTGGGGAACTCTGGACATAACACACTCTCTCGCTCCTTCGCCCTCTTCTTCTTCCTCTTCTTCTTCTTCTTCCTCCCAGACTCGCTCTCCCTTTCTCATCCTCTGATCTGTTTAACATCTCCCCCACCGAGGGCCCGCCCGCCATCATGGGCTCCTCCATCATCACCATCCAGCGCGACAGTAGGTGCCAAATGCTCGCCCCGCGGTCCCTCCCCCGTCCACTGACGTCTTGCTCGCCGTACAGTTATTCTCAACAACATCCGCCATGCCGGAGGCCCCGAGGTGAGTGTGGCTCTCCCTCTGAAGGTTAACAGCGCTAATAGCTGCTCCCCTGTGCAGTGGAAAGTCCTGGTGGTGGACGAGACCAGCCGGAAACTGATCAATGGCGCCGTCAATGAGGAGGAAATCCTCAATTTCAACATCTCCAGTGAGCCGGACTTCCTCCCCATGATGCAAACGTACACCTCTCTCAACTGCCCTCCCCCTAGACATCGAACAGATCGAGCACCGCCGCCCCTCCAACTCCGACATGGACGCGCTTTATATACTGTCCCCGGAGAGCCACGTCGTGGATTGCCTGATGGCCGACTTCGAGGTGGGGCGATACAGGAAGGCATTTTTGGTTTGGACTTCATGTCAGTGTGCTGCCGGCCAACCCGTCGACTTCCGCGGCGTGACTGACGGTGCCTATAGTTCTCGATCCACAACAGCGCACTCGCCTGGACCGATCCCAGATGGCCCGTGATCGCATTGCAGACATCCGCATCATGAACGTCCATTTCTACCCCAGAGAATCGCGCGTCGTGACTTTTCAGGATCCGTGGAGCTTCCCGATTCTGTTCCATCCGAGCTGCAATTCTTTGGTCCCAGGCCACCTCCGAGATCTAGCACAAAAGGCATGGATTTGGCTCAATGTTCCAAAGCGTCTACTAACCGGAGTTGTAGGTCGTATCGCTTTGCGCAAGTCTGGGCGAATATCCTGTGATTCGGTATTATCGGCCGCGAACCCCGACTCACGAAGCTGCTGTTCTATGCTCTCATCTGGCCAAATTCATTCAGAGTGAGCTTGATCAATTTGCACAACATCAACGCGATTTTCCGCCTCCGTCATCGCGCCCTCGAGGAGTTCTCATGGTCGTGGATCGCTCGATGGATGTTTATGCACCTCTTCTCCACGAATTCACATATCAGGCCATGGTACACGATCTTCTGCCGATCAAAGACGGCGATAAGGTCACCTATAAGACCGTTATCAACGAGGGTAGCGCGAATGAGGAAACAAAGGAGATGGAGATCGGCGAGAATGACAAGGTCTGGGTGGACTACCGTCATGTGCACATGAAGGATGTGGTTGAGAGACTGGGCGAGGATTTCCATAAATTTCGACGGGCCCATCCGCAGTTTGCTGAAGAGTCAGTGTGTCTTTTCGCTCTCTTGGAGAAACATTTGCTAATGCGACGCTTGCAGTCAAAACTCAGCGAACGTGAACACGATCAAGGACATGTTGGCAGGACTGACCGAATTTCAAGAAGGCAAGAATGCATACACGCTGCATTTAAACATGGCAGACGAATGCATGAAGCTGTTCCAAGATCGTAAGCTTCTGGAAGTGAGCTCTATCGAGCAGTCATTCGCTACGGGTCTTGATGAGAACTATAAGAAGGCGAAGAATTTAGCAGCGCAGCTTGTCCAATTACTAGATGATGAGTCTGTCCTGCACCCAGACCGACTCCGGCTTCTGCTTCTGTACATCATGTATCGCGGCGGGCTGCTGGGAGGGGATATTCGCAAACTGATGGCGCATGCGCAGCTCCCCGGGCACGACGGGGATGTCATCGCCAACCTGGACCTACTCGGTGTACGAGTGGAGAAACCTCTCCGAGATGAGAAACCTCCGGTGCATCCGCTTTTCAATCGCCGTGCACCACCACCCGATTCGGAAGAGCTCAGTTTGTCGCGGTACGAACTGGGTCTCAAGCAGCTGCTCGAAGAGCAGGTCCAGGGCACATTGGACACTACTGTCTTCCCCTTCACCCGGCCGCACACCGAAGCCGACGGTGGGTTCGCCGCGCAAGAGATGCTCTCGCAGCAGGCATCCCTGCGCAGTGCCAAACCTACCTGGGCGCGCACTCGGACCGCTGAGCAGCCCCGCCAACGCATCATTGTCTTCATGGCCGGCGGAGCTACTTATTCCGAGTCTCGCGCCTGCTATGAAATCTCTCAGAACTACGGTCGCGACGTCTTCCTGGCCACAACACACATGCTGACCCCAGGCTTGTTCATGAGGCAGGTTAGCGACCTTAGCGTCGACAGGCGCCGGCTTGATATCCCCGCGGATCGACCCAAGCCTGCGGCCCCGGCGCATCTCTTCGAGCGCGAAAAGCCCTCGACCCCTACTCCCCCGCCACAGAAGAAGAAGCCAGTGCCTACAAAGCACCTCAACCCTCCCGCACCGCCGGAGGCATTGATGGCCAACATGTCCCTCAATGCAAATGGGTCGGGCAGCACACCACCATCGGGCGGCAAGCCATACAAGAAAGAGAAGGAGAAGAAGGACAAGGAAAAGAAGTACCGATTTTTCAAGTAATGATTCACCAAACTAATCTCTGCTTTTCCGTCTCCCCTTCGGTCCTTTCATTCCCTCCTTCCATCATATGACAGCCTTCCTTCCCTTCATCGCTCGCTGTGTCCATGCTGTTCTCCTTCAGCGCTGCTGTGATACCATTTTACCGCCTATCTTTTTGGTTTTCTACCAGGCCGGTCTTGCACAAGTGGAGGTGCCTTCTTTTTCCTCGGATTGTACCATTAAACAATTCTGGTCTGGTCTTTTGCTTTCTTTGTTTCTGATTCCATCTTGGCGGCATGTATGTATTGAGGCAGAGTGGAGGAGCAGAGATCTGAGCGAAAATCATAGTGAAATAAGTTAAATTGTTGTACTCCAGAGCGTACCAATCGTCTTCTATAAGGGGTATCAAATGTATAAAATATGCAGCAATTCGAACAAGTAATCCAAAATCCATCCTCCACCCCATACTCAGCCCTACCTAAGGCCCTTCACCCAAAAACTTCAACACATCATCACTCTGAAAAAACAGATTCCTCAACCGATCGCCCCTCTTCCGTGCCTCAGCAGCCTGCTTCCGCATCTGTTTAGAATTCAAGCTCTGCACCTTCTTCTTCGGTGGCGACACCGGACGACGATGCACAGGGATCCGATCCCCATCTGCGTCACGGCCCACTCTCACTCCAAGCCCGACAGTGTCGTTCTTCACCTGCCCCTTCAGCGGCTCCCGGATGCCTTCGCGGCCGGGCGCGCCGAGCCCGATTCGGCTGTCTGGGTCCCAGCCATATGTGGAGAGATACCGTAGGCCGGCGCGTGTGCGGTCGAGGTGGGATGGTGGGTGGGAGTGCGTCAGACAGACTTGGTGTGCTAGGGAGGCTTCGTGGGGACGGTGAGTTGATAATGAAGATGATGGGGCTGATGGTGTTTCTGCGGATGACGTAGAGGTGGATAGTGGAAGGTTGCACACTTCACATCGTTGCTCGGTGTCTGTTTCCGTCCCCGGGTCTGTTGGAGGAAGTAGAGGTGGTGGTGGCGGCGGAGCAACAGCTTCCGCAGCTGGAGGTGCAGAGTGCGTTGAACGAGGAGGTAGCAGCGTAATAGAAGCCTCTTCGGTGGGTGTACTCGGCGAAGTAGAAGTCTTCGGTTTCAGCACGATCGACAGGTACTTGTCTGCGATGCTTGTAGCGAACGGAGTGGAGGCTGCTGATGATGATGACGGAACGGTGGTGTTGAGCTCATGCTCGGACGAGCGCACAAACGGCACGCGTTTGCGACGGATGCCAGCGCCGAAGACGCGCTGGTCTTCTAGCGGGAGGAAGTAGTCCTCGTCCTGTTCTTCTTCGTGGGACATGTGGTGCACCGGTGGGTGAGTAAGAGACAAAGAGGAAAGGCGGCGATAAGAAAGAAAGTGACCGATACGATAAGCTAACTCGCACCAAATTCACTAGGCGACATCAACACAACATCTATCTCCCTTTCCACCCTACTAATTCCATCCTCCGCCATGCCCATCCCCCTCATTGTCCAGGGCATCACGGAGGGCTTCTCGTCCATCCCTCATGTATGGACAATCCTCCGCGTCGTGCCGTGGGTGCTGCTGGTGGCTGCGCTGAAGTACTTCTTCGGCGGAGCGCGCAACACCTCCGAGCGGCTGCTGCACTCCAAGGTGGCCATGGTAACGGTAGGACGATAGCCACTCCCCTTCTCAAGGAGCAGCAATATCTGACAGAATATATCTATACAGGGCGGAACATCCGGGATTGGCGCGTCCGTCGTCCAGGAACTAGCCACCCGCGGCGCCCAAGTGATCCTCCTCACGCAGCAACCTCCCTCGGACGTTTTCCTCGTTGAATACATCGAAGACCTGCGCCGCACGACAGGCAACCAGCTCATCTATGCCGAACAAGTCGATCTCGCCGACCTGCATTCCATCCGCACCTTCGCCACCAAATGGATCGATAATGCCCCTCCTCGAAGGCTGGATATGGTGATTCTCTGCGGCGGCACGGCGGTCCCGTCTCGCGCTGCTCGCCAGCAGACTACGGCCAATGCGCTCGACCAGGAATGGCAGATTAATTATCTAGCCAATTTCCATCTTCTCAGCATTCTCTCCCCGGCTCTGCGCGTCCAGCCCGCCCACCGAGACGTGCGGGTCGTCTTCACAACATGTTCAAGCTACATCGGCGCCAAATTTGACCTGGACCTCGTAAGACGAGGCAATTCCATGCCCACTTCTGACATCCCCACCAAGAACAAAAAACAAGGCCAAAAGTCCACCTCGGTCCGGAAGACGAAGGGCATCTACGCTCTTAGCAAACTCTCCCTCATGATCTTCGCCCAGTCCTTCCAGCGCCATCTGAATGCATACAAGCGTCCAGACAGCCTCCCACCCTGCACGCGTGTCCTCGTCGTCGACCCAGGCCTGTCCCGCACACCGGGCATGCGCCGCTGGCTGACGGGCGGATCGCTGTGGGGTCTGCTCGCCTATCTGCTAACCTGGCCAGTGTGGTGGCTGGTCCTCAAATCTCCACAGCAGGGTGCACAGAGCGTCCTGTACGCTGCGATGGAGGAGAAATACTCGCGCGGCGAGGGCGGGTGGATGGTGAAAGAGTGTCGCGAGGTAGATCTCGCGCGGAAAGATGTAAAGGACGACGATCTGGGCAAACGGCTGTGGGAGTTTAGCGAAAAGCAGGTCGAGGAGGCGGAGAAAGAGGCTGCTGTTAAGAGGGCGCTGGAGAAGAAGGAGAAGGAAACGGAGGCGGAGAAACAATCTCGCAAGGAGACTGCGTCTGAGAAGAAGCAGACTGCTGGGTCAAGGCGGAGTCGGCGGAATCAGTCTTGATGATAGGTATTTTGGGTTTAGAAAGAAACAGATAGACAATAACGGGAGTATACGGTTAAAAGAGATTCGTTTCATGCTATCAATCAATCAATCTACTGACTATCCAAGCTTTTCTACATCCACAAGCTTCGTGCGCACACACACTCTCTTCCTCTGTATCCAATCTAGCCCAATTTTTATCTCCCTTTCAAGGAAAATCTACTTCTTCAGCTGCGCCAACAGCTCAGCGGGCGGCTGCTGGCGATAACCCTGGGGGTTATTCTCCGTCCAGCGCCAGAGATCCTCACAAGCTTGCTCGAGGGTACGCTCAGCCTTCCAGCCGAGCTCGGTGTTTGCGCGGGTCGGGTTGGCAGTGAGGTTGAGGACGTCACCAGCGCGGCGGGGGGCCACCTCGTAGGGTAGGTCGCGGCCGACAGCGGCTGAGAAGGCGCGGATCATCTCGTAGACGGTGCTACCCTTGCCCGTGCCTAGGTTCCAGGCGCGCACGCCGGGGTTGTTGGCGCGCAGGTAGTTCAGGGCTTTCAGGTGGCCATTCGACAGGTCGAGGATGTGGATGTAGTCACGGATAGCTGTGCCGTCGTGAGAGGCGTAGTCTGGAAGAACAGTTAGAAATTGAGAGAAGGGAGGAGGGTTAATGAGATTTGGGGAAGCGTACCATCGCCAAACACCATCAGCTTCTCGCGTTTGCCCGTGGCGACCTGCGCCAGCAGCGGGAGCAGGTTGTACGGGACGCCCTGGGGGTCCTCGCCCATGATGCCGGAGGGGTGAGCGCCGGCGGGGTTGAAGTAGCGCAGGAGAGCACCGTTCCACTTCTTAGCCTCGGCGGTGTTGCCAGCCTTGGTGGCATTGTTGCGCTGGGCGTTGATCACGTCGGTGATGGCGGTCTCGACGGCGAACTTGGTGTTGCCGTAGGGGTTTGTCGGACCAAGCGGGCACTCTTCAGGGATGGGGATCATGTTGGGGAAGCGGGTGGCATCACCGTAGACGGTGGCGGAGCTGGAGAAGACGATGTTGTAAACATTGTGCTTGACCATGGCGCGGAGGAGGTTGATGGTGCCGTAGACGTTGACCTGGTAGTAGTCGAGGGGCTTCTCGCCGGACTCGCCGACAGCCTTGAGCGCAGCGAAGTGGATGACACTGTCGATGTCCGGGTGGGCCTCGAAGACCTTGTCGAAGGCCTTCTCGTCGGTGACGTCGAGCTGGGCGAACTCGGCCTTTTTGCCGCTGATCTGCTCGATGCGGTTCAGGGCCTCGGCGGACGAGTTATACAGGTTGTCGGCGACGACAACCTTGTAGCCGGCCTCGAGGAGGGCGAGGGTGGTGAACGAGCCGATGTAGCCCGTTCCACTGCGGCAGGAGTCAGTTGGGATCGCAATGCCAGAGTGGGGGAGGGCGCATACCCGGTGACTAGAACCGAACCAGTAGGCATGATGTGTAGATGGTTGTTCAATTGAGTAATTCAATTGGTTTGGAGGAGAATGTAGCAGGGGGATGGAAGAGCGAAAGAAGAAGAGAAGAGGAAGAAGAGGGAGAGGGAAGAGGGAGAGAGAGCGAGAGAGTGTGGCCAGCGTGGAGGGGCAACCTAGGTGGGGGGAGGAAGGCCCGCCGATCAACAAGTTAATTCTCTTCACTACCGCTACAGTACTAGTTAACTATGGCGAATCGCTCACTAGTCTAACTCTAGTAGCCTCCAGACTCGTCAGCGTCCCCATAAGATCATCCTAGCGGTGTGCTGCAAACGGGCACATGGTGTTATTCTTAGATTCGTTACATCCAAGGATCTCCGTTTCAGGCCGGGCCCACCGTGCCAGGGGTCCATCGTGCCAGGGTGACCGGATAATATAATATTGCAGTTGATTTCAGGAACAGTAAGACAAAAAAAAAAGCTATTCATACAGTTAGGGAAAAGCAATGGCATGCACCACCATGTCTCGCAGCGAAAGAACAATTGGTATTGGCAGAAAATAAACAAAAATATGCTCTGGGTCAAGGGCCAATAAATAACAGGCCGTATCGGAATTTTAGTGTACTGGCATTCTCAGCCAGTACTTGGAGTTTGGCTGGCTCATCCGATTTATTGTCTGAGCATGGATGGCGTAGATGTGAAATCGCCGGTATAAGAGACGGGGCCATATTAGCAAGGGCCACCGCTGGATAGACATATACTGTTGTTCTGCAGTACAGACAGGGGAGTCGGTCGCGCACGGAGGGCACTCGGACAACCTCGGGGGACATTGGCCAAGCAGCGGTCGGCATACCGATCGGCGAGCATACAACCTGCAGATCCCCCAGCCGAACGCAGGAACCCTGGAGACAAGATTCAAATCATACAAGCGGTCTAACCAAGAAGTTCGACATCCAAACCGATGGCGCGCATGAAGAGGTTGACGTTGCCCAACCGCTGGCTGGCCATGTCGGCCGGGAGAGTCTTGCTGTAAGCCACCGTTTCCATCACGCGGTCCCTGGGAATCAATAGTTAGAAACAAGCACATAGGTAAAGATGGGAGTATCACTCACTTGACAGCAATCACCAAGCGTTGCTGTTGCTCGGGACTGGCACCGATGCCGACGGCGGCTAGGAATTGCCACACGTACATGTCGTCGCCCGAGTTGATCGATCCGGGGAAAATCTCAATAAGGACAGGCTCCAACGTATCAAACAAGACATTGAACTTCTCCACCCACTGCTGCCAGTCGCGCTCCGCGGCCTGACCAGCCTCCTTGACGATCTCAGCACGACTGAGCAGCATGGTGAGGATCCCAAGGCCGACCTTGGTCCGGGCCACCGACTGAAGATGAGTCTGAGCAATCACCAGTCCCAGCAGGCCAATGATGATGTTGAATGGCGCCTCGTTCACGTAGCCCAGCAAGCTCGGCATGACGGCCAGCGAGAACAGGTCGATCGCTTCGCGCACAGCCAGGGATGGCTGCGCTTCACCGGGGGTCGGCTGTGCAAGACGCACCACGTCTAAACTGTCCAGGTGCACCACAATCATCGTCAGGATAGTGACCCGCTGTTCCTGGTCGATGTGGCGGAAGATGCGAGGGATGGCCTTCTTTCCCTTAGGATAGGACAGGAGTGCAATGAAAGGGTGGGGCGTTGTCGAGTTGGGAACAATTGGCTCCATCACCTTGAGAGATCGCCAGAGTTTCTGGTTCAGCGTGTGGACCTTTTGCCGCCATTCCAAGTGCTCCTGGATTGCCTCCGGGTCATTCTCATCTGGGGGTGGGGGCATGGTGCGCTCCATGTCTTCCATTGCCATCAGGGCGCTGTAGACAGCTTCGAGATTTGTCAGGATCGATTTACGATCACTGAGACTCAAATCGGACTGTATCTTCCTCGCCGGCTTGGCACCCTCCGAGCTGTCGGGCCGTTTGATGTTGAGTATTGCCTTCGGCGCCTTCGCATTGCTGAACGAGATCTTGCCCAAGCTGCCCTCAATAATGAGCTGCTTGTTCTTGGGCTTCGCCTTGGCCGCCTCAACGGCACGCTGCACCTGCTGCTGCATCCGCTGCATGTGGTTGTCAGCACTTTGTAGGGCCCGTCGACCATGCCCAAATCGGGCACCGGTCTGGAGAAGGTACGTCTGTGCGAAATGACCAAGAGGTTGGTGGGGATGTTGACGCGGTGCACCACGGATTTGGCTGTAGACCTGATAGTAGAAGTCTTCTGTGAGAACGGACTCTAGGTCCGAGTCCGTCACGTTACCGGCCGCCGCCACCAATTGCTGCAACTGGATGCGGGTGATGAAGTTCTTGTCCTGCGGTGTCATTAGGCCGTTGCCTTTGGACAAGAGAAAGATCTTGTGGTTGCGTTTCGCCCGCTTGGCGTCCTCCACCAGATAGGCATTGCGTTGGTCTTCCGTCAGGTGCATTAGCTGCTGAGGGTTGGTGATCACCGGCATCCCATTATTGCCCGGTCCTCGTGCCATCGGCGGCATTTGCTGCTGTCTCTGGCCTTGAGGCGGGCCTGCTTGCCGTTGCGGGCCCGAGGGTGGCATGTTCTGCGGCGGAAGGTTGGCATTCTGTAGGAGATGCAGTGGCACTCCGGGCGGAGGATGTCCAGGCCCAGGCCACAGTTCTGAGACACCCGGAGGCGGAGGTGGCATGTGCGGTGGGAGCACGCCTTTCTCAAGCTGAGCCATAAGCTCTGGAGGCATCGGAGGAAAGCCTTCGGGCAGGTGCTGCGGCGGTGGATGCGGGTACGACGGCTCGGGTACGGGCTGAGGCAGCGAGTGCATTGCTGGCATCGGCGCCGCTTGCGGGGCCAGCCTACGCATCTGAGCCTCCACTTCCTCCAGACTCATCATCTTTCGATTCGGGGCCTGGGTGGGAACCGGCTCCGGTTTCTTCTGCGATGTGCCCCAGACGCTCGACTTGGCTTGCAGATCCGGAATGAAGCCCGGGTCGGAGTATTTTTCATACCCTGAGCGCTTATTGGAGGGGGTGCCGCGTGAGCCGTCGCTGTCTGGGGGGGATTTCCAGGAGCCTGGGCTGGAGGTGCCGCGCGAGCCAGCTGGGGGTGTTGCAAGCTGTACCGAACCTGCTCCTCCCCAATGGCATCGGACACCTGGGCAGTCCTGCCAAAGAAGTCGAAATCCTTGCCGACGGCCCTGCTCTCTCCACCACCGAAAGTGTCGTCGTTGAAGGCATCCTGATCGTTGTCGAGCTGATCTCCGAGGCCATCGTAGGTATCCTCAAAATCGATCCTGGGCCAGTGTTAGTCCAAATTTTCAAACACCCTAGAGGGATCTCTCACGCATCATCGTCCTCGTCCGCGTTGGCCGTCGCACGAGCGATATCCGCGAAGGGATCGGAGTTCTCGAAAAACCCCGCGAGGGCCCAGGATCGCGGTCGCGGTCCCTGGGCAGGGTGGTGTCGAAGCCAAAAAAGGACATGGCCTCGGCTGGGGGGTGGGAGGGATGAAGGAGTGGGTTACGGTGGTGGTGAATGATGGTGGTGGGGAAGAGAAGAGAAGGAGAGTTGGTTGGCTCAGGCTCGGCAGTTTGGTGGCCTCAGGCAAGAACGGTGCCAAGCGACAATGGCAGAAGCAAGACCCAAGTGGCTTCATCCACCATACGATGTAGGTCCATTCCTGTCATGGGATCATATAGATTGACGATTGATGTGATCCTGTTGGCCTAGGTATGATATATATATGTATATATCTATTGATATGGATTTTCGTCCTTTCCTCGTCCCATTTCCCGCCGTGCAGGGTGGCAGTGGATGATGTGGTCTATACCTCCACCCCCGACCGACCAGGTCTGGACAAAATAGCCTTGCGGGAGAAATCACCTTCCTAGATCTGCCTCATCAAACCTCGGAGCTTCCCTGTGGTGTCATCCGGTAGCCGATGGTACCATTATGGTTCGGCCTAGGATCAATGGCCTGTCTGGCATGTCTCGCAAGTGAAACAGGAGGCTGAAAAGCGGTCGTCGTGTGGTATTGCGCGGCCTTTGCGCGCACATTGGTTCCACTACATCCTACATACTCCCTCCTCTTCTTCCTTCCTCAAATATTTTGGCTCCTGTGCTCTTCCCATGTCTCGCTCCTGAAGTATTGCTCTCTACTGGACCGGCCCGGATTCGACCCTGCCTGCCTCGTGCAAACAACGGGGCTGGTTCTTTGCCACCTTCCTCCACCGCGGTGTCCATTGATCGACTGCGCCCGTGTCGATTGCATCATTCCTTTTGAACTCGACCTCAGGTGTTCTCTTCTTCCATCTGTTCTATCCTCCATCCATCATGTCTGGTTCCGCTCGATATGCGCGGTACCTGCTGTTCGCGGCCGTGGTAAGTTACCTCGTGATGGACGCCTGCCTAGTGGCGATCAACACATCGAACTAACCGTGCAACACCATTTTAGGGATTAGCCGTCTTCTTCTTCGTCTCAAGATCCTCCATCCCCATCCCCAATACCTCCGCGCTTCCCAAGCTGAGCCGCCCCGCCCAACACGACACAGCTCCGCCCCCTTCGCAACAACCCACCAAGCCAAGCTACGGCCCGATCAGCGCTGGCGCACCGTCGGCCGCCCGCGTGAATGCGACCTTTGTGACCCTGGCTCGCAACGCCGATCTGTGGGATCTCGTCAGGTCCATTCGATCGGTGGAAGATCGTTTCAACCGCAACTACCACTACGACTGGGTGTTCCTGAACGACGTGGACTTTGATGACGAGTTCAAGACGCTCACCACCGCGCTGGTGTCCGGCACGGCCCACTATGGCAAGATCCCCAAAGAACACTGGTCGTACCCAGATTTCATCGACCAGAAAAAGGCCCAGGAGGCACGCGAGGAGATGGGCCGCAAGAAGATCATCTACGGCGACTCGGAGAGCTACCGCCACATGTGCCGCTATGAATCGGGGTTCTTCTTCCGCCACGAGTTGATGCAACAGTATGAGTTCTACTGGCGTGTCGAGCCCAGCATCGAGCTCTTCTGTGATCTCCCCTTTGACCCCTTCCGGTTTATGAAGGAGAACGACAAGAAGTACAGCTTCGTCATCAGTCTGCAGGAGTACATGGAGACCATCCCCACTCTGTGGGATAGTGTCCGGAAGTTTATGACAGAGCACCCGGAACACATTGCGGAAGGAAACGCGCTGAAATTCGTGAGCGATGATGGCGGCGCCACCTTCAACAGGTGCCACTTCGTAAGTGATATTCGGTACTGTGTCGACCGACTTGCTGACTTTGCCTAGTGGTCCAACTTTGAAATCGGCAGCCTGGATTGGCTGCGAGGCAAGGAGTACATGGACTTCTTCGAGTTGCTGGATAAAGAAGGCGGCTTTTTCTACGAGCGTTGGGGCGATGCACCCGTTCACTCCATTGCCGCCAGTCTGCTGCTCAAGAAGGAGCAGATCCACTTCTTCGACGAGATCGCCTACTTCCATGTCCCATTCACACATTGCCCAACCACCGAGTCAATGAGGCTGGATTTGAGATGCACTTGTAAAGCAAGCGACAACTTTGACTGGAGAGGATTTTCCTGTCAGTGACATCTGCTGTCTTGTTGGTTATTATTTCACGCAGCTAACATGCTATGTAGGCACCTCCCGCTGGTTCGAGATCAACAACATGCCGAAACCACCCGGCGCGGAAGATCAAGGTTGACTCCTTGCCGTAGGCCGTGTGGTGTTGGCCCTCCTGCTGATCGGCGCCGTTATCCTCGCCATCAGCCGCAACGCGCGCGCTCGTTCGCTGCTCTGGGTTCAAACCTGCATGGCCTACGCGGCTGGTCTAGTCCACCGCTTTCGCAATCGTCGTGCAAACCGCTGGACGAGAGTCAATTCCCATCCAGAACCAAAATAGAAAACCAGGGACGCAGGTCTCGGCCGTGCCGAGACCTTGATTATTGGCCCTTTTTCGATTCCTTTACCGGTGCATCAAAAATCCCAGGTTCAAACGTGCTGCACCTTTTTTTTCCCTTCAGACACGCTTCTTCGATGTCTGCCATGTTTTATTATCTACGCTCGTCGCGTTTCTAATGGCGTTTGATACTCTTTTGTGTATTTGGTTGCATGGGTTAACATACGTCCGGAGTCGGCAGGGTCTTCTAGAGTTCTATTTCCAAAAATGTTACCTTTTTAGTAATGAATGCAATACATTTGCCAAGTCTAGTAGAACTTTATACCCAGAGTAGGTGTGTATAATGATACATTTGTCTACAGAAAAAAAAATGCCCAAGTACAAAAGAGAAGAGATGGCTCGATATAGCCATAATACATATATCACGAGGAGGACCCAAGTAATCCAAGTCTTTCGTTATTCCCTGGCACCGTCCAACACCACACCTCCAGTCGTCGGCTGAGAGCCCGAATTCCAACGACCACCACTCCTACCATACCACACAATCAACGCAGAAAAGCAGGAGTCATCTTCAACAAATCCCCTTAATTGGTCTTGGGTTTCTTGGTCCCGTACTTTGAACGACTCGTCATCCTACTGCCGACACCACCCTAAACAAAGACATGTCAGCTGGGAACATATAGAAACCCTGGAAACCCAAAGAAAGGAAAAATAAGGGACATACCAGGTCCATGCCGCCGCGAACCAGAGTATACTTCACACCGGGACAATCCTGGGCTCTCCCACCGCGGACCAGAACAACGCTGTGCTGCTGGATGTTGTGACCTTGAAATGAAATCCCAAATTAGCTTCTTAAAACTTTCACTCGAATCTCCATACTGAACACCCAATTCCTTATTCTATTCTGGAGGAGGGAGGAGATGGGAGGAGGAGAGGATGAATATAATTCATACCTTCACCAGGAATATAAGCCGTAACGACCTTCCCCGAGCTCAAACGCACACGCGCCGTCTTGCGCTCCCCAGAGTTAGGCTTCTTGGGCTTCGTGATGCCAGTCTTCAGACACACTCCTTTCAGCTCCGGGTGGCCCTTCAGCGCAGGAGAGCAGCCCCGGCGCGCTCGCTGGCCCGTCCGGCAGCCGCGGCGCACCTGGTTGTAGGTTGCGCGCGCAATTGGGGAGGAGGTGAATGTGCGGCGGGTTGAGAGGGTCAGGAGGAGCGCGGCTTGGGTGCGCAGCGTTGGTTGGAAGGTGAAGCGCGCTGGGATCTGGGGGGTGGTGGCTGTGGTTGGCCGGCGGAAGGCAGATGTGGTGGTTGTGCTGAGGGTGCGGAGGGGCGTGGGTGATGTTGTTGGTCGCTGGATCATCGTCCGCAGGGCCCGGAGGGCCAGGGGCGAGATTAATTGGGGCATTGTGGTGGTGGTGACGGTGCTGCTGCGACTGGGGAAAGATTCGAGATTCATCGGGGCGGAATAATTGGCATCGTGTCACGTGAGCGAGCTACGTCTTTAGAGTGCGTGGGCTGCCGGAGAAGCTGGACGCGCGCTGCTTCGTCTGCCTGAGCCATCGTCAGCACCAGCTACTACTTACTGTCTTCCCACCCCCATCACTTTGCTCCGTCGTCCTTCCATCTCCTATAGGGGCTACACCGAGCTTCAATACCTGAACGTCATCTACCGGATCATCGAATTAAGCCCTCAGAACAACCCAGCTCCTCCCCTACCGCCATCATGGTAAGTGAACAAGCTCCCAACCAACCCCGACATCAACCCGAATCATGCGATCCTACAATTCAAGCACACACCCCCGTCTCGCTGCTCTTCTCACCCACTACCCTCCCCATAACATAAACCACTAACTAATCAACCTCCCAGTCCCTCCTCATCGCCCCCGAACCCGCCCACCGCAACGCAACCAGCAACACGACAACCCGGCTCGCAGGCCCGGACGTCGCACCACGCCCATCAAAGGGCGCCCCCTCGGCCCCTGGTCTGCCAGACACACTACGCAACAAGATAACCCTCCCAGCAACTGAGCACGCCTCCTCGACCTCGTCAGGCCACACCACCGCCTCCTCGACGCACCCGCTAGAAGCCCGCCTGCTCGCCTGGCGGGCAACGCAGGACGCCCTGAAGATGGAGGGTCTGCGACGGGCGTACGGCATTGCCGAGCCTGTGCGCCGCGGCATGGAGCTGAAGATCGTACGTGATAGCACTTTCCGCCCTGCTGTGCTGGGCGGGTGTCGGGGTGGTAATGTCCATGAGGATATTCTGGTTCTGGGGGGAAGGGATGCGGATGTTGCCTGGGAGGATGTCTTTCCCGGGGATGAGATGCGGGAGCCGCCTGCTTTCCATGATGAGATGGAGAAGCGCTTGAGGATGGATTATTGATTGTCGTGGGATGTATTTCTTAGACCATGACCCTGTTGCCTTAGGTTTGATCTGTTGAATGTGTTCAATTAGTTTCCTTCCTTCCTTATTTTTTCTTCCGTTTTGCTTCTATTCAACTCGTAAGCCAGGTAGATGGTGTGGATGAGAGGGATACCTCTCTGGCGACTTCACTCAGGCGTTGCAACTCCTATCAAGGTCATGATCAATTCTGGAACCCTCGAATTGGCATGTTACAGCAGACGTGGCTGATGCTTGCCTCAATTACAGATTGACTAGTATAATCTGTCCGACAAGTATCACTCGCCAGCTCCATCATCTTCAGCAAAACCATCACCCAAGTTGCCATTATCAGAAGCAGCAGAGACCACAGACTGGCACACCGCTGAAGGGATATATTTCATGTCACGAACAATGAATGGTGTCATTCCTTTACTCGCAGAAATTGCAGGATTCTCTTCCATCTGACCGGCAGTATCAAATCCCATACGTGGTCCAGGGAACACCTAACTACAAAAGATATCTACCATCTACCGCAAAAGCAACCGAAAAGAATACTGTCAAAGGAGGGCAAGGTTTGTAGATACACTGATTCAACACAGGCCATATAATTGATAAGGAGAATGATGCTGGAAAGGATTGGATGGGCGGCGGGGGGTATATAATATAGAAGGGAGGGGGGGAAAGGAAGGTCGGGGAGACAGTAAGAATGGCGGGAGGGAGAGGATGCAACCCAAAAAAAGTAAGAAAATAAGACAAAAGGTCGAAAGCATCCGGGCAGAGCAGTAATGATGAGAATCGTGTCCCATGTATAGACAAGTGTGGATGGAAGCTGATGCGCGCAGACGAGACAAAAGTAGAACTGAACAAACAAGACAGTCATCATATCGATAGATGCAAGGGAAGGCCCAAAAAAAGGACAATAACAAGAAATAGCAGATAGCCAGGCAGACGAAAATAATCCAAACGCCGCTTCCGGAGCGCTCATGCTCAGCTGTAGCTAAGCTCGATCAGGTTGATATCGGATCCTGCATCCAGGCAGGATGGGACTGTAGCCGCAAAGCAATAAAAAGTAGAATCGGGGAAGAAGGTGACAAAAGGTGAAAGAAGATCGAGGAGCCTTAGTGTTGGGGTTCAGGAGGTGAGTCCGCGGAAATCGCTCATAGAATTACACAGCGGCATCCAGGGCTGCGTTCGCTGGCGTCGCGCTCCCGGCTGTACTGTGCCTTGGCTCCTTTGGCGTCCTCTTCTTCGACCATCTCCTGCGGCTTCACAGTCATATGGACGACATTGGGTGCGTCCCGGCTGAACTTCAAGTCTGCGCAATTTGTTAGCCCAACCTCATTGCTTACACCATAACGAACATACCGGCCAAAGGTGACTTGTCATCCAGCAGCTTTCCAAACGAGATCAATCGAATGAAACTTGGTGACGAAGGTCGGGTTTCCCAATCTAACAGCAGTCGTCAGCATATCCTTCACTATCGTTAACCTGCTTGATGTTCCAGCTTACCAGATCGCCACTCTCGCCAGATCAATTCCTTCAATGTGTAGACGCTCATAGCGAACGGATCGTAGTTCTCGACATTGACGGAGCGCTTCCGCAAGTACTTCCCATCGATTGTGAACGGGTGGCGCGAGCCCGTGGTCAACAGCAGGGTAATCGACAGCGACGGGCCGGCATCCTCCTCGACCTCCTTCGCTTCCTCGACATCATCCGAGGGATCGGACGATAGGTCTACAGCAGGCTTGGGTTCTTGAACATCCATTGAGGGTGCATTGGAGGGTTGGGGAACATCAGCGTTGGCGGGGGAAGTCGAGATGGTCTGGGTTGTGGTCGTTGCTGTCACGGGGGCGACGCTTTCGCCACCGGCTGAGGGGTGGTTCGCGGCAGCCGCGTCGCCTGGTTGAGCGTTTTCGTCGGCTTGGATGGTCGAGGCGGGAGTGTCAGCGACCGGGTCTGATGTGGCCGGAACAGATGCAGATGTGCCTTGCGTCGGTGGAGCTTGCGGCTGCAATGCCTGCGGAGAAGTGGTCGGCCCCAGCTGATGCTCGTCGCTGGGGTTGGCGGACACCCCGGACTCTGGGTGATCGCTGGAAGACATGGCGGGATGCCCCTGGATCACTAGTTGACAATTTTCCCTGGGGAGGAAAATGGGAAGGGAGAAATGTCAACGGGGGATGTGTGGTAGGGGATGAGTGAGCGAATAATGAATGAGGTGGAGAGGAAGATGTGGTCGGTTCGGTCGGCTGGATCCAGACTGTGACCAGCGGGAAGAATGAATGGGTGTGACAGACTTGGGCCCGGTGGAGCACACGGTGGAGAGGTTCTGTACAGAAATAGAAGTGTGATGATGGTGGCCAAGTACAATCACCAAACGAAGGACTTGGAGAGAGGGAAAGAGGAAGAGGAAAAGAGAGAGAGAGAGAAAGTGGTCGGGGGAGGAGACACAGTCGGGCGAGACACGGGCGGCGGACAAAGACTGACTGAACCACATCAAACAGTAGTAATACTGAACTGCCTAGGACGAACTAATCACTACGAAAGAAGGCTAGGAGTCTCAAACATTATTATTATTTACCTCATACTACCGTTTTATTCCCCTTCTTAAATCTGGGGAAACACTAGAGGGGGCCAAGACACCGGCTGCATATACCAAGCTTACTGACACTGGTTTCAATGCTGCTCACTCACGCTAATCTCATTCGCCCCGGAGCCCTCCAAACACAACGGCCTGTGCCCCGGGCGTCTCGAGTTCTACTGCTCCGGCCCAGTCCGGCATGCGCGATAAACAACCACCTGGAGGGGCTTGGATGCAGGAGGGCATAGGAAAATAAGAAAAAAGATGTAGGCAATGGGGTATTGTTAAGGAATATAGAGAGAAACCCACAAGCTCACACCCGAGACACGGCGTTTGCGTGCATGTTGCCTGCTGCAGGTTGCCCGACGAAACACACTGTCGGCGTTCGAGGGTCTAGAGCCAGCCGGCGTATTGATCCAGCACTTCGTTCTTCACTCCTTCAGACCCGTGCCGCACGCCCAGCAGGCGCACATGGCCAATCTTCCCGCCAAAATCGTCTTCTACCGAGCTCGTCCAATTCGTCAAGCTCTCATTGAGCCGGGAGATCACCGCGGGATCGTCCCGGATCAGCAGCGCAATGGCATCGTAGCCGCCAGCACCAGGCACCACGCCGCCGACAACACCGTCAATCTCCGAGATGGCGTCGAGTAGTTCCGTCTGCACACGCGGCTCGATGGGGACGCCCGTCAGGCGGGTCATCGTGCGGATGTGGTGTCGCGTACGGTGGACATAGGAACGGACCTCGGAGAAATCGCCGTCGGGGTTGGCGTCAGGATGCTGGGCCAGATGCTTCAGCTCCTGCCGGAGACACTCGTTGTTCTTCTGGAGGCTGGCCCAAAGCACGTCGGCTTCGCTCCGATTGTTCTTCCGCCACTCCAGGACCTTCTTGACCATCGTAGGTGTCTGCGAGCCACATTCAACGTCGCACAGAACCATCTGCAGCCCGCGCGGGAGCTGCATCCCAAAATCCACACACTCGGTGTCCCAGGGATGTTGTGGGTCGGCATCCTCGACTACTGCAAAGAGCCGCTCCTCGAACCCTGCAGAGCCCACATCGCCAACCGCCTCCAGAATCGCGGGCGAAAACCGTCGGTAGAGACACGACCCGTACACGGCAGCGGCCACATCGAATCCTGATCCCACCTTGCCCTGGGCCGCGCAGTGTGCCGCTTGTGCCAGGTTATGGAGCTTGTCGCGACCCGCGCCGAGGTCGTCTGCGTGCATGGTGCGATGGATGACCAGAGCCGAGACGAACGCAGTCACCAGCGCAGCCGACGAGCCCAATCCAGTCTTATGAGCATCCTGTAGAGGAACACCGAAGTTGGCAAATCGTCCCCCGCGCGCTCGGGATGCGGGGCCCTTGGAAGCAGCCGTCTCAGAGTAGTAGTCGTTGTCGGCGAGGATGGTGATTATGAGCGATCCAAAGTCCTTGGAGTTGGCGACGTAGCTGATGTAGGTCAAAGCGTAACTTAACGAGGTCTCGACGAAGGGATTCCGGGGTCTGCAATGTCATCTCCGATTAGTTTATGCACACAACAACAAAAATCCCCCGAGGTCGCATACCCTTCGCCTTTCTGGACCGCCTTAATTCCCCCACCATTTTCACAGCGCTGTATACCATATTCCCACACTGCGTCCACGAATTGTGGGGAGCGCACAATGACAGTATCCTCTGCCTCCTGAGCGCCGGCCTCTGGTCGGGTGTAATTTGGCGAGGCGGGGTCTCGGTGGTGACCCTTCCTCAACTGCTGGACGATGACATGGATGCGTGCGTCAAGTGCAAAAACGGTACCGGTGTAGCTACGATCGAGGACGAGGTAGCCACCGGTGAGAAGGACCTTTCCAGGGGCGGACAATGCCGTCACCGATCGAAAGGGGGTCATTGAAATTGGGGGAGCTGAGCTGATGCCCCGCACTCACTCACGACGACCAGCTGGGGATGCGGAAGTTGGGTCGCTTGCGCTTTTAAGAGTCAAGTCACTTTGAATGGTGAATACCCCCTTCCAAACGAACAGAGGTTGGAAGAGGAAAGGGAAGAACGTGAGGGTGGTGGGGTGGATGTGGAGTGCAAATTGGTTGATGTACACAACGGCAAAATATATCGATCTCCCTCGCGCGAGCCTGCCACAGACTGACTGACACCTGGTCATAACCTTATCTAAAATCTTCCAGAGTTGAAATTGAACGAATGGATGCAGTGATTTCCAATGTATTTGCTTATGATATTTTTGATCTTTAGCTGTCAGTAGTGCCTGGGTCGCAGTGGCTTTTTTATCTCGCAAACAAAAACATAGCCGCTGGATCGGGTGGCTGCGTCAAGCTGTACAACCCCCATCGAAACACAGCCGGACAGAACAAGAAGTGAAAAGAACAGAAAAACCAAAATCAAATGGTATGCTGCATGGCTTGGTATTGACAATGAAATCCTCCGCAACGCCATGAGAAAACACACGAAAACACTTGTAACACTGCTTGCCAACAACCTCAAAAAGATCTTCAGAAACCGTTTCAGGGGGAAAAAACCGAAAAAACCCGAAAAAAAAAATAAAAAATTAGAAAAGCAGCCGGAAACTCCCAAAACCATCTAATGCGGTGATTACTGTACAGGGTATTTGCCTTGATCGTTCAATAAGTCCTGGTGCGACGAGGCGAGAGGGAAAGCGGCGGCAAAAGTTCGATCCAGACTTTGCGATCTTGCTCAGCTCAATCCGGGGAATGGCCAGAACAACTCTATGATTCAGCCAAGCGATCGGAGTTTATCTGCTACTCATCGCCGGATCGATCGCGCACCCACATCTTTCCCGTGGGACCTGTCGGGAAAAATAATACTCCGATTCTATACTCCCCGGGGCTTCTGCGCAATGATGCTGTAGCTGGTAGTAGCTAGACGCATGTTATCCATCTTGACGAAAGCCTGTCCGTCCAGACATAGCCGGTTGATCAGTGTCTTGAAGTGGCGGGGCAGGACGTGGAGTTTGACGAGGCCGAGGATGACCTGGCGAAGGGTGCGAAAGTAGACATCAACGGTGTCAATCAGCGGGGCCTGCAGGCCGTCGATGCTGGCGTTTTCCGAACGCACGATCTCAAACCCAGAGTCGGTGAGCGCCTTCTCCAGGCTCTCTTGGGTTGGGGTGCCGACGGCGCCGATCAGAGGCTTGACGCGGCGCATGAGCTCGGCGTGCTCTGGGTTCTCTGGCTCGTAGGCCGGCAGGCTGATCCAGTCGAGCAGTGAGATGCGCGCACCGGGCTTGACTACTCGGAAGACCTCGCGGAAGAGTGCAGGGATATCCTTGCATAGACTTAGGGCTTGGATCTGGTAGAAGGCATTGAAGCTCTCGTCGGCAAAGGGTAGCGGCAGACGGTTGAAATCTTGGGTGATAAAATTGTTCTGCAGACCGCGCTCTTCGTTGAAGGTCTTGGCCTGGGCGACTTGGTTGGGGTCGATGTTGAGGCCGGTGACATGCGCTCCGGTATACTGCGCCATGTGAGCGGCCACCCGACCACGGCCACAACCCAGATCTAGCACCTTATCTCCGGCGGTCAAGGCGACGTCATGCGCAATTGATCGCTCGTACAGAATTTGGTTCTCCAGAACGGTGGCCTTACGGCTCATCCATGGCGGGATGTACTATCCCAGGTTAGTGGAAATGGTTTAGAGATTTAAGCGATTCGCTCACCATTTTCTCAACATCACCCAGAGCACAGAGGTGATTCAACACCCCATAGTAAGATTTAAGACAGTCTCCCACAATCTCTTGATAGTCAGGGCCCAGTTCCTTTTGCATCTGCTGCTCATTGGACCAGTCGAGGTTGTAGATGACGTATGATGCCATGAAGTCATCTACTTCTTTAGGTGTCAGGTTGGCCAGGTAGCGGAATGACGTCCAGAAAGACTTCCACCGCTTCGGTGACGCGGACTTGTCGAGAACCTTTGCATGCTTTCCCAGAGCGAAGCCGGTCACCATCAGCTTGTGCTTCTCTTGCGCGATCTCGTCCAACGAGCTATCGCTTTCGGAGCCACGCTCGCTCCGCCCAGGATGGCGCGGTGTCTCCAACAACGTTTGTGACACCATGATGAAGCTTTGTACAGGATATACCGTATATTTTATGGGCGAACAAAATGAAGAGTGTTAGTATGTATGGAGGAGTAGCGTTGTAAGAGGAAGACGCCGGTGTACTTTATTTGGCTTGAGCTCGCTCAAAGTTAGTTATAGACCGGGCCCCGGTACCATTTATAAGCAATCGCGAAATATCTCCGCCGAGTCAAGAGAAAAATCCATTCGCCAAGACTGATGTCGCCGTGAGTGTGGATTGTCACCAGACCTGGAAGCTTGTTCCCGTCCCGGGTACTCCGGCAGTGGCTTAAGCCCGAACCAAGCATTAACCTTCCGGAATACCCATATAATTTCTAATCAGTAGTCCTATTTGCCTCTTCCGGTTTCTCCAATTTCCGTTACCCTCCGCGTGAGATTGGGCCTTTGGGCGGTCCTTTGGGCGGTCTTTTGGGCGGTCTACTCATGAGATATGTACTGATAAGTTAACCAGCAGATATGACGCGGGACCGGCACTGTTGAGGAAATGAGCATCGTCATGGGAACGACGATCCAGACCCACTGGGGGCACGTTCGTCGACGATGAATACTCCGTTTAGTATCCATGCTCCCTCAAACGTGGTCAATCGCACATCAACGTGCATTGCATGCCACATGTAAAAGGAGCCCGCGGGCCATTGTGATAACGGATCGCGGGCTCCATTGCGATAACGGAAATTATTTGTTCGGGTTCCTATTAGTTCTCGCGCGCTCCCCGCGCTGCAACATGGTATGCAGGGACTTGACAGGCCGTTTTTGCCTTGTTTGACATCCCGTTCCATGTGGGTTCTGCGGATGAATTCATACTCGGCCACTTGGCACGGGTGTGGTGGCTATACTACGTAGGAAGGGAAGAGCACATGGCACACCGATCCGGGGCTCTACATTGTATTTTGTCTGCATTTTAACCTCGCCAAAAAAAAAAAAAAGAAAAAGAAAAAGAAAAAAATCCAAGTGGGCCCGGGTCGGGTTTTAGTCCGAACTGCCTGTCTACGTCTGTCATGTCTAACTCGGTGACGGGTTGCTTGAATAGTACTGTGTAACAGGACGGAAAAGACCCATTGTATGAGATCCACCATATGATCGTCAGGTCACCGGGCTACAGACCCGGCTAGCAGACCCCTGACCACTATTCCGTATTTCCGTCCGTTTTGATACTCGTTAGGGCAAAATGGGCCGGTGGATCACGTGGGGAGGTCTAAATTGAGCAAGTTGCTCCATTCGCGTAACTTTGCCATCTCTACCGAGTCCGGTCTGGTTAGTGAAGAGGAACGAGAGGAAAGGATTATGTACTGGGTTCTTGGCATTGCTTCTTCTCCGTCCGAAGAACGGCCGGAGGATTACGCTGTATAAACCAGTAATGCAGCGCTTCTGCGGCATTAGATACTCTGTACACTTTCCGCGGATCGAGACTCACGCCTCTTACAGGGGTGCTTTTCTTATTCTTTAGTAGTGAGACAAGCCGTGGCTTGACGCTATGTACTATGTAGGGGTGCTCATGATGCAAGCTACAGCTCGGCATGCGGTGGGGTGAACGCATACTATCATATCTGCTTCTCTTCTAGTTTTTGCTCTACAAATCGACCCAGTCTAAACTAGAAATCAGGCCCAGTATGATTCTAGGTGTTCAAAAGAGTACTGTACAGTAGTGATGAGTACAGCGAGTAACCAGTGGGTCAGATCGTCAACACGAGATATGGATTCTCGGCGATGATGAAATAATGCGGGCTGTCCTTCCCGCTCAGGCATCGCGCAACCAGGTACCAGATCGCGTGTTCTGCGTGACTCATAGCGGCCAGCAGCCCCTCTTGACGTGAGGCTTTCGGCGGAGGGGAATTATTAATGATAGTCCCATCTAGGCTCAGCCCTGCCGATCAAACCCGGGGCCGGAACGGGGCCGGAAGTCGTTTCTGGTTTTAGTCACGGAAGTATTAGGCCAAATCCAGGCAGCGGTGGGAGGTATATGTATGTACAGTCGGCGGCATGCCCCATGGCGGATCGCTCGCGTGACCGTGGGCACTGATCGGACTACAGTACTACTGTATTCGGATTGTGCAAGGATGAAAATCCTGCGCTGGGTGCTCCGAGTCTCGCATGAGCCAAGGACGGAGGGCTGGCTTCCTCCACACATGGAGGAGGGATGGGAGGTAGATCAGATACCATTCACGGTTGAACCAGTCCCTGTTTATTTGGGTGAGCTGGGCGAATGAGAAGGATACCTTCGCGACGCCCTGTTCCCCATGGTCAGCGCCAAGGCCAAAATCGGCTCCCAAGCGACATGGATTTGATCGACGATGGGGTTCATCGTCGGCGTGATGTCCGAGGAAGGATTGAGTTTTATCGGCAGGCTGCACCGCCGGGAAGAATCATCGCTGTAAGTTACCATAAGATTCTCCGTCAACAAAATGATACTAGTAATTTGATGGATATTCTACTTTCATGAAATATGGTGCAACTATACTGGACATAAAAGCCAAGAAATATACAACTATCTACTTATCCAATTTCGTTAAGACTCGCTGCCCCTCGACAAAACTACATGAATCACATCTCATCCAACTCAGGTTCTTTCTCCATCTCTGATGGAAGTTTGTCCTTTTCGCTCTTCGCACGCTGCGCTGCAGGAGACTGCGCCTGTTTCGCCTGAGCCTATTGAGTAGACATACTTATCAGCATAACGTCTATTAGTACAGCATGTCAGAAACCCCCACCGAAGCTTCATGCATCGCCTCCTTAAATCCCTTCACATTCGTCTTGGTACCCTGGGCATCGGGCTTCAAGGGCGACGATTCAAAATCGTCGGGGAAAGTGGTGGTCACAAAGTCTGAAACCCAAGAGCTTCATCAGTTATCAGTGGCGACGAATACCTAGATGTGGCATCTCACATTCATCTCCACCGGAGGGAGGAGTACGTGATTGAACTTTGTCAGCGAAGCTGGCGCGAGCGAGCCTGGTGATATGCAGCCCCGAGGGCTTGATGGTTTGTCTGATCAGGGCAGAGTACATTGCGGGTTGTTCAGCTATGCTTGCAGTTGCACTTCTGAAGTCGTTGAATCGATTGCTTTTCCTTGCGGTGCTGAAGGTGCCAGGTAGTCATGGTGATGTCAGCCCAATGACTTCTGGGGTTGTATAGTTCTTCAACGATTTGGCCTCCAATCACGTCTACTGGGTATCGACGGGCTGTCTCCAACGGGCAGACCCAACCGTGGACGGCGCGATCTCAGCACTTTGCTATTGTCGCGGTGGCAACAGGAATGAGGTCTACGACATCCGACATCTTGTCGCAGGTGGCTAGACGCGGTCTACATGCTCGGCCTCTGATCTTTGGTGCCGATCTGGTTCGAAGCTTAAACAGATCAATCACAACGGATGAGTCCAGTTACCTCATCCTCCCGATATGGTAGTCGAGCCACACGTGACCCCGGGCAGCCATAACCATCCCGAAGACCAGGATGGTTGCTGCAGCGGATGCCAGCGTGTTCATAATGGCTGTCTGACATCATGAGGCTGACTAGTGCTGACTTGACCTTCGTCCGTAACCCTCCGTGGGCGGTCTAAATACCTCACTCCCTCTCGGACTGTCCACGGATGAAGCAAAACACCGTTAACCCCGAGGGGACAGATCGTACCGCTCGGGCAGTCGGGCTCCCGAGAGACCGCCGGGGAAGGCGTGTCGCAGCTCCGAAGAAAATGAACCGGAGCCAGCGTGACTCATGCAGGCGTGGGCATCCTGTGATTGGCGGGTGCTTCCCGAGCCGCGAATAGCCACCTGACCTGCGGATGGAATGCAGGTCGGTACTGGGTACCTGCATCAGCGCGTGTCGCTGCATACAAACACAGGTACCAGTGACCGGGCGCGTGTTGATGGACGATCAGATAATCGGAGGAGAGGTACTGGTACGGGCGGTCCCATAGAAGTCTGTAGAAGGGTGGAAGTAGCGATACCTGCATGCCCTTCTCCGGATCGGCCCTGGGACTTCGCTGCTGTCAGGGGCCCACACATTAGTGCCCTCCATCTCTTCCTTCCTTTTAACTTTTTACCGTTGGCTGCCTGGTTTTGTTCCTTCCTCTTCTTTCCTTCATCCTCAATCCTTGGACCTGGTGCTGAGACACAGGTCTTCTTTCCTCGCTACGACACACACTGTCCTTCCCTTCCGCCCTCAGCGCGTTCATTGGCGACTCACGTGTCGTCCAATGAACCTGCACTTTAGATACAATTCTGAGTGCGACGTACGGACTGCTCCTCCCTCGCACCGAGATCGTTGAAACTAACAGCCGCGTGTAGCGTTGCCTCTTCACTCTGAAGAGGTCCCCCGCTAGATAAATGGTGTTCAAGCCGTTCACCCATCTCGCGCGTCAAAGTTTCGCCAAAGCCTTTACCCATGGCTATGCCCAGTCGGTAGTCGCGGCGTCGCAGTCCTCCTACGCGTCGTCCACCACTTTCAACAACCTCGCCTGCACACCGGCCAAGTTCTCCCGCACCACCCAGCTACAGAATGCTTTCTCGAACGCGTCCAGCTCGTCCGGCGCCGGCGCCAAGGCTAGCCAGGGCGGCTCCGGGTCTGGTGACTTCGGTCTAGCTGCGTACTACGCTGCCTGGCAGCATGCGCAGCAGACCGGCGATGACAGTGATTGGACACAGTTTCAGTTCAAGCGGCGCATCGGCTGGAAGCCCGAGTCTGTGGAAGAGGGCGACCATGCCGTGCAAGAGTCGCGGTCCGAGTCCGTACCGCCCCATCTGACCAAGGCGGCTGTGAATGAAGATGTCAGTGCACAGGTGGAGGAAGCTGTGGCTCGAGAAATTCAGATTCAGGAGGAGCAGGCACAGGCCGAGGAGGCTTTGGAGGCGACAGAGGCCACTGCGGACTCCGCAGTCGAAGAGACCGTTGCCTCGGACCCCGTGTCTGACGCGACCAAGACCGCCTCGGGTCGAATTGCACAGCTGGCCACGGAGAAGAATTATGCAGAGATTCCGGGTGCCTTCGAGTCCTTGCTCAAGGACGGGCTGACCCCGACAGTGGAGGCGTACAATGCCCTCCTGGTCGCTGCCATCCGACTTCATCCAGACGCCGTGGTGGCCATCCCCAAGGCGCTCGATGTCTACTCGGATATGCTACGTCGAAGGGTAATTCCCGACGAAGATACCTACCAGACCCTGGTCCAGCTGTTGGTGACTCGAGCGCATGACACAATCAAGGCCAAGGAAGTGCTGGAGCAGGAGCGGGTCCGTTTCGGTGGAATGGAGGAGCCCGGAAAGTTCATGCTGCAGTCGAGTGAATTGGAGCGCGACATTTTGGCCGAGGATCACTCCTTGTCTATCGCCGTGAAACTCTTTGACACCGCCACGACCCGTCATGCCGAGCTCGTGTTCCCGCGGGAGATGTACCGACACCTCATCATCGCATGTGCTGAAGAAGGCAGGGTGGAGGACATGATCCGCATCTTTGCCCACATGGAGACGCAGGAGGTGATTCCCCATGCTACCATCTTCCCGTCTATGATCGATGCGTTTGCGGCTAGCGGCGATCTCAAGAGCGCCGTGGAATGCTACAACGAGTACCGAAGTCTTGCCGTTTCTGACGACGATGGAGTGTTCAGCATCGTTCAGCGTCTGGACGGTCAAGTTTATGCTGCTTTGATCCGCGCCTATCTCTCTTGCGGGAAGAACGAGGGCGCGATTCACTTCCTCGATCGCGTGCGCTCCTCGTTTGATGATATTACGGAGAACCGCGAGGCTCGCTGGGACGCCGTCGAGTCGGTGATCGTCCAAGATGCTCTCGTGCAGCACTCGCTAGACGCTGGAGAGTACAGCAAAGCCTTGGAGCAGGCCAAGACGGAGTTGCACGACGAGTCTCGGGATCAGGCCATCTCTCGGATCTGCGTGGCCGCGGCCGATGCAGGCGATCTGGCCACTGCTTCCGAGGCGTACGATCGTCTACCTACCGCGCCTGATGCTCGGCAGAATCCTGCGATCTCTTTGATGGCTCTTCATGTCCGCCGGGGCAATGTGTCGGCGGCCCGTTCCTTGTGGATCATGTTGAACACCGTGGGTCAGGCGACCCCGGATATGGTTCAGCCGACCGCCATGTACTCGATTGCATTGCTCAAGAGTGGCCAGATCGAAGAAGCCCTACAGGAGGCCCGCAACTCGTTCGCCCGTATCCGGAACGCTTCTGCTCATGACGCTGCCGTCTCGTCTCTCACCTGCGAGCAGATCACCGAGACCCTTCACCTGTTTGGCCGAGTATTGATCCAGACTGCCGCGGTGCTCTCTCCTCAAGCGGCTATGAACCTTCTCTGGTCCATGGTTGAGAACGGTGGCCTTGTCTCTCCTCTGGCCGAGCACGCTGTCGCCAGTCTGGGGCCCATGGGCATCTCCCAGCTCAGCCCCACTGATCTCACCCTTGCCCTTCAGCTCCAGGCCGGCATGCTGGCTAGCAACAGCGCCATGCTGTTCGACATTGCTCACCCGGTCCGCTTCGCGCACATGCTTGATGTGGCTCTGTCGACTGCTATTCCCCTGGACACTTACACGACTGGTCTGATCGACCAGGCCATCGGAAAGCTTTTCACCAGCCGGCCGGATGTTGTCAAGAAGTGGCAAGAGCATTTGGAGCGGTCGACCCAAGCATCCTTGCAGTCCGACCGCCAGAGCCCCGTCTCCATGGCAGAGACTTCGATCACGACCCCAACGTCCAACTCGGATTCGGTCGACCCTTATGCATATGCCACCGACTTTCGGGGATCTGCCATCATCGCAGATGAACTTGAGAAGACAGCCGGCCGCGCCGAGACCCATCTCAACGAAGCGATGATCCGAGTCAAGAACATGCGCCGTATCGGCCGTCACCCTCGCTACATCACATACGCCAAGCTGATTACCGCTGCCGCCAAGGTTGGTCGCATGGACTCGGTGCACGAGATCTTGGGTATGGCCCGGGCCGATGTCCCCCTCAACCCGGCGTACCACCTTGTCAAGTACGGGTGGGTGTCAATTCTCGACGCCATGGTCGCTGCTTGCCTTACCCTCGGTGATCGACAGCTGGCCGGTCAATATCATCAGGAGCTTCTAGGCCTTGGATCTGCGCCCTCGGCCAACACCTTCGGGTTGTACATCACCACTCTCAAGGAGTCGACCAAGACCTTTGACGAAGCCACCGAGGCCCTCAAGATTTTCCACCGCGCAGTGGCGGAGGGCGTGGAGCCCACTTCGTTCCTGTACAACGCCCTGATTGGCAAGCTCGGCAAGGCCCGTCGCATTGATGACTGTCTCGCATACTTTGCTGAGATGCGCACCAACAACGTGCGCCCAACCAGCGTCACCTACGGAACAATCGTCAATGCTCTGTGCCGTGTGAGCGACGAGCGGTTCGCCGAGGAAATGTTCGAGGAGATGGAGTCGATGCCCAACTACAAGCCGCGGCCCGCGCCGTACAACTCCATGATCCAGTATTTCCTCACCACGAAGCGTGACCGCAGCAAGGTTCTGGCATACTATGAGCGCATGCAGGCTCGCAAGATCCAGCCGACGATGCACACTTACAAGTTGCTCATCGACGCCCATGCTTCGCTTGAGCCGGTCGACATGGACGCGGCTGAGAAGGTCCTGCAGTCGATGCGGGCTGCTGGGCAACGACCTGATGCTGTTCACTACGCTTCTCTCATCCACGCCAAGGGCTGCGTGCAACATGACTTGGATGGCGCCCGGCAGGTGTTTGACTCGGTTGTGGCCGATCCCACCGTGCGTCCGCAGCCGTGTCTATACCAGGCCCTCTTCGAGGCAATGGTCGCCAACAACCGGGTGGCAGATACCGAGGCGATTGTCCAGGGCATGCTAAAGCGCAGGGTTGAGATGACCCCGTATATCGCCAACACTCTCATCCACGGATGGGCCACTGAGGGCAGCGTATCCAAGGCCAAGGCCATCTACGACAGCATCGGTCTCGCGAAGCGTGAGCCTAGCACCTACGAAGCGATGACCCGCGCATTCTTGGGCGCAGACGACCGCGCGAGCGCCTCAACCATTGTCCAGGAGATGATGTCGCGCGGATACCCGTCCGCCGTGGCCGGCAAGATCATGGATCTGGTCGGCGGCACCGCTCCCTCCACCTAAACATCCGTTCACCCTTTCTCTCTCCTGTCGATACTTTTTCGACCTGACTACTATTCGATTCAATCATTGTGATGTGTGACGTAAACACATGCACACATTATCACCCCTACATCTCACTGCCGGGGCTGGATCCCTTGGTGTGGTTTGGTTTCCGGCGCATGTAGGGCGGTCATGGTTGGTTATGGGTATACCAGGTGGGAATATCTCTGTCTGATTTGATTTTGATTTTTTGGGGTTTTTTGGCATCCAGCGAGGGTTTTTTTTTGGGCGTTGTGATCCCGGAGTTCAAAAGGAACGGTGTTTCCAGCATCTGTATACCATATTTTTTTCTGTTGTTTATAGACCCTCTCCCACTCTTCACCGGCAAATACTGCCGCGGAAATGAATGAAAAAAAATGAACTGTACAAAACGTGCCATTGTCTTAGCTCGTATAGATCTGATGATTGATGCTGATGTGGAGTGACTCTCGTCATCCTCCGTAGCTTCCCGCTTCTTTCCCTTCCCCCACTACATTTTCTTGTATTCCGACGACATCCTTCGACTCAGTCATACACTGAGTACACCCACGGCCTCGTTGGAATGTTAATTGCTGTCCATAATTAATGCTCTCTTTCCGCGGGCCCTCCACTCTTACCCTCGACACTCTTCTCCTTCGCATTCGGGCCGTTTCCCGCCAACCCCGCCTTCGACACTGGCATTCCTCCATCAGTGACGCAGCCCGGCCCTTAACAGAACCCAAGATGGCGCACGACGACGCAACAGCGATGGACAACCAGGCTCGTCGGCCCAAGAAGCTGATCTGTATGTACCTACTTTCTACACACACACTCTCTCTCTCTGCCCATATTTCTCCTCAAACTAACAACTACTCCTCCACCTCTACCAGTTGCACCAGGCGACATCGACCCAACGCACGACCTCAAAGTCGGCGGAACGGAAACAACTGAACTCTCGGCTCCAGAATCGCAAGCCTACCAGATGCAGCACCAGCATGCGATTCCATCCCACCTCACGCCCGCCGCCGCCGCGGAGTCCCTCCGCTCTGAGACCTCAACGCCCAACTCGGCCACCGAGCAACGAATACTCGAGCACCCCGCTCGAGCACACCAATTCGTAACCAACCCGCCCTTAACCGTCTCTCAGATGCACGGCACGAACCCCTTGCACCAATTCCACTCCTGGTTCCGCGATCCGCGGCTGCATTCCACCTCTGCGCCGGAAACGTGCACGCTCGCAACGGCGGCTATGCCCTCTGGCCGGGTCAGTGCGCGGGTGGTCTATCTCAAGGAATTGGATGAGCGCGGCTGGGTCGTTTATAGTAATTGGGGGAGTCGTGAGGGGAAGGGCGGGCAGGTGTTTGGGAAGCTTGCCGATGGTGGGGGAGGGGATGTGTTGGGAGCTATGCCGGAACCTGGGCAGGAGGATGGTTCATCCAAGGCACCGGCTGCGGAGATGGGCAACAAATGGGCCGCGCTGACATTCAGCTGGGCGAGTACGGAGCGCCAGGTCCGTGTGGAGGGACTCCTCGAACCGCTCAGCCGCTCTGAGAGCGAAATGTACTGGCGCACGCGCGAACGAGGCAGCCAGATCGGCGCATGGGCAAGCTGGCAGAGCCGCGAGCTGTGGTCTGCAGACCCAGAAAAGCTGGCAGAGCGTCAGCGGCGCAAGAGCGTGGCGCGCTTGCAGGCTTCCGCGGAGGCGGGGTCGCCCTGCGTTGATATCCCGGCTGATATTGACGAGACAGATATTGAAGATGGGAGGACGTTGCTGGAGCAGAGGGTGAAGGAGATGGAGGAGCGGTTTGCTGGTGAGCTGGATGTGCCGCTGCCGCCGTTTTGGGGTGGGGTGCGGCTTGTCCCTGAGTCTGTGGAGTTCTGGCAGGGTCGTCGTAGTCGATTGCATGATCGGTTTCGGTATGTGAGGCTTGAGGGGGAGGGGGAGGGCGCGACTTGGCGGTTGCAGAGGTTGTCGCCTTGAATCGGGGGAGTTGGTTGTATGTACTACTGGGCGAAAGTGGTCATCGGCCCTGGATTGTAGGTTACAAGCCTAGAATAAGAAGCTTATTGTACAATGGCGAATACGATACATCATCTGCTGATTCGGTTGAGAAGCTAAACATAGTAGAGAAGAGATGTGGAGGCGGTACGTGTGTCCTTCGAGAATATAGGTAGAAGAACAAGGGCTGATGATTTCCTGTAGTGGGCGCAGCATGTAGTGAAGGATGCTGCGAGGGCCTTAATTGTGCCTCTATGCAGGGGGTTCAGCCTGTCACTTATGTCTGTCAGGCCTAGTTCCTTAAAGGTACTGGTGTACCCATAGATGTCTATTCTATCTTTGGTTATACTTTTTGTCATGTTGTTTATTTTGAAGCTATTGATCTTCAGTTAGAATTTTTGGAATTTTTGGATTGATGAAATATATAAGCTCCAGCTGTTCCTACAGTTATATATGTCCTGACTAGATTCTGCTATACATATTCATGTGCATCCCAAGAAATGGTCACTATCCAGATGGAACCCCAATAGATCGCCCCTTATCTTATCTATCAAACTTGGCATCAACCCTCTCCAACCTCGCTTTTTCGAGCTACACCTCATCTCTTCGCGCCTTTAAACCACATTCCCTAGGCCTCATATCCCCCAAAGCCTGCCATTCCTCCCCATCTAGACATCCAACATCCACAAAATGTCTCCTCCGCCTGCCCATCCCACCACCACCACCACCGTCCGCTCCCCCTGGATCCTCCTCGCAATCGCCAGCGGCGCCTTTGCCGCGCTGAACGGGCTCTTCGCCAAACTGTACGCAATCCAGGCTACGACCAAAGTGCAACCAAAACAGCTAACCATAATTCCACTGCCAGAACAACAGATACCCACACTACCGCCTTCGCGCAAGCAGTCGCGCATCTCTTCGGCGCGGAGGAGTCCCCATTTCTGGAGCTGGTCGTGAGGGGGGTATGTACTCCCCTTTTTTGTCTCTTCTTCTCCTCTATCCTTTCATTTTACTTTCTTTGCCATTCCATTCTTCTAAAAATCAAGTCCAAGTCCTACATCACATCTTCGCTTTAGAGAATTCCAGCTAATCAATTGGGAATTGGGAAATAGATCTGCCTCGCCCTCAACGTCCTCTGCAACATCATTATGTGGGCGCTCTTCACCCGCGCCCTAACTGCTGGCCCTTCAACGACGAAAGTGTCCATCACGAATACCTCGTCGAATTTCCTTGCTACCGCCATGCTGGGCATGTTGGTGTTTCGGGAGGCTGTGGGCGGGTTGTGGTGGCTGGGAGCTGCGATGATGGGCGCTGGGTGTATTCTGGTTGGGATGCGGGAGGAAAGCGGTTGATCTCTGTTTGTGTCGTTTGGGAGTTAATTTGGTTACAGCATATACCTACATAATATCGATCACTTGCTTATTTTGTGGGTTTGATCAACGAGGATTTACAGGATTCAGCTACTCCTTAGAACGTCGTAGATGGATAGCAACGCCGTTTAAGCAGACCGTCTATCGAGCAGATATACATACAGCCACACATCTATTGTCGCTGTCCCCAATCCCCAGACTCCCTATCCTCCAGCTCCACAACCCCATCCTCCTCCGTTCCATCCAAAATCCCCGACTCCGGAACCGAAGGATTAGGCCCGGCGCGGAGCCGGACAGGTCGTCGGCCCAATTTACCAGATACAAAGCCAGCAACGGTCTGGATGAGACGCCACACACGCTCGTCCATAGACTCCGGGGCATTATTCAGGTGGCCGCCGAGCGAAGACGAAAAGCCAGCAGAGGAACTAGTAGCCACCAGGGCCTGTTCCTCCGCCTCGACCTTGAACTGGTACTTCAGGCAGTCCTTCACGGTGACCAGACCCGTTAGGCGGCCGCGATGCTCGACGAGGATGATCCGCGGTCCCATCTTCTTGAAGATCTCCATGACCGTTTCGAGAGCCAGGCGCGGATGGACTGTTAGCGGTGTGTGGTCCACGTATCGCGAGAAGTCGACAAAGCCCGAGTCCACGCCCTCCTGGATCCCGTCGAGGGTCGCGGTGCTGCGTGCTGCCTGCAAGGGAACTGATGCCCGTCGCGCGACGGTCGCTTCGGCTGCCTCTTTGGTGAACACGCATCGCGTTGTCGGGGAGATGAGACCCTCGCTGCGTGCGCGGTCAATGGCATAGCGGAGCTCGGTGCGCCCAATATACCCGACCAGGATCTTGTTGCTGCGGTCTTCGACAATCGGGATTCCCTGGAATTTGTTGTCGCTTAGCAGATGCTCTGCCTCACGCACGGGAAAGTCCGAAGCCGGTAACGTCAACGGCTCCGTTGTCATTGCGTGTGAGACGGGCACGTTGAAGACATGGTCCTCCTTGTTGTCTAGGAATGGGAACCCATTGAACCAGATCATCCGATCTGCAATACCCCCATTTCCAAACCGGTCTCCGACGGCTTTGGTGACACCAACGACGATCTAGCAGGTATCAGTATGAAGTTTTTATGATCCACGAATTTTCGGACATACCATAGTCGGAAGGATGTAGGTTAGCGCTCCGGTCAACTCAAACATAATGACCGTAACAGAAATAGTCAGGTGCATGATCCCACTAAGCGCGGCTCCAGCGCCCAAGAATGCGTAGGTCCCTGGTGTAATGCAGGCGACATCTGGCTCGCAAGATGCAAAGAAAGCAGAATTGGGGAATGAGTGATGCAGTGCCTCGACCATGATACCAACCATACGACCAAACGATGCGCCGATGGCCATTGAAGGAACGAAGATACCTGCGGGGACCTTGCAGCCATACGATATGATGACCAGACCAATGCGAAGAATGGTGGCGATAGCTAGCGACATGGCAATTGACCACCGATGTGAAGGCCTGTAACAAATATGTCAGAACAGTTGTCTCGTAGGTGAACATGGAAAAAGTCATACTGGCACAATCCGTCATAGTCGTGGCCACCCTCACATTCACGGAAGAGAATCTCCATCATCTCCGTCATGTTGATCCTCAGGAACATGTTCGGATAACAAATAAGGGCTGTGAAGCCGGCAAGGACCACGGCCTCCATGATTGGGTGCGGTGCCAGATACTTCTTGCGGAACGCAGCAACCCGGAGGTTCCATTTGATGACGAAGGCACCATACAAACCTCCAAAGACTCCAAGGAATGCAAAGAAGATTAGCTCGAAAAAGTGCCAGCTGCGGTCATACTCCACTTGGAACATGACCAGTTGCCCAGTGCGAAAAGGATTCAGAGCCTAGGTCAAAGTCAGTGGGAATGTAGATTCTACTCAAATTGCTAACGTACCGCCAGCACACTGGTCGCTACCAAGGCGCAGAAGTAGCTTCGCCACAGCGTTTTCAATGGGAAGTAGTTGGCCATTTCCTGCCGACCTTTAGCGTCCATCCCACCTATCGAAAGTTCGCATGACTTACCTCTAATGAGAAAAGCACGCCTCCAATGGGACTGCCAAAAGCAACAGCCACGCCGGCTGCCGCCGAGGCAGTCAGGATCTCTCTCGTCTTCGAAGCATTTTGCTTGTATTTGCCGAACATCCTCGATATCACATTGCCCGTACACACTGCGAAGTGTACACTAGGTCCCTCTTTACCAACAGAAAGACCTGATGCGATGGCCAATGGCAGCGCAATCGATTTGATCAAAAGAGTCCACGCGCCGAGAAAACCCTTCATAACAAACCCAGCAATGATGCATTTGATCTCTGAAATTCCGGAACCTGCGGCATATGGCGCAAAGAATTTCACCAAAATGGCGGCAATAAAAGCGAGCAGTATCTAAACCAAGATCAACCCATGGTGCCATAATCTCAGGGAAGAGGAAAGTCGTACCGCAAAGAAGAAGTAGATAACGTAGTTGAACGGCGCAAAGCCAGTCCAATGCTTCCACTCGGGGCATCCTACCCACCATCAGTCAAATATCCACCATGTGCACATCCTTTGTGTATCGTACCATTCTCAGCGCCCCAGCAGCAAAACTGCTCGTTCAAATAAAATGCAGTTGTACAATGACCCAGCTTGATGTCAGACAGCCATTCGGTGATGATGTTGAGAAAAGCCGAGTTGGCTCCGATGGCCATGCCAACCAAAGTGACCACAAGCCAGGCCTGGCCTGCATCGTAAGACTCGTATAGTTTCCGCCTCCAACCAAAGGTGCCTTCCTGGTCCCAGAAACCTTGGCCGCTCCGGCGCTTAGCTCGCCGCCGCGCCTGTTCGTGTACTGCATCCTGCACCCAGTCTATCGTTGTGAAATCCTCGTATCGCTTGATCTCGCTGATCTCCTCTGCGACAGCCGGGGGTTCGGCGTCGGGGCCCGGATCTGGGTCGAGGGAGGTAACGGAGCGGCCTGAGAGTCTTCGGACATCGCGGCGCTCTGTCAGAACGGAAGGTGACCGGTGGGACCGGGCGAAGTTCGAGGATGGGCGCGAGGAGGTCATAACATCGATCGAGTGGATCGTACTAGCATAATCGGCGAGGTGATGGGGATGGATGATTGGTGTTGGACGGGGACAGCTGTCTTCCAGAGACGCCGTATGAGATGAATCGCGCTGGGGGCCGCTAGATGGGACAGTGATTGATTTCAAGCGCAATCCAGGGGAGACGAGTTCCTCGGGGGAGGTGGATGGTTGACAGTCAAGGCGTGAGAGAGGATGAAAGAAGTGGCCGGTCGATAAGGGTGAAGGTCGTCGATAACGCGTAGATTCCGACCAGACTTCCGCTTTCCTTCGCTTTCACCCTCGACCCCAGACAATCCACCCAACCTCTCTGTTCATACCTTCTTCGACATTCCGCGAGAATCTTCACTACAAGATCACATCCACCATGCCACCCAAGAACGCGGGTGATCCCGAGGAAATCACCGGGCAGAGCGCTCTCCCCAGTCCGTTCCCACCCACCCACGGCTCGCGGCACCCATGCAGCTAACACGAACTCCCCAGTCTCGCGAATCAAGAAGATCGTCCAGTTAGACGAGGATATTGTGCAATGTTCCAACAACGCGACCTTTGTGATCGCCATGGCCACAGTACGCGCCTGACTATTCGCGGTCGTGTCCCAACTGACCTGGGTTCCAGGAAATGTTCATCCATTACCTTGCCGAGCAAGGGCATAACGTCGTCAAGTCAGAACGGAAACCACGGAAGACCGTTCAGTACAGAGATCTCGGTGCGTTGGTTGCTTGCTTTAACTACCAAACGACGATGCTGATGTGCCGCAGCGACCGCAGTATCCCATATCGACAACCTTGAGTTCCTCGCCGATGTGATACCTAAGACAACCACCTACAAGCAATTCAAGGAGAAGAAAGCCAAGGAGGCGGCTGGGAACAATGGTGGTGGTGTCATGGAGAAGGGCCAGCGCACATTGAATGGGACCGGTGCTCCCGCCAACCAGGTGAACGGTAACTCGGCTGAAGATCCAATGGCTGTGGTGATGGCAGCAGCAGACGAAGAGCCTCGACCGGCGCCAGCGACGCCTCGGGCACCGGTGGTTACACACACGTCGGGGTCGGTGAGTGCGCTAGTGGTGGATCGGACGGTCGAACCGATCCCTGCGCCGGGGAGTTATGGGACGATGGGCCATGATCCCGATGTGGAAATGAAAGATTGAACGGAGGGAAGCATTGGAGTTTTGTGTCTTTGCGCTGGCGTTTGGATAATGGACCTGGGCTGGAATACCTCGACCCCGGCACCGGGGACCATGGCAAATAGAAACGGAAACCGAGATGATCTTCGTGAATCTTTCTCTTCTTCTTCTTATTCCTCTCATAATTATTGTAATTAATTCCTGTTATCGTGAGGCCATCTCATAGTTGCCCTGTGCAGGTATACTGCGTGGCCCCACAGCCAATCAGGTGATGGCCATTGAAAGCTCTGCTGACTACAGCGACTTTTCCCGACTGCATCCATCACCAATCCTCGTTTCTCCCTACACTACACCCACCTCCCCCCCCCCCACGCAATTGCTCGTTGCCTCTGGTCAATTGCCTCTCCCACCTCCCGCCATGTCGCTCTCCGCTACCTCCACCACTCTGCTGCGCACCTGCGCCCGCCAGCAGCTGCCCACCGCCCGGGCCGCGGTCGCCTCCTGCCAGCGGAGGGCCGTCTCGGACAAGTCGTCCTTTGACAGCCCCTTCGGCAGCTCCCAGGAGTACTCCTCGACCCTGAAGATCCCCAATTTCAGCAAATACTCCTCCAACAAGTCGCCACGCTCCAACCAGGTCTTCTCCTACTTCATGGCCGGGTCCCTCGGTCTGGCCTCTGCCGTCGGTGCCAAGGCTACCGTGCAGGGTAGGTCTTATTCTTTCCAGTCCCCTGCGAGCAGAAGAGGTGGAAAATACAGTCATATGCGATGAGAGGGCATTGTGGAAGGACTCGCACCACCCGATCGGCACATTTCGCTAACTCGCACATTCTCCAGACTTCTTGGTCAACATGTCCGCCTCCGCCGACGTCCTGGCTCAGGCCAAGGTTGAGGTCGCTCTCGGCGCCATCCCGGAGGGCAAGAATGTACGTGTCCTGTCCTTTTTTCTGTGACTGCTGCCCCGTCCTAACCTGATTGTCCCAAAAACAGGTCATCATCAAGTGGCGCGGCAAGCCCGTCTTCATCCGCCACCGCACCCAGGATGAGATCACTGAAGCCCGTGAGGAGAAATGGGAGGATCTGCGCGACCCCCAGTCCGACGAGGACCGCGTACAGCGGCCCGAGTGGCTGGTCATGCTTGGTAGGTGGACTTGATATCGACATATCGACTACCCTAATCAGTACTAACTGGTTTCGTTACATCAGGTGTCTGCACCCACCTGGGATGTGTCCCCATCGGCGAGGCCGGCGACTACGGCGGCTGGTTCTGCCCCTGCCATGGCTCCCACTACGATATTTCCGGCCGTATCCGGAGGGGCCCTGCACCTCTGAACCTTGAGGTTCCTCAGTACAGCTTCCCCGAGGACGAGACCCTCGTTATCGGTTAAGCGATTCGATACACCTAGCGCTGTTGCCACAACATTGCGATCATGGATGATAGAAGGTGAAGGTGAAGGTGGAGAGGGGGGAGGAAGAATACTGTCTGTATGTGTCTGTGCCAAATTTTCCCTTTGTTTTAGACGGAGCGGCTGTCAAGATTAAGAGATTGTGTTTTAATGGACAATAATCTTATGCTCTCTGGGTTCGCGACGCTGTATACCTGATCACTTTCATTGGAAGTTGGCCGCAGGCACAGATTGATTGGGCCCTGTCTTTCTTTCCTCCCCTCTGGAGTATATAAATACTTGTGTTCTATAGTTTCCTCGTGTATTGCCTAGTCATGAGATTTCCTTTGTTCGACTTTTTTCCTTCAGTGCCAGACCAGCCTCCTAGATCTTCTATCCCGATTCTATACATAGTCACGGAGCCTGCCAACGACACTAATCAGAAGTCCTGCAACGGATGATATATCGAAAGTCCCTGTCATTGGGTTAAATTCCGAGACCAACTCAGCCAACAGGAGTGCTTTGATCTGAATTGAAGGTTTGAGGCAAACGACTTCATGTAGTTACATACAGAAACTATTCATACATTAGATCTGAGTCTGTCCATGGCGGCTATATGCAAGGTTTCTATGTCCGGTCTGTACAGAAATAAATGCTTCAAAGAAAGGAAGGGCATGAAGCCATATCCACAAAGGAAAATCATGGGGATCGATGCAGCCAGCTTGATGGATGGACTCTCATCCACTCACTCAATATCGGATCAGCGCAAACACCAGACCCATCACTGCGGCGCCGGCTGCGGCGCTCTGGACGGCTAGGGTCGTCAGGTCACGCTGGGAGATGGCGACGTTGCGGTCACTGAATAGCTCGTGGAGTGCTTGTTCCCAGTATTCAAGGGAAGTGGGTGAAGAGGAGATGTTTGAGAGTTGGGATTGAAGGGATTGAAGAGCGGTTGAGTTAGCGGTGGTGGTGGTGGTGGTGGATGGTGCAGGTTGAACATTTTCTTCTGCATTGGCGATTGTTTCCTCATTGGCTTGGAAAGGAAGTGAAGCGGCAGTAGAGTTCACAGAAAGTGAGGCACTCTCAACAGCAGCGCCCTGGCCCAACGCTTTCTCCTTCTCTATCGCCTCGATCACCTTGTCCTCAAACCCCTTGACAAGCCGCTTGCGGCGCCAGGGCTCCACGGCAATTTGAAAGATCAAGAAAAGTAGGATGTTCATCCCCATAAGCCCCCATGTTCCCCAAGTACTCATGCGACGGATCTTATCAGACCAGACCTGCTCCTCGTGGTAGCGCGAGAGAATACCCTTGCTCAGCTGCGCCGCAGCCTCTTCAGCCTCGTGCTCGGCCTTCGACAACGCTTCTTGTGTCGAGGACTCGAGGACCTCATTTGCGTGGTCGTTGCGATACAAGAGCGTGAAGCGCTCTAGGTCTGTGGGCGACCATGAGTGTTTCCGTTGCAAGAGCTCGTTGACTTCGCGCTGGGAGGCAGAGCGGCTGTTGATCGCGGCAGCGTAGTCTTCTTTCGCTTTTTTGACCTGTGCCCTGGCATTGCGGAGTCGACCCTCTATTTTGATTGTTAGTTATCAGGGTCTGTTGTGAGCGACGGAGCGGGTGTACCTTGGAATTGGATTTCCTTCTTGAGAGCCTCGATGCCCGAATAGCCGGTTAGGTCGTTCAGTCGCTGGCCAGCCACGAAGATGTTGGATTGTAGGTTATCCATCAAGGTGGTGAATTGCTTGGACACCTGGGACCGGCGGCTCTCGAGGTAAGACGGGAGACCACCGCTCTGTGTATCTTCGACATGAATGCTGCCCCCCCTTGTCGATTCCTCATAGAGCGGTTTCTCAGTCTCTGGTTGTTCGGCCGGAATTTCGGTCTGTGACAATGCTGCGCGAGAACCGCTCATGTCTTCCGAGATGGAAACCTCGCCCGCATTGGCGGCCTTCTTCAGCTCTTCCGTGGCATTTTGTACATTCACACTTCCTTTCTTCTCGTCGGAAGAGGAATATAGTCCCGACTGGCGACGGAATTGGCATTGTAGACAGACAGTGAAGTTGCGCGTTGAGGCTCGGGTGACGGTGAAGGCGCTCGGGATGATCGGGCGGAGTTGTGCTGCGCGCATTGGCCCCGTGGGTGTTCGTGTGAGGTGTAGACTGGACCGAAATGACTGCCGCAGCAGCAATGGCATGCACTGCATGGCTGCAGGGTCAGATCCAGCAGATGGTGGTGGGAGAGAGGTGGAAGTGGTGGTCCAGTGCAGAAATGGGGAGTCGCGGGAAGAAGTTCGGGGCGGATAGGCGCTTATCAGATCAGTGGGCCGTCGATGGGGCTGTTCTATCGCACGCTGAGCATGTTGAGACGAGGATGAGTGGTATTATGTATTCATTCACGGCTTTTAGATTCGCTTATTATAATCTGTTGATTTATTAATTCCTTGACCAGCCGTTTTGTTTACCGATGGGAGCACTGTCCGCCAAGATATACCTCTCCCATCATACCTTACGAACATTCCAGTGGATGGTTTGTTGATATGATTGATTCAAATATACAAAGCACTGGAAAACCCATAAAAGCATACAATCCCATTGCCCAAAGACCTTAAACCTCAATCCAGAAGAACGTTCCTTCGTCATGTCATAAGAAGAACAGGTACAGCAAAATCGCGCAGGGTAAGAAAGCGGCCACCATATCCATATTCGTCGCGGCCATTCTTTAGTCCCGGGTCTGCACCTTGTGGTCACCCTTCACAGCCTCGGCGTAGGTCGGTGGTGCCGGACCACTGCTGCTCCCAGCACCACCCTCCGGCTGATCAGACGGCTTCGGCGCCGCCTGCTGGCCTTGTGAAACGGTGCCATAAGATCTCTGCTGGGAGGGATGCTGGAGCGGCTGGTGAGCGACATAGTAGTACGTCACGCCGCCGTTCTCCAGGTCTCGTCGCTGGCTTGCGCCGCCGGGGATGGGCTCGTAGGCCGCATCGGCGTCATAGTCTGCCTCGGGATATTTGAGGATGATGTAGCATGCGTGGATCAGGCCGGGGAGGTAGCCGAGCAGACAGAGAGCGATATTGATGATGGAGTCGGCGGTGCAGATGCCTCGTTTGACCCAGACTGTTTGTGCATGGTTAGTTAGCCGGGGTTGCGACGGGGCCGATGGAGGGTGAGGCACTGACCAGCAATGGGGGGAAGAAGATGGCGAGGATCGCCAGGAAGCAGTCGGAGCTGCACATGGCACACAGGTGATGGTTGATAAAGCTAGTTAGAGGTTGGGATCCGATCGATCGTGGAAGAAGTGTCAGCCGGAATGAGTTGAGAGGCAGCCTAGCAGGATTCAGTCAAATGACGCAGGGTCAGGTGACCTGTGTTTACCTTTGTCATCCTACAGTCCTCCCTACGGCGTCAGTCTGTAGACATGTAATTGCAGGAGCGACGATGGAAAAATCCGATCGTGTTAAAAATTGGCCCACGCAACTGGGCTCGGCCAGTGACTAGACTCTGCGACTGGCGAAACTCTACCAGTAACAAGAGATGACCGAGCTGTTTACGACGCGGGGTCCAAGTGTATACATCGTCGGCCGTATCTCCATCGCCTGCATAGCTAGTTCATGCTTCTTCCTGCGCGCCCCTCACATCTCCTGTGACCCCTCAACTGCATCCATCAACGGAGTTTTCATCGTTTTTGTTTAGCTTGTCAGTGTAATAAAGATCGGCCCTCTCGGCCGCTAAACGGGCCCAAGCGAGAACGCCAGGAACCACTTGCCCCAAACGGGCCAATCTCACCACCGGCGCTAAGCTGCTTGGGTACAAGCACCCTACCCTGTGCCCCCTATTCTGATTGACTCTTTCGCGTGTTTCACCAGGCCAGCAGCAGCGGTAGTTCTCGCCCGTTGGGCCCAGCCAGCGCGAACTCAAGCCCGGGCCACCTCTCTCACCTCACCTCACTCATTCCGTCCCATTGTTTCTTCTCCTCTTCTCTCTCTCTCTCTCGCTGCCCTTCCCGCTTGGTCATCCTTCCCGTTCATTCGCTTCTTTTTCGTCCAAGAGCACCTTCGGGGCTCGCTGATTGCTTAACGCTCTCTTGTCACTCGTTTGTCGTCGTTTTTTTTTTTCGCTTCGCCCCGAGCTCGACTCGCTCGCCTTTTTTTCCGTTGACCTGTGGTCTATCCCAGCGTGAAGAAATGCTCTCGACCCTTTGATTCGCATATCCGACCCACGATTGAAGACTGGACTGGCGATCGATTGTCATTGACACATTGCTCGCCAACATTCCTCGATCTTGGAGATCAGGCCCGATATGTCGGGCTGCATCTCCCTGTCCGGGTCAACGACCTGTCCTGCCTGGGATAGTGCCTCAATATCGACCAATCCCAGTCTCTACGGGGATTTGTGAGTGAATATGAGACAGCGGGCATGGGCGAATGCTGACATGACGATAGCCCATTCCTTGAAAATGTATCGACTCTCTCACAATTTGACCAAGCACTGAGCAGCTACCTCGCAGGCAGCTATGTTACTTCAAAGTAAGCGCGACCATCTCTCCCTTGGAAAGGCGTATAGAGCTGACAAACATACTCCCAGATATGTCGACCTGTTGGGATGTGAAGGCCTTAATTCCAGCGCGCTGAATGACTACTATGCCCGATACACCACCAGCGTGGTGTGCAGTGGTCTAGTCCAAAGCTCCAAGGGGTACTGCGGCCTGACTTCCGATCAATCACCACCCCTTTGCGCAGACACATGCGCGCTCCAAGCCATGGGCGAACAAGAGATTATCGTCAATTCGAAACTCTGCACCGGCACCGACAAGGACTATATGTCCCAGATCAAAGCTGATCTCGCAGTGTGCACGGGACCTCTGAAATCGCTGACCGGCTCTTGCGTTGAGGGATACGCCAATCAGCAAAAGAATTGTGGCTATGCCTCTAACACAATCGGCCTCTGCACCTATTGCAAATCGACCAACTCGAGCGACTCTTGCTGCGCAGACGCCAATGCCGGAACTCGCTGCCAAGGCGTCACCATTCCAACTTCCACAGCCACTCTGCAACCGCTCAACCCCTCATCAAGCGCCACCTCGACCGCAGCAGCAGCGACAGCTGGTGGTAGTGGTCTCTCCGGTGGAGCTATTGCTGGCATTGTCATCGGATCTGTTGCAGCTGCGGCAATCCTGTGCATTCTCATCTTCTTCCTCTGGCTCTGCTACCGTCGTCGCCGTCGCTCGCAAAACGACAGTGGACTGAACCAACCTAATCCCCAACGAAGAGGGACACCGCCTATGCACATGCAACAACCGGACAGTCCCAAAGGATACAATATGGTCCCAGGCGGACGAGTGACACGGATGTCTGCCCTGCGCGAGATCCCAAGCTCCTCACCTGCCTACTCGCGCACGTCGGGCGCCATGTTTGGCGCTGCCAAGTATAGTGACTCGTCAGACTCGGAAGCCTTTGGCGCCAGCCCGGGAGCTATGTCCAAGAGGATCCCTCCCGTAACCGGAAGGCGCCACGGCTCACTGTCGAGCAATTCCGTCCTGGCTGGTCTGGAAAGTGACAGTTCGCCTCGGTCTGGAACCGCCACCGCTACCACTGGAAATCAATATTCGTCCCCCGAAGCCGTGACTAGCGGCCAGTCTGAGCAACTATCATATTTCCGGGACTATTACTCGCAGGACGACATTCACCCTGGCGATCAAGTTGCTGTTCTCTGGGCGTATGCCCCACGAGCCGGCGACGAGTTCGAACTCGACCGCGGTGAAATGCTGAAGGTGATTGGCATCTGGGACGATGGCTGGGCCACGGGTGTTCGTCTCACTGAGCGAGCTGAGGATTATGATGTTCATCATCGCGAACAACGCGATAGTGGAGTGAGCAACGGTTCGCAACAGCGCACAGGTCCATCACCCGCCCCATCGGGCGAGATCAAGGCCTTCCCCTTAGTCTGCATCTGCCTGCCCCAACATTGGCACAAGATCATCGATGGAACACCGCAGGAGGACGAGGCGTGACCGACCCAAAAAAGAACTTTTGTTCCATGCAGACTTTAACGTCCTGATGACAGCGTGTTGACTCGTCTGTTTCGCGAGGAGTTGATCAGCTGGAGACTGGCATATCCTTATCGGCTCGACTGCCGCTTGCCCTGCGTTGTTGTGGGTGCTTGTTTTCTTTTGACGCGTATTCGATATACCCCACCCCATTTTCGACGATTGACTGTCCATTTTTTTTTTCTTTATCTCTATGCTTTTGCCTTTTTTGTTGTTGTTTGACCGGTTCCTGTGGAATCGGCACTGTTGCGATGGTAAACACGGGGCCAGACAAGTCTTCCGTCTCTGGACCGTGTGGAGGCTTTATGTACGACGGTGATTCGCGATGAGTGCTGCTGCCCTGCTTGGAGGTTTTCGTTCTGAGGATATCAGATATATACTGCACGCATAATGTATGTACATAATTTAGACTCGAATCAACACTTCCGACATCTTCGAAGACTAAATCCAAATCCCGAGCTGCGCATCCGACGCCCCACCAGCAGCTTCATGATAAGTTACCCGGCCTTGCGGGGAACGCAATCCAAGGGCTTCGATTTCGCCATTTTCCACGCTTTACTAATCCATCGAACCCCCACCCCTCATTGATGACAGTTAAAAGAAGGCGATTCTTCCGTCCCTGGGTTTTCAAACGTTCCACTCTATTTTCTTCCCAAACCCTAACTATATCCTGATAACCACAACCATGGCTGCACCTAAGATCATCCTATACACCTACCGCGGCTGCCCCTGGGCACATCGTGCCCACATTGCCCTGCGCGAAACAGGCCTGGACTACGAAGAAGTCGGCATCAACCTCGATAAGCCCCGCGAGCCGTGGTATCTGGAGATTAACCCGGTAATCAAGCCACCGCTCCCTACCTTACTCTCATGCATCTCCCCCGGTCCAACTATTCCTAACTAACTCTCCATCAAACCAGCGCGGCCTCGTCCCCAGCCTTTCCTATAACGGCAACATAATCACCGAATCCGCTGTAGTCGCGCAGTTCATCGCCGATGCCCACCCATCCCATCTCCTGCCCCCGTCCGGCCCCGCTGACAACGCGCTCTACCGGGCCCGCATCGGTTTCTTCGTTGATACCTACTTCACTAAGGTTCAGGGTTACTTTATGAAGTGTATCAGGGCCTCGTCGGAGGCTGAGCGCGAAGATCTAACGCGGGAATTGGTTGCTGCTATCAAGAAGGAGATTGAGCCGCTTCTTGAAGCGGCGGCGGGACAGGGTAAGGGCCCGTTCTTTGGGGGAAGTGAGAGTTTGACTCTCGCTGAGGTGTGTATTTCCTTTCTTTCTTTTTCTCTTTGCGAGTATATCCCTACACAGTATCGTGTATATACTTCTATGCTGTACTGTCCGATTGGGATATGACGAAGTGTACTAAATGACTCTCCGAAACAGGTCCAGTGCGGCTCATTCCTCATTCGCTTGCTCGCATTCTCCAAGCCGGAGCATGGCCTCCTCAGCACGAAGCTGCCTGCTCTGCTCGAGCAGCAAACTCCGCGATTCAAGCGCTGGGCCGAAGCGACGGCTGCTCACGAGAGCGTGAATTTCATCTTTAATGAGCAGGAGATTGTGGATCGGACGCGGGCGAAGCATGCCGCGGCGTCGAAGGTGTAGGCAGTCTGCTGTTGTTGTTAGGTATAATCAAGTGATCATATTTCTGTTGGTGCCTGCTCGGGCCAGGCAGACGTTGACGTCCTCATTGTATTCTCATAGTAATCATGATGGTCGTCGTTAACTAACCCCTTCTGTCGGGTGGTGCGATTCCAGGCAACCCTAACTTCTTTGCCCCCCCGTTAGGCACCTCGATTTCTGGCTAGCTGGCTGCGGTAGAAATTGTTACCTAGATCCATATCGTATTCCCGTTAAATAAGATGGAAAAGGCAGAGTACCGATGTAGAACTGTCGTTACCGACCAGAGTCCAGCCGGGCAATAGTAATCACGTGTGGCCAAATAATCAATCCCCCACCACCACAACAACCCCTCAACTCTTTCTCCATCTCATCATCCATTTTTTGTTGTTCCGTCTTTCTCTGCTTGTAAGTCTGGCCTGTCCGTCATTGTTATCTCTCTTCCCACCTGGTCCAATTTACTGCCACTACTCGGTCGCTTGTTCCTCTTCTATCCCACCGGCTCGACTCAGCCACTGACACCGCGTGTCCACCTAGCTAACCAGTCTCCTTTCCCTCGCAGTCTTACTTCCCTACAACCACGCAGACATCATGTCGGTGAGTACACAACCCAATCCACTGCATTCACCGCTCCGATACTGATTGTACGCTCTCTATAGCTCGCATCCGGGTAAGACCCCTTAGCCTGTCTCGCGCCCCCGTCCCCCGCCACCCCTCCACCACTACCCCCCTAAACATTCCCACCACCACCGTCATTCCAGTCTATCAATTGTTGGCGACCGATTCTCATACAATTCACAGTGTTTCTATCCAAGATGAATGCATCACGGCATTCAATGACTTCCGCATGAGCCACGGCAAGACCAAGTTCATCATCTTCAAGATCGCCGACAACAAGAAGGAGGTCGTCCTCGACGAGGTCTCCAACGAGCAGGATTATGAGGTCTTCCGCAGCAAGCTCGAGTCTGCCCGTGACAGCAAGGGCAGCCCCGCCCCCCGCTACGCAGTCTACGATGTCGAGTATGAGCTCGGTGGCAGCGAGGGCAAGCGGTGCGTTTCCCTCCCTCCTTTTAATCTCTCTTATCGAGCGGATTGCTAACTGGTCTCCATAGAAGCAAGATCATCTTCATCTCTTGGGTCCCCAACGACACCCCTACTCTGGTACGATTTTGCTTTTGCTTCTTCGGGTGTCCCGATCCTATTCTAACATCCCTCCAGTGGTCCATGATCTACGCTAGTACCCGTGAGAACCTGAAGAACGCTCTCAACATCCACACCTCCATCCACGCTGATGACAAGTCCGATATCGAGTGGAAGACCGTCCTGGCCGAGGCCAGCGGTGGCAAGGCGGGTAAATAGATGAACGGCGCCGGCTGGGACCGGGCTGCGCGATCGATTGGAGGATGATGTGTTTTTTCTTATCCTCATCGTAAGGGTGGAACGATTCAATCCATTTATTCTCTCTGTGTGCATGCCGCTTTTTTTGCCCTTTTTCTCAATTGCAATGCGAGACCGTTACGGCTTGCAGGATGGGTTTTGCTTGCGGATATAGAGAAATCAATCTCTGGACATGGAGCTGCCCTGCTGTCTACGGCATTGAATTCGTGTAAACGTAAATTATGGGGGAGAACATCCCGACAGACTTACCTGTCGAGAGCAACACGTGACCTTATATCACATGACCCAGCCAATCAGCGCCCGCGAGTTCCCGACCTTCCCACGCCAACGACCGAAACAGCGAACTTCATCCTCTCCCCTCCCAACTCACCACCTGCCCCCTCTGTCTCTGGTTACCCAACCAAGCCATACAGAGGATCCGCTGCCCGTGCTGCACGGCCCGCCAATCCCTCCCAATTGACTCCACCTTCGACTCGGTCACAGACCATCCCCAACTCCCCCCGACCGCACAATGTTTCTTCGCACCGTCTCCCAAGCTGCACCTCGCAGCGCGGCCGCCCTCCGCTCGGGCCCAATGGCCTGCCTGCACGCCTCGAAGACCGCCGTCGCCGCCCAGCAGACTCGCGCCGCTTCCGACCACGCCATCGCCAACCCTACCCTCGCCGGCATCGAGAAGCGCTGGGAGGGCATGCCTCCTCAGGAGCAGGCCGAGCTGTGGATGCAGCTTCGTGACCGCATGAAGGTCGACTGGCACCAGATGACCGTTCAGGAGAAGAAGGCCGGTACGTTTCCCTTCCTGTCGTTGTCTTCCTCCAGAGGGCCCGCCGGCTTCGCCCCTTAAGTTTTCCTCGGTTATCCGGGGTGGCCTTGAGAACGATTCCGTCCCAAACACTTGCTGATACCTCAATTCTTTAGCCTACTGGATCGCATTCGGCCCTCACGGTCCTCGCGCCGAGACCCCCAAGGGCGAGGGCTGGAAAATCCTTTCCAAGGTGGCCCAACTCACCGTCGCGTCCGTGGTCATCTTCTACGGCATCCACCTGATGGGCAAGCCGCTGCCCAAGACCATGAGCAAGGAGTGGCAGGAGGCCTCCAACGAGTACGCCAAGGTATGTCGTGTCCTCCCTCCGAGGGTTTGCCCCATGTTTCGTTCCCAATCTTACATGATACCTTTCTGCAGAGCGAGAAAATCAACCCCATCCACGGCATCAGTGCCGAGGGCTACGAGGGCAAGGGCTTCGTCCAGAGCCCGTCCGCCGAGAAGTCATAGATTGGCTGGTAGGAAGACACAGGCGTGCCCCCGTGGGCGTGCTGCTGGCGGGTTGTTCACTTGTCTCTTTTTTTTGGCCTCGCATTCCAAAACGCGTGTATCCCGTACTGTGCTATAATCCAATGTATCTCCTTTGTAGCCATAGACATTCGTTTTCTCATCTTTTGTTGTACATGTAAATGCGTGGTTCATACGGACCTGTGTATGTCTACGGAGCGAGCCGGAACTGGTGCGGAGAAGCCAGCCGCCGTGCAGATGCACGAGGGACAGATTGATGGAGCGTCGACGCATCATGGGCAATTGACAATTCTTTGCGGCAGTTTTTATCGTGCTCGACTCGAGAGTCAATTTATGCCTGGTCGTTCTGGTTCTGGTTGTCTCCGTGTTCCGTCATTGTTCCCGAAATGGGGTCGAGTCTCCCACACACGTCAGAGATTTCCAGGCCACGCCGCCAGCTGGACAGCTCCCGGTCCACGACCGGGAGAGTCAATGGCTGAGAGAATCCCGTCATTGGCACTTCTCGCACCGGGCGAAGATTGTTCTCGTCTAAATCTGATTCTATCCTGCCGAGGAGATCGCTTTCCAGCTTCCCATCCATCTCTGTTGTGGTGATGCATCCGGGTGCCAAGCCCCCATTTGTGCGCGAATTCCCGGGCAACCAGCGTGGCCCGACACCACACACACGGCAGGGTCGAGCAATGCCCTCACTCAGGACCAGAATTATTCTGATATCTATATCCGCGTAGAAGCTAGGAAATAAGAATGCCCAACTGCTAGAACCCTCACCCCCCTCGGCTCATGTCGGGACCCTCGGAAAAACCACCCCGGAAAGGCTAGGGCAGACTCCGGCGCCCCGTCCACCCTCGCAACCTCTGCCTTTGTCCTCTTTCTTCCCTTTTTCCCTTCCCCCAATCCCCATCCTCCCTCCCCTTGATCCTCCTCCCCCCATCTCATCACTTCACCGCCATCATGTTCAAGAGGTATTGCACCCCTTCACGCATCCATTGCCCTCATTCTCCTTTTTTTCCCTGCTAATTCTCCCTCGCAGCGGTCTCGCCCGGTCCTTCGGGAGGGCTGCTTTTGCCCGCCCGGCCCCCGTCGCTCGCGCCTTCCAGCCTCTCCGCTCCAATGCCCTCCCGGCCCTGTCTGCCCGCCTCGCCAGCTCGAGTGCCGTCCAGACTGGCAAGATTCACCAGGTCATTGGTGCCGTCGTTGACGGTATGTTGGCTCCCGCCCGACCCCCCTTAGGAGGACCTCGCGAAAATCTTTTTCCTGGACCTCTATCCATCCCCCCAGCCATCGCGATCGATTCCATCTGACAATATCATCGTCATGCTACAGTCAAGTTCGAGGGCGACAAGCTGCCTGCCATTCTGAACGCCCTGGAGACCGAGAACAACGGCCAGAAGCTGGTGCTGGAGGTCGCGGTACGTGATTCTGATTGGTTGATTTCCTCGGTGAAGGATCCCCGCAAGCTAACATCACCTCCCAACAGCAACACTTGGGTGAGAATGTCGTCCGTGCCATTGCTATGGACGGTACTGAGGGTCTGACCCGTGGTGCTGCCGCGCACGACACCGGCGCCCCCATCACGATCCCCGTCGGCCCGGCAACCCTGGGCCGTATCATCAACGTTACTGGTGACCCCATTGACGAGCGTGGCCCCGTCAAGGCTACCAAGTTCCTTCCCATCCACGCTGACCCCCCGGCGTTCGTCGAGCAGTCGACCTCGGCTGAGATTCTGGTCACCGGTATCAAGGTCGTCGACCTGCTTGCCCCCTACGCCCGTGGTGGTAAGATTGGTCTGTTCGGTGGTGCCGGTGTCGGCAAGACTGTGTTCATCCAGGAGTTGATCGTAAGTTTTGTCTGTGGTCGTAATTGCCTCCTTCCCTACTTACCATTCCTTTTTAGAACAACATTGCTAAGGCTCACGGTGGTTACTCCGTCTTCTGTGGTGTCGGTGAGCGTACCCGTGAGGGTAACGATCTGTACCACGAGATGCAGGAGACTGGTGTCATCCAGCTCGAGGGTGAATCCAAGGTCGCCCTGGTGTTCGGTCAGATGAACGAGCCCCCAGGTGCCCGTGCCCGTGTCGCCCTGACCGGTCTGACCATCGCCGAGTACTTCCGTGACGAGGAGGGTCAGGATGTGCTGCTCTTCATTGACAACATTTTCCGTTTCACCCAGGCCGGTTCCGAGGTGTCTGCCCTGCTGGGCCGTATCCCCTCGGCCGTCGGTTACCAGCCCACCCTGGCCGTCGACATGGGTGTCATGCAGGAGCGTATTACCACCACCCAGAAGGGCTCTATCACCTCCGTCCAGGCCGTCTACGTGCCCGCTGACGATCTGACTGATCCTGCCCCCGCCACCACCTTCGCCCATCTGGACGCCACCACTGTGCTGTCCCGTGGTATCTCCGAGTTGGGTATCTACCCGGCTGTCGACCCGCTGGACTCCAAGTCCCGTATGCTGGACCCCCGTATCATCGGTGACGACCACTACAACACCGCCACCCGCGTCCAGCAGATGCTCCAGGAGTACAAGTCGCTGCAGGACATCATCGCCATTCTGGGTATGGACGAGTTGTCCGAGGCTGACAAGCTCACCGTCGAGCGCGCCCGTAAGCTGCAGCGTTTCCTGTCCCAGCCGTTCGCCGTCGCCCAGGTCTTCACTGGTATCGAGGGCACCCTGGTCGACCTGAAGGACACCATCCGCAGCTTCAAGGCCATCATCGCCGGTGAGGGAGACGATCTCCCCGAGAACGCCTTCTACATGGTCGGCGACTTCGAGTCTGCCCGTGCCAAGGGTGAGAAGATTCTGGCTGAGCTCGAGGGTTCGTCTTAGATGTAATTTTGTCTTTGTGTGCTAGCTAGAGCTGCCTCCCTTACCCTCTCGTGTGTGTCTCCTTGCCTAACTACTCTGCCCCCTGGTTGTGTGTTTCTCTTTTTCCTTTGTATTCACCCTGTTACTCTCCCACACCCGACTTTCTCTTTTCCCTTTTCGATGCGTGTATAGTACTCGATCTTAAAGAGAAAAAACAAAAGGGATTTGACTGTCGAGTCTATGTTCTGTTTCTGTTTCCGTCGTGTGTGAAGCGAAGGAGTTTCTTTTGAACGATGGGGAGAAGAAAGACACCAGGGTGCATGAATGAGTGACTGGGCGAGTGACTGACTGACTGAGAGTGTGGGTGAGGGCATGTTTTTCTGGCTGGCCATTCGGACGGTATTGCCTCTTTCCTTTAAGCACGGCATGGGTACCTCTGCCGTCGCTTGTGTTTCATTATTTGTGTATCTAGAGCTGGAAAATCCTCCGCCTGTCCGGCGATCTTGATCTTGGTCCATACAAATCGTTTTCTTTTGTCGATGCCAATAATCATCTAGTGAGGTCGTAGTTGTAGAAGTGGTATTATTCTGTAGTCACTGCTAAAAGGTATGATGTATCTTCGAGATTAAGGCTAAGAATTTTATTCTGCTGCACCTAAGTCCGAAGACAAATATGGCATCGAGGTTGTCTGTCCACCTGGGCTGGACAGCTGTGTACGCACTGCTATTAAGCAACAAAGAGACTAGATGCACTTGGAGGATTGATTGTATTGATAAATGAATGGATGAATGGACAAAACCACAAGAAAACAAGAAGATCAAAGGAGAACATGCTAATTCTAACCGTAAGTTCCGTCATGAGGGGTGCCATATCGATTGCCCGAGGCGTCGTCATTCCCGTAGTCCAAGGCTCTGGTCGTGTTTTGTAGCTGTGGATGGCGGGAAAGATCACGAAATTAACATTGGGGTATATCACAGAGTGTCTTCCAGTGCGAGGACCTGTGCGGAAAGAATATCAGTACTGATTGATTTTGGGACGTGACACCACAAGGAAGGAAAGGAACTGACCAATGCCGTACGAGTCGGAATGTAAACCTGCACAAAATTGCTCCGCCCATTCCACGGCATATCCGTCGTGAAGAAGCGCGTCTCCTTCAGGTTACGACCCAGCCCCCCGAACGCCTTGTCATCTGTATCAAGCACAATGCGGTAAGTACCAGGGACATCAACACCAACCCGATAATCCGTGTAGCTCTCCTTGGGATGGAAATTAAAGATCCAAAGCAGACCAGCGCGCTCAAAGACAAGCACCTTATCGCCCTCGTGCTTGAGACTGATATACGCCTGCGCGGCGTGCAGCCAGCCGTATTTCTCTTCGGTCAACTGCATGGCACGGTCGAAGTCGTTCAGGAAATGGTATCGCAGCAGAGGGTCCTCGGTGAGATTCAGCTGGCGCCGCGCGTACCAGAAGGAGTTATCATTGCCGGCGCGCGGGAAGTCGAGCCACTCCGGGTGTCCGAATTCGTTGCCTTCGAAATTGAGGTACCCCTCGCCGCCGAGGCTGTGGGTGACTAGCCGGATCATTTTGTGGAGGGCCATGCCGCGTTCGATGACCGGGGTGAATTCCGTCAGCACGGACATGTGTGTGTACATCTCTTTGTCGCAGAGCCACATCATCAGGGACTTGTCGCCGACTAGTGCTTGGTCATGGCTTTCGGCGTAGGCGATCGTCTTCTCGCCGTGGCGCCGGTTGGTGAGCGTGAAGGAGAGATTGCCGATGTCCCACTCGTTGTCCGACTTCTCCTTCAGGAGCTTAATGTACATGTCTGGTACGGCCATGGCGAGACGGTAGTCGAATCCGACACCTCCCAAGGAATGCGGGAGGCACAGTGCCGGCATGCCGGAGACGTCCTCGGCCACGGTGATGCACTCTGGATAGAGGGCGTGGAGCATATCGTTGGCTAGAGTGAGGTACGTCACGCCCTCCTCGTCGACTCCTGGGCCAAAATACTCGTGGTATCCGCCGGAAAATCCTCTGCAGAAATTAGTGGATTGAAACATTTCACGAGAAAGTTGTACCTACGTTCCGATGCCATGATGCAGGTAGAGCATGCTCGTGACGCCGTCAAAACGGAATCCATCAAACTGGTACTCCTCCATCCAGAAACGCAGGTTACTCAGAAGGAACCGCAGCACTTCATGGCTCCCATAGTTGAACAGCCGACTGTCCCACAGCTCATGACGACCTTTTCCACCCGCGTGGAAATAGAGATGGTCCGTTCCATCGAACTCGTTCAGTCCATCCAGCACGTTCTTCGACGCGTGGCTGTGGACCACGTCCAAGAGAACCACCAGGCCCATACTATGCGCCGTGTCGATCAACTCCTTCAAGTCTTCTGGCGAGCCGTACCGACTGCTCGCCGCAAAGAAATTGTTAATTTGGTAGCCAAAGCTGGCGTAGTAGGCATGCTCCATGATGGCCATGAGCTGGATTGCGTTGTACCCCAGGTATTTGATGCGAGGCAGCATGTTCTGCGTGAATTCCTTGTATGTGGCCACTTTGGACTCCGGCGACGAGATGCCCACGTGGGCCTCGTAGATGCGCAAGCTCGCGGGCTTCTTGGGCCGCGCGTGCTTGAACTGATATACTTCGTTTGCTGGCGGGTTCCAGAATACTGCGTCGTAGGTGGGCGAAACGTTCAAATCCTGGACGACCCGCTTGATCCAGGCGGGAATCCGGTAGATGCGCTCTCCGCTGGGAAGAACCATTGTGATCTAATCCGAGCATTAGCTTGCCATGTTAAGATATGTTGGCGACGTACCTTGATTTTGCTCTCGTGGGGTATCGCGGGCCCGCCATCTTTCGGCGGAACCGTAACGTCCCAGACGCCAAAGCCGGATTTGGTCATGGGGTTGGCAGCGGCATCCCAGTTATCTGCCATGTCTCAGTAAATTGCCCTCAAGTATAACCCCCCAAGATTGCCACACGTACTGAAATCGCCGACCAGCGACGCCTCAACCGCATTGGGTGCCCATTCTTTGTACACGATCTCTCCGTTGGGGCGCGCATGGAGACCGAAGGTTTCGTAGCCCTGAGACCACCATGTCAGTACTGACCCTCGCATTCTGTAGGCGCGATCAATTTACTCTGCTGAACTTCTCCAGTCCTCCTTCGGATTCATTGATGGTCTTGGCCCATTTTTCCACCAGAGCGTATCTGTGTTTCAGGGCATCGGTATGGGGCTCCAGGTACGGATCGAGCTTGAGCACGCCTACAGGAGTGATCAGCAACGGGCCTGGAACTGCGGGGAGGGACCAACACACCTGTGCCATCTGCAGGGACTTGAGTCGAATCAGCCATTGCGGGTTATAAAAAAGAAGAAGAAAGAATCAATGACGACGGGGCGAAGAAAGAGCAGGGAGAGGGGGGTCCTAGCTCAACATGTGACGTCCTTATCGTGGCGTTATCGGATTGGGGTTCAGGAGGGACGCCGTTCGGAGGAGTGGTAGGCATTTACACACATTTATTTACGAAGTGAAATTCAACACAGAAATTATCTACAGCTGCAGTCGACTCAAACGGATGCCGGACTCGGAGGCAGCGCACCCGTGCTCCAGTTGACGGCGTTCGCGCCCAGCTCGAACTCGAGCTTCCCACCCTTCGCAAAGACATCATCCCAGGTCAGCCAGTTCTGCCTCCACTTCTTGCCGTTCACTTTCAGAGACTGCACATAATAGTTGGAATCCCCGTTGCCATCCCCGCCGGTCGATGTAACATGCAGCGTCTTGTCATCGCCCAGGTCGATTGTCAACGACTCGAACCACGGCGAATGAATCAGGAAGGTGGTTTGGCCCGTGACGGGATACAGTCCGATCATGTTCCAGAGCAGCCAGGTCTGCATAGCGCCAGCATCGCTGTTGCCCGGAAGACCCGCAGGCCCCGTGCTATAGTGGGCTTTGGCAACTGTGCGTGACTGCTCGACGGACAAGTCCTGTCGGCCTACGTAGTTATACAGATACGGCACATTGAACATTCTGCCGTGCCGGTCAGTATGTCGAAAGTACGATTTCTTGGGAGGGATCACTCACGGTTCGTTAGTGGGATCGAAGATCGTCCCGCTCGATCCACTGGCGCCGTCGATGAACATCGTGTTCAGCCGATCGACCGTCCTCTCAGGGCCTCCGATCAGATCAATCATATGTTTCATGTCATGCACGGCGTTCCAGGAGTATGCCCATGAATTGGCCTCGTAGAATGGATCGCCCCAGTAGCCGTCATTTGCCAACGGGTCACTGGGAATAAAACCGGAGGAATTGCGCGGCACGAGGAACCCGGAGAATCCCAGCGAGGTCTGGTCCGGATCCCAATGGTTGCGCCAGTTGCGTGAGCGATTGAGGTATTTTTTCGCGTCCTGGTTCTTCTTCAATCCAGTTGCTACTTGATGCACGCCAAAATCGTTGCAGGAGTACTCCACGGCCCGAGTGCCGGCGCGAGTAAATCGGGGACTGATATATCCCAGACTGATCCAATCCGGAAGCGCGCCCCGACCCTCGTGGGTCGAAGAGTCTGGCGCCATGGGATCAACCGGGTAATTCGGCGGCGTGTGCTCTGCATCGGCAAGCAAGGCCTTATACCCGTCTTCCCAATTGACAGCGCCGCGCACGCCCTTGACATATGCATCGGCCAAGACGTTGTCTGCATTGGATCCACCTTGGGAACGGCCGTTGTAGTTTGAAGAGCGGGCATCAGGCATCCACCCGACATTTCGCCAGATATCGATCAGGGAGCGAATCTGTTCTTCATACGCCTGCGGCTGCAGGACTTGCATCAACGCTGTGCCACATCGAAACAGATCCTGCGAATTTCGTGTCAGTTGAGTTTGGTTCCTTGCATACAGTCACACAGACGTACCCAGAACGTGAAGATATCGGAATAATATGGCTCGGATGATGTCCAGCCGGGATTCTCGCCGGTCTGGTTCGTGGGGATCAGGTGCATGAAATAGAGGGATGAGTACAGCAAGTTGAGCGTTGTCTGGTTGGTGTTGGTTGTGGTGACCTTGGACAGGACCTTCAAGTTCCATTCGGCAACAGCATCGGAGACCACAGCCTCGAATTCCGTGCCTTTGGGAATTTCATTAGCCACGTTGTCACACGCCTGCTCAGTGGAAATCCAGGAAATTCCAACGCGGGAAACCACATCTTGGCCTTCGAACGTGAAAAGCCCGCCTACTCGGGTCGAGTTCGATGTTGATGAGACAGAGCTGCCGGACTGTTGCACGCTCGATCCAGAGCCTGTAGCTGTATAGAGCTTGCTACTGGTCGGGGTGGAGTTGAAATGGCCACCTGCGAACGATTATCAGCGGTTTGTGAGATTTTTCCATTGGAGCCGTCACTGACAGAAATAGATTGTCCAGTCTGGGGCTTCATTCCACCCATTGTTGTACACGCCATGGCCCTCATAATGGCCGTCATCGAAGACCTCGAGCTCTCCTCCTTCATAATTTTGACTGAGGCCCATCCCACGGTAGGAGGGAAGTACGTGCGAGACATCAACAAGCACATTATTCTGCGACCCTGAAGGGAAGCTATAGCGATACATCCCGGCGCGAGCCGTGGAGGCCAATTCGACAGTGACAGCCTGTCCCGTCGTGGCCTTGTAGTAGCCCACGGAGCCCGAGTCTGTTCCGGAGCGCGAGACGGTGATATTGGCAAGGGGATCACTGATATCGCCAACTAGCGGGAGCTGCGAGACGGTTCCATATTTCGGCGCGCCGCCGGTGCCTTGCTCGTGCATCATGCTGAACCCGGAGAAATTGCCAGTAGACAGATATCCCGCGTACGAATCGGTGCCCTCAGCGTACAGATCCGGACCGAGCTTGACCATCCCGAATGGTCGCACGGCACCGGGGAAGTTGTTGCCCACGGTGTTGGTCCCCATACTGAATTCGCGTTGTCAGCCATATCTCTCCGCGAACCCCCAAAAAAAACCAAAAATAAGCAACTCACAATACATCGACATATTGACTGTAGTCCTGCCCAACGGACAGAGCCATTGCTCCAAGGGTGAGGTCGTGGAGAGTATTTCCCCCTTTCATGACTGCTTTCGCGATGCCCTAGTGACGTATGCTGAAAAGGGGGGAGCTGATTGATAGCTTTAGTCTTGGCAACAACGATTGCCTTTGCTCATTACCGTGGCTGCAGCAACGAAAGGAAGATATGTAGCAGCCTTGTGGGACAGATCTGTGCTTTAAAATCCAATTGGCATGCTGACGGGAATATCAATCGTGTGTTTGCCCCTGTCAGGCTTTCGAAATTCGCCTAAAAAAATTCAAGGCCCCCCAAATCTCCAATGTTACTGTCGGCACCAACCGCGTCGCTAGTAAACAGGAACAATGCTAGGCTCGGGCTTATTATGGACCCCGCCCCTGGATGCCGATCCTCACTGGCCAAATCTCCCGTATGTATCATTATTTTTAGAAACTCAAGAACGGGCAATTTCTAGGTTCGCCATAGTACCGGTCCGAAAGGATGTGGGTTGTCAATACTACATACTCTGTACATACACTATAATCATGGATACAATCCCTGCAATCGTGACCTGATCCATGGTAACACCCCGCCTTTTACCCCTGACCCATGCTACATAATAAGGTACATAATCGTATTCGGCAAGCCCGGCCCTAATGTCCTAATCGAGTAATACCAGATCTCGATTTTTGTACTATTCTTGAAGCGCACTTAGTGGCAATACTTCCTGGATCAATAGAAATGAATATATTTGTGGATTGGTTGGTTTATACGTATGTGGCTGACACACGTGCGTCGAGTTAGTGGTCGGGGCCGGCGTTGCTTATAGTTATTATCCAGACTAGTTATTTATTAATCCCAAGAAGCTAACTTAGCATCGTTAGATCAAGCTTGATACACTTGCACTACTATTACTATACCTCTTACATGGTATATAGCAACGTTCTCAATCTATTGGCTGACGTCCGTTATCGGAGAAAGATTTCGACAACGCCACCAGGAACGAAAACACTACGAAAAGTATGAGGGCGCTGTGACGGCTCGCGTAATTCCAAAATGTCGATTCCGAGACCGATTGGGTTAGTAGAAGAACCTTTGAAAAGGGAAATCCATACAAGTACCGACGATATAAATGGCCGGAACAAAAGCCAAAATGGAGCTCGCGGCACAAGAAAGTATGGGCCTCGCGGGCTTCTGTAAATCGAGACGTTGATGAAATCTTCGCAGCAATTTCTTACGTTCCAGCTTCTTCTTATTGAACGGAAAATTGACACCACATTTCTTCTTCAGCAGTCAAATGGCGAGTAGTTTTGAAGAAATATACGCTTTCAGTAAGAAACTAGTCGTTGGAAAACAGAAATCGGACATGCACGTAGCCGAGGACACCTTGGCCCAAATGAATGGCTGCTTGGCTGAACTGAAAAGAGATCCTGGTGGTGTACTTCCTCACGTGCAGGCGAACAAGAAAAGGATCACCGGGGCCTTGGACAATTTCGACGAGGACATAAAGAGCCAGGACTGACTCAACAAAGCTTCTCAAACTACACCACGCAGAATGTGACCCACTCGATAAACCTGCTGCCGATCAAAACATGCTGATCTACCACCTACAGGACAGCCTCTAGAACGCGGTTTCTATTTGAAAAATGAGCTGTGGACCTGATCCAGGATCGTGTCAAACTTATTCACAATCTCCGACACTTCCAGACCCTACTCCATCTCAAGGACACACTACAACAGACTGTTCATGTGAGGTGTACTATAAGATCGCGGTCCAGTGTCTTCCTTGCCTCGCAGCATGTTGATAAATTGGTCAAGAAGTCTTGGAATGGAAGTATGGGAGGACGTGGAATGAGGACAGAAAATCCGATCAAGGAATCGAACGCATTGAAAGCTGTAGAGAAGCTAAAACAGAAATCTAGCAGACTGGCTATATAGAGAGAAACGGAGGGCTGATAGAGTTGAAAATGGAAACGACTGTACAGTTGGCGGTTGACAGTCATCGGGTGAAACCTCTTATATTCGAGCTCCGTTATGAAGATACAGATGGGAGCTTGTATGGAGGACCAGTCGAATTGGAAATCGGACCGAGATGATGGTTGGACCAACGATATAGCGGTATCACTTGCCTCAACAAGAAGCTGACCAAACCTACCAGGCTCAGTAACTCGTAAAATGGAGGAGCAAGTCCAATGAAACAGCGATAGTCCGAACAAGGATTGTTTCTAGACTTGTCCTTGAGTGTCGGGATTCCCGGACAGCTCACCAGGCTTTTAATGATAACTGATGTGCGAAAGTTGGCGATGTCTCAGGTCAGCCTTCTAGGAAACCACCGTCCGTCGCTGAGTACTTAGCGAGCTTGATTGTCGAATGAATTTTATACACTCATACTATAACATTTACTTGTAGTTTCTTCTCTAGGCGGTCTTGATACTGACTGTGTCTGATATTGAATCGAGTACACGCAACAGTATTTGCAATAATGTTGAGCAGAGCCAGTAATCCGAGGGAATCTGACCTCTCACCTCGACAGATTTTTGATTTTGAGCGCAGAGACATGTAGAGACTATTGAGCAACCAGACGAGAGAATTGAGGCCCTTTAGGAGTGACGGGGTGTCGGCTATTGATATTTTCTATCGCCGACGGCAATTGAAGATGAAGGGCCGAGCGCGATACGACAAACGGCCGTCGCCGGCCAACTTACATTGTCTACCAGAATGACAGAATTACATCTTTGAAAATGCTCGACGGTGCAATAATGCAATAATGACGACTCTATCCCAGATTTTATATCAAAAGTATCTTGCACCGTCGAATGTGGATTTCCGGAGAAAAGGCTTTGATTCTTCCATGAATCACAGTGCCCCGTGGGGCCCCAGGCTGGGCCCTAACTCCACCGCGCGACGGCAACCACGTTTACGCCAGAGCGTCTGAGTGGAGGAAAAACTACTTCAGGGATCGGCGATTGTCCAATCCCCTGCGTAAATTCCACGGGTCACCCCCGCTGGATTTCCCCATTCGTCCCAATCAAGCCACCCCAGGAGTCCGTGCAGCAGGTTGTCCGCCAACCGTCTGGGGTGTGAAAGCCACCCAAAGCCCAGTGGTTATGTCTAGCGCGCAGCTGGTTCCCCATTCCGGAGCCCTTGGCTTGTCGGTCTATGCCGGCAATTGAATATAAAAGAGAGTGGCTCCCGCGTTTGGTTTGCTCCAGGCTTTTACCCAGTCTGCCATACGAGAAGTCACCACCATGGCGCCGTTCTTCAAGAATTATCGGGTGTACATCCTCACTTCGGTGGCCTATGTGGGCTCCCTTCTTTTTGGTGAGTATCGCTCAGACTGTTTACCCACCCCCATTGACTAATGTACCTCGTTTTCAGGCTATGACACGGGTGTGATGGGTAGTGTCCTGGCTCTTGACAGCTTCAAGAAGGATTTTGGCCTACCTATAGGATCATCAGGTTTTGCCGACGCCAAAAACACGTCGGTTTCGTCCAATGTGGTGTCCCTGCTGACAGCGGGCTGTTTCTTCGGCTCAATCTTCGCCGCTTTTCTCAACGATCGCATTGGCCGTCGATACTCGCTGATGATCTTTTGCATGATCTTCCTAGTTGGCGCTGCCATTCAAGTTGGCGCCCACCACGAGATTGGGATGATTTACGGCGGACGTGTGGTTGCCGGTCTGGGAATCGGCGGCATGTCCAGCATCACCCCGGTTTTCGTCAGCGAGAACTGTCCCCCAAAGACTCGTGGTCGCGTGGCTGGTCTATTCCAGGAGTTTTTGGTTATTGGCAGCACCTTCGCCTACTGGTTGGACTATGGCGTGTCGCTGCATATCCCTGAAGGAACGAGCCAGTGGCGCATTCCCGTCGCCATCCAACTGATCCCCGGTGGCCTGATGTTTATTGGTCTTTTCTTCCTGAAGGAGTCTCCGCGTTGGCTGATGAAGCAGGGCCGTCATGAGGAGGCCTTGGATTCGCTTGCCTACATCCGCAATGAGTCCCAGGACAGTGAGCCAGTCCGCAAGGAGATTGCGGAGATCAATGCTGCTATTCAAGAAGAGCTGGCCGCCACGGAGGGTGTCACCTGGAAAGAATGCCTACAGAAGAGCAACCGATACCGCTTCTTCTTGGCTTTTGTTCTTATGTTCTGGCAACAGTTCTCAGGCACCAACTCTATTGGATACTATGCGCCTGAGATTTTCCAGACGGTGGGTTGGCCCATTTACATTCTCATCTCTTTAATGGAAACACATCTGACGCAGATAACAGGTCGGTTTGTCCAAGACTTCGTCTTCCCTGTTTGCTACTGGCATCTACGGAACTGTCAAGGTGATCGCGACTGGAATTTTCCTGTTGGTTGGCATTGACCGCTGGGGACGAAAGAAGAGCTTGATCGGTGGTGCGGCCTGGATGTCCGTTATGATGTTCATCATCGGCGCCGTTCTGGCTACTCATCCTCCTAATCTAAAATCCAAGACTGTTTCGCCGGCGTCGATTGGTATGGTGGTAATGATCTACCTGTATGTGATAGGGTACTCGGCCTCTTGGGGCCCGACTCCGTGGGTGTATCTGGGCGAGGTATGTTTTCGTTTCCTTCTTTCACTAGACCTCTGCTGACATTCCCTCTAGATCTTCCCAACCCGTCTCCGCTCTTATGGTGTCGGTCTCGGTGCCGCCACACAATGGTTGTTCAACTTTGTTATCACCGAGGTCACTCCTCATGCTATCAACAGTATTGGCTGGAAGGTATGTTCTTTGAGATCAAGGCAATTGTGACCGCAGCTAATCGTTTGGAAAGACTTTTATTATGTTCGGTGTGTTCTGTTTCGCGATGGGCATCTTCATTGTTATCTTCTTCAAGGAGACCAAGGGCCGCACGCTGGAAGAGATGGACCTTGTCTTCGGTGCTATTGATGAGGAACAGAGACGCGCTGATGTGGAGAGCACCATGCAGAAGAGTGAGTTTGCGCATGCTGAGCATGCAGAGTAGAAGTAACTTGGTTTACGAGTGTGATTTGATGATGCCTTGATGTATATCTTCAATATTATTATCGTACTCGACTTCGTATTCTGTAAGTATCCACATCGCTCTCATAAGAAAAGCACACAACGTAAGTGTTCTCATTGCCATGTATTTGATACTGGTCTATTTGCTTTATTATAAACCCCTATTGATGAACCGAAAGCTGGAGCAAAAAGAAGATTTTGGCTATTATTGTATCTGCTTAATAGAGTAATTTGATGCCTGAGCGATAAGGACCCATATCCGCGGGGAACCAGAACTCGACATTTTGGCATCTGCCCTCGCTCCTTCGTCATGCAATGGCAATGACATCCCTAGACGACACCTGCGCTTCCCTGCGCTCTCAGATTGCAGCAACAGAAGCGTCCCTAGCTGCACTGAAAGGCGATCTCGCCCGCGCCGAACAGGCCGCCACCGCGACGCTGAGCACCGACACCGCGGGAAACATTGGCAATGGCCCGACACGCTGGCCGCTGATGCCAGACGAGTATCGACGATATGGACGGCAGATGATCGTATCACAGGTTGCTTTGCAAGGTTAGTGCCGCTTGTTTTTTTGGAGTGCGCGCGAAGAAGCTAACATCCCGAGTCGCAAGGCCAGCTCAAACTCCGATCCGCTAGGGTATTGCTCGTCGGCGCAGGCGGGCTGGGATGTCCTGCAGCACAGTACCTGGCTGGAGCAGGGGTGGGAACGATCGGCCTGATTGACGGCGACACGGTCGAGGCCTCGAATTTGCATCGCCAGGTGCTGCATCGAACTAGGAACGTGGGGAAATACAAGGTGGACAGCGCGATTGAGTCTTTACGAGAGTGAGTACTCTCTCATCCTTCAAAATGCCAATTATTGACGATCTTCCTTTGGCAGCTTGAATCCGCATCCTACGTACATTGCGCATCGCACTCATCTCACACCTGCAGAAGCCCCGACTATCTTTCGAGAGTATGATCTCATCCTCGATTGCACGGACAACCCAGCGACCCGCTACTTGATCTCCGATACTGCAGTACTCCTTGGCAAACCGCTTGTCTCGGCGTCTGCCCTGCGTACCGAAGGCCAGCTGATGGTGCTGAACAATCCCCCGCGACCTCCGGGAGACAAGAGTGGAGGGCCGTGCTATCGATGCGTCTTTCCGAGACCACCGCCAGCTGACAGCGTGGTCAGTTGTGCAGATGGAGGGATTCTGGGACCAGTCGTGGGAACTATGGGTGTCTTGCAGGCCCTCGAGGCGATCAAGGTTATCACTGCACCGTCCGTCGATGCGACAAGCTCAAAAGAGCCTCCGTCGCTGCATATCTTCTCGGCATATTCGTCTTCTCCATTCCGTACTATTCGTCTGCGCTCTCGTCGGCCCACCTGTGCAGTATGCTCCGCCGAGGCTAGTGTCACGTTGGATACGATCATGTCAGGATCCACCGACTATGTGTTTTTCTGTGGTTCAGCGAACCCGGCCTCGCTGCTTGGTCCGACCGAGCGCATTTCCGCGCTGGAGTATCACGAACGGTATCCAGACAATGCACCTGCGCCCACCATCATTGACGTGCGAGACAAGGTCCAGTTTGATATCTGCAATCTGGCAAACAGCATCAACATCCCCATATCGACCATTCTCTCTTCTTCTTCGACGCCGTCCAAGGCTCAAAACGACAACGTTGATAACCAGAGTCAACTGCCCCCATGGATTCCTTCAGAAGTCGCCAATTCCGATCACCCAGTTTATGTGGTCTGTCGTCTCGGAAACGACTCGCAGATTGCGGTCAAAAAGATGAAAGACTTGGGCCTGCACCAAGACGGACGGCGCTTCATCGGTGATATCCGGGGAGGTTTCCGCGCGTGGCGAGATGAAGTAGACCCGGATTGGCCGGAATATTGATTCTTGCTGGTGGTCATCATGTTTGTGATTCAAGAAACATTCACCGGCGGCTTCTGAAGCCACGACCATTCCACGGAGACTCGACCTTGGTCAATCTCGGCCAGTTTTTCAAACACTGCGGGCGCCACGTCGATGTCTGTCACAGCGCACCCGACGCATCGATCCACTATCGTCACATCCACGCTCTTGTCGTCGCGGCGCAGTCGCAGTTTCATTCCGCAGAGCGGGTTGTCATTAGGGTCTGAGCCTGTCGATGCTGCGTCGAAGAGAATGTGGGATATGGCGCAGATCATATCCGAGTCTGTGCTTGTGATACCGCAAGCTCCCAGTCCTGGGTTGTAGTAGGTTAGGTCTCCCTCGTAGGGCCCACCATTAGCGGTGGGAAGTGGAAGATTGCTGTTGTGTCTGTATCATCGGTCATTAAGACAGGATTAGAAAAATAACAAATTGGCATATTTACTTTTTCCCCACCGTCAATCCGACTGCAAGACCGATGATCAATGCGAGGAGCAGCACGGCAATCGCGATACCGATAATAACGAGTTTGCGACGGCGTCTCCAGAGTAAAGATAGATCAATCGAAGGCCGACTCCATTTCTGGCCGGGACTCGATCTTGCGTCTTTTACATCGCCATAAACCACGCCTGTAGTCGTCTCCGGGACTGGGGCTGGACCGGGAACTGGTTTGCGTTTCGGCACTGTCGACCAGGGCGCAGCCGGCGCGGACTCGTCGCGACACAGAGTCTTCGGATTGGGAGCGACTGATTCCACATCAACCGATGTTTTCGTTTCCTGGGAGGAAGTATCCATTGCAGCATCAAAGGGGGGCCAAATATTGACAGTGAGACGGATGAAGAAGAGAGGGAGGAAAGAGAGACGTCAATTGGGGGTTAATTAAAATCTCACTCTGGAGAAAGAGAGGCTAACGGCCTTGGTACAAGTTTAAGCGCCGGGGCCTCGTTCAGGGGGTACGGAAGACGATAAGGTACGGAAGACACACTTGACAGGGAACATGAATAGAATGTGCAACAACCACTGTGCCTGCATGCATTCGAAATTTAGCTCGCGAGATGCAGCTTAAGAGGATTAAAATAATATGGCTTCAATCAAAGCACAATGAAGCGGGGATAGCTACATAATCGTAACCCGCTCCCCGATTTGCATCTATGCCCACCCGGCCATAGGTTAATAAAAAAATGTGAGGTGTCATTCCAAGTATAATTTCAATATTTCACCCCTGATTTGTCCAAGGTTCAAGACTTGCTTGCCATCTCTCAGGGATCAAGGTTTCATGATACCCGCAAACCGTGATCACTCAGTCAAGACAACTCGGCCTTCATGATAAGAGCACCCTTCCTTAAACCATATGAGGCTGCACCGGCTGATAAGCAAGAATATTTAATTCATCTAGAGTACCAAGCGCAGATCTTCTGACGTTGCTCTACCAACTTGCAATGATTCCGTTGTCATAGGTATCATGTAACGCGGCCACTTGTTGCTACAACGGCATTTGAATGAGGTATTACAGGGTTATATTAGGTAGATTTATCTCAAATGACAAGGCTATCACTATGTTTGTGATTTTTGGATGATATTGCGTGACCGTCACCAAAGGATAATGGTTAAAATTGGATATTATGATAACGAAATTCTGTTCTACCTTGACATGCTTCATTAATTGGATGATCTGCTGGAAACAACACCAATGAGACCTTTTTATTTAGTTACGGATGACAATATGTGACCGTCTCCTAGATCTCCAAGATCAGTCATCATACTAAGCAGACTTCCGTCTGACTGTTTTCTTACCTATGAAAATGCTGAATGGATGACATGCTGAAAAGAAAACACTTGTGGACGATCTCCTGTCAATCACAGATACCATCGTATGACTAATATGTGTGTATAACGTTAATTAATGCTACACTTGTGTTCGGAATGGGTTAATTTTGGACTCCGATGACAGAACTTCTATATATCAGACTGCAAGGGTGAGATCTCAAAACCAAAGGGTCCGTTCTGTTATTGACTTTACCATGTTGGAAATCGTTTTCTTTTTGTTCGTTATTTGTATTGATTATTCGAAATGAGGATAACCGTTTTTATCTGGTTTGACATCTTGTTTGCACAATCACAGAGTACTACGTGCTCGATCCCCTACCACACACCCGCAAGCCATCTTCTAGCTTAGAGGGTTAACTAGGTGGCATATCCTGACTAATTAGAGGGAAGGTACTCCCCCCCTCAAAAAACAAGAGATCGTTCAAAAAAAGAAGAAAGGTCGTGCCCGGGATCGAACCGGGACTACCAGAACACATGGTAATATCAGAATCTGGGGTCCTAACCATTAGACTACACAACCTGAACAATTGATCAAAATTCTGAAGGAAAGATCTAAGAGATTTTGGCCAACTGAAATATAGGGTTGAAAGTTGTTGTGACACCGGCTACGTTTCCCAACAATCAATTGCCTTTTACTGGACATTTGATATTGCAAGGAAATATTGCTAGGTGTCAACTCTGACCCGGAAAATCCCCTTTTTTATTTTAATCTCTGGCTTTTTTGTTCCTTTAATGCAAATCAATTGATTATTGAGGCAACTAGATGGAAGGGCGATGCAAGTCATATATTTAGCTGCTGCTCCGGGTTTGGCAGGGCTTTTATTGTATATGTAAGAATTACCTATCATTCTAGGCCTCTACGCCTAAGCTTAGTATAAGTTTACGCGATGCTGTCGAGGATGCTTCTACTATCTGTATGTTCACATACATGGTTTTAGCCTTCATGAAACGCCCCTGACCTGACCAAGCGAGGCGGCCACCCCATTGCACAGAAGGGATGAGAGGGCGGGCGTGGTCGAAGGGATGGGTGTGTAGGCACGCCGTACTTTGCCGGGGAGGCCATTTTCGGCTGTCCAGCAGGCTGGACAGGGCCGCATCAGCACAGATGCTTTCTCTACGAAGTAATATTTAGATAATATCTAGCCTAATTATGAAGTTTAACGGACTTATAGTGTTAAGTGGTTCAGCTATATATTTGCTGCCTCTGCACTTGTATTTTTGGCAGCCCGGTGAAATTATTGTTTTTAAACCCAGATTTAGAATCACTGCAGATCACAGAAGACTACTTACTGCCCACGAAACCCCAGAGATGTTCAAGAGCGAGGAGTATCCACGATGGCCCTTTGCACCTAATATTTACTTGGCTGGAATACACCTTCTACTCGTCGTAATATAGGATCTAACAAAGAGTGAAAATCAAGTCCTTGTGACATCCCTTCATGGGGATTTAGGAATCCAGGGCACGGCCAGGAATGTCGAATGTGACAGGAACGGGGAATGTGACAAATTTTATTGGGATTTTCCACAGGGTTCGGATATTCGAATCTTTTTGGCAGCATTTTTCTCTCGTCTTCTCAATTTAGTAGAAAGTGTAGTTGCAGATTGGACAGTAAACAATTCAAGAGACCCGGAACTTTCTGAGTATTACTGTCAAGTTCAATGACTAAGTTACTATATGTATATATGATGACAGCTAGATTCGAGATACTACCAAAGGTTAGTTGGTACGTACAAATAGCCGATTAAACATCTGATCTATTATTCTATTGTAATTATTAACTCCTGAAAAAAAAAACATTTTCCGATGCGGGGAATTGAACCCCGGGCTACCGTGTGAGAGACGGTGATGTTACCACTACACCACATCGGATTGTTATTGAATTACGGAGCTAGCTTTGATATTATAAATCGTGGTATCTTTCGCTGCCTCAAATCACGCCCTATAAAGGGCCATACTGTATGTACATTCCACCCTTGGTACTAACAAAAACATCTAATAATAGAATTCTGACCTCCTTTCTGCCCTATATTCACTATCGTTATCTCGAGATCGCCAGCCTTTATAGTGAACGATCACGCTCCTTGTTTGGTCCTCTCGCCAACATGTCAATCCTTGCGGACCTACGTTTTGCTGGCGGTAGCACCGTTTTGCAGACTTTGATTCCAACTATACTTCTTATCACGACACAGAAGCAATCGGTTTTTCGGTATCTCGCAATCTTATGCATGATCTGGGTCGCGAGCCAAAATGTGCGCCAAATGGCTCGGTCCTGTGGAATATTCCCGCTTATCGCGGGACAAACATTCATAAATATCCCTCAAGCCGCGAATTTGCTGCTGATCAACCCTCTTGATGCGGATGACCTCGCCCGCGAGAAGCCTGGCCGTACAAAAACTCTCACTGGGCGTATGTACTACTCCTTTGAGCTGCTATGCCAAAATCGTGGTGTAGGAACTCCCCGACAGGTGAAGGGCATTCCCTCGTACCCAGCATACTATTGTGATACAAAGAAAGGCGGCATCACTTTCATTCCCCGACGTGCTTTTTTGCTAAGACAGTTCGTTGTTTTGGCCTGGCAATACGCTCTATGCGATATCATCCAGTTCGCCGTTCACCAACAGGCAGCGGGACCATCGGCTGTGGTGTTCACAGAACCCAAGTGGAATGTGTCCCTTAATGAGTGGATTAAGCGTTGCCTAACACATTCTATTTCTTGGTTTCTGATTACTCGTATATTCATTGATTCCCGTTACCGCTTGGTCTCGATCGTCACCGTTGGACTCGGGATGAGTTCTCCTCCAGACTGGCCTCCAGTGTTTGGCAGAATGGCCGATGCTTATACGTTACGACAGTTCTGGGGGTAAGATATCCTTCTGCTTGCTTTGTCTTTCCTTTGAATCCCTAACCCGAGAATTCGAGTGACCATTTCTGACGCCTTTGGCAGAACCTTTTGGCATCAGCTTCTACGGCAGCCGTTTACAGCAGTCAGCAACTGGATCGCCCGCGACATAATGCATCTTCCTAGGCCATCAGTACTGGAACGATACACGAATATCTTCCTTGTGTTCCTTCAATCGGGCCTGTTTCATGTTATGACCGATGCTGTCGCGGGTATTCCTACGCAGTACTCTGGCGCATTGCCCTTTTTTACAAGTTTCACATTGGGAATTATGATCGAAGATGGTATCCAAGAACTTTATAAACGGATGACAGGATCCGAGGAGCATTTTGTTCCAAGTTGGAAGCGAGCTATTGGTTACCTTTGGGTTATAATATGGCTGGGTGTTACATCAACGTGGCAACTCCATCCAAGTAGCCAGAATACTCCTCCACACGAGCTGAGTATAGTTCCCTTCAGCATATCGGATCGCATTGGACCTACACCGATGGCTGGATTTACCGCAATAAGCGGTCTTGTTCTGATTTCCAGATTTGGTATTGAAATGTGACGATCGGCGGAATTGATACAAACTCCTGAATCCTCTATAGTTGATTGTAGTTATACATCCTGGCTTACGTGACTGACATCACCGTTTGCGGGGATTTACATTGGTGGAGTGTCACGTGGCACGGTAGTTTTGGTTGCTGCGCCTCGGGCAACACAACCTCGCGTTGGACCACAAACTGAAACGATTATTGGGCGCATCGACTACGGTGCGCCCCCGGCTAGACAAAATCAAACATGGCTTCCCGTGTCAGCTCGCACAGGTCGGCCTCCCTGCGCCAGTCGCAGTTACAGCAGGACGAGGACGAGGACTCGTGCAAGGATAAGCAGACCCTTGCGAGTTGGGTGAAGAACATCTGGAAGAAGTCCGGTCTGGACCAGCAAACCATTCTGCTAATGATGAAGTGAGTTGGGGATTATTAGAGTAAACTCTATGCAGGATAAACTAACTAACGGGTGCTGCAGGGGCGGCATTCCACCGACGATCGCGGTGTCCATGTAAGTCGACCCAATGGGTGTGTGGAAGAATGCCCTGAGTTTTGACTGAACGCGACGCAGCTATCAATCCACCGATGTGGCAGACCAATATACGACTCTGGGTTATCTGACGGCCGTGGTCTCCATCCTGGGCTTCGCCATCCAGCCTCGGGCCAAGTTCCTCCAGATGATCATCTTCGATGCTTTGGCCGTCTGTCTGGCGGCGTCATTTGCCCTCTTGACTATGTACTCCAGCGTTCAGGCACGCTATAACACAACCCCTAGTATATTCACCACCCGCTCGGCGACCAATCCATCCAGTCAGGCGTATAATTCGTCGTCCTCTGCCGTCAGCGGAGTCTTTTTGTTCTTTCAGATCTGGCTGGTTCATACTTTCCGCGCCAAGTACCCGCAATTCCAGTTTCCTGTGGTCATCTACTCAATCTTCGCTAATGTCTCGTCGATATATGCGCCACAGATCGAAAATATGACCTCCGCAATCAGCCTGGTGAAGCGACTTCTAGAGGCATTTCTCACTGGCCTTGGTATTTCAACCGCCGTGTCGCTCTTTATTCTTCCAACGACGTCGCGAAAGGTTGTCTTTAATGAGATGAGCGGCTACATCGGCGGGTTGCGGTCCGCACTGGAGGCTCATGTCGTCTACTTCGAGACGCTGGAAAGAAACGACATGTTTGGTCGCGCCGATACATTCGATGACTCCCGTGAGAAATTCGGCGAGAAGGGAAAGATTTATAGTCCCGAAGCAGAGACCATCCGCTCTTCGATCCGTCAAATTACAGATCTCCATGCCAAGCTCCACGGCGATTTGACATTTGCAAAGCGAGAGTTTGCGCTGGGGAAACTGGGCCCTAATGATCTCAAAACGGTCTTTCGTCACCTCCGACAAATTATGATACCTGTGGTCGGCTTGAGCTTTGTGGTTGATATTTTTCAGCGACTGTCAGAGTACAACAGATGGAACGAACCTCTAGATCCCAACGCCGAAACTCTCCCGGATGACGTGCGCGAGCGCGTCGTACGAGAATGGAACGATATAATGAGGGCAGTGCACGATCCATTCGCAGATATGATCCAGACAATCGACGAGGGTTTGCTTCATACTTCGTATGTTTTCAGATTGACTAAGCCGCCCAAGAAGTCCGCTGCTGCTTTTGCTACAAGCAGCGGAAACTCCACCGAAGAGAACAAGGACGTGGAAGCCCCGGTAGAGAACACTGCTCCTGGAGAAAAAGAATTTACGCCTCATTTTGAAAAGAAACTGGGCGAGTTCCGATGCGCAAAGCGGATTGCACTGCAAGCATGGGCTGAAGAAAAGGGTATTACACTGCCGCCGGATTTCTTTGATCACCCACAGTCGATGGAGATCTTGGAGAGTGACTTTTTAAACGAATCTTCATCACAACGGGATCGAAGTCGGCGACAGCTTTATCTAATCTTATACGTGTGTAACACACTCAACTTTCAAGGGGAAAAAAGCTAACATCAATTTACAGATGGATCAATTGCTTTATTCGACAGGACAGACCGTTCTAGATTTCGTCCGATATGCGGATCACGTCGCCGCCAAGGGAAAGCTGTCCAAGACCCGGCTCATCATCCCTGGGGCGCCGCGGCTGTGGAAGTGGGTTAAGAGTATGCTGACGGCAGAGGATACGCACCACGAAGACGATACCCTGGGCGATATCCACGCGCAGAATAGTATCCTCGAGCTAGGAGAAGCCTATAAACATCGCAAAGACCCTGAACACCTCCCACCCGAAACCTGGTTCCAAAAGATTGGAGACAGGGTTCGTAAAGTTCCCTGGTTTCTGCGGTCAAATGAATCTTCATACGGCTTCCGAGTCGCCTGTGCCACGATGACCATCGCGATTATTGCCTTACTGCACGACACGCAGACCTTTTTCATCAAGCAGCGTCTGGTGTGGGCCATGATCATGGTCAACCTTAGCATGTCCCCGACATCCGGCCAGAGCATCTTCAGTTTCGTGCTAAGAATTGCTGGCACAACGATCGCAATGGTGGCAAGTCTCTTGGTATGGTATATACCTGACCAAAAGACGCCAGGTGTAATTATCTTTCTATTCATTTTTGTCTCTTGCGGGTTTTATGTGCCCATCAAGATGTTCCGCTTTCGAGTGATTGGAATCATCAGCATCGTGACTACGACAATGATCATCGGCTACGAGCTGCAAGTTCGCAAGGTCGGGGAGAAGGTTGCCACATCCAACGGCCAGCCATATTATCCTATCTATCTCCTCGCGCCTTACCGGCTAGCAGCCACCTCTGGAGGTATTGCCGTTGCGTTCATTTGGACGTTCTTCCCCTATCCAATTTCAGAACATTCGGTGCTTCGCCAGAATCTAGGAGCCTCTCTTTATCTGCTGGCGAACCACTACTCGATCATTCACGAAACGGTATCTGCACGCATGCGCGGCGATGAGTGGGGCACCAACAGTAAGACGTCTCGAAAGCTCGAGAAAGCCCGCCACAAAGTGTTCTCCAAACAAATGTTGATGCTGAATGGATTGCGGACATACTCCGAGTTTCTGCGGTGGGAGGTTCCGATCGGTGGCAAGTTTCCCAAGGAGCAGTACGATGCAATTATTGTCTGCGTGGAAAAGTTCGTCTTCCCCCTTTCTAGCCTGGTGTTATTGTGTACTAATTTCATCTGCTGTAGCATCGTGAGCTACCTGAGCTTACTCGGCTACGCGTCCGACACACTGATGAATCTGGGCGACGACGAAGCCACAGACACAGCATGGATGTATCATTTCCGGCAGCTGGTTGGCAGCGCCAAAGTCACCACACATGAGGTCACGTCCCTGTTGTGTCTTCTCTCTGCTAGCATCACGAACAGACAGCCACTACCGCCCTATCTGAAAACCCCGCGGCCGTACAGCTTCTCCAAGCGTCTGGAGGCCCTCGACAAGGACATCTTAAGCATCAGGCACATCGCCGAGCCAGGATTCGCGGCGTTTGCGGTTCTGCAGATCTCCACGAGATGTATTGTCGGGGACGTAGAACGTCTCGTGAAGTATGTATTTCCCTCAATTATGTGGGAAACTCGCTTTGGCTTACATATTCGTCATACAGACTTGTCAAGGGCTTGGTCGGAGAGCTGGACTTCTCCTTCCATGCTGTTAGTACAGCGGATTCGAGAATGACGTCTCGGGCGCCGTCGAGGGCAACGTCGCGGGTCAACATCAATGAGATATCGTCGTTGTCTGTTGATCGAGACAAGATAGACTAGGCAGGTCTGTTGGGTTTGTACATATTCTTTTATGGGAGGATTGCGTTGGACATATTCCGGACTATTGTAAATATTGGACAGACAGCTTGGGTAGCACTTTGATCAGTGCAAGGTGACCAAGGCATGTACAATTGAGCGAATAAAACATAGTCTTATTAAAACCCATGCGCTATCAAGAGGAGCTGAATGATGAGGTGACCTACTTCCTTGGCTGGTTGCGACTGTTACACAAGAACTTAGGGTTATTCGGGTCATGGGATGGCCTACAACTCAACGCTTCTGGCACTGCAACCCCTTATTGTCTCCCTAATGTGTATGGCGAAATGCTCTTAACCTTAATCCCCGGCTACTGTTTCATTGAGCTAGTCCAACATTGGAGAGATACGGACAGAAATTCCTTGCATGATATGCGGAATGCCACCACGGATCCAGGGAGGTAGTTGGAATGTGAGCCAGCCTTGTTCTCTCCAACAACGACGCAACACTCAATGATCTGTCCACCATAATCCCCACAATGGAAGCAGCTTGATTTTCTCATCCTTTGGAGGAGAGCGGTCAGCCATGAAGATATGTACTCAGGATCTGGATATCCCTTGACCTCTGGAATCCAATAGTTTCATCCAATCAGTCCTCCTATCCCTCCCTTTCTTGAATGTGTGGACTGTCAAAAGTACAACATTTTTCAGGAAGTCAGTGTTATCTGGTTACGTTGTTGCTGTTTCGCGAATTTTCATATTCAATTCAAATCTGCTTTTCCTCGGCACAACCTGGCTCAGATCTATATCCGAAGCCCAAAGTCAACAACACACAGCGTGAACCTTTATATCTAGACAAACCTTGGAAAAAGTGGGCAGTCAGCACCACCCTCGTCAAATGGGACATCGTGTCGTATCCAGAGACTTCATCGACCATGACACCAAAGTCAACTTCGACGCGCGCGCGAGCGTGCACAGCGTCGACGATGAGGAAACAAAAACACATCCTGCGCTAGGAAGCACCGTCCAGCTTTTCGAGAGCGAACAAGCGCCCGATGATCGAAGATGGCAGTCCGGGATCCGGGAACGGCTGGTGTTCATATGCATTATCATCCTGGCGATGATGGATGCGTTTAACGCGACGGTTATGATTCCTGTCTTGCCGGTAAGTGATATGATAAGTTTTCCTCTCTGCCTAGGAAGAGATAGCTGATTAAGTTGGTTGCAAACGATAGCATCTGGCAAATACGTTCCAAGCGCCTCTAGTCACAACCCTCTGGGTCAATACAGCCTATCTCGCCCTCAACGCCGCCAGCCAGCTTTTCTTCCCGATGTTGTGCGAGGTATTTAGCCATGGACCCGTCTGGATCATCGCCGTCGTGTTCGCAACTATTGGCACGGGCATCTGCAGCGGATCAATGACTCTGTCAGAGCTGATCGTCGGCCGGCTCGTGCAAGGACTCGGTGCAGGCGGGTCGACGAGCCTGTGTTTCGTGGTGATGGCCGAGTCATCACCTGAGCCCATTCACGCCCGCTACTCGAGCTATATCCTGCTAACCCGCATGCTGGGCGCCATTCTGGGCCCGATTGTGGGCGGCTTGTTTGTCGATAACGCGCACTGGACCTGGGCGTTTTATTTCAATTTTATTTTCTGTGCACTAGGCCTGCTCGCTATCCCGTTCGCCGTGGATCTGCGTTTCTCGAAGAATATCCCTCTTCGGAAATTGCGCATCCTCGACTGGTCCGGCGCCACCATGGTTCCTATGGGTGCCGGTGGGATTATTCTCGGGCTCAGTTGGGGAGGTGTCTACTTTCGCTGGCTTCAGTGGGAGAGTCTCGCGCCGATTGCTGTTGGCGTGGCTGGGTTCGTGGCGCTGGCGTTTTATGAGTCCTTCTGGGCGTTGCACCCGCTCTTCTGTAGACGGGTGTTCCGGTCCTGTGCGATGGTCATGACATATGTAGGATGCTTCCTGCACGGCTTTCTGGTAAGTCTGACCTAAACTTTAATCTGAATCTGTGCCAGTCAATCTGATGCTCGCCAAGGTCTTCTGCCAGCTGCAATTTTTCGCGCTTTATTTCATGTCAACGAAGTATCTCACTCCCACCGTCTCTGGCACCACTCTGTTAGCCATCAACGGGCTGGCAATGGCACCCGCCGCGGTAGTGGGCATAGTCCTCGCTCACGAGATGCAATATTTGCACTGGATCATCTCCAGTGGCTGGATGCTCACCTTGCTCGCAGCGGGCTGCGCGATCCTGCTCAACAGCACTACACCGACGGTAGGCTGGGTATTTTTATTTTTCTCCGCAGGCCTAGGCCACGGTCTCCTTTTCGCGAGCTATAACATTCGCATCTGGAATGCTCCCAAGGACGAGGCTGCTTCTTGGCCTACGAAGCCGGCGACCATCTCGCTGCTTATAAGGGGTTGGGGCATGGCTGCCGCTCTGCCAATCGGGGGCGTTGTGTTTTTGACATTTCTTGCCGCGGAGTTGGATAAGATTGGTTTGCAGCGGGATCTCATTAATACGGCGAATGGATATCTCATCTTGATGAATGACGTGCAGATGGATCATGGTCAGAGGGAGACTATCAAGGCAGCCACGGCGGTGGCATTCCGCGTGGTTTGGGAACTCCTGGCTGGTGTTGCTGCACTGGGAGGCATTTCATCGGTTTTTCTGTGGAAGAAGGGTCGATAAAATGATTCATTGTCTCATATGGCCAGCAATCAATAAGAGATATTGACGTCTTGTCCATTGCTAGATTGTCTGATGAATGAATCACACCTTAAGATGGCTCGATTAGGGCAGGCCAAGAACCCTCAGGCCTGCCTTAGCCCCGTTGTCTTTTGGCAGAGGAGCCCATTCTTCTTTGATTCTGCCTGTTCTGTTTTTCCCTAGCTGCTTCGTCTACACCCCGGTCCGAGTCTACCCATACCTAGTCCTGCCAGCCGCATGGCCGTGTCATCCACAAGAGCCGTACAAATGAGGTCGATGCAAGAAAAGTGGTAGGTTTTAGGTTGAGTGTACTTGATGTCCGGGTGGTTAGTTCGGAGGGAGGGGGAAGGTTTAAAGGGATAAATATAAAAACACCTATGATGGCCTCCTCGCTGAATGCGCTCGATGCACGAATATGCAAGTTCAGTATGACAGTGCTTTGGGATGCATTCGGCGGGGGCTCGGTGGCTGTATATCAAATTGCTTGCCACAGGAGTCGGGAATCACCACCCCTGTCATCAACCAAGATTGATCTCAGTCGGTGAGAACCGGGACCACCACGTCATCCCGATCACTTCCTTCGGGGAGCAAGAACCCGAGACACAAGGATGTCAGGCATCCCGATCGATCGGTGACCGCAATGAGCAGGGCTCGTAAAAAGCTCGTAAACGGGGCCGCCAGGGCTGGTGAGGCTGAGTCAGCCCGATTCCTCCCGATGGTCACCTGCCCAGAGACGGTGTATTGTGGTGACAGACTCAACACGGATGAAGACGAACGCGCGCGATGCAGAGATAATGGGAAGGGGTAGAAATTTGTTTCTTCTTCGATGAGAGCAAATGAGTCGGTGTCTGGCCGGGCCAAGTGCCAGATGCGCCGTTGATGGGTCGGTCGGTCGGCGATCGTCAGTGCGCTGCGGGTAAGGGCTAGTATGTCGTACCTGAGCGAAGTATGTACGAACGTCAAGAAACACGGTCAACCACGGGCATGCCACGGATCAACAGGGTCAGGCACAGGAGGAGTTTTCGTCATGCCGGACATATAAAACCCAGTGACGCGGGTTGAGCATCATTCCCCATCTGTTATCTACATTCGACAAACTACTACTACTACCTCCACCATGAATGCATTATCGGCCACTGCGCCCTTGCGGGCTGCAGCACCACGCACCTACCTCCATCTCGCCGTGCGCACCTACTCCGGTGTCGCCGTGATGGCCTTCAACGGCCCATGCCACCACACAAGCAGATGTTCTGCGCCATTGACCTCCTCTTCCAAGCGCCTCATCTCTTCCACGCCGCAACATCACATCAAGGAATACTTCCCGCCCCCAGAATCTAAAACGGTCAAGGGAGTAAACACTTTGTGGGCTCATCCAGTGTACGTCTAATTGAATGGCTCCTATCCGTTCAGAGATACTAAACCCGTCTTAGATACACCGAGGCTCAGATGCGGAATATCCAGGTTGCGCATCGAGAAGCATCCAATTGGTCTGACTGGACTGCTCTGGGAGCGGTGCGCTTCTTCCGCTGGGGTATGGACTTGGTGACGGGATACAAACACCCAGAGCCCGGCCAAGAGACCCCGGCCCGGTTCAAGATGACGGAGAAGAAATGGTTGGCGCGGTTTATCTTCCTGGAGAGCGTTGCTGGTGTCCCGGGCATGGTGGGCGGCATGCTGCGACACCTGCGGAGTTTACGGCGGATGAAGAGAGATAACGGATGGTACGAGCCACACGGGCCTACAGTGCAAATAACACGAGACTGACGGACTGTATTGCAACAGGATCGAAACATTACTCGAAGAAGCGTTCAACGAGCGCATGCACCTCCTCACATTCCTCAAGCTCGCCGAGCCCGGCTGGTTCATGCGCCTAATGGTGCTCGGCGCACAGGGCGTGTTCTTCAACGGCTTCTTCGTCTCCTACCTCATATCGCCGCGGATCTGCCACCGCTTCGTGGGGTATCTGGAAGAAGAAGCCGTGCTCACCTACACACGCGCGATCGAGGAACTCGAGGCGGGCAAACTGCCGGAATGGAGCGAGCTGGAGGCCCCGGCGATCGCTGTGAAGTACTGGGAGATGCCGGAGCACCAGCGCAAGATGCGCGATCTGCTCATGTACATTCGGGCGGATGAGGCGAAGCACCGCGAGGTCAACCATACGCTTGGTAACCTGGACCAGGCGGTCGACCCGAACCCCTACCAGGCCGAGTATCACGACCCGACTAAGATGCATCCGACTAAGGGGATTGAGAATTTGAAGGCGACGGGGTGGGAACGGAAAGAAGTGCTGTGATTATGAAAAGCCATGTCGTGCATTAGTCACTTTTGTTATTGTTATTGTTAGTGTTGTTGTTGTCGTTGTCGTTGTCGTTGGTGTACAGTATATAGTCCATCCATCAGTTAGGGCTCGAAGGCAAGGGACGCGGGCACGCTAAGCCCAGACAGGCAATTCACCAACAGAGAACTCCCGTCCCTCTCGATGTATAACTACCGTCTGTACTTCCCCAGTCTCGACCCTGACCGTGACCGGACACTCAGTGGCCACCGTCGGGAGTCTGAAAACACCAACCACCAATCCCAACAACCCCCTCGTCACCCTGACGCGCATCGCCCGCGACCCGCCCCTTTAGCCCCGTTCGGCAACCCCCTATTTAGCCCAAAGCAGCGTCTCGCCCGGCGATCGTGCATCAAACCGTTTCTTTCATCCTACTTAATTCCGTTGGCCGTGCGACCGAGGGCTGGACTCGCCTGTGACCACTTGTTTCATACTATCCATTCTTTCCCCAGACTTTCGCCACGTCAATCACGACACACATTCCAACATTCTAGTGTCCGACCAAACACTCGCTGCAGCATGGCCGAGTCCCCCGTGCTGGCCGACGCACTCCCACCTCCCGTCCGGGCCTCATCGCCCTCGCCTGACATCCCGGCGACGCCCGCCATCTCCTCGTCTTCCTCGCCAGACCGCACCTTCTCCTCTGTCTCCTCGCGCTCGGCCTCCTCCGTCACCTCCGCCGATGCCAGATCGTCCGTGTCCACCTCCTCACGCCGCCATGGGTACATCCGCGCCGTGGGCGCCGACTTTGCGGACTCGGCCCGCAATCGAGACAGCGTCATGAGTCTGGGGAGTATCGCCCATCTGCAGTACTACTTTGCTCGCACGGGTCTGCTGGATGGCAAGACTGGGCGCGGCAAGGAGTTTCAGAAAAAGAACAAGAACCGGGAAAACCTGCCCCGAGTGCTCATCACCCCGAATGAACGGCATATTGACGACGATCTGACTGCCAGTCCCACGGAGATGGCGGACCGTGCCGAGCAGGACGCTGCGTTCGATGACGAGGACGAAGACGCCGAGGTCATGCTCCCGCCCACCGTGAGCACGTACAGTATCAAAACTCACCATATCCCGCCCCCACCAGACCAGCTGTCCCTCCGCCGAGATCTCTCCGCCGCGCTGGCCAAGGCAGAGCGCAGTATCAAGGCGATTGCAGATGGTCTCGAGCTCCCGTGGGAATCCACTCGAGCCAGCCTGTCACCCGGGGATATCCCCGAGGTGCTGCAGGACGACCAGACCGAAGCCCCGACTCCATCGACCAAGGAAGAGGCGCTGGGGATGTTCATCCTCGACGACGTGACGATGGCCATCCGGGCCGCCAAGATCTACTACACAGCCCACGAACGGCCGGACCGTCTGGCGTCGATCAAGAGCGAGCGCGAAATCCGCAAGGACCTCTTCCATGTGCTGGACGTGCTCAAGAAATGGGCCTCGCGCTCCTTCGCTAATGGCCTCCGCGACGAGGAGCGCACCACTATTACCGAGTGGATCGCCGGTGTCCGGGCGATGCTGGCCCGCGAGAAGGCGCTCGAAGACCTCGAGACCCAGGAGCGCCAAAGCTGGGATTGGGCTAGTGGCGACTGGACCGGACGCGAGCGTGCACGCGAAGAGTCCTTCCTGCGCAGCATCATGCCGGGTGGCGAGTCCCTGCCGAAATGGACACCCGTCGAGGACGATCAGCCTGGCGATGACTCTAAGCCTCTTCCTCCGCCATTCCTCACCCACATCCGGGACGGCCGGGCCCTCGTACAGACGCACAACCTCGCCGTACAAAAGTCCAAACGCCCATTCGGCGAGATCAAGGCCTTTCACCAGGATATCGCGAAGCCGTACCGGCAGGCCGAGAATCTGCGGTTCTGGGTGAAAGCGGCGGAGCTGCGGTGGGAGCTGCGATTGGAGATGGACGTGATGGGGGTGGTGCAGGGCAGCAGCGCGAAGTCGTGGAAACAGTTCGATGCCGCGCTGCTGTCGTGGTGTCGGACAGTGCGCGAGGAATTGGTGCGCGACTGGCAGGCGGCCAACCCGGGTCGGCCGCCCAGCGCGGGCCTGATTTAATCCATAGCTCTGTGGTTGTTTTGCATTAGTCTTTGTATACCCCCCTTTGTACATACATTGTGTCTCCGTTGTGTCTTGTTTTGGTTGTGTTGAGAATCTGCTGCATAGATGTATAGTTATTGTTGACCGGATTATTCCCATGGATCTACTACCCATAATTACCATGGAACGATCATCTGTATACTCTAGAATACGTATCTCTCAATGCCCCTGGGAAATGAACGCATAGATCGGCGGCCGATCTTACCTGCCTCGCAGCCTGACACGTTGGGCCGTACGGTAACTAAATTGGGTAACTCACTGAACTATGGCTTCTGCAGTAACACACTCCTTGCGCTGCTGGCTATCATCCACGGGATTACTACTGTTGTCTTTCCTTCTGTCTTGAACGCACTCTCTTTAATATTTCCCTCTTTTTCCTTCTCTCTCTCCCCCTCTCTCTATTTCTCTCAATCTCCCATGTAACCCAGTCCGACCGTCAGAAGGGGCCACCGTACCGACCCGAAACATTCCTTGTCCATCCCTTCCTGATCCTTTCGTCCCTTTTCCCTTCCACCTCCCCCTCCGACACCCATGCACGCCGACGACGTGCCCTCTACTGCGACCGACTCGCATCCTTCCCACGCGTTTCTCGCCTCGCCCTCCCCCGTCGCCCCAAATGACCACGGCCCTCTCCGTCGCCTAAAGTCCAAATCATCCCTGTGGAGTCTGGCAAGTAGCACCACCACCACAGCCCCCGAAGACGACGTTGCCTCCGAAGAAGACAAGTCCCGGCTCCGTCCGTCTATCCTCCGTCGCCTGTCCCCCGCGCTCGCCGCCCGGGTGAAGCTGCTGGACGGCGGCAACAAGGCGTCTGCTTCCCGCAACGCCAGCACGGTCGGCCGCATCCCCGAGGCTCATCTGAAGGAGTTGGACAGTCTCCACCAGGACCTGTCGATCAGGGTCGAGAGGAAAGGCCAGGCCTGGGCTGGCTTGACGCTCACGTCGACCTCACCCGAACAGCACCAAAACGCGTCAAGTACTTCTCAACAACACGACCGCTCCCGCTACGATCCCGGGCAAAGGCTCGAGCACACTGACGTGGCTGTGGTCGGCTCTGCATTGTCAGACCTGACGACCGCTCACACGGAGTGTCCTGACCTGTCCCCCTCTTCCTCCATGTCTGTGGCAGAGCCAGCTCCGGCGCAGCTGCGCGCTGATCCAGACACAGCAGAACCCCGGTCCAGTGGAACCAGCCAAGATAAGACAGACTTTGAGAAATATGTCGAAGACACAGCGCGCAAAGAAGAGGGCGGCGCCCCTATACCCCCGCCGAAAGACTCCCCCCGAACCTATTCGCTCTCTTCCTCTTCACAATTCAACCCGCGAGGCCTACAGCGCACCGAATCCATATACTCCTTTTCCCGTGCCTCATTCAGCAACCAGCTCTCCCAACTGACGTCCATCCCGCTGCCGCAACCATCTTCGCTCGAGGCGAACATCGCCAGTATACCCACGGCTTTGGCTGCCGTGCGGGGCCTGAATGGAGCAGCGGAGCAGATCATGATCTGGATTAAGAAGGCATCTGATGTGCTCAATGGCTTGGACGCCGAGGATGATGTGGAGTGGGCGGCTGCTGGTGGCCGAGAGGGACTGGAAAGTGTCGACAAAGCCGTCACTCGCTTCGAGTCCTTGGTCAACGTCTACGTGGCGGCGATTGAAAATGTGCAGCTTCGAGAAGACATTGCCACCGTCGATTCAGAAAACTTGCAGGCTATTGTTGGCCAGATGGAAAGCATCCTACAAAACTGGTCACAAATCAAAGACAAGCTCCAAGGCGTCAAGGATCAGGTGGAATTGGCCATGGAGTGGGAGGAACTATGGTCAAACGTATTGGGCGATGTGGGCATGGAAATCGAGAACCTCAGCGGGCTGATCTTCGAGATGGAGGAGAAGCGGCACGAGACGTTGAACGATCCGGCTGGATTGAACGGAGGAGGTCTTGACATCAACGAGCTCGAAACCATTGTCGAAGAGTCTCCAGTCAAAGGGCGCTCACCTTTGAGCACCCGGTTGAGTATCGGTCCCGTCCTGGCCGCAGCATCCGGCACTCCCATCATCAAAACCCCGCAGGATGACTCTAGTCACTCCAACCTCATGGCCATATTTGCACGCATGCAGCCTCTTCGGGCGTCGTTGGACTTCTTGCCTATGCGACTGTCCATGTTCCAGTCCCGTGCCGATTCGATCTTCCCAAGCGCATGTGAAGAGCTTGAGGACCGACGAAGCCACTTGGAGAAGAGCTATAAAGAGCTTCAGACGGATGCAGAGTCTCTGCGGAAAGAGCTGGGTGAGGACAAGTGGATCTTGGTGTTTCGCAATGCCGGCAGCCAGGCACAGAAGATGTTTGATTCGGTCGAGCGCAGCATTGGCAAATTGCAAGAAGGCATAGAGACCGGTCTCCAACTGCATAGTCCATCAACGTTGACCAAGCGCATGGAGAACTACGAAGCGAAGAAACAGCACTACGTACCGGCCATCGAGCGGGTGATTGGGATCATTCAAAAGGGTGTGAAAGACCGCCTGACCGTCAATGGCGAGATCTTGCGTCTGCTCTCGGACATGACATCGCGGACAGATGCGCTGAAGGCGAGTATCCGGGTGATGGATGCGTCGCTGGAGGACGTGCAAATCGTTAAGGGCCAGCAGCTACGTGACTCCATTTCCAGCATTATCACAATGGATAGCCCAGTCATGGGCAGCGCCATCGAGACCCCAGGAAGCTCGCCTGCATCGTCCGTGATACTCGCCGGTAACGGACACAAGGGTGTCTCCACACCACATGGTGGCTCAAGCCGCCGAGATAGCTCAGTGGGTAGCTCGACAGGGCGCTTGTCCCTCTCATCAAAGGTCCGACGCTACTCGGGTCTGCCCCAGGGAACATCGTCCACATTGGCTGGCCGCAAGTCGTCCATCCCTCAACGAAGTGGAGCCGGATCCCCAACTCCGTCGAATGCAAGAGGGTCATACACCCCGACACCCGCCTCCCGCAAATCGTCTCGCCCGTCGGCACCGTCCCCGCTGAACAACCGGCCGCGCTGGAACAACAGCACGAACACGAATGATCTGAACAAGGGATACAGTTACAAGCCGCTCTGCGCAACCACCCCATCCGCCTCCTCACGCAAGTCCTCTGCCCCAGCCCACCTCTCCCGCCCATCATCCACCATCCCACTCCCCAGTCCCTTCCGCCGCGACATCTCCGCCTCGCCTGCCCCCGGGCACAGCCGCTCAATCAGCCGCGTCTCGAATCGACAGAGTTCCCGCAGCCCTGCTCCTATGCGCGATATCTCTCCCCGTGCTCCTTCCGGTAATTCCTCTCTCCTTGACCCTCCACCATACAGCCGACTCCGCCGGCCCTCGGGCCTATTCAATAGCCCTCGCAGCCGCCAAAGCTTCGGCGGGTTAGGCTCATCCTTCAGCCGCAGTGTCTCGCAAAACCAAGACCCCAGCGAAACACCCAGCAAATCCAATCGGCCCGGGACGTCCCTCGGCCACTCGGCCAACCGACGAATCAGTCTCCTGCCTTTGCCGAAACACCGACAACAAGAAAAAGAGAAGGAACGCACTGCAGCGCAGTCGAGGCTGGACTCACGACCACCGTTCAGGGTGTAATATCTTTTTCCTTTCGTATATCTTCAATCTTGTCTTATCTTATTCTTTCGATTGACTCTCACTATCTTTTTTGCGTCCTATTTCGTTCTTAAACGACGTGAAGGGATGGATCTTGATCAAGGATGCATAGGTGGGTTGACGGTTGGTTGGGTTTTGCAAGATTCCCCCATTTGTACATATGATATGGTCTGTCTGGTCTTTTAGCGTCATTATCATTTCTATCCTCCTCTTCATTTCTTCTATTGATGTAAATATTTTCTTTCCATGTAGGAGTTTGATTTACAAGCTACACTGGTGATGGAAACTAGACTTAGATGCTCAATTCTTCTATAATAGGTCTTTCGTCAGCTCACTCATTCCTATGTACATACAGATCTGTCTATATCCTGGTCTATTCAATCTCATCATGTACTATGCTCCCAACTCCCTTCCAAAAATCAGCGCATCCACCAACTCCTCACTATTCGCCAACCGCGCCGCCCGGGGCACACGCCCGATGACGCTGAAGCCAAGCTTCTCCCAGATCCGAATCGAGGCCGGGTTGTTCGCGAATACGAGGTTGAAGACGGAGTATTTGTATCCCTGGGGGTTTTTGTTAGGTTCCTTCCAATTGGTAGATAGGCAGATGGATAGGTAGGTTGATGTATAGATGTTAAGTGGTTTGTGAAGGAGGTGCAGAAGAAGTGACAGGACGAACCAGTTTCGGCGCGTACTCCAAATACGCCTCTCCCATTGCCTGTCCGACGCCTTTGCCGCGTGCGGCGGTTGTGGTTATGAATCCTGCGTTGCAGATGTGGGAGCAACGGCCTAGAGTCATATGTTAGTATATATAGATATGTCTCATATAGAAGAGAAAAGAAGAAAATGACTAACCTGGATAATTCGGCTTCACATAAAAAGTGCCCAAACAAACACTCTCCCATTCCCTTCCCTCTCTCAAGCCATTACTCTCGATATCGTCATCCAACACCGCAACAACCGCAAACGTCCCAAACCAATAGTCCGCAAACTGCTCCAGCTCCATAGTCTGCTCCATCGGATACGTGCTGCCGCGCACTATCTCGGCATTAAACTCCGCGTGCAGGAAGCGGATGAGATCGCGCGGGACGCTGGAAGGGCCATTGGCGAGTGGGTAGAGGGTTACTTTTGTGGAGGGGTGTTTGGGGAGCGTTATATGTCGGGGGAGGAGTGTGTTTGCGGCGTTGGTGTGCGATGGTGGTGGGGGGTTGCGCGTGGAGGGGTCTTCGAGGAGCGCGGGCATTTTGAGGACGAGAGAGTAGGTATTTGGGGGTGGAATATATGGTGACACTGGTGGAGGAACCGGGTAGGTGTTGCTGGGATTGAGTGGGGGATTGAGGAGGGAAAAAAAGCGGGATAAGTCAATTGATAGTTATGCGCGCGGGATGATATAGTTGCTCACTAAATGCCGGCAGTTGGAGGCGGATGAGTAAGCCTGTCATCGGCAGGGCGTGATAACTATACATGCGTTTCAATGCTTAGAATTAAATAGAACCATTCCTGTCTTGGGGACTGTGTGCGGTCTCTCTATTGGGTGCAAGAGAACTCTCCGATATCGCTGATCGGGGTTGCAGGAGTACAACACCCCAAACTGGACTCAACCTACACTACCCCAGCGATCAAAACTCTAACTAACTCAAAATGAAGGTCAAGCCAGGTTTGTAAACATTTACAGTCTATAGTAAGGCCACTAGTTCTCAAATAAAACCACATGGCCTGCATCTGAGTAAACACGAGGGCCCCCGGAGATGTCTCGCGACGTATATATACAGTAATGGTACAGACATAAGAGATGCCTGCATCTCTCACAGAAAGAAAATGCCTGGTCCTAGTTCCTTGTCGTCTTAGAAGACCAATTAAGGGAAACGAGCACCGATTTGTTGTCGGCCCAACAATTCAAAGGTCTGGTATCCCTCCCCCTCTAGGTGAGGGGCTTGCATCGACCTCGACTGACTAGAAGCGAACATAAGCCCTTCAGTTGCCAAAACGCAGCTCATTTATTCTCTCCGTCTTTATTCCGAATCGCCTCCATGAGTTCGTATAGCTGTCCCAGCTGCTGGTCTGCACATCACCCACTCCGTCAGCTACCCCGTTCATAGGAGACCAAGAAACAAGAAATCCTACCACTCATTTTATCCAGCTTAGACTTATCCAGTTTCTCCCCGGCCCAATTATCCCCTTCCAACTTCTGCGCGTAGAGCTGCCACTCGGTCAAGAACCCGATCTGTCGCCATCCGTCAGTCAGTCACAGGCTTTTCCTTCCGCTATTTCCCGTCCCCAATTCTCTAGACCACACAGAGAAAAAGAGGCACATACAATATGCAACGGATTCTCCACACTCCGATGTGCGCGAAACTCGGCCTTCACGTAGGAGTCGCCCAGCACGCGCATTTCCGGGTCGAGTTTGCGGTGCACGCGCAAGACGCGCCGGTATAGCTGGAGCGGTGGGAGGAGGGCGAGGGCGTCGCTGAGGCTGGCCTTGGAGCCGATTGAGGCCGGCGCGGCCATAAATAGGCGGTGGGCGAGGCGCATTATTCTGGTGGAGAAGGTGTTTGGGGGGTGTGAAGTTGTTCATGACATAATTGGATTTACCTCGGGAAGAAGGCGGAGAGAGACGCTTTTTTTTTCTAAAGAAAAATTCTCGGCTTTGAGACGATACTGAGAAACGAGATATTACCGCAGGAAATGATTATGTATAGGCTATTGCTATAGGAAGTTGCATTGGATTGCGCCAAGTTGCGAAACATCTCCGACATATATTTTGACTCCGGGTGCTCATCCGGCAACATCAACTTGCATTGACAACCACAATCAAAGATGCTGCCCACCCCCGACACATCACATGTCTCATTCGACACCATTTACGAGCCATCGGAAGACTCCTATCTCTTCCTAGACACACTCTCATCCGCCTCGGAATCAAAATGGCTCCATGAACGATTCCAGTATGTCCCATCATCCACTGCCACCAAAACCGCGCCTCTAGTCGTCGAGGTGGGCACGGGCTCCGGCGTCGTGCTAGGCTTCGTCGCCGCACACGCGCAGGAGATTTTCGGCCGGCGCGACATACTCACTCTGGGGACAGACGTCAACCGGAACGCATGCCTCGCCACGCGCGAAACGGTAGTGACCGCCGTGCAAGAGGCGCAGCGCCAGCAATCATCCACGGGGCAATCCGAATCCGAATCCGGCACTTCCAAATCACGGACTACGCACATTTCATCGTTGACGGCTGACTTGTGCAGCCCGCTCCGGCCGAGCTGTGTCGATGTCCTGCTCTTCAACCCGCCCTATGTCCCAACAGACGATCTGCCGCGCTTGCCCTCTGCAGAGGAGAACCAGCCTGCAGCGACGGAGTCCACGTCCCGCTCCGCGAAGTTCGAGAGTGATTCGTTTTTCCTCTCACTGACTTACGCGGGTGGTGTTGATGGCATGGAAACTACGAATCGCTTGCTGGATGCTATTCCTGGGGTGCTGGAGCCAAGCCGCGGCGTTGCTTATGTATTGCTCTGCAAGCAGAACCGGCCAGAGGAGGTCATGGATCGCATTCACGGCTGGGGAGATGGGTGGCGGGCGGAAATCGCGGGATCGAGTGGGATGCAGGCTGGGTGGGAGAAGTTGGTTATCGTTCGGATCTGGAGAGAGTAACCTACTATTCATCGCTGACTGGGACTTGTATATATGAGCATTGACATGATATTATGACACTATGGCTGAGATATGTAGCTTTATTTGCACCTTTTCTCTGTTTAATATCTCCTCAAAAAGTGCAGACCAGGTTGCTAGTTGGGCTCTGCTACTCTTTGCGGTGCACGGAAGGCTAATCACTCGTGGCCAAGCAAGCCCCTCCAAGAAACGAGTAGATGCCATCTCGACTGAAGTTGAGAAGACATCGCAAACGATATCTTTTGGTCTGTAATCTCCTAGCCTCCACTGTCTTTACCGATCTTAGTCTTTTCGCCCAACTCAAATCAGCAAGAAAACTATTTGCTCTTTTGCTTTTCCCCTATCATCAAAGTCGGAAGAAGCCCCAACAGAAGAATAATATCCCATGATCATGCAAGATGGATTGGAAGACAACTAACCCCCAGAAAAGAATTCGACAATAGAAAAACAAAAACGCCGCATTGCAACCCTGACTTTAGAAACCACGGCCCCGACCACGGCCACGACCGCGTCCTCGTGGACCGCCGCGCCCACCACCGCGACCACCGCGGCCACGGTCTACCTCCTTGCGCGCCTTGTTCTTCGGCTTGGGTGCATCATCCACGAGCAAGGTGTCCAGCGGCAAGCTGTCGGGCAGGATGTAGTAGCGGATTGTTGAACCGCGGATGTTGATGGTGTCGAGCGAGACGGGATCACGGCCCTTCGGGGTCATTTTGACGGTGCGCAGGGAAGTGTTCATTTGCGGGGAGACGGACGTGATAGTGCCGTGGAGGATGGTGCCTATTTTCAGAAATCCGAAGTCAGATAGACAGATCATTGCTTGGTTCTGGGCGGGATGGAAGGAATACCATTCTTCAGCTCAATCGTCACCGTCTCATTGGCGCATTTCATCAAAAACCTGGTAGTAACATTAGTCTCTGGCAAGAACAAAATGTGTGGTGAGATGCGCGCATCGAAGCTAATGTCCGTCGCGCAAGCTCGACAGGGAAACCACGTACCGGACGAGCTTCATCTTGGATGTTTTTTTCTGAATGTCGCAGCCCCAAAATACTTTCTGACGATGAAGAAGTGAATTGAATTGTCAGCAAGAAGCTAACAGGCTGGTTGGGGTAGAGAAGTTCGAGTGCAATGAAATTGTGTGGTTCTGGTGATGCTGGACCGCAGAGAATCCGCCAGGTCACATGACCGCAAACACATCACGTGAGTGAATTCATGTGGACATGAGCACCAAACAGAAGTACGCAGAATACTAACAATATTACTGCCAATGAGGCTACTATTTTAATAGCTGTCAACATATAATTACATATTGGCCTTTGTGTTGATACGGTCACATATGTTTGTTTGCCAACCCAAACATTCATTTTTGGATAGTACTGTTCTCAACCCTCGACAGAGTTATTTCAACGTAAGTGGATCGAAATTATATAAAGATAAACCCCAACCTTCGCTTCGCTCAGTGATTTGAAACCGGTACTTTTAGATAAGGACCAATTGAGAAATTATTGGCCGTGGAGGTCAGCTAGGAGGGTAGATTGGGGATAGAAGTAGGAGTACAGAGTACACGGGCCGTTCCCCCGGAGTGTGGTTAATTATTAGGTCGGCTGGCAGACCAATAATACTGAGCAGTCGTATAACCCCGCAGGAAACCCTGAACCGACGAGAATTATTATTGATAACTAATCCTGGCGGAAACGGTTGTACAAACATGTCAAGTGATTTTTATAATAATAAAGGATACGCGAGTAACAGCCGCATTATTATTCAGTAGTAGTGTTAACAGACTGCTGCAAAACTTTACCAGCGCTTATCGCGGACTCGAATTCAAGAAAATATTCTAAGTTGTTAATACGAGGTTATGATTCGGACTCCGGATCGGCCAACTGCCATTATGAACACGACACAATGCCTTTAATTACGAGCCTCTTCAACCATGAATGCCTTTCTTTCAATCCGCTTTGTTTTACTTCTCGGTAGGCAATTGAACATGGTAAAAGGCAGGAACTAGAACTGGTTAAACTTGACTGTGCGAGACGACAGATGGAACAATCTATAGTGGACTACTAGTATGACAACGACAAGGCACGATGATGAATCTAGAACACTAGTTAGCCCCTGCCGGATCCGAGACTGTTTAGAACAATGACACTAATGATTAGCGCCTGCAATGCGGTAGTGAGACCGCAGAAGTAGCAACTTGAGTCCGGTTGGGACGGAGCATCCGTGTTTCTGGTTTGTCTAGATCGGTAACGATGGCGTTCAGCCACCAACACCTGGTTTATGTACTTTGCAAAAAACAGTTGCCCTGAAAGAGTCGCCCCAAATCAACCAGTGACAGTGGGTGCTTTCAGACTGTTCGCCGATTGCTTCACTCTGACTGGCTGCCGCGTGACTGAATCCTTCTGGAGGGCAACAAAAGCCACGCCAAGAGGGGCTCGCTCCGATGGATCCTGAAAGGATTCCGTGATCTTCACATGGGGCAGCGGTGACTGGAGCGATGCATAAACAGGACGGCTCCAATAATCCTTTCCGAAAGTTGCCCAACAAGCCATACATACCGTAGTATCCTGGCGTTGATGTCATCAGGAGTAATAGAGCCCCTGATCGAGTCTCAGGCTCAACAACCTCATCGGGCGCTGCTAGGGCGCTTCAAGGGCGCCATGGCGGTGAAAAAAGTCCAACAGTCCCCTCCCTTGGCTACCTGTGTCAGATTTTCAGAATCTTGACATCTGGCAGACCGGGTTCGGTACCCGCCCCATGGCCGTCTGTTACATCGGGCCTAGCATAATAGATATGGATCGGCATGTTTTTCATTGGGATGGCACTCCTATCAATCACGCGGTTGGTGGTATCGTAGGCGGAGTAGCAATGATCTGCTCTTGAGCATTCGCGGGCCCCAGTGACATTCGTTCTCCATGGTATATCATCCCATCTATGGGATATGCGCTCGGGATTTGTTACTGTTGATAATATCTTCATCTGAACGCCTTGCCATGCGAGATTGCGAGCAAGGCTGGGAAGGGCAGAGTGGCAAGGCCGAAAATGCCACCGACCCCTCGACCCCAAATAAAGTACCCGCTTCTCCTAGTCGGGTTACTTGAAACAGTATTTCCTCGATGTACTACGGTGGACGAGCCAGTTGTGCATATTATTTCGGTGAAATAGCCCCGCGGCTAACAGGCTCCTCTACTGGTTTATCCACTCCTTGAGTCAGGAGACCGTTGCGAAAAACCAAGGCTACTCGGCTCTCTGTGGACAATTCAATAGTAGTAAAACCTAGGCGCCGCCCGGTAGGATCAGCAAGGGTGTCGGAATTTTTTCTTCTTGCGAGTGAAATGAAGAAAAAAAAATCAATTGCTTGGAGCCGTTTCTGAAAAATTGTTCTCCGACATGGAATTGAGACAGGGGGAGTCATCTCGGACAAGCCCGCGATTGGCCCCAGAACCAGAGGGGCGAGGTGACAGTAGTCCGAAGCGGACCTTGGGCAATGAGGAATGGATCTCCCGAGCATTTCTCGCTCTCGCACAATGCATGCGTGAACCCGGGCTGTTGAGAGAGGAGCCAGTCGATCCAGGCAGCGCCGTTCCTGAAAAACGATCAGAATCCTTCGCAGCATGGCCCAACAGGGATGATGCAGGTGAAAAAGCGGTAGTTGGGTGCCAAGGGACTGGCACCGAATGAGAATTTGCCCTGGCGTTAAAACAGCGTAATCATCCTTTGCTCTTCAACCTCAAACTAAGTAGGGATTGGCGGAATACACATAGCTCGCTCTCTTCCTTCTCCTACTTTGCATCTTTACTAGTGACTAGCTCGTTTAACTGAGAAGCACTTCGGCACACTAAATGCAATTGTATGCACCCTGTTGCTCAGACGCTATTCTCGGTACCGGACCGCCGGGACCTTGCACATTACCGGCCTCTAACTCTCCGTGAGCTTGAATTCTTGGTCTAAAAAGAGGCCATGACGCGACCACCTGGGCGCCGAGCCCAGCACTCTGGGTGTGGTGGCTAGACTACTCGCGCCATTCTGACCGTCCACCCGTCTCTGGGGGACCATTGTTGCCGGCACCACCGCCTGGGCGTGTCAACAGGGAGAGTTATCTGAAGTAACGATTAACTAGGATGCCCAGTAGATGCCGCAAGGTTTAAAAGCCTTGTCTTAACTTAACCTGTGCATTAACTAAGAGATGAACCGTACAGATAGATCGGCACCGAAACTTTTGTGGGTACAATTAGGTATCTCCGCGTGGCGGTTTAGGAGATAATAATGGCCCAAATTCATTCCGACGCCGCCAACAACGGCCAATGTTCGTGGGGGCCGAACAACTAAGACAAGACAGGGGAAAATGGCCGGAACATATTACCGGGACTGAATTATTCCCAAAACGTATTATAACCAGCTAATTTTGGGCCCTTGAGCCAGCCACTTAACTCGTCCCTGGCTTCCCGTCGTCATATGGCCCCCAAGTAAAGAGGTGCCCCATTTTGGTAAATTGGTGGTAAAAATGGGGCTAAAATGCCCACGCAGAAAGCTCCCCTGGACGCTCAGGATCATTATGCGCCCTGGCCCCAGAGTCTCCCGCAATCCCTCTAGCTTAGTTCTCAATCCGGCCTGGACCGACCCTCGACGGGCAATTGTCAACTTGTGGGGGCTAATTAAATCAAATCAAATCAAATCAAATAAATCCCGCCTCTGGCAAGCATGGCAGGAAGGCCCACATGGTGAAGATCATGAGAGTGTCGTGTACATGTCGGTCAATTAGAATGGCATGAACATGGTCAAAGGGGTCGAAAGATGGGCAACGCCATGGACCAGGAAAGGAGGGTTCAGCAACGATGACTCGTCATAGGTTGGCCCCGGTTTGACCAAAAGGACCACTTAACGACGTTCTAGAAGCTGTTGGTTTGCCCTTTTTTACTCGTAGTGGACCGACCAAACGTGGCCGTCGCCCAACTGGGGTCAGATCATTGCGGGGACTGGTTCTTCTTCTCTCCTTCGTTTCCTTTAATTCGGGGCGTTTTCCTAGTTATCTCCCCAGTCAAGAAAAAGTTTTCTTTATTGTATGCGCCCTTTTTGTAAAAAAAGAGTGCCCGACTATCATCTTACACGAACAAAAAGCCTTGTGTCGTCCATCGCGCTGCGTTGGTGTAAACCGAACTGTATGTTCGTTCTGCCTCCTTTCTGTCCTCGATCCCATCCCTGCGCATATCGTTTCTTCCATCTTTTCGGAATCCTGGGTCTCCTTGATGGGTCCGGACATCCCAATGTTTCCCGGGGACTCAAGCTCACAGTATCCCTCATCTCAGAACAGGAACCCTACGGAGGATCTGTCAAAGGACCACCCACTCTCTCCACCAGCTGTCGCGTATCCGCCGACGCTGATTGACTCCACATCACCTGTCTTTCAACAGGAGCTCCAGATCCCGGGCTCCTCGTGGCCGGTCAATAGGCCCGTCCCTGCTGTGCAAGGTGGTGGCTCTGTATCAAGTCGATCGCTTCCTGCCTCAATTCACCCGCAGAGGTCAACGTCCTCGTTAAATTCGAGCACGAGCAGCTCTTTACTTGGCCTAGACTCGTCTTTATCTGCTCAGCTATCTCTTGACAGTTCTCATCCTGCCAGGGAGCAGCAGCTATCGTCTGTTGAAACCCCTCGGTAAGCAAGCCCTGCAAACTCATCTCGTCAGTAAAGGGCTCGTGCCAACTATCAACGCAGAGACGGTCTTGGAATCACTTACCCGATGGCCGTCGCATCAGATCCCTACTTCTCCGGCCCAATGCAGCCGAATCCCCAGAGTAAGACCACCCTTTGTTCGATTGGGTTGTGGAAGGCATCCGCTGACAGGCTCCAGACTATATGTGGGCGAACCGTCCTTTTCAGCCCTTGCAACCTCCTTCAGGCCATATGAATCAACATTTCCCTCATCCTCAATCTTATCCTTCCAATGGCTTCTCCGTTGGCGGCTATAATGGACACCCAAACGGGGCGATGCACAGCTACCCACCGCCTCAAGATTCCCAGGGCGCTTCGTACCTGGCCGCATCGCCCGGCTATGCAGGCCGACAGAATCAGTCACGAAGGTATGCTGGCCCTGTGCGGTCCAAAAGGAGGAAGACTAAATCGTTTCGCAGCAGTCCAGCTGTGGCCCGGCCGTTCCACGCTCACTCTACCCACTCTGCTCCGGGAACTCCCCCTCTAAGTGAGCAACCAATGATGACCTCGTAAGTCGAGTTGCCTCTACACCATTAGCCATTCAAGACAGGCCGTTAACCTGTCTCACAGCTCCTCTCCTTATATGATAAATCAACCTGCCTACTATCTCCCTGACGCACCTTCAATCCCGTGAGTCGATTCCGTTCCCACCGCAAGGTAGAATGGTCCACTGACCGAAACGACAAAATAGATCCTCACACCCGTCTATGCCTGTTAGCTCTCAACCACCCTCGCTGGTGTCCAACGAGTCCCTCTATTCGTCACCAGACTCAGTACCTCCTGCATCCGAGCCCGAGCATCAGGTCCGAGTGATTAGTTCGCGCCCTCGCCCGCAATGCTGGGATCATGGCTGTAACGGGCGCGAGTTCTCGACCTTTAGCAACCTGCTACGACACCAGCGCGAGAAGTCCGGCGTGGTGGCCAAGGCTGAATGTCCAATCTGTGGTGCTGTGTTCACCCGCACGACAGCACGTAACATCCACGTTGCGCAGGGCAAATGCAAAAGCGGAGGCCGGGAGTCCTCCACCGAGTAGAATGGAGCAGGTTGTGCTTTGGTTGTTTTTGTCTGAGGCGCTCCATTTGCTTTTCACTCAAGTTCCGTTCTTCTCTGGATAGAGATTTCTCTGGGAGAAATCAGCCAGTACATAATCATTGCCCGTCGGAGGGAGTTTCCAACTGTACATACCCAACTACAATTATCAGATCATGCACGTGTATATGGCCTCAGGCACCAACTCTTCACCTGACCCGCCGTGACTCAACTCCACCGTTGTAACGAACGACAGCATCAGTCATTGCTCTCTACTGTTCCTGCATTCTCTCATGGTTGCAAGAATGCCTCTTCTCCCTGCTACTCTTATAACAATATCGAATCGTGGCCCCTATGCTTGTTTATTATCCCCAGTTCAGCTGTTATTACCCTGAAGTACTTTCCATACTGCGTGCCATTCTTTGTAACTGAAACGCGGCTCAATTGGAGTTCAAACGATGGCCTCGATCTTTACTTATGATCCCGACCCTCCGCGGGTCTCATCTCCGTGGTCCACCTCGGGGACGTCGACTCCCCAGGTCAACCCAGCCGGCGGTCGAGGTCTCGCGATCCGCACGCGCTCCACCACCATCCTGGACAGTGCGGATCCGGACTCATTGTCGGACTATGGGATTACGAAACTGGAACCAGAGCCCCAGGAAGGTCCTACAGAGTACAAACTCCACCTTCTGCTCCGTCCGCGCCGGCCGTATCTGTCCATGTCTACTGGACGTGTAGTCGCGGGGTCGTACCATTCCCGCACCAGTCTGCCGGCGCCATCCATCTCGGCGTCCCCAACCTATGACGCAACCCCAAGACCTATGCAAGCCAAGTCGTCGCAGAGTCGGCAGCAACGGCTACAGGGATTAACGACACAGCTGCTGTGGCGGCTACAACAGTCGTCGCCCTTCCACTCGTCCACGACCTTCGATTTGGTCATTCCCGTTCTGCCGGAAGCAACGCCTAGGTTAGGCGTGCCTCCCAAACCTGCTCGTCTCCTCCCCGGGCTTGAAGAGAGCCAGGGCGCGCTGTACGAGATTGGAGTTGCCGACGATGGGACCTTCGTCGGCCTCGCCCAGGATGAGCTGGACGAGAGTGTGACGAACCTGCAAGCCATGGCCGCGAGTCTCGGCTGTAGGGTCGAAATTCTCCGCCGAGTCATTGTAGGGAAGTGCGAATGGGCAGAGGATTCGCCGACAGAGCCAGAGGACCCGGCTAAGAATCACGCCGACAGTCTTTGGGTCGCGGAGGCCCTTGTGACCCCTGATCTCGATTTTTACAACATTTCACCCATCCAGGCCAACCAGAATCCCGAGCATACTACTATAGGATCGGGGCCGCAGCCCATATCTGAAGAAGACTATTCTACCACCGAGCAAATACGAATATCCATTGCCGGGCCCAGTACTGCGGGGAAGTCCTCACTGCTGGGCACCCTGACCTCATCACTGCTGGACAATGGAAGGGGTAAGAGTCGATTGAGCCTTCTCAAACATCGCCATGAAATATCCTCGGGGATCACCAGCTCCGTCGCGCAGGAGTTAGTTGGATACTCGGCTGAGGAGCCGCCCACCGTGGTCAATTATGCGTCGGGCAATGTCACCGCGTGGAATGATATCCACGCGTCTGCACGCGGAGGCCGCCTGGCCTTTGTATCTGACCTTCCGGGCTCTGTTCGGTATCTGAAGTCCACGCTACGAGGCTTGGTCAGTTGGGCCCCTCACTACGTGATGCTCTGCATCCCTGCCAATTGCGGTGATGAGCCTGAAGGTGAAACGGAACAAGCCGCGGAGATTGATCTCTGTCTGGCGTACCTGGAACTCTGCCTAAAGTTAGAGGTGCCTATCTTGATCGTGATCACCAAGCTGGATGTCGCCTCTCGGAGCAGGCTGAGAGACAACCTCGCCAAGGTTCTGTCTGCACTTAAAACTGCAGGCCGCAAGCCTGCAATGCTTCCCGCGTCGCCTGCAGGAGATAAGCTGCTTGATTTGCAGCACGTCAGCGCCATGGACAGCAACGAAGCACGGAAGTCAATCGCTGCCGCCAATGGGAACTGGTCTCACGTCGTCCCGATAATCATGACCAGTGCTGTCGATGGTACCGGGATAGGAAAACTCCATGCTTTCCTTCGATACCTGCCCGTCCCCTCGCGGTCATCACAGAGAGCTCTTCGCATCACCAAATCCGCTGCAACAACCCGCCCTTCTGCCAACATCTTCGACATTGATGAAGTCTTCGCCATCCCTCCATCCAAAGTCTACTCCAGAACTACAGACAACACCAGTCGAGAAAACCGCGGCATGGTCCTATGCGGGCTAGTCCGCCACGGCAGCATCTCAATCGGAGATGAACTAGTGATCGGACCAGTCCCAGTCGACACATCGTCCTCCGAGTCCGGGCGAGAAGCACTACAACCCCCGCTCTCTCGCAGCAGCGGCCCGGCGCCATCCGGCGACTTCTCAGCCTCCTTCGCACAGAGCATCCTCTCGGGCAAGGACGCTGCCCAAGCGAAATGGCAGCGCGTCCGCGTCGTCAGCGTTCGCGACCTCCGCCTCCCCGTCCACCGACTAATAGAAGACCAAGTCGGGACAATCGGCATCGAAATCATCACTCTCGCCACCGAAAATAATGGCCGCGCTGCTCCTCGTATTGGCCGCATCCGCAAGGGCATGGTCCTGTCTGATTTCCACACCACTTCCGCCTCTCTCCCTCTGACCCAGCTGCCTCCAACGTTATCATTGCCCTTCCACACGGGCTTCATTGCCACATTCCCCGCGGCTGAATTCTCCTCCCCGACTTCGCCGCCTCTGCTTCTGGGCGGTAATGCTATAGCCTATATCTCCAATATCCGTACCACAGTCCGAGTCGTCTGCATGGCCCTCGCAGGCACGGGTGACGGTGACAGAGACGACAACGACGATGAAGAAGACCAGGATTCGTCCTCCGAACCTGAATTCTTTGATTTTGATGGCGATACTACTTCATGCCAAGATAGGACTCCTGCCAATGGAAATGGAAAAGTAACAAAACGTTGGTCGTCTGGCAGCGACCATAATGCCAATTCGATGCGCCGCATCTCCGCAACAGATATCAGCAAGGTCGTCTCCAGCTCCACTGGCCCTGCAGCCACGGCTACGGGCCCGGCCACCGCATCGGCCGCGCCATTGAAAGAAGACGTCCGCATCACGTTCGCACTGGTCACCTCCGTCGAGTGGGTCGAAACCGGGTCGCGGGTGTTAGTGATGCCAGGGATCTCGATGGCATCTTCGTCTTCGTCTTCTGCGGCTGTGGCGCCGGCCTCTGCCTCTGCCTCGGGGACTGTCGTAATGTCTGGATTAGAGGGGTTCGTGGGTACGGTGTGTGATGTTATTCATGGTGGAGAGGGGGTAGGTGGGAAAATGAGGAATGAATAATGAGATGAATTTCTCGAGACGAAATGCATGACATCACATTTGAATTGGATATAGGGACTGGACTAGTTACTGCAAGCGTATGTACATACACACAAGGGGGCAATAAGTCTAGTCATATCAAGGAATGATGACGGGCCCATGAACTACACATTCTATCCAAGCATAATACATACCAAGGTAGCTCTGCCCGCAGATAATGAGCTCAGTAGAGCCCAAAGTAGCAAAGACGGACATCTACTAAGGAATCGTATCTACACAGTACAAAAAGAGAGTCAAGATCAAGATCGTCAGAGCAAATGATGTGATTTCTTAGTGCACGACCCTATCCCCCGTCTTCGAGCACGCGCAGAGACCAGACAGACAGACACCTATGAAAATAATGCAGAACAGAGAACTGCACGCCAGCACTCCAGTAGGACATCATCTATTTAGAAAAAGAAACAGAGACGGACGGACGGACGGACACACCGCCATGTATGATGCGTGTCCTCCTCTCTTTCTTTTTCGAACATACCCCGTTGCAACCTCGAAATTTCTTTCTCAAGCCACAAACAAGGGTATATCCTATTGCATTCCTCCCATTCCGTTCCGTTCCATGATGTTATTCAAATCGACCGCTGATGAATACGGCACCATCACTTTTGCCGTGATGCTCGATATCCAAGGAGACAGCAACCCCATTCGCATCCATTTTAAGCGTCCCATTTCCCCTGCATTGGGGAATAATTTGCAGACAGGCAAGCTTGCGCGAGTCTATCCGCCTTTGCGCTGGTCGCCCGATACAACACCGGTAGCAGCGGCATTCTGGGCCGAGCCAGCGTTGCGGGTGAAGGCACCGGTGGAGCCAATGGCAGCGCTCGCATTGCGGAGTTCAATCTTTTTGCGCTCCATTTCAAGCTGAGAGTCACGTCATGTTAATTAGAAACGTGGACTGCGATTAAACAAAAAGAAAGAAGAAGGCAGACTCACCACCTTGCGCACGCGGGCCAGCGCCGCAGTATCACCCTCCACCAAGGGCCGGCAATCATCGACACGGTAGGGTGAGGAAATAGTGACAGCATCAGCGACGATGATATCCGACGCATTCCAGCGCGCAGGCATGGTACGGCTGAAAGCATCGAAGATATCCTGCGCTTCGCGGGTGACGCCCTTGCCGCGACGGGCCTCGCGGTCGTGCGCTTCGCCAATGGCCTTGGCCTCGCGGGCCTTCAGGGCACGGGGATCGAGGGCCTGGATGGTGGGCTGGGCGTCGGTGAAGGAGGATGACTCGGAGGAGTTGGATTGGGGGAGAGACAGGATCTGGAAGGACTGGATACGCGAGACGGGGACGACGTGATAGTCACCGCTCTGGGCTTGCTTGGCGTCTGCGGTGGGGGAGGCGGGGGAGACGTTGATCGCGACGAGGTTGGTTATCGGACACGCTGTGAAGAGCGTCCCTTCGAGGGTGGACACGGTGGGCGATGCGGTCGTGACCCGGACACTGGGACAGACAGACACAACCAATTAGTTATCCGGTGATCAAATTGTTGGTCAAGGAGAAGAAGAAAAACCAAAAAAACTCACCGGGCACCGATCGCGCCGCTCAGAGCAGCCTCCAAGGGCACCATGGTTGCGGCCATGTCGTTCGCCGATGGGTTGGCAGATCCCTGTGTGGGCGGTTTGACTCCGACGCTCTGGCGTTTATTCTCTGCCATAGACAACCTCTTTGTGGGGACTGTGTGCACGACCAGCCCAATGCCGCAGCACGGGTACGTTCTGCGGTCTGTGGTGTGCGGTGATCGAGTCTCGGGCAGCAAGCTCAGGACATTGGAAGTACCCACCAGCTTCTCCCGTATATACGAGGGACGGACTCCAATGTCTGGGACGCTTGGCCTGGATCGACACCTCGGAGCGGGGGAGAGAGAAGGAGGAAGGGCGTAGGGAGCAGGAGAGAAGAAAGAAATGAATCCGAAGATAGTAGACAGTCAAGCGCCCTGGACGGGTCGAAGGACATTGGAGGTGATCGAGAGGGAAGTTGCACAGCGCTTAATATGGTTTAGCGTCACGCCATCGTCTGCCTCAGGCATTAATTCTCTTCAAGTACTACACAAATGTACACATTCTTTAAAGACCAACACTGCGTCGTCCCCGGACTGCCCCGGGGTGGAATCAATTCAAATCATGCATCTAAATACATCATACTATTTCGTATTTTTTTAACCCTTCTCTTGTTGCAACAATTTTGCGCTTATGCCACATAGGTCGAGGCCGACACATCACCGCCACGGCCTGTCCAGTTGACGTGGATGTCCTTGCCCTCGGGGAAGTTGTCATTGGCGCACTCGGGCTTGATGCGGAAAGTGTGGGCACCGAAGTAGTCACGCTGGGCCTGCAGCAGGTTGGCGGGCAGGTCCTTGGTGCGGTAGCCATCGTAGAAGCTCAGAGCGGTGGTGAAGGCCGGCAGAGGGATACCCCAGAGGGCGGACTTGCTGACCACATTACGCCAGCCATCCTGGGCCTTGTGGATAGCCTTGTTGAAGAAATCGTCGAACAGAAGGTTCTCGAGGTCGGGGTTAGTGCGGTAGGCGTTGGTGATGTCCTTCAGGAAGACGGAGCGGATAATGCAGCCACCGCGCCACATGAGGGCAATCGAGGGCTTGTTCAGCTTCCAGTTGTACTCCTTGGCGGCCTAAACAGAGAATGGTCAGTCAGAGGAAAAAAAGGGGGCGCTGAGAAACGTACATCCTGGATAAGCATGAAGCCCTGGGCGTAGGAGATGATCTTCGAGGCGTACAGGGCTTGCTCCAGGTCGTCGATGAAAGCCTGCTTGTCGCCAGTGAAGTTGGGGGTAGGGCCACCGAGGATCTTGTTGGCGCGGACACGCTCATCCTTGAGGGCCGAAAGACAACGGGCGAAGACGGCCTCGCCGATCAGAGTCACGGGCATGCCAAGGTCCAGAGCGTTAATGGCGGTCCACTTGCCGGTACCCTTCTGGCCGGCCTTGTCGAGGATCTTCTCCACGAGCGCAGTGCCGTCATTGTCGTTGTAGTAGAGGACATCACGGGTGATCTCAATCAGGAAGGAGTCCAGGACACCGGTGTTCCACTTGGCGAAAACATCGCCGATCTCCTTGCAGGACAGGCCCAGACCGCGCTTCAAGATATCGTAGGCCTGAATTGGAGATTTAGTAGTGATCTCGCCTCACCCATTGAAGCAAACTCACCTCGCAAATCAGCTGCATATCGCCGTACTCAATACCGTTGTGGACCATCTTGACGTAGTGACCGGCACCCTCGTCACCGACCCAGTCGCAGCAGGGCTCGCCGTCGCTCTTGGCCGCAATGCTTTGGAAGATGTCCTTGATGTGGGGCCAGGCGGCCTCGTTACCACCGGGCATGAGGGAGGGACCATAGCGGGCACCTTCCTCACCACCCGAGACACCGCTGCCGACGAAGTTGATGCCCTTCTCGGACAGGTACTTGGTGCGGCGGTTGCTGTCGGGGTAGTGAGAGTTACCACCGTCGATAATGATGTCGCCCTTCTCCAGGAACGGCAGGAGAGCCTCGATGAAGTCATCGACGGGCTTTCCAGCCATCACCAGCAGCATGACGCGGCGGGGGCGCTTGAGCTTGGAGCACAGCTCCTGGATGGAGTGGGCGCCGATAATAGACTTGCCTGAAGAGAATCATCAGCCATTTTAATGTTAAATGCGCCCTGGCAGGCATTATCGACTTACCCTTGGCCTCGTTGGCCAAAAAGCGGTCGACCTTGGAGGTTGTGCGGTTGAAGGCGCAAACGGTGAAGCCGTGGTCGGCAGCATTGAGGATCAGGTTCTGGCCCATGACGGCCAGACCGATGAGGCCGAAATCCGCACTGGGGATAGGATGCGCCGGAGCGCCGACATCGATGCCGGCGAGACGGGCGCTAGCGTCAGCGATCAATTCTCTTGTCAATAGCCGGGTAAATTGAAAGCAGGGAATAGGGTAGAAGCAATCCCGTGCCGTTCCGAAACCGGGAGTCGAGGGGGATTCTCTCGTCGGCAGTCCCCTCCTGTGGCGGTATTGACTGATCCAACGCCGCTACATGATGGGATTGCCCATGAGAGAAGCCCCCACGCCTGCTCAGATGTCCGGAAAAGGACACAGCGACCCATTGGAGGATTGGGGGTATAATTGGAGGGGCATGTAATCAAGAGCGATAGAAGGAGGGGCATGAGATGGACAACTTACACAGCTTGCTCAGCCATGATGTTTGGAGATTGGGCAAGAGTGGAGTGAAAGGGGAGCAAAAGTGAGGATGGAGAATGGAGAGAAGAAGGAAACGAAGAAGAAGATGGAGGGGGAAGAAAAAGAACGTCACCGGGCTGACGGAGCAACTCTTCCGTCATGTAGTGGGGGAATGTACCGGGTACCGCTCTGGGTTGGCTATTGTTCCGGTGTAGGCCCAGTACCCGGTACAGGAGCACAGCAGTCCGGGTCATCCCACTCGGCACTCCGGGGCATTCTCTCACTTTCTGCCGGTAAATACTACATACTTCGTTTGGCTATCTACATCCGTTCCATGCATTCGGTACGATGGCGGGGCATGGAGGGGCACTGTGGTATAGATATCATCGCTGTGGTCGCTGGAGAGGACGAGGAACTGTCACTCCTAGTAAGTATCGAACTGGGATCCAATACTCCCAGTGGATTTTCTAGGCTCATCCCATGCATCGGTGAACTCTTCTGGCAACCAAAAACTGCTCGACCGAACGCTGCTGGAGCTAACCGTTTGCGGACTAGGGTGGGGGCACCACAATATCTGGCTTATGTCACGGTGCTTATGTCATTCCTAGCTGACTCATCAATAAATCTTGGACCTGGGCATCACTCTGGCAATCCACCATCATATCACCTCCCTCAGGGATTCGCTTGCTTCAACCCCATCAACCACTCCCTCCGTGCCCCAGGGTTCGGGACCTTCTCAGGTGTGACGTCTGGCAGATGACTGCGGCGCCAGTCAGGCCCTGAAGGTACGTTGCGACGGCTACTTGCCAACAGCACACTACTATTTCCCACCCGTCTCGTTGCATCCATTCATCATGTCCTTTCCACCTCCTCCAGGTCTCAAACAGACGCCCTCGTCACTCCCTCCACGCCCGCCCCCATCCTCCAACTCGTCGGGTCATGGCGGGTCCTCGCGCCCCTCGGGCTATAGCGCCTTCACAGCATTCGCGCCACGCTCCGTAGCCTCCTCCAGCCAGCCGCAGCGCACCAGTAGCCCCGCGGTCTCTGCTCCGCCAGTTTCTCCAGCAGGGTATGCGGCGCCGGCATCAAGCTACGGAAATTACTATCAACAACCGCAACAGCCGCAAAGCTACCAAAGCGGTCCTTCCTATTATGGAGGACAACCCCAGTACAATGACAACACATACGGCCCGACCGTCCCCCATATTCAGAACCCCTTCGGTCCCACGCCAACTGGAAAGAATGGCTACGACCCTGAGACCGAAGCCCAGATCGCCCAATGGCAGAGCGCCTATGCCAATCCCAGTGACGACTCCGCGGGCAGAGGCACCGCCCGAGTCCAGCCCGCTGCCAGCACGGGCGCAACACCCTCCAGTGGGACTGGTGCAGGCACGCCCCTCCCTCAGCCAGAGTCGCAGAAGACCGTCTCTCGGGCCGGCGGTGGTCAATCGTGGAACGACTCGACGTTGTTGGAATGGGACCCAGCGCATTTCCGTCTGTTCGTGGGGAATCTCGCAGGAGAAGTCACCGATGAGTCGTTATTGAAGGCGTTCGCGCGGTACACCTCCGTCCAGAAAGCGCGCGTCATCCGTGAGAAGCGCACGCAGAAGAGCAAGGGGTATGGATTTGTGAGCTTCAGTGATGGCGATGACTACTTCAAGGCTGCGCGTGAGATGCAGGGAAAATACATCGGGTCTCACCCGATTCTCCTGCGACGCGCGACCACTGAAGTCAAGCCGACGTCCAGCACTAAGAATGGCAAGAAGGGAGGTGGCGGCGGTGGTGGGCGGGGTGGACAGTCGGGCAAGACCAAGCACGACGGGATCAAGAAGTCGGGCAAGACGAAGGGCGGCTTGAAGATTTTGGGTTAATCTGAGCCTTTTGGTTTTACGGTTCAATAATGCGATCGCAGTGAGTGTGTCTGCACTATATGTTACGTACTAGAGTATAGGGGCCTATATACTGCGCTATAGGTATCCCCAATGAATTAATCCTATCCTACAACATGATGATGATCAAATTGAAACCAAGCCAGGAATTAAAACCTGCCTGACACGGTCAACCACATGCCCCATTAATATTGCGTTGGTTGGGCAGGGAGCAGGTACCAGGTACCGCCCGGCCCTGTACCGTTAGCGCTCGTACGCAAGTACCCGCAACCCGTGCCCCACCGGAGCTCCAGATCCCCAGCCTCCGACTAACTGTCGAAAAGCACATGGCTGGGAGAATGTTTAAAAACCCCCGATGGCGCATTCCAGCGGTCGCCAATTCTCCGCCTTTATTTTATTTTCCGTCTGTTCATACTCTACTCCTACATTTCGGGGTTTTCTTGCTATCCTCTGTTTTGTTGTTAGACACAAAGCAGTGTTCAGTGAGAGTCGCACTACCCGAAGTACATACTTGCTTCACACTTGGGGTTGTACAAATCACCCACCCCACCGCTGGTTTCAATCCTGCTTTTTGTCCTTTCATCTCATCCTACATACTCTTTTTCTCCCTTCTCTTCCATTCATCATCTCATCATCATCGTCCATCAAACAAAAACAAAAAGAATCTCCATCTAAAGCGAAGACCCCAAGTCTTCCTTCCCACCAGCAACAATGGTCCAGCGCAACATCACCATCGCGATCATCATCATCGTGCTCTTCCTCGTCCTTGCCATCGCCGCGTTCGCCATCTACTTCATGCAAAACCACGTGGCTTTCTTCTCGCGCAGGAAGGTTGTTGATGAGGAGAGTATTGAGGAGGGATAATCTGTGGCAGCTCAACGTCATTTTGCTTTTTTCTATATATTTTGGTGCGCTTCATTACATACCATACGACGATTGAACCTACAGCGACACACGAAACTCCATTTACGATATCTCCTTCCCTCACACCTCCGACATGATGACGAGTTCCTCCGATCCCACACGATTTGATTCGATTGCTTGCTTTTGACAACATATCTGCGCATCTCTGTATAATCCGCTGAGTGAGAAATGAAAAAAAGAAAGAAGAGCTGGAACTGGGTATATATTTATTGATTGGCACTGTTTTATAGCACCTTATTGCTGTTGTTTTTGGCGCTTGGTCTTGTGGTTTGTTGTCTCTTGGCTGTGCGTTTCTCTTTTGATGGACATGACTATCTTCAATATTATGTATCTACCTATGCGGCGTACTGGCCGGCGGGCACTGGCCTCGATGAGAATAAGGAATTGGAAATGAATTATTCATACGATGAAACTGCCGAAGTAATCGGTGTCAACTGTTGAAGATGGAATTTATGATTCGCATGCTGGTGAGGACTATTGCCTGCTCAAGTCGAGTCTGAACTGGAAAGGAGAGGAAGTTTGGAGCAAGGGAGAGAGAAATACAGTCACCACTGGTATATTCGACATGAAGGAGCGCTCAAAACCCTACCTAGACCTGGACGCCTCGAAACGAATAAAAAAAGGAAAAAAAAACCGTCCCTCAAAAAACGAAACTCAATAACTCTTGCGCACGAAGAGCGGTAACGATATGCCAGGGCATGACATTACCCTGTACACTGCGTATGCCTTTGGCACGGGCCAGAGACGCCAAGTCACGGTACATGCCCATAGTCTCTTTCAGAAGACCCTCGTGGGAGGACGATGATGGTCGCTGGGTATATATGAGGTTGACGGTCATTGCAAACACGCCATCGCCATCGGTAGCGCCCTTCCGACGCAGAAGATAGCCGCTTGCCAGCGCGGGGCGAAACTCGGTGAGGTGTGGGGAGCTGTTGAGGCGATGCGATAGGATGACCATCCAGGATTCATCGCAGATGTCTGCGAGGACGGCGTCGGAGTCGGTTTCAGGAGAGGTGTCGGTTGGTGTGGGGGCGTTGTATGCCGCGCTGGGGGTTGCTGCTGTGCCGTATTGCTCAGGAGATGCGATGCTGGTATTTGGATTGGGGGTTGTGACGGGTGTAGAGGAGGATTGGGGGTGGAAGACGTTCATTGACATGGACGAAGGAGGAGGCTCGAGGGCCAGATCGGGAGCAGTGGTGACAGTTAGAATTGTTAGTTCTAGAGAACCTGGGTGTGTTTTGTTATGCTGCTCAGCCAGGCTTGTCCAAGCTAGAATGGAGTTAGACATGTCTCTAAAAGCCACATGGAAAAGAAACCTTACCTTCAACCTCATCGGCATCCACAGGTTCAGTGTTCACCAGAATCACCTTCCATCGAGCCTGAGCCTTATCCATGATGTGAGTGGTCATAGCCCATATTTCGTTGCGCACATCTGAGATCGTCCTGGCAACACCGGTATTCTTATAGCGTAGGCAGTAGGACATGGATTTTTGCGAAGAGCCAGAGCTATCTGACCAGGCCACCGAAATCCAGCGCTGGTCCAAGCTTTTGGAGAAGGCAATATGAAGGATCCTTCCATCCTGGAGCGGCGATCCTCGCTCGGAAGCAAGCCGGAAATGAATGGATTTGGGAAGAGGATCAGCAAGGAGGATTGGCGGAGAACAAAGCAAAGGACCAGAGCTGGGGTCTTTGGGCGAGCACCGACTGTAAATCTCCAAAGCCAGATTCAGATACTCCGTCTGAGATGGTACAACCATCGAGTCACCCGACATGACAAAATCCATGGGTATCACTTGAAGAGCAGGTTCGTTGATCTGTCGAGATCGGGGGGTATCCGCATCGGCGACTGAATTCTGGAGAAGTTTCCAAAAAGCTGCACAAATGTCGGCCAGCGCTGTAGCGTGATTGAATGGGTTGATAATATATACGACACAATTCCTTTCTTCGTCTGCAGTCTGCGAAAGTGCGGTTCCTGTTAAAGAGTTAGAAACCTCATCCTTCGTTGAGGGTTTCAAGAACGTACCAAGTTCGTCACACATGGTGCCAAGGGTGCGCATCATGGACGTATAACTGGAGGCGCTGGAGGATTCAGGGCCCCATGTTCCCATTCCGTCCTCGAACGCGCTAGAAATGTCCCCTCGAGCATGGGTCCCAAGACTGCAGCTTTGATAAAGAACGCCCAAGCGCCTCAAAAACGAATCTGCTGCTTCTGATGCAATATGAGGGTGAATGCAGTACGCAGAGATATCCTTTGGCCCATGGGCGGGCTCCAGACCGAATGTTTCCCAAAAGGATACCACAGGAGGGAGAGCTTCCAGGTATTCCTTACCGCGACGAACGCGCACATGTGGCGCCAAGACCTTCACAATAGAGCCTTTTCCTGTGTCTTTAGGGTGTGATTGTGGATGGAGCGTAGAAAGATCATCTTGCAAGGATGCATATTCTTTCAGTTCAATTCGTACAATCTCTCCCAGGGACGCTGTCTCTTCGAAATAGGGTCGTATAGGCAGACCCTCACTCTCAAGATCGAAAAGAGTTGTCCGCCCGTCCAACGGATGATTCAAAGATGACTGGGTGATTTGATCAACCAAAAGCTGAGCAATCTGGATTTGTTCTTCGCGATGCAGGAGGACTGGGGCTTGTTTGGTTCGCAAAGCAGAAAAGTATCCCGTTAGAGACCAATCAGAGAAGTTGGAGAAGAAATTCCCCAGAAACGCAGAGTTCTCAGCTTTATGCGGCATGCTTCCTTCCGGCAGATACTTCTCCGGGGATGCAGCAGACAAAATTTCCAAATCCGAAGGAGCACGTTTTCTCTTCAGAGAGGATGGCAACGCCATTGGAGTTGGAGCATGTTCAGAGACCATCTCATAACTGTCATCACTGCTGGCACTGCTTGATACCGAATCTGATCGCACACGGCGACCCATCAACTCCGGCGGGGAGGCCT